TAATTTTAAAATATTAAAATTTATATATTTTAATTATTTTAAATATTATTTTATTATTTTAAATAAAATTTAATATTTTTTTTAAAATATTTTAAAAATAATAATAATAATTAATATATTATTAATAAATTTATTAATTTTATTAATTTCTTTTAAAAATTATTATAATAATTATAATTTTTTTTAATTATTTTTTTTTTTTAATTTTTTTTTTATTTTTATATATAAAATATTAATTATTTAAATAAATAGTTTAATTAAAAAAATTATAAAATATAATTTTAATAATATTAATTTAAATTTTATTAAATTTCTTTATTTTTTTAATAGTTTTTTTTAAAAATATTAAATTTATTATTTTTTTTTAAATTTTTTTATAATAATTATATTTTTTTAATAAATTTATAAATATTAATAATATTAAAATTTATTTTTTTAAATTTATTATTATTATTATTAATAATATATTATTATTTAATTTTATAATTAATAATAGATATATTTTTTTATTTTTTTATTTTTTTTTATTTTTCTTTTATTTTTAATATTTTTTATATTATTAATTTTAATTATTATTTAAATATATTTAATAAATATTTTAAATTAAATTTTTAAATATAATTTTTTTTTAATTTTTAATTTAAAAATTTAATAATATATATATATATATATATATATATATATTTATTTTATTTAATTAATTTTCTTTAAAAATTATATAAAAATAATAATATATTTTAAAAAAGTTTATTTTTTATTTAATTATTATTTATAATTTAAAATAATTATTTAAATAAAATTATAAATATATAATAAATTATAAATTTATAAATTAATATAAATTAATATTTTTAAAAAATAAATATTAATTTTAATTTATATTAATAAATAAATTAAATTAAATATTTAAATAATATAAATAATTATATAATTTAATAAAAAATATTTAGTAAATTTAATTAAAATATTATATTTATAATTAATTAATTATTTTAAATAAATATATTATATAATATATATATTATAAAGCTTACTTAAGTTTATTTAGTTTAAAATAAGTTAATTACTTTAATAAAAAAAGGTTTACTTTAGTTTATTTAAAAGTTTATAAGCCTTATTACTAATTAAACTATTAATCCTTTATTATTTCAGGATACCTACCCTGTAGGCCTATTATTATAACTATAAAAGTATTAAGTCATAATATATTATTAATTTATAAATTTAAAAGTAAATTAAAGGGTTTTTCACTATAGTTTTATATTTTATTATTTAATTAATTCAGTAATACTAAGAACTTAGCTACATTATCTAATAGCATAAAACTTATATTTACTAAATATATTTTAAGTTTATTAAAAAACAGGTTTAAAATATATATTTACATTATTAATTTTTTTACTAAATTAAGTATATTAACAGATCCTTTACTTATAGTTACTTCTTATAGCCTATATAAAAATAAAAAACTTAAGTAGTCTTCTAATGGGAAAATATTAGTCTTTCTATTAGACAGAATTTAAGCGGGGTAATATTAATTATTTTACTTACAATCTAATAGAATTAGGGAAGCGCAGCCCTTAGTTTCGGAACCTCTTCAAGGTATTATTAAAGATAAGGTGAAATAGGGCGTTATTTCAGTTAATTTAGATGAGAGTAGTAGTTTATAAAGAAGATTTACCGATACAGTAGAGTATAGAGTTTAAAGTAGGTTTTTTCTAATTTATAGGTAGAAAAAGGGGGCCTATGTAAGCTTTAATATAGTATGATTGGCTGCTTATGTTAAATGAACTCTACCCTTACCAAAAAAAATCAACTCTACCCCTGGTAAAGTGGGGTAAGAAAATTAACTCTACTAGAGATATGAGCATTAACTACGAGGTTTTACTACGAACTGGTTGCAGCTCCGTCTGGCTATCACTCCCCCGTATTGTTGCTTCGTTGGTTTCGCTATGTTGCCATGGTCTTGATCGTGACCCGCCAGTGCCTCCAATTGTAGCCACAGAATATTTGTTCGTCGTTTGCGTTGTGTTGGCGTTTCTTTTCCTGAGGAAACGGAAAGCTGGCAATGTGGCTACGATCATGGATACGGTAGACTCGATGTGCGACCACATGCTCAGCAGCACTGGACCATTGGCGATTGTGGTAGGATCCTCCGCTGAGTCACCCGTAGCTTTCGTGACTTGAACAAGTCGCACGAGTGCGATGGCGACGATGATGGCACCAAGGGAGAAGAGGATGGCCAGCCCGAACTTGTGTGGTCGCGAGATGGTCAAGTTTCGCAAGAGGTGAAGTGGGAGAATCATGGCTGTGATGTTGGCAAAAGTTTGTTAGTCAAACTGCGTACTATGGATGATCTTGCGCGTCACATACTTAATACGTCTGCGACAATGTCGGCACTCGTCGCAAACTTGATCGACGCATCGGCCCGCCGCAGGTCATCCGGTAAGCTGCAGCCAGCTATTAGTGCATCAGTTGGTGGTTCTTGGTCTCTTGTGGAATAATGCAGGGATAATTTCCTTTGTGACCTACCTGGGCTCCAATATCGGTACAATGGCGAGCACGTCAAAAAGTTTGAGAGCATGCAGGCCAAGTAGAGGGTGAGGACGGCGGCGAAGCATCTCCACCACCAGCGCATGTAGTTGGGCAAACCGTAAAGGAGCCGTCTAATGAACCACAGAATGGAGAATTTAGCTATGACACTGGTATTAGTCTCGGTATTAGCAGTTTGGCATAGCTGTCCTCGATAGTCTAGTGAGGAGACCATACCTGCCCACAGGGTTGTCCAGAACAGCAGCATCTGGCTGAACATTAACTTCAGCGACATGACATTCCGGGCTGTCATCTCGTCCGCGGGTAGGGGCGAAGGTGTCTTGGGATTTGCCACGAGGGCTTTGCTGTACTCGGCTATAAGGAACCACTGTGGTAGGATCCTCGTGATAACTGCCGTTAAAGCTGTTAAGCTTACAAGGCCCGCGAGGACGAAATAGTCGTCTCCGTGCAGTCGTCGCTGAAGTCGCCATTGGAAGATAACTCGGAATGCAGTCATGCCAACTGCAACGCCCCATAACACCCAGATGAGGACCTGCGAACAGCGTCAGCGTCAGAGTAAGACAGCAAAACTTGTACGTGGAAAATAGTCAGAGAGATTGCGGTGGTGAGATTTGCCTCGATAGGCTTGTTCAGACCTTACACAGGCCAGAAGAGCAACCTACGTACCATCATCTCCGTGTAATTGGGAATGGACGCCATGGTTGGTGTCTAGCGTGTCCGTTGCTGGTCTAAGAACCGGAATGTCAATATTGTCGAAAACGCCAAACACCCAATAGTGGTTGTTGAGATAATTGTGGCGGACGGAGTGGGCGTGAGCAACAATTATCTCCCGAGACTTCAGCTTTCATTTTACATCCTATCAGTAATTCCTAAAAGCTATCTCTAAGACAGCCGAGGTGTTGGCCGATCCTCTTGGCAAGGGTTGATCCCAGCAGCAAGACGATTTTCTGTCTCTGCAAACGGGGCAATTTTTCCGGTGGTTAGGTTAAATACTCGCAGATGAATGCACCGCCCAACAGCACTGGCAGCCTGGAACGACAACCCAGCTGGGGTACTTGCAGTAGTTCTCACCACCCTAACGAGCGCTGAGAGGTGAAGGCAGAACTTCTGAGTGGTGGCGTTGAACTTGCAGGCCATCAATTGCTCCCGCATGGAGCCTTACCCGAAGGATTTAGCTTTAGCCAGTTGTCTGCTGGATATTCTGCAGGTCCCATGCTCAGCTCCACCATCCCGGACGCCACAAAGGGCCGCTGTATCGCGCTTCGCTCCGATAGATGGGCAACTACGCCGCATGGAGTCTAGACAAGGGGGCTCGAAATTTCTCATATGAAGTTCATCAAGGTCATTCATGGGCCCAGGACGATGTGTTCCGATCATCCCGTCGAAGCCGTCGCATCGTTGCTGCCACGCCAGCTCGAGTTGACATGAAAGAAAGGTGTTGACACCAGTGCAGCCTAACCCTTTCACCATCCTTTCCCTTTTCTCTCTTTCCCTTCGGAGTAACCCGCCATCAGTCTTCTGCGCCCCAGATTCAGAGGGATTGCAGCTGTAATACAATGGGTCGCGTATTTCTCCTCGCCGCATGGCTGCTCGCATGCGCCGTTCTTCATCACGGTGCATGTGCAGCAGCTACTGGTCCTGTTTCTGCAATTGCTGGTTCTCAAAAAATTGCGTGCAAGCTCTTGAGCCTCACACACCCAGACCATACCTTTTTTGAGGGCTCCGACAACTACAAGTATGAAACACAGACGCAGTACTGGTCGTCGACAGCCTACAACACACCAGCATGTGTCTTTGTGCCTCAAAATGCCCAGCAGCTCTCTTTCGCGGTGACCACGCTGACGCTGACTTCGACTAAATTCGCGGTTCGCAGCGGTGGTCATATGCCTGTCCAAGGCTATAACAGCATCGGCAGCTCGGGCGTGTTGCTATCCAATTCCAACCTAAGCACTCTCGCTTTGTCACACGATCATGCTACCGTCTCTGTTGGGCCAGCCTACCGGTGGAGGGACGTTTATTCGTATCTGCAGCCCTACAACCTGACGGCTGTTGGAGGTCGTGTCGGCCATGTTGGAGTTGCTGGTTTGCTGCTGGGAGGCGGCATTTCATTTCACTCGAGCCAATACGGCTTCGCTGCTGATAATGTCGTGGCATACGAGGCCGTCCTCTCCAGCGGTCTCATTGTGGTGGCCAAAGCAGATAATGCCTATTCGGACCTGTATTGGGCTTTGAAAGGTGGCGGCAATTCATTCGCTATTGTCACGCGTTTTGATCTCAGGACCGTTCCGTCTCCCGGCGTCTGGATCGGAATCGCGCAGTATAACGAGACCGACAAGGACAAGTACCTCGATGCCGTCTACAACTTTGGCAAATACGGATCTGCCGACAGCAAGGCCGCCATCATCCCTACAATCGTTGGTTACCCCAGCGTTGGAATGATTGCTTACGCGGCATCAAGATTCTACGACTCCTTGACCAATTCTCCTACCGTGTTTGAGAACTTTACGTCGCTCAAGACTGTGGCTGATCAGTACGCGTTTGGGGCCCTTGCTACGTATATCAGTGCCGTTGACGCACTGCAGCCCAATGGACTTCGCCAGGAGTAAGTTTTGACTCTCGCTTCAGTCAACCGCGTGTCATGGACGCAAGCGCTAACTTGATACTTTTACAGCTTCCGTGTTGCGTCTTTCATGGTCAATCGTGAAGGTCTTTCCACTGTGCACGACACATTTTTCGGAGATGCCAACTCGCAACTGGCAGACATTGCTGGATTGACTGCTTCCATTACCTTTCAGCCCGTCACCAAAGGGTTCATTGAGAATGGCCGCAGTCGTGGCGGCAGCAACCCCCAAGGCGTGGACGCTAACAATGCCCCCTACTTCTGGATCGTGCAGAACCTGTCCTGGCAGAACGCTGGTGACGACGACACGGTGCGGGCTTTCGCCAAAGCTACCATTGCCAAGATTGAGGGAACCATCACTTCTCATGGCGTTGCTGGCGGCTACTTATACATGAACGACGCAGGAGATGGCCAACCCGTGTTCCAGAGCTATCCAAGTGCCAACTTGAGGCGCCTCAAGGACATTCGGACCAAATATGATCCTTTCAGGATCTACACTAACCTCCTGGTTGGCGGTTGGAAGGTCTTGGATGCCTAGAAACGTTGATCTGGAAGCGGTTGACGTTCGATGCATTGGTTGCAAATTGCATGTGCCTGGCGTCTGTCTAGTGGTTTGTTTAGATGTCGATAATTGTGAGCATTAACCACGCTATTCTGATCAAGTGTTAGGACGAAAAAGGGGGCTTCACAGATTATACACTGACATGAACAGTAAAGTATATATTAATATAGCAAACCATGGGAAAGCGGGTTGCAAAGTTCAGGATCCCAGGGAGAGGTTCCCGGATTTCAAATCTTAGCACCCGATAATTGGGAACCAAGATCCAGATTCGGGGCCTCTATATGCCTTCAGAACAGCATGTATATACAGTACTTATCTATTCTGCAGTATTGCAGTCTGACCATCCTAAAGCAACCCATCTAGTGTTTTATCCAATTGCGAGAAGCTACTGTGTTTTTTGCTCTCTAGGCTCTCCGTGGTTTTTACTCTGAACTGAGACGGATCCTATAATCTTTAGAGATTGCAGAGCCCAGCTCGTCTTCTCAACTAGTGCCAAAATATGGATGGCCATGTGTAACATCAGTAAGCCGCGAAACATTTAGAACCATGATTATGTATTTCAATCGTGTGATCGACATTGGCCCTTGAGATGCAGCTATGCACACCGGGGTGTAAATCAGCGGAAAAGGACGAAGTATGTTGATCATGATGGGGCACCTTGCGCCAGCCACAATTGAACTGATTGGTTCTAGTTTCAACTTAGATCCTCATGTATTCTATTTTCATCTCGGATTTGACACGAGGCGTTCAGCAATGGTGGACATAATTGATCCTCATCGTGAGAGTTCGATTCCTGTTATCTGGTGTATGCCTGGTCACGCCCCAGATAATTTCATCAGCGTACCTTTACCTTGCGATTTAAAGCCGATGAGTTCCCGGAAGCCAGAAAGCGGGCTGCCAATGTCAAAGACGTATATCCGACAGGCTTACCGGCGAATAACAGATCTCCATAGGCCATACTAAGACTAGGATCCACCACAGAGAGCCTTTCACAGGGTCAGCTTGGTAACTGTTCAGAGCGATATTGAGACCAGTAGGTTTCTGGCGCTACCTTGGGACTCGATTTTGTGACTCTGCTAACTGAGTGAAGTCATTGTACTGGCATACCCAACGTGGAAACGTATCTCGCCATCACAATCAAATGTGTCACAGTCCCCACACAATGAAGTTCTTGACTCATACGGCTTTTCGCTAGCCTCGCCCACGATGTCGCTAAAGTTAGGACTGTCGCAACAGAATCAGGTTGGCCACGGAAGAGAGTTCGAAAGACAGGGTGTTTGGTCTGAAGGGCAGTGGGAACGGAGCCCTTGTTTCAAGTCTGATTAGTTGCAGGGCTTACAGCTCCTGACCAATTGCCAGCATTGTCACTCAGCGGCTCAGCATGCGACCGCAGTGGATCAAAGTTGCATGAGTGCTGTCTACCCATGTCATGATTTCGACAAAGGAACCTCACTAACACATTGAGGAACTTTTGGTAAGGCGAGTGCTTGCCCAAATCTTCCGCTGAACTGTGTTTGTTCCTTCGGCGAAAAGTTTCACGTAAGGAGGGACATTTCATATTCTGAAGCTGGCTGGACCATCGGACCTGTCAGCATGGCACACCTGCTTGCCCCATTCGCTTTGTTGACTTGAGTCGCAGACATGCAAAACAAGACTGTGGGATGCCCACATAATCTTCCTAAAACTGCGACGGAAGGTTCCCCGTCAGTAGCTATGCTCCTTGGGGATTAGTGTAGAGGCAGCGAAAGGACTTCCTTTGGCCATAGTCGCCTAGGCTTTGGCTATCTTTTTAATCTATAGGTTGAAAATGCTTTATTTAGTTAATGCTTGCCTTTTCAATCTATAAATTGGAAAAGCCCATGTTACAGAATATGAACTAGGTTCATTTGGCTTCTTCATCCCTTGGGTGTAGAAACAATCGAGGCCCAGTCCAGGGTGGGATTCAAAGGCTGAGATTGACACAATTGCCTCTTCGTATGTAATTTCGAGTTGTAGATTGGAAATTAAAAAGCGGTGAACTGGTTGGCTATCCATGTGTCGAATTAATTGCTTGGTCGCGATGCTTCATCACCAACATGCAGATTTTAGATTGTTGCTGCTTCACAGGCATTCTACAGGGTGACCTTTACGTGCAGTGTGGGGCTACAGTGGTACTTTTGTTGCAAAATCATGACGACCAACACACACCAAGGTAGCTCAATATTTCAAGGATACACCCCGCACTGCCTTAGTCGCCAAAATTATTACCTATAACCGAGCAGGTGCACTGTAATTATGACCTGTAGTCTACCTCTAGGGTAGATTTTGAAGCAATAAAACCAAGTTAGGTGATGCTGTATTGCATCTAGGGAAAATACGTTAAGCAATCCAGCTATGGATGCGCATATATAAAATATTAAGCTTAAATTTAATGGTTCTTGAACTAAATTAATGAAGATTTTGTACACGCTACACTAGCCTGCGCTAAATGCATGCCGTTTTGCTTTAGGCATATGTGTTCATGTTCCTTCAATCATTTTTACTATTTCCTTAATTATGATCTGTAGATTCCACATATTCCAACACGCTAGAATAGAAATGCACTGTCTGGCATACGTGAACCCACCATATCATTAAGATTATTTGATGTCTGGTAATAACATAGCAAAAGGAGACTGCCGCGGTACCACGCTGCCACGCTGCCACACCCCAAAACCATAAACGGCTGCAGAACATGTTGACTCAACGAAGCGATCGTGAAGAAGAAAATTGGCATGAACAACAGCAATAAATGCTATTTGTTAATTAATCAACGATAATATTAAGGTGGCAGGCCGCCGTATCAAATTGCGTGCTGCGAAGCTTCAGGTGAGCATTGCCAGATACGAAGGCACAAATCCGTTGAGGGAAGGTAAAGAGGCACCCAAGATCAGCACCATCACCTCGGTGCCGGACCCGCAACCATTGAATCATGTGGATGTTGCTCGTTTGCCATCACGGATATCATTTTCTTAACGAAAGTTGAGCGCACTGCGATCCCACAAGAGATGGCCATCTCTGCGCCGGCTTGGAAAGAGAGAAGCGTCCCTAGCAATAATAGCTCCATAATTTTACTTGGGAAGAATCCAGCAAGTCCGCTCATCTCCGGTTGTCAGCTCTTGGAATCTCTTTTACCTTGCGCTGAGGAAAGCCGTGGCCAGTGAGTCAGACGGTCTAGGGCAGAGCTGACAGTATTCACTGCTGGAAATGAGAATTGGGAAGCTGATCATGATTGGCATCACGTGGAATTTATAGACAGTAGCCTGAAGAGAAGTAATCAATTGATACTAGACATTATTTCCACCCCCTTAGAAGCCCGACTTCGAACGTAAATCTCTCGTAGCTTCATTCTGTTCCAGTAGCTACTGCCGTAGCTGTCTCGTCCTTTCACCATTGATGGGCTAAGTGGAAGTTTGGCCTTTTTTTTCTTAATAGTTAAAACTGAGGGCCCAATCAATGATCCTAGAATAAGAGATTTTAAGGTATTTTGGAGTGATTAAGAGCTATAGGGCTTGACAATCTAACAAGCTGTTAACTTTGCACCTGGTTAATGAACTTGAAGAGACGTTGTGACTTAGGTATTAGCGGCGTCTCAATAAGAATAAGATGTTTTTGCGGTGTTTGTAAATACTGTAAGGAGTGTAAGAAGATGGATGCATTTAGAGTACCGAGGGCTTGGTGAATAAGTGCTCAAGGGGGGCGAAACTGTCCTTATCTCCGGAACCATTTAGGATTAGACTACGCACTGGTGCTTTTAGTATTTTTCCACCAGCTTTTTGAATATCTACCTATTTGCGACATATCTGTACCGGGATCTTAGGGCATCGATATCTCGGAGTAAACTTTATATAAGATCGTGTAGGGCACAGATCCTGTGCAGAATATATGAATATATGCCAACATAAGGGTAATAACGATTGTAGAGCTTACGGATCTCTAGAAACAGAGTTTTTAGACCTAAGGATGGCTGCTATTTATCTGATGGTATTATAGAAAAGATAATGCTCCGGTATGGCGCTTACTATTATTGTATTATGCATTTAACCTTCCGCTTGCCCGATGAGACTATTGTGAAGTAGTAAATTAGGTACTTAAAGCCTGAGAAATATAATGTAGCAGCAAGCGAAGATTATACTAAACCGAGTACATTTGACTTCCAGATATATAATCATTTTAGTATTGCATTAACTTACAGACTAAACGCTTCATTATCTTTAATCACAATATACTGTGATATAATAGGATAGGTTGGTCATAATAGCCATGTGTCTGTTTTATCTATTCATACTCTTATACACCATCCAAAACATCTCTACAGGTTTATAGAAGGCGATGGTATATTTCTGGCATTTGCCTTCGGCTCGTCCTAGAAAACACCAGAAAATAGGCAAGAAATTCGACGCCCAATGGCAGCGAGACTACTGTACCGGGCTGCCTAAACAGTTCCACCCTTGAAACAAAAGGGGCATCTCCCGGGATTCATGCTAAAACTTTCTCACAGAAGCCTTCAGGTACCAATATATCCAATAGCTTATTCCCCTTCCACTGATCCAACGGGTTGTCCTTCTACTAATCCAATAGGTTTTCCCTTTATTATCTAATGGCCTATTCCCCTGCCTTAATCTAATGGCATTTCCTTCCACTGGCCCACGGGGTTTCCCTTTACATCTTATACAGCTTGCCTTTCTTATTTAATGGGTATTTCTTCCGTTTATTTAATGGGGCTGCTAGTCTTTTTAATCTATGGGATGGAAATGCTTTATCCAGTTAATGCTTGCCTTTCCAATCTATATTGAAAATGCCTATGCTATCTATAAACCCAACTCTGTGGGGCTTGGGTTAATGCTCTAGCCAATAAAACCCGGTATATCCTTCAACGCAATCTTACCCCTATAATTTTAGCGCCAGATTTTTTTACTAGGTGTTTTCAACGCACTCTTGAAGAGTGTGCGTTTCCGCTGGGATAGCCTCTTCGCGTCCTACGCTATGTGCCCGCCAGCAAAAGCTCAAATAGCGATGCCAGATGGATTGATACTTGCTCATCGACGACTCCTTCTGCTTTCGTCCGAACGGCACTCCGTTTGGGCTGGTTGCCGATATGCTGTCGAGCCACTGCAACGTCTCCACCAGCATGCTGTCCAGCCGCATGCAGCAGCAATCTATAAGAAGCTACACCTGGGGGCAGCCCCGCAGCTCTTCTACGCCTAGGGGTAGCTTTTCTACACCTGGGGGCAGCTTTCTACACCTGGGGGCAGCTTTTCTACACCTAGGGGCAGCTTTTTTACACCTAGGGGCAGCTATTATTACCTACTGCAGGTAGTAAAACCCTTAGCAGACACTATTTTTAGAGCAATCCTATTTGTACCGTAGTATATTTCTATTTAAACTGTAGTGGCCCGTGCCTATACTAAAGTTAATATATATACACTACCGGTCTTATTAATCTACATTTAATTATAATATAACGCCTTAGTGTATAATATACTTTATAATACTATATATAATAATATTATAATATTAGCCTTACCTTTTAACCTTATTTTTTAATATTATAAAATTTTATATTATTAATAAATTTCTTCTTAAGTAATAATCCTTTTAATTTACTGTTATTATTAAAGCTATTATATAGTATTAGTTTTAATAAAATTTATACCTTTTTCTTATTAAATATACTAAAGGTAGTAAAAATAGTAAAAGCCCTAGCTATTAAAGTTAACTTTAATAATAATAAATTTAATAACTTAAAGTAATTATAATATTATAAATTTAATAAAAATATAATATTTTTTTAATAAAAAAATAAAATTAAGGAATTACTACTACCCCTTTATATTAAAAAAATATTATAATTACTTAAGTATATAATAATAATATTACTGTAAATTAAAGAAATTATAAAGCTATTACTATAAGCTAAAAAGGCTAAAAAAGTTAAAAAAGCTATAGAATATTAATTCTTAGTTTTACTACTTTTTACATTATATAATTTATTTAAGGAATTTTTAAGCTTTTTATAAACGTTTTATTATAATAATAGGGCAGCTATTTAAACTATAAGAAATTTTAACTTATAGATTATTAATAATAAAAGAGTTTTAACTTATTATACTTTTATTTATAACTGTATAAGTAGTTAAATTTTTATAAATATTAAAATTTAATAATTATTAATTTAATAAATAAAATATTTTTATAAAATTATAATATTAATAATTAAATATATTAATTGAAAATAATTTTATTATATTATTTATATTAAATATAATTACCTATTATTTTTTAATTTATTAATATATATAATATATCGCCAGTATACTTTAGCCTAATAATAATAAAAAAAAGATTTAATTAAATATTAGGCCTTTTTTATATATAAAATACTAAAAATTTTAAAAAACTTTAATATTACTACTGCTAAACCTACGTTTTTTTATTAATTAAATATTTATAATAATAAATAAAAGATCTAATTTAAAGGATTTAATAGATTATTAATTACTTAAGCGTAAATTAAATAGCTTTAAAATAATAACCTTTATTATTATATTAAATTTAATAATAATAATAAAGTCTAAGGCATTTTATAAACTTACCTTTAATTAAAAAAGATATAATATTAATTTTTAAAAGTCTTAAGCTTTAATAATATTTATAAAATTAATTATTTTTATATATATCTTTTTAAAATTATAAATATTATAAACTAAAAGTTAATAATTAACTTTATATTTAGCTTTATTAATATAAAAAAAAAAATAACTTTTTATAACTTTACTAATAGTTTAAAGATTTTTATTAAAATTTTTATATATTAACATTAACTATAATAATTATAAATAAAAAAATAGCCTTTAAAAATACTTTTATATTAATTTTCTTTAATATACAGCAGTAATTATATATATTTTATATTAACATTAATATTAAAGTAAAAATTTAATTAAAATAAAAAAGTAAAAATAATATTAATAATAGTAAAGTTAATAATAGTAAAGCTAAAGTTACTAACGGTAATAATAACCTTTTTAACGCTTAAGCCGCTGCTACTTAAGATAATAATAACTTTACTATATATACTATTAAATAAAAAATTACTAAATATAATTATACTGCTTTATTATCTACTACTAAACCTTAGATTTATAATAAAATATTCTATATTTAACAGTAGGTTATTTACGCTAAAATTAAAGTTAATTTTTAATTAATATAAAATAAAATAAAAGCTATATATAATTTAATATAAAATTATATTCTATATTATATTTTAAAAAAATATATATTATATTATAAATAGTAAATATATTACTTTATTAAAAGTTATTATAACTTTAATTAATAAATTAATAATTTTATAAAAATAATATATAAAAATATAAAGTTTTTTTTTATTATAAATATAAATAACCTCTTTTACCTTTATAATATAATCTCTTTTATATTATAAAAGAAAAAAAAAAACTATAATAAAAATACTATAAAAATATAAATATAATAATAATAATATTTTATTTAATAATAAAGTTAATTAAGTAATATTTTTATAATAGTTAACTATATTATTATTAATCTCCTTATATAATAATATTATTTAACTATAGCTGTAATACTTTTAAACTATAGTTTAATATTTAAGCTATTATTTTTTTATATTAATAACTTTATATAATAATATATATTTTTTTACAGTTATATAATCTTTAAAAAGTTTAACGTTAATAAAGCCTTTAATAAAAATAATATTTACCTATAATAATAATTAATTAAATCTTTAATATATTTTCTATTATTTTTTTATAAAAAAACTATTAATTATATAATATTAAAATATTAATAAACCTTTTTTTTAAATTTATAATTTTAATATTATTTAAAATCTTTATAATTAACTTTACTTTTTAAATAATAAAAAAATACCTATATTATTAATATTAAAAGTTAATAATAATTAAAATAAATATTAACAGCTATAGTTAATATTATTAATATAGCAGTAATAACTAAAGTAAAAGCTATAAGTATTATAATATATAAAGTTAAATATATACTATAGTCTTTTTTAATTTAAAGCTTAGGGCTTATAAAGGCTATCCTAAAGCTATAGTTATAACTATACTTAAATAACTTTATTACAGTTAATAAAATAATTAAAAAAGTTAAAGATAATCTTTTTTATAGTAAAGCTAGCTGTAATAGTTACTGCTGTATTTAAAATTAAGCTTAAGACTAAGCTTAAAACTAAATTAAAGGCTAAAGAAGTTATTAAAGTTATCCCAGTTACTTAACCTAATACTAATAAATTAGATAAATTAACTGGCTTATAAAAAATATTAATATTAAATTAAAAGGGCTAGAAATATATTTTTTAAAGTAATTAATATTAATTAATAATCTATAGTATTATAATATAAGATTTTATATTAAGATATTATTTCTTAATATACTATACTATATTTTAGTAAGTGGATGTAATAATTATAATCTAGGGGTAAACGTAGCTAGTGATGTGGAGTACTACGGTTTAAATAGGAATATGCTACGGTGTAAATAGGATTGCTCTATTTTTAACCCTAACTGTATCCCTTGGTTTGGAAAACGCCTTACGATATAAAAAACCTTCTATCCACCCTTTTCCAAGTGGTTGATTATCGCCGCTGGCTTTGAGGACTCCCTCTGCGAATTCTCTGATATGTTGATATGTAGGTGGGACGTTTAGGGCTTGTTGGATGGAAATCCAATTAGCAAGGTGTTTTTCTTGCTTATTGGAAAACCGTTGCCTCCATTCGTTTGCTTCTTTTACATTCTGGCCGCCGCCGATACTGTGTAATCACTGTATTTTATAATATCTTTTTATTTATTTTATAAAGAAGTATTATTAAAAACACGTTCCATTTCTTCCTTATCTTCAAAATTAACAACAATCTTTTCCTTTATGTTAAATAAAGGCTTCTTTCCACTTAATAACTGTTCCCAAACTAAGTGCATTGGTAAGCCCAGCGACTCTTCAGCTGGCCCTGCGTCATTCTCATCGCTGTGTTCAGTATTACTGTCCCGTAGTATTTGCGCAATGGCGTGATGTCCTCCTTTAATGGCATAGGAGAGAGGTGTTAAACCCGACCCGTCCTGTTCATTCACGTCGGCTCCAAACTTAATAAGTGTTTGGACAACTTCATCGAGTCCCAATTCAGCGGCATAGAATAAAGGCGCTCGTTTACTGCCGTGCCATGCGTGCACACCAGCGCCGTTTTCAATTAATAAACAGGCAATGCCTTGATGTCCATATTTCATGACCTCTAACAGCAGAGTATTTCCTGTATAGTGGTAATAATTGGCTTTCGCTCCGCCCTTGAGAAGTGTTTTCACAACTTCTTGATGGCCACTCCGAGCAGCCCAAAAAACAGCCGTGTGTCCACCAGCCTTGCTATTGACATCGGCACCATGCTGAAGGAGCAGCTTTATGACCGTGTCATGGCCTTTCTGGGCGGCAATCACGAGGGGAAAATTCTCGTTGTATGCCAAATCGGTCTTCGCACCATGTTCAAGTAGTTGTTGTGCAATCATTGCGTGGCCTTCACGACATGCCCACCAAAGTGGGGTTGTGAAGTCATCCAAATACCCATCCGAAATTGAAAGCAAGTAGGATTCATCATTAATATCGTCCACATGCGCTCCGTTTTTGAGCAGCATATCTATCATTGATGCGTGACCACCCTCCGCGGCGTAAGATAACGGCGTTCGCCCACTGGCGGTATATACATCAATGGGATAAACTTCTGTGAGAAGGATCTGGGCAGCTTCATCTAAGCCAAGCCACGCCGCAAGATGTAGCCCCGTAAATTCAAGGTCTATGTACTCCAAGACCAATCGCGTTCTAAAGTTCCATGATGCTTGGACCGCAAGTTGATTTTCAAGGAACGCAACAACTTCCTCAGTTGGTATGCATTCTTCCTGGATATGGCACTCCCAGAAATTTGACGCATATTCGTAGCCAGGAGGAATTGATGTATGTTCTTGAAAGATATAGACTTTTGTGAAGGAGTTAAGCAATTTTTGAGGGGCGTCGTTATACAGATAGGTTAGACATGTCCTCGCAATATCAACTCTTTCAGTCTCGAACCATCGGTTGCGTGTTCGATCCAAATACTCATGTGTGGTGTAGTGAGCCAGTCGAATGATATTGGATGGACGCTCGATGGTAACTAAACCGGCGCACACTGAAACCATGTCGTCGATTTCTGGTAGATTGTCCTTGTCCAATGTAGTTTCGCCAAGCACAACCCCAAGCAAGTGTTGTAGTTCTAGTACATCTAGCGGCCGCTTGGCGCAGATGATCCAAACTAGAATTTTCTCTGCAAGCTCCCACCGATCCTTGGATTGATTCACAACACGACTCATCTGTTCTTCATAAGCAATTCCGTACACTTCTTCCTCTGGTCCGTGTGGCAAGTTCTCCACGGCAGCTCTAAGAGCATTTACAGATACCTTTCCCACCAGGGATTCAACGTATAGTTGGGCGAGAAGAAACCTTTTTAGCGTCAGCACTGTTTCACCAGAAGAGATTATAAATTCTTTCTTACATTCCTTGGAAAGACCCTAAGATAGCTTCTCTGACTTGTTTCTTTAATTCTGGCTTCTTCCGTATGAACTTTGGTAATCGATCCATCTGTCCTTCCAGGTACGTTTCTATGTCAGAGCTTGTTGCTAATATCTCCAACATTGTGCCATTTTCGAACTGACACATAATATCGGGTAGGGGCCTAGAAGTGATTAGAATATTGAGATTGCTGTGGGTTTGTAGACTATGGAGCTCTTGTAAGAACGCATCGCGAGTACCGTCGGGGGAATAAAGCTCATCGAAAGCATCAACGACAAGCACGACCTTTGAAAAATCCATCAAAATAACCTTCAAGGTCTCGGATATTTCTGTTACGGAGGGTCTCGTTTTTCGAGCTCGGTGTAGTTCTTGGAGAGCTCTAACATGTTCCATGGGTCTGCCGCCACATTGAGCTAACTGTCGAACGATCCCGGCAAGTAAGTCTTCGACCTTTTGGTCCTCCTTCCTTTTAAAATTTCCAAGGATGAATGCAATTCCTACCGATAGATCTGCTCGGAATCGACGTTGGAGATCATCAATCACTGTGGCCGCAATGATAGATTTTCCAGCTCCGGGTATCCCATGGCAGAGGAGTATCTGCTTGTCGGACTCTAAAAAGGTATGGTATTCCCTCCTTTGTAGAATCCATTGGGAAGTACCTTGTTGTCGTCTCCGTATCAGATCATAATACTGGGGATTATAATCTATCGGAGCGATCCATTCAAGAAGTTTCTGATCTTCCTTCTCATGGAGAATCGACCTCATCGAGGCCACGTCCGTTTTAACCTCCATAACACTCTTGTGCACTTAAAGTTTATTAGAAATTGCCATTACTATGTAATGTGCTAGGGATACTAACCGCGACCTACGAGGGCTGTCAGAGGGCTCTCCGCAGCAACAGCGCCAGGGTCTAAGACCTCCAATAGCTCTTTCGAACAAGCTGCGGCAACGGCTGCAGCATACTCTTGCCACTCGTCATTTTTGTGAGAGTCGGCATAATCACAGATACCCCGAATTACAATGCAGGGGAAATTATCCATGAGACCTGCTGCCTCCATTTCGATCGCCAAAACCTTTCCGCCCAAGCTTTCGTTTAGGCAGTCCCGAGTCTCTGCATCTTTGATGACTCGATCACCTGAAGCAATAATACCGTAATGAACTTCAGGTTCTCGATATATATTTCGGCTTCCTTCTGTTGCTAGCGGGTCGGTGAGCTTTTGTGACCAGCAATACTTATCAACCAATCTCGGCCATTTGGTTCGGAGTTCCTCCAAACGTTGCGGAATAGTAGACCCCCCCAATTGATGCTCTGTCTCTAATGTAGAGACTGCTGTCAATAATGCTTTTGGTGATTTGTTGAGCGCTCCCGTTCTTTTAAGTATGCCTCCCGATTCTATTTTACCAAGGTCCCACTGGACGACACCTGGGTATTCTCCAGAAGGGGTACCAATTACAACATCCCCAAGTCTGACTCCATTGGATGGCACACCACCAGCAATACCGGCCATAAGGCCAATCTTGATGGAAGGAAACGTTATTAGCATGCGACTAGCCGTAATACCTGCCTCAATAGTTCCAACTTGGCCTTTCGGTAAGCAGGTTATTACAACATTGTGGCTTCCAATGGAGCCAAGATTGTAAGAATTAGGATCATCTGAAGGCTTCTCAATCTTAGGGTGCCTTCGATCAAGCATAGCAATAGCTGCTACCTGCTCTTTGGGTAGGGCGCAAACCCAGCCGACAGTGTAGTCGTGTCGAGTTAATTGACTTGGTGGGCCATTGTTGTCGTCCATGATCGATGATCGGAGATGTACCGCGTCGTGTTGTCAGAGTGAAACTTGGAGTAAGTAGTCAGATTGATAGCCGATCACTGTAACTGATTTCATGGGTTCATCCAAGGATCTTATAAGATCATGCTAGCGACAATTCTTTCGTTTGATTGGACAATTTCTAATGCCATTTACGCGCTGAAGTCCTGTGGTGCAGTGTAAATTACTGACGTGGATCACATTTATTGGCGTGCAAGTTACCGCTTCCATAATGACTAGAGAAATTTGGGCGGCAAATGAAACAGACGAAGGTCTTGGGCTATGTGAATTAGTTCCTTCGAGTGGGGCATCACATTGAAAGGTGCAATTTGACTGGTGGTTCCTAATGCAGCCTTCTATTTACTCTATGCACGAAGAGATAGCTTTGTTCAGCTTCGACTGTGAAAGTACATATACAAAATAACAGCTCTGCATTGTAGAACGTTCCACTTTTAATGCGAACTTACTATCGACGACCTTTGCCTGTGGGAAAATATACCAAGACTACGGAGAAAGAGGCTTTGTTTTCATTTGGACGAACTGATAATTGTCCCCAATATCGACAAGGAAAAAATTCTTCTGCTAAAATGAATGTCAAAGGGCAGCACTGAATGTAAGGGAAGTCCTTTCAGTCGTACAAAGTGTAAATCGTCGTTCAACGTAATTAACATAGTTGTTTAGTTCACCCATGTATTTGACCCATTTCCAGTACACCCAAAATATTTTGTGTCATATTATTTTATGTAATGGGAGTCCAGTGGTCAAAAATTAAGGTCCAGAGTTATCTTTTTACCATAAGTTTAGATAGTAATAAATTTTACACTGTTAACCTTAGTTTAAGAGTGGTGTCCTCCGTAAAAACAAAGACTGTATTATAGCAGTCTTTATTTTAGATGTTCCAAGCCTCTAAATACGTCGTGTTATTATATGCAGGCAAATCAACACCACGGTATTGACGTGTACCGCCCTTTCCAAACTGTCCGGCTGTAATATTAAGCAACGTCGCCGATACGAGATTACCCGTCAGTCCAGGGAACGTGCTGTTAAACCTGTCCACAATTTGCTCCGGGGTGTAGAAATCAAGACCCTTAGCTTCAATATTCTTCTGCCAAAACTTCAGATAGGACTGGCTGTAGGCAAGATTCTGCTGCGCCGTAGAACCTCGGACGGAAAGCGCATGTCCAGCGACAATATTTTCGGGCTTCATGGACTCAATCAGTTCTAACCCTGCGATCTAGGATGAAGTCAGGGCAGTCGTTTGCAAAACTGCAAGCCAGATGTGCAGCTCGTGGCTGTAGACGGTGTCGCCCGCAATCAAGGTTCGGGTGGAAGGGATCCAGAAGAGCGTCACATCAACTGTGTCGCCGCTGATTAGACCCACGAGCTCAATGGGTGTGCCTTCGTCGCCGGGCAACGTAGAGAAGGTGTGGTCATAGGGGGTTGGAATGGAGGTATTGGACACAATTTTGTCGTCACCAAGCGTCTTTTGCCATCTTGTGACCTATTGAAGTTAGAATAAAAAAGAAGAAGAAAATTGTGTCTTCATACCTATGCAGGGGCCTCGCTCTTAATATGTTCAATAGCCCTACTGTTGGCGTAATACTTTGCAGTAGGGAAATAGTCGAGGAATGCACCTCCACTTAGGTAGTGATCGGGGTGAAAGTGCGTCGTAAAAACGGCGACGAGAGGCTTGTCCGTGGTGTTTCGCACCCACGCCGCCAGTTCCTTTGCTTCAGGGACGGCAAGTGGTACATCGATCAGCACTGCAGCCTCGGATCCAATAATGAGGGATGATACCATGTTGAAACTGAGGCCAGCGTTGACATGCGTCTCGACACGAAATTTATCCTGCCTCTGTAGGTAGGTTGCGCTGGCTATGCCGCTGGCAAGCGTAGCCACAAACAGAGTGACAAGGGAAAGAAAACCAACCATTTTAACGCAGACAAAAGTAGTGAACTGTACATAGATACGAAAAATCATAATGGCATTATGAAGTTGTAAGAATGGATTCAGTTATATATTATTTGGCAATAGCACGGAGCTAATATCTGGGCTTCTGTGGCTACTAGATGTTGGTTAGTATTCTGCAATCGCAAGTTGTCATAACCTCTAATTTCTAATTTCTAAAATGCCTTATTAACTACTTTGATTTCTAAATATTACAAATCTCAATCACGAACCGCAATTTTAAGTTGGGAGTAGCAGTTATAGTTATAAGCACAAGGGCAAGCCTTTTTTTGGTCAGATCAGTGTACGAAGTGGCCTTACCCAGCGCTTATAATTTGGGTGGACAAGCCAATAGAGTGTAAGGTAAGTAATATTATTACTGCTCCCAGACACTGAGGTTCAATTATAAACTATCTACTCCGTAAACTAATATAAATAGTTAAACTTTTGATAGGACTTAAGTTATTTAATGCTGCTAGAAAGCTTTTTTATCTTTAATATAATCGGCAATTTTATGTTAACTTATACTACAACTTAAAGAGAGTTGTACTATAACTTAATAATACTACAGTAATATAGCTATATACATATATATAGCTAGCGGGTTAGTAAGTAGGAGTGCAGTAGAGGCTGAAGTTTTACTGGTAGTGGCCAATGCTGCAGCAGCAACTACAGTCCCAGCACCAACAGTTTCACTTGCAGTACTTCCAGTTCCAGCAGTTCTAGTTCCAGCAATTCTATTTGTAGAAGCTTCGGTGCTATTAATAGATGCCGCACTAGATGGTACTGGAGCAGATGATGAAGCAGATGACGAGGAAGGCGATGGCTTAGGACACACGTTGTTATACACAAACTGCTCAGGCGGGCCACTGCAAGTAGTCGCAGCTCCAGCGTCGTAGGAACCACTCGGATACATCCAACAAGTACCCAAAGAATAGGGTGAATTGTCTGGGTTATGTGGATTAAAGACGATGTAACTGCAGGAATCGGCCTTTGCACATTGACTTAAACAGTCCGATGCACCCTCACTAGCAGTACAAGTGCTAAAGCAGTTATCAGGTGGTGTCGGATACCCGCAAACCGACGCGACAGCGGTGGGTGTCGCAGTTGCTGCGCAGTTGCCTGAAGTGGGTGTGCCGCTGCCGGGGCACACAGGCTGGCCGTAGACAGACAAATAGGGGTTGGCGCAGTCAGAGCTGCCGGCGCTCACATCGAAGCTTTCACCTGGGTACAGCCAGCAGGTGCCTGTGCCCGTGAGGGGGTTGCCGGCAGCGAAGATGACAAAGTTGCAGGGGGGGTGGGCATTGCAATAGTCCCAGCAGGAGGCTCTGCTGTCGCTGGCGACGGCGAAATCGAGACCCGGTGTTGGATAGCTGCAGAGACTGGCGACGAGGGAAGCTTTGCAGCTCGGTGCTGGGGAGCTGGGAGTTGGGGTTGTTTGAGCGAGGACTGGTAGAAAGCGGATTAGGGCGACTGGCACCCAGAAAGGAATGATCTTCATAGTAGCGAGCGTGGTTTGTAGCGAGCGTGGTTTGTAGCGAGCGTGGTTTGTAGCGAGCGTGGTTTGTAGCGAGCGTGGTTTGTAGCGAGCGTGGTTTGTAGCGAGCGTGGTTTGTAGCGAGCGTGGTTTGTAGCGAGCGTGGTTTGTAGCGAGCGTGGTTTGTAGCGAGCGTGGTTTGTAGCGAGCGTGGTTTGTAGCGAGCGTGGTTTGTAGCGAGCGTGTTTTGTGCGAGCGGCGTTAGTCGCGGGGAGCTGAGCTGAGGAAATTAATTGCTACAAAAGAGATCAAGAAAACCACGTGATATAACACAGATCAACCAACGCCCGTACTAGGTAGTACTGGAAACCAACAATATTTAGTTTGAAGCAATTTAACAGCCTCTTTGGTATAGCTGGTGCAACTTCACTACAATATCTATATACTCTCAGACTCTACCCACCCCCAGCCATAGTGCACATACGGGAGAAAGAACCTTGGAAGCTTTTCTTTTGATATAGGTATGCTGCCCCAACTATAAAGCCTAGCTTAAACCTTAGTTAAATTTTTCAACAATCCACCTTTTAAGCCGCTGATATCAGCATTTTTAACTCAAAATCCCTAGCCTACAGAATATGCATTCGGGAATACATAGTGATAAATGATGCGCTAAAGTCGGTGATGATCATGTGAAATAGGAGTCAATCAGATCCGCAGATATCTTGCCTGATTGATGAGGAATAATGGCTCAAGCCCAGGATATATTTGCCATCGCCCACTCCTAGTGTTCTCCTGATTCCCCACGTAGAAGAGACCACTGGTGGCATTGAAATAGTTGCAGGATCAAACGCGAACGGATTGGTGATGTGTCCAGGGACAATGAAGTTATCCAAGTTCGCAATCGATTCCCCAGGCACGGTGAGCTCCAATTCTGAAGAACGCTTCATGACGGCCTGGTCTGGAAGACCACTATCTGGGTGTTTGCTGAATATTTCACCGTCAAAAAACTGCCAAGCATGGCCAATGGAAGTGCTTCTATACTTGCTCTCTTTTTCTTATGCCGCATCATTTCCACAGTAGAATGAGTATCAACCAGGGCATTCCGAGGATCTTCAAAAAGCTCACTAAAGCACATTGTCGTCCCTTGATCATAACAGAAATTACGGATAATAGCTGATTTGTTTTCGACACTGATACATCAGTAAAATCCCTATCTTCGTCGCCGTAGGGGTATTGGTAGTCGAACCGAGCTGGCTGTCTGCCGTTTCCCCTATAACTGTGCTATCGATAGCCTTATATCCTTCGGGGTATTCTAAGCAAGGATCTTCAAAAAGCTCGTCAAAGCACATTGCCGTTCTTTACTCGTGACAGACATCATTGGAAATAACCGATTCGTTCCGCCACCAGCCACATCGGTTATCTCCGCCAGCCGTAGGAGAGCTGGTAGTCGAACAGAGCTGGTTGTTTGCTATTCTTTTTTGTAACTATGCTATCCATAGTCTTATATTCAATTGGCACGTGTGAACTGCTTTCTTAATGCTCATTTAGCGTAGCTTATTCTTTCACATTATGTGATACAGAAAAACTTTTCCTCTTTTTACCACGCTTCTTCCCCCACGTAGAGGTTCACAAACCTACCGATAGTCTGTGAGCTTCCATGATAGGCCTGATATATCATTATGGCGATATTAAAATGGCTTGGCTTACCATCACATCGTGCACAGTGTTTCTTCTCATCACACTTGGCCCGAAATCTATGGCAACTGTCGCTAACCCGACTGGTAGGTGTTCTCTCGCGTGATATTGAATCTGACCCTATAGATTCTATTTTCCATTCATCAATATTACTCAGCCGTATGGGCAGGCCTTGTAGGCTTGAAGACGGCCTTTTATTATGCAGGCCGTCTGTATTTTCTGAGCTGGATAGCATTCCTTGCACGTTCGCTGTTTCGTGTACAGGGGCTAACCAGGTCTGGACCGCGCGAAGTAGCATACTCAAACACCTGCCTCGTGCTGAATGAGGCCCGCTCTAAGCGGCGCTGTACATTGCACTCGGCATGATTACACTCTGAATCATATACCGATTTGGCGAGTTTTCGAGTGGTATCACGAAGGGAATCGCGTTGACGAAATACAAAGTATATTTCTATGTTTTGGAAGCCACACCAATGATGTTTGCGATCCTTGTCTTTAATCTATTACACCCAGGACGACTCGTTAATGGGAAAATGCCTGGTATTCGGTCTGTATGTTGCGGGATAATCAGAAATCAGGGTAGAAAGACACCTACAAAGGCTAATGACGGCGACGCTTATAACTTAGACAGGCACAAATCGGTCGAGGGTTACAATGCGTTATAGAACGGGAACATAATCAAATAAGTTTACAATACTGATCCAATTAAATTGATTCAGCAGCCGTATTCACATAGTAAGAATATCGAAGGAAATTGATTGAATACGTGCCGCAACCCTATTGTAGTTCTACCGTAACAAGTCTCGACTTCCCTACAACCATCTTGGTCAATTATAGCATACTGCCGATATTTCGCAGGGCCAGCTGCTGTACGTTGGCTCAAAGGCATGCCACTATTCAATTACGCAGCTCCATGGCTCCTAGAGAGTCGACACCGTAGCCACCAATTCTCTGAGAGGTATTGAGGCGATTCATAGGCGTTACAATTAGTTTGACAAGTTTCTGTGGGATTACTCTACAAGTTATCCCAACCGGATCGTCAAAGTTTGAGCCATGTACACGCTTGTATAGTTAGACTAATCAGCCTTTATCGGCGCTTCTGTCGGGATGCTTCTGTCCAAGGCCAATGCGTCCGTAAGGTCCTAAGCGCCTATGTCTGCTTAGCTACGAGGAGACAGCACTTTTTACTATAAAGGGGAACCCCTGCTACTGCTATATTAAATATTATTTTATATTATCTGCTATTAAAGATTAACTTGGGCTTAAACGATTCTGCTATTTAAATGGGGTAAAAATAAAATAAAAGAGGTATATACGAAAGAAAAACAACCAAAGTTTTATAAAAATAACTATTCCTAAATGTCAAGTAAAGTAGCAGTAGATATTTATATGCTAACAGTAATAAATTGAAAACTCCATTGAGCTGAGAAAACAAATTGAGTTATATAACATGCTTTATATAAATACAACGCTAGGAAGTATACACAAAAATAAAATAGGCAATATATATTATGATAACCTTTGTCATACTTCTGTGGTTAGGGCATCTTCGCCTCGCGATTCCCTCCAGCGGTTCGTTGATGCAAGAAGACCTGAGCAGCCTTTGAGTAAGAACCCCCACTTTCTAACAAATCCTTCACTCACTTCCCACCCGTTGACCGTCCATGGCTCACCCCAAACCATACAACCGCGTTGCTCTCCGTCAACGAACCCTTCGTACAAACTCTTCGCCAGATCGAGATGAAGGTCATGAGCATCGTATTGACTGTAAAGGCGAATCAGATTGTCCCGCATCACGGGGCATGGGAATATGTCTATCCAGTACTCGTGAGGCGTGGATTTTTGTAAAGCAGTGGGCAAAAGCTCAGGTGGGACGCAGCGAGGCGGATCTATGGCTAAGCTTGGAAGGTTGAGAGTGCCCCCGCATTCTAGAGGAAGATGCTCTAAAAGAGATAAAACGGCCATATTGAACAGCGAGGCGCGTTGGACGTTGTATTGAACCATGGTGAGTAGACAATGGTCTGGGCTCAGAGGGAAAATGAGAGGAGGCGTTGGCTGTCCGAAAGTTGCGGCTGTCGTGTAAAACATGAGAGGCGGTAAAACCATGTGTGTCTCTAATTTCCAGGTTTCTGTCGCTGGCTCGAATGATTCATGAAGATTTATGTCGAATAAATCCCGTCTAAAACAATTGGAAATGCTGAGATCTTCGCTTTTAGCCACTGGCTTGTGTGATGCTCTAGAAATTAGAATGCCGAAACCATTCCAAGAGGGATCGATACTGGAGATAAGCTTTGCATAGGCGGCAGTCCTTTTCTTCTCGCCTGGCCGTAAATCAGTCTCGCATACCTAACAGCACAGCATGGTCTATTTAGACTGCCTGCGATCTCGTTATATCTTTCATTGGCTTGGTAGTTCCAGGTTTGAAAAATACTGCTATACTTACGTGCTAGCCGCTGGCGGAGACGATTCTGCCGCTTCTTCCTTTCGGCTGGGTCTGTCACTCCTCTCCAGTCGTCCTGGTCCACAATCATCTAACGCCACGTCTGTCAGATTTATCCCACAAACTAAGTGTCACCTAAATTTTAAGTATTTGAGCCTGCCAGTGGGCTGTACCTTGGGAAGTTCTTGTGGATAGTTGAAAGTAATGCCCGCGTCTGCAATAACCTATTCAGGACGACGGTTATGCCGATGAATGCTTTTTACGGAGATGTGAAAATAGGAGGCAATGAAGGCAAAGGGCATTCGTCCGTCAGTGCCGAACTACCAAAGAATCAAGAGTTCAACATGCAACAGTGGCCCACTGTTACAGTGTTAAATGTGATTGGATAGCCAGCGTGCAACACCAAGCTAATGCAAGATCGTGACGCACTAACACTTTTTTGGGAATGCCAAGGCTGTGTAAGCGAAATCCACCTGGATGAGTAGCGAACACGGAGAACTAGTGAAGGCGGTCCTTTGATTTGGGTGTCCTCGACCGGGCTATATAATATGCGCAGCAGACATATTGAAAGTTCTTCTCTCCAATCTCGCACAAAATAAACATCTATCACGTCGTATACAAGCGTACTCATTTTTTATTATTCAACATGCCACGTCTCACTGGCATTGCCAATTTCAATCCAGAAAAAGACATCCCGTCTCTGAGCGACAAAGTTATCCTTGTAACTGGAGGTACGTTTCTAGTATCTTATCTCGCTTTATACACTCGACAACTAATTCTAATACTTGACACCTAAGGAACCGCCGGTTTGGGGAAACAGTCCATCCAGGCTCTTGCAAAGCATGATCCCCGTCACATCTACTTCACTGGCCGTAACCAAGGAGCGGCTGACGCTATTATGAATGATATCAAAGCAGAAAATTCGGACGTGGGATTAACTTTCCTAGAGATGGACTTCAGTTCCCTCGAGTCAGTAAGGGCCAGCATCAATCAATTCGCACATGACCGGTTGGATATCCTCATGTGCAACGCAGGCGTTATGGCAGTACCGCCAGCAGTAAGCAAAGATGGATTTGAGATCCATTTTGCAATCAACCATTTGGCCCATGCCATGATCATACATGAACTTCTACCAGTTCTCACACGAACTGCGGAGATGCCGAACTCTGACGTGCGAGTCGTGTGTCTGACATCAGAAGGGTGGAAAGGACATCCATCCGGCGGCATATTGTATGATAAGGTGCGAACAGAGAAAGGCGGAATGCCACTTTGGCTGTCAAGATATGGGTAATAATATTTCTTTATCCGCCTGCTTGAATTCGAGATATCCAGGGAGTCGTGCTGACAGGGAAATCGCTCACAGCCAATCCAAATTTGCTAATCTTGTATTTGCGGCGGAACTTGGGCGTCGATGTCCGAAACTAATGGCAGTCTCGGTTCACCCTGGAGTTGTGAAAACGGATTTGGTAAACACTCTGTCCTTTACAGACACGGCCTTCTTACATATTGCAAACTTGATACTAGGCGTTTCCATCCTTACGCCAGAGGAGGGCGTCCTTAATCAATTGTGGGCAGCCGCAGGAGCAAGCCGAAATGATCTTGTGAATGGAGCATACTATAAGCCAGTGGGAGTTTTAAGCAACAGCGATATAAATAAGGACAAGGCTGCTAAGGATAAAGAGTTAACTAGTAAACTCTGGGCTTGGACTAATGAAATATTAGAGAATATTTAAAGTTAAATATGAATATTATTCAAATGGCTAGTATACCTACTAATAAAATCAGAATGAATATATATACCTTCCACCACTCTTTGTGCATTTATCTATTACGACCAAACTTTCTCTCTCTATGTGCTAAAAGGTACTAGGGTCGCTGTATTGGGGGGCCATTAACCATGTAGCCGGTATGTTTGCAGTAACTGGAAGGGAGACTTGCAGCCGGCAACTACCCAAAGCTCTTATGACGTGTGGTTGACTTGTACTTCAGTTAACTATCTGCGACCATGGACAGTAAGATAGCCAATATCGGCAGCTGTTGTATAATAACCATAGACTTCACCACCCAACGCCTGCCCCTCTCATTTGTAAGTAAATATGTCATATTATGTATACCTTACTTGCTAAGAATTTAGCTTTTACGCTATAGTACGGAGACGGAACTTTGCATTCCATAGCTTCGACGAACGTAATGTAGCCCCTGCCTCAACAAAATCACTGACTATAGGTACCTTCGGGTTTGCAGTAGGCTGGATAAAAGCCTTCGGAGCTCGGTATTTAATACCACCATTTGCACACTTAGCATTATTAAAGGCTGCATTAGCAGCAGCGCTCCAGATCTCGGTGATATCCGTGATCATAGGCGCTGTCCAATAGAGTCGACAGTCGGCGTGTTCGACGACGAACTGCGCCGGAAGGCCATCGTCTATATTCGATCGGAGGATCTGATCTCGCACATTTACTGATGCCGCCGTGCTCCGCGCGATTGGGAGGGTTGAAACGTCTTCTAACGCCTTCAAATTTGCTAGACTCGGGCCAAATAATATTCCATGCTCAGCAAGCTGGAAGATATCGCTAAACTGGTATACTTGCGAACCCTTTACTCCGCCGACTCCCTGGATCGGGCCTTTCTTCGGCCGGCCACCAAAAGCAACAGACTTGATGCCTCCGTTGATTCTTAGGAATTCGGATGCCAAGGTGCAAGTCGAGCTGCAGGAGCCGTCATAAAGAAGGACAATGTTCTCCGGTAGAAACGGTTGAGTGAGATTTGAGCGGGATCCATATCCTGAGATCTCGAGGCCAAAGCCGACAGTGAAGTTTGTCGAGATAAGAGGATCGCTCCAGTTCCATCGCATAAGAGCCGTGTAGTTTGTATCCTTGAAATTCCTTGGCCCAAACTTGTTCGCAAAGCTGGAAAAGGCCCGTTCAGACAAATCCAGGTCAAAGCGCCAATTCTCTGGTGACAGATACGCACGAATCTTATCAATATCGGCTTCAATGAGTGGATCAACGCCCTTGGAGACATTACTGTAGACATGAGCGAGAGTCTCAAACTCTGGGCTGAGCTTCCACCGCGAGAGCCCATCCGCTCGGATTTGGGGGAACAGTTGACCGTAGAAGTCGTAGCCCAACGCTATGAAACCTCCGGGGTTACCCTGGAAGTCGACAACGAGTTTCGATTTCCCGGCGGCCACTGCTTCCGCAAAGAAGTTCTGGACAACGGCCTGAAATTGGCGCGGAGAGTTAGGATCAAAGCTGAGGATTGAAATGACCGCGACATCGTCCAAACCGTCACCTTCGAGAAAATAACCAGACACGATGCCGTCGTCAGTCGCCAGAACTGGCTCTGGGTATCCGGGGTTCTGGCGTGGTTGAACCCTCGCGCTGATAGTAGCAGGTACAAAACTGCGCCGACCATCGATACTCAGAACACAAAGGGTATCGAAATAGGATTGGCCGTCAACTATTCCCGTCATATTTGCCTTGACCGATGCAGTATTCTCAAAAGTTGCACTGGTCCCATTGTCGAAGGTAAATGTCATCTCTGGACCCTGGTAAATGTATCGGATGCGGCCACCGCCTGTAAAATATCCTTCAGTGGCAGTAGCCGCCGCGAAGGCTTTCGAATAAAACATGGAATTGTAGGCGGCATCTCCATCTTGGTTGAAAGACGCCGTTGTGACGGTGTCAAGGACGAGTTTCGAGGCCTCAATCCCGTTGATCTTTGTAATTATAGGCGCTGTTTTTGGATCCCTAACGACATCCTCTTTTTCGGGTCAGCTATTGTTGATGAGATTGTATAGAGAGGACATATAAATAGTATGAGAATCCAAATTCATATTCATGGCACTTACCGTATAGCTTGATTACGGGCAAATATCGTCCATTCTCGCTGATTGATACGATGGGCGCCGTGCGTGTCCACTCAAACGCGACAGTCAGCGCATCTGGATAAAAGACGAAGTGTCCATCATGCGCCGGACCAAAGACTCGAACATAAAGATCCTCCTGGAACTCGTATTCGTTGGTATACTTGTCCGCCACGAGATCTGCCCTGACGCTGGCAAGTGCTTTGAAGATGTCGTGAGGCGGGTAGAAGTAATCCGCGGGCGGGTCTGCCTTGTAAGCTGCGTCAGACTGCCATTCGAGATACGGCTCCAAAGCGTCAATCAACTGTATGCCCGCGTCTTTATGGAGGGGGATTGTATTTAGGCAGGCATAAGCAAGAGAAGCGGGAACAGTTGGTGTGGCTGGCAAAGGCGGCGATGTCAGCAGAGCTTGATATCTTTATCTAGTGTACTTTGAAGACTCACCAGTGCTTGTAATCTGTGCAGCCCATAGGGTGCTGACTTCGGCGCATGGCTCAATCTTCTCAACATTTGGAATGTCTTCTATAGCTTGAGACGAGGCTGCTAGCGCCACAGTCATGCTGTTCCATAAACCCACTAATGGCCGCATCTTTCAATCTATTTGGTCCTTATCGAATCAAAGCAGAAACTCGGATCTACTCTTTTTTTTTTTTTTAAAAAAAAAAAAAAACAAGGGTGAGCTGCCAGGGTATACAATCTTAGTTTTATACAGGCCTGGAAGGACGAGCTGCCTTTCGCAAGACAAATTATGATTACCAATCTCTTGGGCAAGCTCAACAAGGCCCTCCCAAGAGAGAATGGTACATATATTACAGCAATGCCAGAGATAGGCTAATTACATTATCACAATTTGATAGGAGGACTCCTAAATATGCGGGACCAGATGTATGGCTAAAGAGGCAGTTGTAAAACCTCCTCTTTTGAAGATTGAATATGGAAGGTAGTAAGGAAAAAAGACTGGGGTATAATATTACGACCTAAAATCCTACAGCCGCATGAGAAGGTATATACCCTATGTACCTATAGCTCTAGGAAGTCAAACCTAAGATGGCGTATATAATATCTACTTGCAAACCTAAACCCCCTAGTTGATAAAGGTAAACTAGTTTAATTTTATTAATAAGACTTAAGCCCCGCAAAATGCAATCTCCTTCAACTCGTTGTCGGTCTCATATTACGTTTTTGGCCATTCTTCGGAGATTATCCAAGCTGGTGAATCCATAGGCACGTCCCTTAAACCGTTGTTAGATTTGCCCTTGCGACATTGGTTAGATATCAGTTATATCATAAATACTCACCTGTGGTTTACATTCACAGGCAGCAGTTTCTGTCTCAACGATATGGCAAATAGCTTAACTGTCGATCGCGGATTCTATTACTATGGCGCAAAAGTCTTCACTGGATTGTATTTTCTCTGGGTGGCCCGTGTAGTCGCTTAAATGAACATCTAGTCAGTTAGGATGATTTCCTATTCAGAACTTGTAACAGACCGTTATACTGTTAGGTCAGCAGGGCAAAACATTAGGCTAATAATCGCAATTGTAGCAATTATTATAACGGAACCAGCTATGTACAAGGTATTTAGCTGTTACGAAGGACCCATCGTATAACAGCTTTATCCATGCCACTGGACTGTCAATATGGCTTCGGTTTAGCGGCTGACCCATGATGCTGGCTGGAGAAACTGAGTTGATTGTGAAGTTTGGCTTCATCTCGTTAACAATCTTTCAGAGTGCCTCAACCTTACTGGCAAAGTACACCATATAGCCTATGGCTGGATGTTTTTGCTCTTCAGGCGATCAAGCAACTTCCACGGCAGCGTCATTCCAAGTTTCGCGGGTGACATGCGTAGTATTGCCTGGGTATCGCATCGTAGCCGCCACCATGCAGCTCGTATATACGAACTTACGCATTGATGGCTCCCGCTGTGCTGCCTCCATGAGGCCAGTGACTCCACATACCGTTTGGGGCACGATGTTATTGGGATTGGAGTCGAAGGTGAAAATGGCAGCCACGTGAGCAATAGCCGACACAACTTTCACGGCATTATCAAAAACACATTCAACTCCTAAGTCGGGTGCAAGAGCCAGCTTCAGATCGCCGCGATTAGCATACGTCTTGAAACGTCTTTGACCAGCCAAAATGCCTTAAGGCTGCGAACGGTGCCCCGAACTTTGTACCCACCCTCTAGGAACTGTTTCACTACATGTGATGCTAGATTGGCGGTTGCTTCAATCACTGAAATCCAAGATCCCCTAGGAATCGTTAGTTTTTGTTCTACCATTGCAGATGGGTAGCAGCTGATACTGTATGGAGCTATAACACTTTTAAGTATAATAAATCGCTTCCTGGTTACGCAACTGTCAAGATAATGATGCAATATACTGTGTTCTATGCACAAAACAGGTAGCAGGCCATGTTAAATACAAAAGAGCCTTGAGATATAAAGGTGTAATTTATACAGCGGAAGTATTGCATTGGCCTACGTGCCCTCTCATTAGTGTCCTGGGACTTGTCAGGCGAGACACGCTCTTCGGGAGCTACTAGTTTAGTATAACTAAACCTAGGAGTTTCTAATGCTACATTAGGAAGTAGTACATCTTAGCATCTTGATATATAAATAAAGAAATTATTCATCTCGGGCTTAACAACTAGCAGGAAGTATTACACCTTGGTTTAAGTTAGGAGAAAGGATTAAACCCTGGTTCAATAATTAGTATATATAGTTAATTCTAGGATCAGGGCACCTAGAAGGCGTTGAACCTGGGTTTAATAACTAATATATAACGTAAAATGTAATACGCTAGGGTTTGATGAATTGTAGAAGCTATTGAGTCCATAACTTCAATGGCGATCATATATTATTTAAATCAGTGTATATATAATATGAAGCTTACTCAAGTTTACTTAATATGTAGTAAGATAGCTGCCTATATAGGAAGTAGTGTACTTCGAGTCTCTGTACAGTAAGTTGCTCGTTACAGTTAGTATACTCAATAGTACTGTTCCCACTCTTTTATTCGTCAAGAAAATGAGCAACCAACTTGCCAAATGATTCAGCGTACTGATAGAGGAAGCCGTGGCCGCTGTCTGGGTACACAAGGAGGCGGCCGTTGGGCACCGTCTGCTGGATGTAGTACGAGTTCAGGGTTGGGATCATGTAATCATTCTGGAAATGTCAGCCCTTTCCCTTTGTCCTGCCCTGCCATATTTGGGGTTGGGCCTCTACTTACCGACCCGTTGGCAATGAGGACAGGAATGTCGAAGCTTGGGAGCCGGCCATAGGATCCTTCAACCCCCTGGCTGGTCTCCGCGGTCAGGAACTTCTCAATGGAGATGCCTTGGTTCTTCAAACCCTCTCCATCATCCGTGAAGCCCCAGGAGAGCCACTGGCTAGGCGCCTCACCGCTGGTCGCCTCGTTTCGCTCCGAGAGACGGGCCCACCACTCCTCAGCGTGTTTCTCGCCCGCGGGGTTGTGTGCAAAGAACAACTCTTTGAAGTTGACCAAGTCAATCTTCTCTGTGGTAGCAGCCGGCATGTAGTTGTTGGGCGAGAGCTTGATTCCGGGGCCAGCACTAGCACCTGTACCGCAGAGGACTATCTTGCGGACCTTCAGCTTGTTGGCTGGCGCGTTCAATGCGACCATCTGGGTAACGAAGCCTCCGATCGAGAAGCCGAGGATGTCGACTTCTTTGACACCAATCTGAATTAAGGCAGCAATCATGTCGTCGGCTGAGTCTTTGAATGAGGTTGCGACTTTGCCCACACTTTTTCCGACCCCGACATAGTCAATAAGGATAACGGGTCGCGTTGCGGCTAGTGTATTGACCAATAGAGGATCCCATTTATCCATAGTCCCACGGAAATGGATGAAAAAGACAAGAGGTATACCCGTGGACGCTCCGAAGCGCCGATAGGCGATCCTGCCATCCTTATAGGGGATGCATTGCGTCTTGGCTGTTTGGTGGGTAGTCATCTTGTATAGGCAATTTTCAAGATCTATGTTTGCGTCCTATTTTCTGTAGTTTGCTTTGTTTTGTTGTAATCTGGTTGGGTGGTGTTCTCGAGTTGTTGCTGTAGTTTATATTCGTGTAAAAATATAGGATATGGTTTCTTATATATTTCCTAGAGAGAGCCCTATGTCGAATGCCATTGTCTAGCATCATCTTGGCGGTAATCCACAGTTTGACTTGATTGGGAAGCTTCTCGGACAAATTCGTAATCTTTGTTAGTGATCAAGTTGAAGGCATGACTCACTGGGCTTCCAAATACTAAGCAACATGAGTTTCATATGACTGCTGCACTTTCCGTTTCTGATATAGGCTCCAGCCTAAACCCACCAAGGATAGGAAAGAGATCCTTTTATTCGGCTACTGTTCAACAAATTCACCGGTTCCGTGGGAATTTTGAATTGAAAATATAGCGCATAATATTCAAGGATGAACCAGCGCTCCTTGAGCTCAGCGTTTAGACACCAATGGTGCGGACTAGGCCGGTATCTCTCCAACCAATATTTGCAGCGGTCTATATTAGCGTGTAATCAAGTAGTTCTGACTAGGGTGAAGCTCCTTGAACATATGTTTCTACGTAGATGTTGAGAAATCTTTGTTAAATTAAAAAACACAAAGGTTATACTTCTGCTACAAACCAAAGTTACAATGGGAGGCAAATGTTTAATGCCCTTTAACGTTATTACAAATTGCTTAATCTAAATTTAGCAATGACTGTATTACCGCTTTATATCCGAGAATTACTTACTATATTATAACGCTTTGTATCTTAGTACCAGAATAAGTTCAGTCAGACCTGCTGTAGCTGGGTGTTTACTCTTTGCCTCCTAATGTATAGGTGAACCGTCATTGATTTTTGTTCGGGTTTAGCATGGGAATAAGGAGCTTAAAAGCTCCACTTACTAGCATACTAGTAGGAACAAAACGACGTCACATTGCCAAAACTACATCCTCATGCCACGCCAAATTCACAGCTAACATAAGAATACGTTTCCCTACTACGCGTAGATAGCTCAAGTATACTGTAATTAGCAAGGGCTGCTATTTCCTGAATATTCTGAGAATCGAATCACCCCTTATAGCCTCTTACCCTACTAGTCTATTACTATTTTGATGTTTTTGTAATAATGTCTGGGTATTTGACTGGGTAACGGTGTGTTTCCTCCTAACTTCAAGGGTTTGCCTTGTGGGGAGGCAGAAATAAGATTGGTGTGGTACTTTAGCCTTCTACTCTGGCTGCTACGCTAGCTCCCTTTTTACTACATCAAGCTCATAATTGTCGGACATTTTAGCTGATTGTGTCCGAGCCATGCCTGGGATTCCGGCTGTTTTCTAGTTTCATCACTTAGTGGTCTCCTTCTGAGCCGCTACGCAGGGCTCAGGTAGAGCATTTCCAGCTCCGATATAAGCAGGAAGCACTCGGATAATTAAAGCAAACACAACGCCAGGACCCTTACCTCTAAATGGCCCGAATTCCAGTGTTAAGATTACTCTTAATTTATGGCTTACGAATAATTACATGTTCATACTCTAGCTTAGTAATGCCAAGGGATGCTCCTTCCGCTTTTGACGTTATGTAACAAACCGGGACCTATATGTTATTCGAAGTTAGCTATCCCTCAGGGATAACTATTTATTAGTCTTTAGGTTTATATTAGAAAATTGGTCAGGTTAGCTATAGGGAGTAAAAGTATTGTTTTACTAGTTTAAATTATTTACTAATATAAACTAAAAGTGTAGTTTATCCAATAGTGATATAAATATACCCCTTATGTATGCTGTTCGCTATACTTCTGTTTGGTATATTTTTATTATAGCTACTGTATATAAAACAGTTTGTTACAGTGTACTAAACAAGTACAATAACCTCATTTTCCATAATTTCAGAGCAGCCCTCATTGTCTCCCAGACCAATTCCGATCCGCCTAAACGTTTGAGTTTCAATGTTTTCTTGGTGCAATAACAGCCGAACGCGTCTTGCTGGAGTCCACATATCAGATTCAAGAACATCGATATACCAGCATTGATTGATAGGGTCAGCTTCGCAATCCTGTCGGTACGGATCTATATATGACTCGTCTGTATTCCATGTCGCGGGCTTTGCTAGTCTTCCGATTGTCCCCTTAAGGGTAATGGAGCCCGTCACTGCCGTCTGTGCCTCGTCAGCAATATTCACATCAAAAGAGACGACATCAGCAATGCGTCGCATTGCTCCGTATGCCTCGTGATGGCCTGTGAGGTCGAAAAGAACGAATGCAGTCACCGAGGCCCAGGACCATGACGGAAATTGAGGATTACGCATCGATTGTTCATGGACACGAACTTCCCAGCAGAGACTCTCTAGCAACCGATCGCCTGACCATACACCGGCAACAAATTTGCTCTTCATAAATGGTTCCATGGCATGGCCCAAGCCGACGATGGCAGTCAACCGGTCTCGTCGCTCTGTCATGGCTCGACCAGTAAAATCGTATACTAGTTGTTGCCAATGCTTAAACACATCTGCATCCCCCCACTGGTATGTACGTGCCCCTCGAACTGCGTTCTTTGTCTCATATCTTTCCCAGGGCGCGTAATCTGACAATCGTAATGGTCCGGGCTGGCCCTCGGACGCGTATAGATCGAAACACTCCCACCAGAGTGTCCCACGGCCATAGTACAAAACCCGGGTGCTCATCATTTGCTCCTGCAGCGTCCATGCCCGTTCGTGTACGGGTCCGGACATGGAAAGCTCCATGGCAGGGAGGATATTGGGACACGCGACGAGATACATGGGCGAATCAGGGACCTCGGGGCTCATCGATCCTGCTTGCCACGCATATTCACGGAATGCCTTGGGTATTCTGTAATTTAAGCAGACTGCAGTTGAGTTGCGAGTCTGACGGAGCCGAAATAAGCCATCCTCACTGCTACTCGAAGCCACAGTCGAAATAGTGAGCGATGCGCCAGCATAAACGTGCTGCATTTTTGCAGCCTCGTAGGCCCAATCTGCTTCATCGTCCTGAACGATACAGATGGCGTCGATCCAGATGTATTGGAACCCAAGATTGCGAGCAACTACAATGGCATCCCGCAGTGTTGTAGGTAGTTTGTGGAGAGGTATCGTGTTTTCGTGGCTCGATAAGTTTACTTTCGTCGTCTTGTAGAAACTCGAAGAAGGTGTGGCTTTTCCCCAGCAGTAGGAAAGAGCGCAGTATCTGCCTTTCAAACCTTGGCTTCTGAACAGAAACGGAGCTCTTGTCTCGTCCCCCACATCAATGACACGGGTTGGGAGAGGCATCTCTCCAAAGCAGAATTTCTTGCATGTTTTATGTGATAGCTCGCATGTACTAAGCCAATGTTTAGCCAGTTTGAAGGCTTCCGGAGAATTTGTCTCGGTCTTCCTGTCGTTATAGTGACATGTGTTGAGGATTGTATCTTCTGCTCCAGGGCGAATTGTTAATCGAGTCACATGAACATGTGCTTGTACATAAAGTGGTACTACTCACCGTCTAAATGGGTTAAATGAAGAACGAAGTTGAGAGATGAACCCATCAATATGCGTAACATGTAAAAGGAACTTCCTGGACGGGCAAGTTCAAGTAATACGGCTCCAACCACTTCCGTATCAAATTTTTCGATTTTCGTTTCACTCTCATTGTCTAGCCAGCGTCGTTGATAGCTCTCTTGCTTGTCGATACCATCAGCTATCATACTACAAAGCGGACAGCCAAGACGAGCCGACTCTTCCAAGAGATCTCGCAAAGGGTAAAGCTCAAACACAGCACAATCATCATACGTGATAGTGTCCTGAGCATCACGTCGCGCTTCGTATGTTGGACAAGCCCACATCTGAAATGCGACGCATTGGGAGCAGAAAGGCTTTTCTTTAACTTGAAGGTCCTCTGTTTTGGCAATCTCACAGAGAGTGTTAAAGAAGCTCTTGATCAGGTGGCGACTTGTAAGGGATATATCTATATCCCGAGCAGATAAGATGTCCTGGATGTCTGGTGTCGATATAACCCACCAGTACACTTTCAGGAGGTCCTGAGAAGGGAACAACTCCCGATGAGTCGATGCAGAAAACAACTTGCGTGCCATGGTGCGGAGCTTGTCACCAAAATGCATCCGACTGCTGGCTACACTAGAAAGGTGGCCTCCGTGCTTGAGAAGAGCATCTATCGTAGGACCCTGCTTGTCGAGCAACGCAATATCCAAGGGCATCCAACCATCCCGTGAGGCACGATTCACATCAGCGCCACCTTCAGCCAGCTTCTGTACCATATGCGCATCCGCAAAGCGTATAGCTTCGTAGATTGGGAGAGTATCCACTTCGATTTGTTCGTGCGTATCCCAGTAAGTCGTCTCTTGGAACATTGGATCAACAACAGGAGCATTAAGATCTGCGCCATGCTCGATCAAGAAGTCCACTGTCTTATTGCGATGGCTATGAACCGCTTCCATTAACGCCGTCCTACCCAATGCATTATATAGATTGACATCAGCACCGGAGTTCAAGAGGAATTCGGCAGAAGCATAATCTTCCAAAAACAGGGTCAAATGGATTGGAGTATTCCAACTACACCATTTGTACTTTTGTTCGAGCCACTCTTGCTTTAAGTCTTGTTCCGTCCATATGGTATTAGGATCTATCCCGGCCTGCAGAGCCACTTCCCATGAGGCAATATCATGTGGCACTAATGTTGTGGAGTACTCTTTTGGCTTCTGCGGTTCTTCCCGCTTCTTTCTTTGCTGGGACTTTGACTTAGAGCGAAACTTAGTGGTAATACCACCAGGGCCCAGAGAATAAACAGGCATTGTTAGATATTCAAAACAAAACACGCATCGAGAGGTTTTGATATTACAGAGAAAAAACTGTGCTGATTTGCATTACGTGTCCCTTTACGTTTGTGGCAGTTATGGGAACCCCGCATCAACAGCAGGGACAGTTATTATTTAGTGAACAGGAGACCCGACGCATTAATTACTTCTGCGGTATTTCGATATAACATGAAGTAATTAATTCCATGAACTACACTCTATGCTGTTTGTAACTAATAGCCTTATTCCTAAAATAGAGCCTTTATTGCGTTTGACTATAAGATCAGGATATAGAGTAACAGGGACTAAGACATCAATACACTACAACTTGTTACAGAGTAGCAGGGATGAAAAGCGGAGCTAAAATATACACATATACCTAGAAACTATAGAATTATCTAACTCTAATGTAAAAATATATATATAATGAGGTATTCAGTAGTGTTGTGGTAGGCAGAGTGTACCTAAATATTTGGTGTATACAAACCTATGTAGGCAGGGTGGAATATTCACTTGTGTTGAGTATTTGCTTATGGATTGCTAGAAAAAAAATTAACCCGGTTCTTTTAAAAGGGCTTTTACTGGCTTGGGGCACTTAACTTTAGTGATACCATAAAGGGCGGTGAGGCATTTCTTTCGGAAAAGTCCTTTGTATAATTAGCACCTACCGTAATAGTCGGGTGGAAATTAGCCCGTTTCTTATGCCTGTCTATTTTGGCAATCGTAGAACAAGAAGGTCTGAGGCATTATAATAAGGTTCGTACAGAACATAACTACGTACAAAAACGCAGGCGCAAGCCTACATGAAAGTTATCAGGTTGTCTGGAACGAAGGCCCAGGTGTACTTTCATCGGCAGATATAAAACCTCTGCAAGCGAGAAAGCAATCATGGCATCCTTACCAAATTCCAAGCCAGACCGGGTTTTGGTGAAGACGACCTTGCCCATCCGTCCAACACCACTAAACTCTAGCCGTCAGCCAGTCACGACCGGTCGCTTAATTATTCGGTCTATTGTTCCCGAGGACCTTGAGAGTTTGCACGTGTTGCGCACGCAGCCGGAAGTAATGGCAAATAACCCTCAGGGGAGAATCGACAAAGATCTGGAGGAGACGCAGCGACGGCTGGATTTATTCCTTCCACCAAAGGATGAAGAAACGTTTAATTTTGCTATCTGTCTCAAGGAAACGGGCGAGATGATTGGTACTGGCGGCTGCTACAGATTTACTTCCATGTTTGGCTGGCCGATAATTGGCTACATGATTCGTAAGGAATTCTGGAATCAGGGAATTGTAACTGAGTTTCTCCAGTCATGGCTGGACATGTGGCGCAATCTACCTCGAGAAGATGCGGAGATTGAGGTTGATGTGCGAACACTTCGTGATGGAGATGGGCCGGTTCTGGAGCAGATTGTGACGTGGGCAGTCGCAGACAACATTGGTAGTCAGAGAGTTCTCGAGAAGTCTGGGTTCGAGAACTTCCTGACTTGGACAGAACCCGATCTTAGAAACACAGAGATTAACGTGGATCTGAAAGCGTTCAGGTACTTTCTAACCAAGTAAGTACCTATAGACAAAGTTGGGGATAAGGACGATTTGGAACATATTTTTTTTCTTTTGGAAATGCCGTAGTCTCTATATGTCTTATTAATTCCGCTGAAACATACTACTACAATTTAACGACAGTCATGCCGATTTAGTTCCATAAGTTTGCTTTAGCAGCCAGAGACTTGGCAAACACCTATGGTAAACAAAATAACAAATATATATATCCTCTATACAGCCAAATCAATTCTAGATACAAATTCAGTGTATCTGATATTTAGCAAGCTGCTGTGCCCTGTCTCTGCGGGGAATTGTTGTGGAGGCTCATATCGAACCCACAAAGTCGAGGATATCGGTCAAAATGTTATTCATATGAGTGCTGATAAGAACTATTAGCAAAGCGTTAGCCTAGAACCACTTAACAAAAAGAAAATTTGAACTTACTATGGCTTCTTTTCGCATACCCTTTGAGGGTTGGTCTTGGAACGACCTGTTTCACGTGGCCTGCACTCACCTCCAACGGTGTGCCAGCATCCGAGCCGGCATGAGAGAGTAGAATGAAGACTTCAGACTCCTGCCTCAGAACCGCCAGCTTCTCATTAAAATGAACATGGGTAAAACACTGTATGGAACGCTCAATAGCAACAGCATCGGTGGTCTCTGTCATGCGTTCGATCTGTTTAAGTGTCTTGTCAAGAACTTCATTCTCTCCTATCCCAAAAGGCCTCTTGAATGTCTCAGAAAAAAGCTTGGACGGTCCCGACGTATGCCAGCTATAACCTGGTTCCATGATTCTCTAGACGTTGCTTGAGGAACTTGGATATAGCAGCAGGATAAGGAAGGGATGTATTCATGCATACGAAACCCTTTCAAACGTCGTAAGAGTTAGCCAGAAGTTTGCATAATATTCCTATAGATAAGCAACACATAATTGGTAATTTTGACGGATATGCTAGTTAGATATGTATGCCAGCAGCGATTCTCCGCCTCCCATGCTGGCGGCTATAAAAAGAAACTTTCCCAATCTCAACTTTTCGAAAAGATCAACAACATCATTGGCAAATTCACCATAGCCAATCTACGTGCGATTTGGTTGCGCATCATTCTAGTTATTGCTCCCGAAGTCGTGTCGGTCTCAGCAAAATACAGCGAAATCCACAAGTCTCACTAAACTGCACCACTAAAGGCTCCCACATTGCTGACAATGGCCATTGATGTAAGAAAATCAGGGTTGGTTGACTCTTGGTGCCGTATTTAGCGGGTGAATTGTATGTTTCCGGAACATAATAGAGCATATAATCCCGATTGAATAGGTCTGCATCATCAAAAGAACTCTGGAAGCGAGGCATTCCTTTTTTTTTCTGTTTCTATCGTGCAACTATGTTCTTTGGAGGCTGCATTGAAAAAAGAGGCTAGTTTTGTATTTAAATAAGCCACAAGTGCAAATATAAATTATTATTGCTTTTGTATGGCATGGGATTCTCGAGTAGATGCGGGGAGCGTTTCGTGGTAGAAATAGGGGGAATGCTAAAGTTTTCTGCATCATATAAACAACAAGTGCCACTACCGATGCAAATACGATGGCAAAAGTTCCAACTCGATAAACAGCAATTCCTTCTGATTAGTCACCAAAAGAACATTGTTCGTCTCAACTTTTATAAACCTACTCTAGAAAGTTATCTTGACTAGGCTCAGTATACATCGGATTCCCCACGGGGAAGTTTAGGCAAAAGGATAACCGTCTTTTATAAAGATTAAATTTAATATCAAGATAGAAAGTTCAATGCTGTGATAGGTCGTTCAATAGAAGGCAATGCCCCTACCTTTGAATGGTCTTATATAATATACATTGTCCCTTCCTTTTGCATTTCCATTAAGAACTATGTGATTAGATTTCTTATAGAAACATGTCGAGCGAGATGTCCACAATGTCTTCCAGCTATCCAACTACCTCCCTCACTGTCAAGAGCAGAGGAATAAACTACGGACTACCCACCTATTCTCCGTCTGTTAAAGGTTCTAATGCTCTCGTGTTCGGAGCGAATGGAATCTCTGGCAACAACATGGTGCGTGTGCTGTCTCAAGCTCCTGAGCAATGGGAGCAAGTGATCGCTATGTCGCGTTGTTCTCGGACAGGCTCTTCTCCAAAACTTGGCGGAAATATGAAGCATTCACAAATATACTTCCTCTAAAACCCCAAGGATACTGCAGAGCTCCTTAAGCATCACCAGATACGGGCGCATGTGGGACGCTACATCTCCAATCTTTTGAGGGTGCTCACACGAATAGCGATGTGGTAATTTTTTTTGCCTATATCCAGCTCTAGCCTGTCGATTATGAGTCATGGCCCAATGCTGAAGGAATGTGTCGAGCTAATAGTATTTTCTACTCGTATCTCCAAATGGGAGTATTTGCTAATTTTCGAAGGAAAACTCCTCCAAAGCTGTCTCGACGCACTCCAACTTGCCTCTATCAAGCCAAAGCGATTTCTCCTCACGACTGGTGCAAAGAAATCTGGACTATACTATGCTCTAGTCAATTCGCCGGCAGTCGAATCCGACCCACGGGTTCTCATTGAGCCAAATTTCTACTATGTGCAGGAAGACACCTAGTTCCAATACTGTTGTGAAAATACCGCTCAATGGAATATAGTCTGCCCTTAGATTATACTTGGGGAAGTTGGAGACTCCGCGATGAATTCAGCTTGTACACTAGCTGTCTATATAGCAGTTCAGAAACACAAAGAAGAGAAGCTTGTATGACCTGGTGATACAGTGGCTTGGGAGAAAGAGCTAGTGCAGTCGAGTGCGATACTCACCAGTTTTTGTCGGAATATGTCGTTCTAAATGAGCTGTCTGGGAATGAAGCATTTAACGCAGCTGATGGATCACCATTTACGTGTGGAAGATTGTGGATAGAGCTAGCAAGATGGTATGGAATGGACTTCACGTACTCTGAAGATGATACCACCGGGTTCCAAGGAGCTAGAATGCCCCATAAGCCGCCACGAGAGTACTTATACTGTCCTCTTTGCATAATTTCTACCAACAAGGCGTAGGTTCGGCTCACCGCCCACCATTCGATTCAAGTACACATTTGTCCAATGGGTAGAGCAACCGAAAACCCAACACGCCTGGAAAGAGCTCTCTCAGAAGTACAACTTAAAAGGCTCTCCATTTGGACCTGGCGAATTGGAAAGGAATTTCCAGTATCTAGATTTGGATTACTAGGACCGTCTAAATTTGCCATAAGCCCAACGAAAAGCAGGAGGATTGACCGGAATACGTTTATGGATTCGGTTGATTCTCACCGCCAAGTGATGCTATGAGCTTGGTTCCTCCCTTAAGTTGGATTCGAAATCTCCATATCTGCTTCAAACATCGGAGCCTTTTACTCGGACAATAGGTCTAAATAAGATTAGAACCAGAATATTCCTTTACCCTCCCTCAACCAAAGTTGTTACTCCCTTACCAGCATTCCCTGCGATTATATATTACCCTGAGGCTTTCATACTTGCTGTAGAGAGTAACCAAATGACATTGTCGCGAACAAAGCTCTGAAGAATTAGTCTGTTGCCGATTTATCCTTAGTTGGGATTTTAATTAATGGAATATTGGCTTAAACTCGCCGCTTTTTTTGGCCATACCTGTGAGCGGCTGGCATCGCTATCAGTACTATTCTGAAGATTCGCATTGAACCTTCAAGGATGGAGAATATAATTTTGGTAATTTACCTTGTAGTTACTTTTCCATATTCGCTGATTCTAATTTTGCTTAAATAACATTGAGTTACTACTTTTTCACAAATCCACCTATTCAAAGGGGAACTCAGGCGAAAGACTGCTTATAAGTCTCTATTAATCAAACATAGACTATCTAGCAGTGGATATTATAGCCGCTGCTGCTAACTGTTGATATTAAGAAGCAATTATGTTATTACTCACGTCTCGCCTTCAGCTGCCGCCCCAATTCACCACTATCCCGCCAAACTTTGGCTTGTAGGATCTGCAATCCATCTGTTCCTTGGCCATCAACTTCGCTGTAACCAACGAGGAACGTTAGTAATCGTGGAACAACAATTGTGTCATAAGATGAGAGCTGGTCCTTCACGGTGAATGAAGTGTGAGCTTCCAAGATAACCCATTGGGCAGCCCTTTAGGCAGCTACATCTATGTCTGTAGCATCGAGCAATCGAACCGAAATCACCTCATGATGAACTGCAACAAATTGTCCAAACAATTCCTTCATCCGATTCCATATGTTATCACCTCCAGGATATACAACCACATTTGCGTTGTGGAAGTTGCAACCTTCGGCATACCAATGATGGAATGGACTAGTTTTTGCCAGGGAGTCGACGTTATTGAATACTCTTCGATATAAGATAGCACGGGAAATTGCCTAGTAGAGTGGTCCCAAATATCATTGTGGGTGAACCAACTCGTAGAAGTGGACGTGTTTGCAAGGTATATGAGAAAAATGTATAATGTACAATATTGTAGCTTGGTTGAACTCGGGTTCACAACCGAGTGTCACATGTACATTGGCGAGCTTAAATGGTCACATATTAAAAGCTCTCATAGAGATTCAATATTTCCACCCGCTGAGGTTAATCTACTGTAATAAGAAGTTGACGTCAGAAAACATTACAAATATTCTGCACAACCCGTCATTCCATCATCACCTGAGCGTTGTGCTGTGCACATTAGGAGCACATTTCAGTGGGGTTCATATGCCTAATTATCAAGTGGGTGGCAAAAAATTGGTTCCAGGAAAATGCTAATGCACACACAAGAGTGGCGCTCTTCATAGTGCTGTTGTTCTACTTCAACATGCATATATTTTCATCTCGCGGAACTGCTTAGTATTTTGGTACTAGCTTGCCTATCCGTCAGTCAACTTCCAACCTCGCGTGTCGCAGTTTATGACCTAACTAGTAGGCAGCCTCGGCAATTATCTGTGCCCCCAACTTCGGAGACGGCGGCGTAAAAGTAAAGTGATAAATAATATGTTTACGATTAGTGATGATATAGAATAAAACACATCACACGCAGTGTGAGTCTACTTGTAATTTACTTGGAAGGAGCTGGTTAAAGTACCTATGCAGTGGCAAATCAGTAGACAGCGAAGCCAGATTCTCCCCTATCTTCATCTGCGACTTGTGTTATGCACTTTAAGCCCACTAGTTTTCCCATTGAGCTAACTCTCCTGTGCAACACAGTTTATATCTAGGAGTGTATTATTCACATTGTTGCAAATCCATTGCGCCGGCTTCCCAGAAGGAGGCTGTACCGTAATGTTTTGAGCTCGTATATTGCTGCACGTCTAAGTCGCAGATGTTAGATACGTGCCATTAGAGGCATACTTTCAAAACTAACCGAGGGCGTGCTGCACACCAGTGTGCCGACCTTGGGGTCGTACTTCTTTGACGTAGTTCCCCACATATTTTTAAATATGACGTTGGAGATGGTCATATTTGACTGTCAAGCACGATATTAGTGACGAGGTCGCCAGGATAGGAATCTTAACTTACTGGGTACTCATTGCACAAGGTGAGATTTGTAGACCCGTAGCACTGAGTAAGCTCAATTGCCCAGTCATTATTTGAATTGTATAGACCATCGTACGTCACGTTCATAACGTATCCTGAGCCGCCACCCCCAGATAAAGACGGTTGAAATGGAGTGTAAGACCCTGGCCAAACCTTGATTCGTGCCCCATCTGAGGCATTACTCATGGATATGTTATAAACATAGACATTCTCGACAATGTCAAACTCGTTAATGTACTGACCCAATGAACCGACTGAGATACCGTGTGAGCCGTTGCATTGAAGGCCCTGCACAACAATATTGGTACTATTTGGCTTGAAAGACACACAGTCATCCCCATTGTTAATGATAGAGTCTTGTAGGACAATAGAGTCAGAGCGATACGTATCCCAGCCATCCGTGTTCTTTGCTGGATTGCCGTTTGTGCTCTGTTTCAACAATTTGTAAGTGGTGAGAACTCGCACGAGAAATTACTTGTGCTTACCTCTACATTCAATTTGATGTCGCTCACAACTATTTCAGAGCTATTCGCTATGAAATTGAACCACTTTAGAAGATTTGTAAGTAACGGTGGGCTATAATGAAGCGTGGCTTCAGCATTTCTTGCGTCATTGAACGTACCATAGGTGGGTTTTTCATCTGCAGGCCGCTGACTGAGCCGCCGTGAAGACCATCAAGAACAAACAAGATAGGTCTCTGGAGTGAAGGATTTGCCGCGAAAGCATCATACCAGGCCTGACCGTTTCCATCAATCAGGCCGTCGCCAAGGCCGTAGATGTTCACATCCTTTCCTCCGAACCTCCACATTGCTGAGGAGTTCTGATACTCATACTTGAAAGAGTGTTCTGTCCAGTAACTGATGTTGTTGTTGAAGCCAATCGTGCCTAAAATTGCCACATCAACTCTATCGAGAAAGGTTAAATCTAAGGGCGAGGCGATGATATAGGTCGCGTCGAAAACGACTGTCCCTCCATGATTGCATCTCTGAAATGCTTCGAGAATATTAGGAGAGTCGTCAATGTGGGAGCAACTAGGCTTGACGAAGCAATACTTAGAAGCGTCACGGGGAGGAGAATGAGGGAACTGTTTGCCTGGATGGAGAGGGTGTGGCTTTATGTTTGGCCGATCAACGTGTGAACCTCTTCGTGATTGACCATCAAAAGCGTCGGAAGAACTAGCTAGCCCTGCCAGGGTAAGAATTGCTGGCGTAAAAACGAAGGTAATGGACCTGTAAAGCTGCATCTTGAAGACTTGAGAAGTGACCACCCTTTCTTAGCAAATGAACATTGGATTTTGGGCACATCTGATATGGGGCTTACGAGAGCACTTCAAAGAAATGGCTATAGCGAAATTTGCTATCCAAGGTCGGTAAATATCTACATTTGTGGGTGGTATTCATGCTGTTTAATAAAATTTGGCCCATTAGCGGCGTAGTAGACGCAATCATCATACTGTAGGTCTCCAGACCCTGTAGGATACCTTTACCAGGGTACAGTTGCAGGGACTATACGGCACTTTCTTACCGAACCCCCCAAACTGTGGAGATATAGTGCAAATCACATGGAACCCCAAGATCAACATGATCAAATAAATCTAGCTCCGCAGTTTAGATGGGAACGGGAAGTGCGTCAATTGTATTTTGCCTGAGAGGAAATTTGAAAATTCCCACGAATGGAGAAGGAGACCTGAATAATCAGTATGGAGAAAGAGACCGAATACTCGGCGTAGTATTACCGACGCACATATGGAAATTTCCGCAACGCATCCATCCACAAGTCAAACCACATCGCATGACGGGCCTTTTATTACATCACACAGGATAGTAATTAAGGCGGTGAATTTGCCACGTAATGGCTTAGATGTGTCGCTGCTCACATCGGTTTCTTGTAACAAATTACCCCGATCCTCTAGCTCGTATTAGAGGAATCATATGATACCCACGTAGTTCAATGTTCACACATGGCGGCCACATTACGGTATAGCAGCTTTATCTAGCAACAGGGTTTAGGCTAGTATTATATTAAATCAATAGGAGTAATTAATAGAAACATGTAATATAGGTTATATCACGTATTGCTGCCAACTAAACAAGCGTTCCACAACCTAGCAACATGCATGCAAAAGTCCACCCTTCTAATAGCCTTTACTAATGTACAGTCTCTTCAATCCTTTTTCCACCAATTGGCATGAAACACGATAAAAGGAAAGAAATTAGGACCTATTTGTTTTCATGTGACTCTGATAATTCAGAAGTTCAAAGTTGACAACTAATTTCTTTAAATATAGGCGTCCTAGCAGTAACCTGCTCCCACAGCCGTAGTGTAGCCAGTTCATAAATATTCAATTTGTAACGACTCATAATCTCTGTAATTGTTTCACACTATTCCGCCAAATCTTCTGCTATGGGCAACATCTGCTGGAATCTGGTCATCCAGGTAAGCTTGGTTGTGCAAGCTCTCAGCTTTATTGTCTTGGCCGCCCCAGCTGCATATGTCGACTGCCAGATACCATCTCCGGACCCCCTAGCCAACTGTCCTAATGGAACAATTTTGGTTTCTGCATCAGGTAGCCATGATGCGCAATTTAACACGATCCAGTCCGCAATTGACTCATTACCTCATGACATGTCACATCAAGTTATCTTGATTCTCCCTGGAAATTATGGGGAGCAGCTCAACATCACCCGCCCTGGGCCGGTAACTTTGCTTGGCCAAACGCCTCATCCAACAATACAAAGTCAAAACCAAGTGCAAATTCATTGGGCCGCTGCTAATGTCAACGGCCGATACACGGACAATGCATTTACAGCCGTTCTAACGGTTGCACCAACCCTCGAATCTAGTCTAACAGGTTCCGGTCCTACTGGCTATCCAGTGCCCCCCAATACTCCATTTGGCTGTGTAAAATTCAGTGCTTATAATATCGACTTTCGTAACGTGTATGCCGAATATGCCGCTGCCCAGTCTCTAGCTGTTAGCATAAGTTACGCTAATGCTGGGTTCTACTGGTGCGGCATCTACAGCTATCAGGACACGGTAAGACAGTTGATCTCACGGCTTTGACTCATACTGGCTAACCAGTACATACTAGGTTTACGTTGGTAAGCTTGGGAATGCTTACTTCTACCGTAATGAGATTGCAGGACAGGTAGACTTTCTTTACGGTACGTCATATCGGCAATGATTTTGAGTGAGCCGGATGAATTTTAACACTGCCGCGACAGGTTTTGGGACAGGATGGGTGCAACATTCCAATCTTACACTTCGATCTTGCGGCGGTGGCATTACCGCCTGGAAGGGTACAAACACGACTTTCTCCAATAAATACGGAATCTACATATCCGATTCATTTGTCAACGCAGCGAATTCTTCAATTGCAGCATCAATAGTTGGAAAGTGTTACCTTGGTCGACCTTGGAATAATCTCCACCGTAGTGTATTTTTAAATACCAGGTTGGATGCAAGTATCTCGCCAGGAGGGTACAAAACATGGTCCGGCGGAGCCCCATTCACGAATGGATCGAACTACGGTAAAGGGACCTTAATGGCTGAGTATGAAGATTATGGGCCTGGCTTCAATACAAGTGGGCGTCTGGCCGGTAACATTACCACGCTCTTAAGAGTTAATCAGGCCAGACAATATCGGACACCCAGAGATGTTTTTATGACACCAACAGGCTCACAGCCGAACATTGCTTGGATTGATGCCGGTTGTTATACTTGGTAATAAGAAAGTATAAGAAAAGGACTATAAGAGTTATACAGATAAAGGCTCCTTTTCTTTTTAATGGCCCCCGAGGCAAATAACTTTTGAGCTTGTTAATTTTATCTAGGCTTGCCTCACATACAATGTAAGTGTGATTATTTGGTTTCATTCAAATGCGAATAATTAAACTTTTCCCCCCTGACTAAATCTCTCATTCTATCACTTACATCTCTCACTTCATCGCCGAGACGTTATTTTTGGCAATCGTCCACGTCTTGTAGTCCGAGCTGTGAGACAGGCCGGAGTAGGTCGCACCCTGGCTAGTGGAGATCGTGCTGCCGAAATTTTCATCGGCATCATGAAGTGCAATAACAGTGTTAATATACGTCTGCGCAGCAATCGTGCTACTGCACCCGCCATCACGCTTTGTCCCTGTCCCTGTCCCTATACCGTACCCCGTCGTGTACGGGCCCGCATTGTGGCTGGATGTAGATAAAACGGCGCCTGTGTTCGCATTTGTCGCCGTCTGTATCTATGTCTCGCCATCACTCTGGAGGGCACAGACGATCTCCACAGGCGTTGATCCGGCTACAACGTCAGCTGTGCCATCTATAGGCCGAAAGACCTAAACACGCTGCAGCGAATGCACCACTCTCCTGTCGAGGCGCCGCACCAGCTGTTGCTTGGTCACGACTCAAGCGTTGTCCGTATTAAGTCCCCCGTGCCGTTGGAAATCCCGGGCCAAAAAAAGCCCTTGCCAGTTTGGGTGGTGGGCGCCTTGCCCGGAGTAATGGTCGTTATAACATTCGTGAGACGGCTCTTCGTTGGGCCCCAGCTATCAAGGCGGACGATCGTGGGTTGGCGGGGCGGCCAAAGACCTTGTGGGCGTTAATGAAATTGGCAACCGCAAGGATCGGGAGGACGGTAAGTACCGCGATTACCATGAAATACATGTCGATGTGCTTACCTAGTAGAGTGGGGGAAGTGAATGTATGCGAGTGAAAGTTGACTGCTTAACAACCGAATAAAAGGACAGTGCACTATAATGTTTCTGTGAGAATATAGATTGAAATCCACAGAGCATTCCCTGAGATTCAGAATGTTCGGGCCTTTTCAATTGGTATATAAGAAACCTGTATGCGCGCCAATAGGGGAAAGGGGGAGGACTAAATGGGGAGCTGAAAGAGCGGGGCCGATAAGACATGTTTCAACCGCCAACAAGACAGATGCAGGCAGAAGAACCAGGGACACGGTTAAATATACTTTTTAAACATTCCGGGTTTTGAATTACTCCATCAGTTCCAGTACCCTTTGGATGAATCCGCAACTCCCTGCATACACGCAAAGTAAGGGGGTGATTCGGTAACTTTCCGTAGCAAATACGAAGGTTGTTTTCCAGGGTGGATTCGAGTTTCATATATTGCATCGCTTGCGCATAGTCCATGGACAACAGTGGTGAAATGCATCCATCGCATTACGGAAGCACGGGCCAGAAGTTCCCATACGGGGCACGCCAAGTAATGTTCCTGAGCATTATAGTAAGCTAAAGGGAATACACTATGCTGCTGGGTGAACAGAAAGAAGAGTCAGCAAAACAAAAGGACAGAAATAAAAGATGCCAAATCATAATGGTACATGATAATTCCAAAAGAATAATACTAATTAGCTACAGGGACAATCTATACCAATATCTCGGCCCAGGCTTTCTCTTGCCATTGAGTATCGATCCTCTCACCGCTGTAAGGAACGTTTCCCTAGCCGCTTGATTGCTCGTTTGGCAAACCCAAGAAAACAGTAAATAAACAGAGGTGATATACTTGTGGAGACTAATATCCTATAGGTTCTCATTTATTTGCTTGTTTCTGATGTCATGTGGTTCCTTATCCGCCCTTAACACTTACACACCGTAGCACAAACTCAAAAGCTTTATGATGATAATACTGGTACGTGGTCATTATGGCCCTAGTTGGCTCATGCTAATCGATACAGGCATTATTGACTGCTTTCAATATTGTTTTCACGAATAATAATAATTGAAAAGTTGAGTTCACCCACAAGTTCCCTTATCAGTCTGTTTGTGCAATGATATATCAGCACATGATCTCAATCCACAAGAAAGTTACTTTTCTTATGTGACACAGAATGTAGAATACGAAAGTCAAAAGTATTTCACTCACTGAGTTAAACGATTGACATCGCGAATCAAATACCAATTAACGGTATGAATTAATGCCGCAGCTGCGAATCCTTCATCCGCAGGCACATCCCTAGTTAAAAATTCGCCCAGGTGCGGTATTTTTAATACCGCCAACTCCGGTGGCAGCGGATGTGCCCGACTCAATGCAGAATGTAATATGATCATTCTCGCCGTGATGCCGTCTGGAGTCAAATGAGCTTCAGCTGTACCAGTTGGGTCGTTGGCCCACCATGATGAGGCTGCATCTGGAACCTTTAATTCACGGGATACATAGCTTGCAAGAGTCATGTAGCTTCCAAGTCGCTCGAGGATAGAGAGCATTTCACCATAAGTCTGCTTTGGGAATCGCCCACCAAGCGCAAATTCCCAGTCCAGGAACTGGAAGCTCGTCTTGGACCTGGTGTTCAGAGCCTGGTATTTGTGAAAAATGCGGCGGCGGGCGGCCTGGAGATGGGACCCGGGGCTTGTCTTATCACCAAGGTCGCCGAAATTACCATGGAGACGAGCGATGATTGTCTGTTGAATGCACATGTAGTAGTGAGCTAGCTCATACATGGTTTTGGCTATAATTTGGCGTAGTTCGGAATGTTCAGAGAGAGGGTAGGGGAAAACTGTCCAGAAATAACCTGTGCCGACGCCAAGTGTTACGACGGCAAGCCTATAGGGAAATATTATATACGGCGCATAGACAGCTTGTCCCGATTGCAAAACGACTTCTTTTCCTAACTTGCGAGTTTGGAGTTCGTTTGCTATCATTACAATTGAGGCAATGAGAGCAACAAACCAGATACTGAAGAAATCGGGGAACTTAACAACTGGAACATATATGTTAATAACTACACTAATTTGGCGGTAAACATATATATGCGCCAACTTACATAAGTAGCCAATGACAATGAACCACAACCAGAGGAGGATCAATATACCAGGAGTTTTTTCGTCGACCGCATACCAGATGATGTAGCTCGTTACCATTGAGGCTATTGTACCCAATACCCGACCTATTAATAGAAACGTAGATGATCCAGCAGTGCGGGCCATAGAGAGTAATATAGCAAAGAGTGCCCAGAGAAACCTTTGTGCGAAATAGAAATCCTGCGAATCATGAAGGAACGCAATGATAGCTATGGTCATGATGGCGCATATACCTCGAAGTCCATGAGCAGCATGGTCGCTACGAAAGCCGGCACAGATTTTACGCATATAATCTCCCATGGTTTCCATAAGGTTAGTAGGCGGGAGGTGGTCGGGATTTTTTGGATTGTAAAATGCGGAACCGAGTTTGAAGTTTGGTTGTGTATCTGTATTCTGAGCGCTGCCATCTCGTCGGAAATCACTCAGGCGAACAAGTTTTCCGACCCAATAGCTCGGGCGAAGGAAATATGGGATAAGTAACCTCTTAGGTTGTGTATAACAGTCGTCGAGATAAATAAGCAATTTGAGTAGTTCTTCCCCCAAAGACGAGAGGATGGTTTGAGACTATAACGATCGGTTACCAATGAGGTAGGAAGTGAACAAGGCAGCTTATTACTTACATGAAGGAATAAGAAATAACGTAAAGTGCTCGAATGCATTTCAGAGGTATATTGGCTCAGGTTTCCCACTTGTGGCCTATGTTGAATGAAGCAGTCAAGTAGCTTGTTGTTAGTCATACTATTGCTGTCTTGGCTAAGCATATGGTTCTTGTTAAACACGTCGCGATATGACTCGAGATAACCAACATCCCCCGGGTTTGAGGTAACACCCTGGTGCTCCTCGTCGGCTTTTCGCACGCGACATCTGTTGAAGGGGGAATGTCCCTTAGTAAGTTGCAATCGAAGTTTGGCATGTTCAATTCCTCGAATGATTTCCTCGGACATTTTTCTTGAATACTGGTCCATTGCTGCTTCAAGATGTTGCCAGTCATCTTCAACTGATAAATCATTGTTCGTATCACAATGGCCGTTCATGTCGTTGTATCCATCGATATGTAGTTGCAGCAAATCTGCCACTGAACTTAAACCAGATGCTGGTGGTATCAGATCGACCAACAAAGAAGAAATTTCCTCTAGCCGCGAATGATCAAGGATACCCCAAGATATCTCACGGGCCGCGTACTCGCCATCCCGGCCAATCTTGGCGACAGCGTTGACAAATCGTTGCAAGGCAGCCTCAAGCTGGCTAATAGATGATATGCTGGTCGTTTCTTCTCCTGTGGAGAATCTTTTTATCAAGATATATTCCATGCACTTCCTTTGTGCCTGTGTGACAGCTACCAATTCATCAAGACAGGCTCCCATATCTTTCCTGAAAACCCCTCTGCAGCTTTGTGGGAACAATATGAGTGCATTAACGAAGCCAACAGCCTGCCCCACCAGGAAAGACTCCAAAATAATGTTAGTCTCGTCGATAACTGTTGACATATTGGGAGCTCGAGCTATATTTGGCAGTGTTGCGACTGTGAAAATCCCAGCCATGGTGCACTGGAGGCCCCAACTAGGAAATGCAGATCTTAGTGTAAACACGCACCAAATGCAAAATATCAAGAAAATGGCAACAACCGCTTCTGCTGAGGAGTTGTAGGCGTTTAGATCGTTAATATCGTGCGTAGTGTGTTGTCTAGCTTGAACACCACACCAGCCAGCAAGCAGTGCCCAGCAATAGGATAGAACAAGGCAGAAAGTGAGTCGAATATTATGTGTAATCAGCATTGCCCGAGGGAGAGCAGGCAGAACACAAGTAGATGTAATGGGAGCTAAATAGGCATTTGTCTTGAAGTGATTGATCCAACTATTAGACTGAATAGCGCATACAAGCACAGCTGGTGGGATAGACGCTTTGATAGCCATCGTAATCGTATACCAATCCAACGTTTGTTGGGCCAATACCGACTTTATTTGCAGCCGTCGCGTAGTATCAGTTCTAAAAACAGTAGTTTCGGTTCTACCGAAGTCTTCCGATATTGATGATGCTGTTACGTCTGGCGTGGACATATTTGGATTGTCTGATCGCATGGCCGGCGCTTCCGTAGACATGGCTGTACTGGGTCTCTCACAGAGGGGGGAGAAATATTTCAAAGTGTAGAATTCGCAAGCGAAAATATGATGTTGGTTTGCCCATATCTTCCTAGGATTGGAGATTGCGAGAAGAGTAGCATTAATTTCTTGCTTGGTTATGACATCGGATTCTGTCAGCTCATTCATCACATCTAAATCAGAGCTCAAATACGGTATTGCTCGCATTCTGTGGAAGCCTTCTTATAGCAAAATGGGGTTCTAGCCTTACAACCCTTCTAGCTGTGTTGTGGCTTGAGTGGCTGCCGGGGCTGCCGGTGAGTCAACCTCTATGCCCCACAAATAGATCTTCCCAAATTATATGGGCCTCAAAGACACTTTGCTATATAAGTCAAAAACAAAGATTACTTTGTTACTTGTGGGATTTACATAAACCGAGATAAAGCATGCTATATACATTCGACTTGGATGCAATATGTATACCACTTTCTTCTTCATGGTCGAGCCCATGAGTCAACTTTATCAAGGAATTGGAGGTAAGATTCGGCCCTTTCAAAGGTATATGCCCTAGCTATCAACAAAATAACAATTGCTAAAAAAGAAAATAAAAATGAAAGGAAAACAGATTTAAAGACCGCAGTTACAGCACCTTAGTCTTTTTTCCTCTAATCATACCCAAATGCTTCTCATCAATATGCCTTTTAATGTTATCCTTGCGCTTAATTATACGTCCACACAATGGACATTCTCCCCCTTGTTTACGCATCTCATTAGCTGGATCCTCAGCAAAGCCAGGGTGGCGGGCCCAGATATGGCGCTCCATATCTTTGTTTTCACTAAACAGTTCTGCACACAGAGCATAACCCTTCTGATTGGCTTTACACGGTATGTGAGGGTTATGCTTTTTCTGAACGTGTTTGCTACAGAAGGCTACACATTAATTTCAGTTCTTAAATAGGGTAAGTTGTAATAGAAGCTTATCCAGAAGTAAAAATAGTGCCAGGTCTAGACTTACTTTAGGTCACTCGATCGAGGAAATACCATCTTACAGTCTTTCCAGTCACAAACCACAGACCGCCTCTTGCGAGCGGAAAGCTTTCGTGATGTTTTCCCTTTGCTTTTAGAATTATCATTTAATGGGTAGAGATCTTCCCGACTTCTCATGGGTGAGGTCTGCGCTTCATTCTCTGGTTGCTGCATCTCCGAGGGGTCTTCCTCTATAAACTGATTGAACAACTGAGGGCTGAAGAACAAATCTGTCAGGAAAGAAATTATGTTTCAGCTCAATATAATATGGGTGTAAATATTTATAGCCGACTTACTGTCGAAGTCTATCTCTGTGAGTTGTTCATGGGTCCCTTCCAAAGTATTCCCGCGTGGAACCTATGAGCTCTCGTCCTGGGTGTAATTTAGATGAGAGCCTGTGGTACTGCAGAGAATAGTTGGGCTTTGTAGATTTGGACCCGGAAAGACTGCCTCTTCAGGAAAAGGCGCGGGTTCATTCTTAGCCTGTTCACAAATCATACGAGGATCAACGCATCCCGATAGCACAGGCATTGTGCCTCCATCAGCCCAAGGATACGCAGAATACGCTGCATTGTCCAAGCTTTCCGTGTAACCCACTAAATTAGTATCTCTGCAGACTTCAAACCATTATAGAGTCATACTATGCTTCATTCTGATTAGCTCCCGATAGTGAAGGGTCTAGAGCCCAGTGATTGGGGCAGTGGCAGTATACACCCATGTTCTAAAGTATGGGTAATCCTGTGGGTGGCCTATAACCCTCATCAGCGAGCTTACTCTTGCGTCCAACTGCTTTTCTTAGTTTAATATGTTATACTTACCAAAGCATTAGGGTTACTATATATTCTCCAGTGCTGAGGTTTGATAAAAAAAACAGCCTAGATGGGGATCGATTATCACAGAAGCTGGGGAGAAAAGTCAGCGTGCGCCATTTGGAACTGGCCAAATATATACGTAGTATCCACCCAGAGATCAACTGAGGTAGAGAGATATACTTTTGAATACATGTTTCAAAACTTCCAAACTATTGGACATTTGATTAATATCTATGTACACCACTAAGCCTAGCGCAGGTCAGCCTTAGTTCTTGCCGCTATATTACCAACAGTAAGCAGGAAGGGTTAGTAATATACTTCTCTACTAACCTCTTTCTGTCCTTGCACTACCCGTCGTCGGTATCAAAGGGTGTGTTGATGATACGCTGGCGAGCGCGTGTTCTGAATCCTTCGTATCATCAAGCGCCTTAATACTCCGCCACAATTTTAACCATGCAAATTAGCCAACCATATTACGATGCAAGCCAACACCACGTTTTGCATGCATGAGTTAGCTCTCCAGATTTAGCTAGCCTTACAGAGATGCAGAAGGCTGAGACACTCTAGGGACAGAACTGTATTAATATTTGGTCGGCCTCCAAAGGAAAACGTGTGTTGGTCGGCCTCCAAAACGTATATGTTGGTCGGCCTCCAAAACAAGTTGATTGATTAATTAAATTTAGAATGCTGCAATTTTATCCCGGAATTAATTCCAGACCTATATGAGCTATCTAGTAGCAAAGCAGGAACATTAATAGAGAGAAGGCTTATATAAAAGGCGTCGCCATCGCTTTTATAGGCCTTTATGTTATCAGGACTTTTATTTCACACCAGATATTGCTTAGTATACCACTGTGGTGTTCAAATTTTGCTTCATCAGTGCCTTATAAAGTGAGTTTGCTTCTATACACGAATTTACTATATTGCTTGCTAATATTGTCCAGCCGCTTGCTATATTTGACAACATGAATTCTTCCTTAGCCTCCCGCGTCACCGCCCCTCTGAATGAGGATATGCTTAAACAGCTGTCATATTTATGCGTCCTTTCGGTGAGCATAAATAAGGCTTGCATGAAAAGAGAGGGCAACACGTATGCTTCAGGTAGTGGCGGTAAGGATAAGAGTCTCACACCATTTCAAAAGTATCTTTCCAAACTCGCATTGATTTGCGATACTCAGAAAGGGGAATGCGGTCGCACTATGACCGCACTAGTCTGTCTCAAGGGAACCGAAGGCCCTGAGTATATCTTTACTTCCAACTATAGGAAGGAGACGGAGCTTAAAGAAACCAAGTCGTTCCTCTCCAATTTACTAATCTTTATTGGGACCAATCCCGACAAACTTGGGGCGAAACCACTGCAAAAGCAAGTTCTATGGAGGAGTCTTGAATTTAACTTTGACAAGCTAGAGTTTTACTTGAAAGCTCTAACCAATGCACTGGAAAATTGTATTGCCTCAGAAAATGGCAGAAAATTGACTGGTCAGTCTAATCAAAGCTACCTTTTGATGTATATTTATGTGCTTCAGTCCACTGAATCAGGCTGATTCTTATAGATTTCCAAACAATAAAACAACTACATTCATTGCAAGAAAAAGCAAGTTTCCCCCGCGACATAGAATCATCAGAGAACGCTCGCACTAAATGTAAGACCCCATGTGCTTTACTATCTATGTTAGCTTTGCTTTGCGAAACAATGCTGAACCCATAATATTATTTAAGGCTTGAGTGACTGTGAAACTTTGATTAAGGCGATTCAAGCCAACAAAACCGGTGTGTTTGAAAAAGTTCTTCAGAGCCGCACCGTTGAAAAGGATGCAAATTCCGCAGACAACTGGTGCAAGCTCCGCCACTACCTGGGGCGCCTCCACTCCTATCGTCAGGCCTCGGAGATTATAGTCGCTGCAGCTACTACGTGGCCTGACCTATTCGAGAGTCCTCGAATTGATTTTATCCGTTCTGCTCAAAAAAAACATATCCCAACACCTAAAACATCAAACTTGAGCCAGATTATTCCCATCGCGCTTCCCGAACATGAATTTCGCGACTTTGAATCCGATATTGCTGAGTTGCGGATTTACGATTTGGACGAAATAATCAACAAGCAGCTCCAAAACAGGAGAATAAAGACAATGATCCACGGTGAGGTTCATCTTCACAATCATTTGGTTCAACAGGGCAAAACAAACCCCACAGATTTCTGGAATGATTCCATGTTTATAGCTACGTCCAAGCCCACCTGTCGCCTTTGCCAATACTATTTCAACTGTTCTACCAACAATTTCCAGGTTCAAACATCTCACATGAACCTCTATCCAAAATGGCGTCTCCCTGACATTCCTGATTATCAAAGTTCGGAAGATAGAGATCTTTATGAAGACTTATTGCAAGATATTATTGAGCAAATGCAACACGACACGCTGCAAATGCTAGAACAAAAGATTTCAAGAGGAAAGACCAATGACTCGCGGACAGATTCACACTCTAGGTTGTCGACAACAGCGTCATATTTAGGGTCGGGATTAAGTAACCTAGGGGCGGAGAGGCAAGGAACGAGCCCCAGGTTACCTAGCCCGTCCTCTGATGTTGGTGAATCATGGATTGATATAGAAAATGGGGGATATCATGCTCGATGAAAGAGCATGAAGGATTTCTTTCTGTTCTTCGTGATAAAGGCGGCCATTAACATCATAATTTGCTGGGTAGCATCCCCGATAAAAGTGAGACTGGATACGAAAGATTTTTTGATACGGCCAAAGACTACTCTCCGATAGATAAACTTAAGTCCGATTAAAAGGGCTAGTTTCAGAATAGACATAAATATTTAACTTACAGAGAAGAGATCCCAAGCGGAACAAAGTATTTCGTTAATAATAAGAGGAGGAAGGCAGTCATATGTAGCAATCTAATGTTTCACTCGTATCACACTCATATTGCCTTTAGATCGAGCCAGTGAGGATACCTTGGTTCGTTTTTACCATTGTTCGTTGCAATTGAGAATTTATCTCTTAGTATTAGAGAAATTAGAAGCGATAGTTCGGTAAACGATTCCAAGTGAAGCTGCTTCTTAGGGTTTTCGTCAGCAATCTATTAAGGCAAACCATGGACAGGAAAGAAACCGGCTATACACGCCCCACGAAAAACGTAAATGGTCATTAAGATGCCTCCCCAATTTAGCCCATATAAGCGATGCTGAGATTGACAATGCGAGGAGGCTATGATTTAGTATCACTGGCGGCATTGGCGAGTGAGCTCTTCCATATCCTCGATATCACCGTTGTTCTAGATTCTAAGCCTCAGCCAGAAACAGCCCAGATAATCTTCATTAGGAATATAATATCAAAGGAAGGCCTTCATGTATGGTTATAGCTTTAATAAAGTATTGTTAACTATATAAAACGGAGGGGTTGTTACTGGGAATAACCTGTGTTGGTCACCAGATGACTGCCAAATGTATTTTATTGACTCGTACTTAAATGTGAGCTTCTGGATGAAACAGCCTGCAGCGCGCCACCTGCATAGTTAATATGAATAGTGCATTTGGGCCAACTGATTCAATGCAGTGATAGGCAGGATTTCTAACGGGAAGGCGTTAGTTACACGTGGCCAAGAGTGTGAGAAACCGATGGTCTCCTGGCCGATTGAGAAGGCAACCTACATACCTTCATATGGAATAGCGCCTCTGTTATATAATTAAGATGTTTAAAAAGATAAATTTACAATTAAGGTGAAATGTTCAATAAAGCTGTAGCAGCTTTTACATATTTGTTTTAAGTATAATACACTTTATCCTCTCTTACTATTCTAAAGTGCTCATGGTAGCTCGGGCTTTCATTATGGCCAGAATATCATGCAACCTCGTTGTCCGTTTACAGGGATTACCGTTTACTATGCTACTACCAGTGAGATGATATATAGTTTATGACATCCCGTGGATTAAGGGGGCAGAATTCTATAACATACAACGATTCAGGGGTGAATTTTAATTGCAAAGGCCCAATGAGCGTATCTCAATATATCGGCGCTATCGGAGAATTTTAGCTCAGGTGGGTTATCAATCGGCCTACACGAGACCAAGTGGTACACCACGGCACAGCACTGCCTCATACTTCGGAGCCTAGGTCCTTAATTACCTCACCGCAAGGTAGTAGTGGAGTTAGATGAACAGTTAACATGTGATTTAGTATCCTTTTGAGCATTCAGCAACAAGGGCAAAGATAATAGTGTTGGGATTGTCCATGCGCTATCGCAAGATTAGAACTCCTTGATCATCTATTTTGCTGTACCGGTTTTAAATTATATTGGCATAATGCGGTGTATTTTGATGTAGGGAACTCCTGACAAGGGAAACAATTTTTATAAAGAGGGTCGACCGCTGCGTGTCTTTCAGAGTTCATCATCCCGCAGAGCTTGTCCGCCAGTAAACTCTTACAATTAAAACTGTGAAAATCATTGCAATTTTAAAGTATTGGTAATCATGCCTTCCTTCGGATTCTTTCTTGTCGTGTTGGTAGCCACAGCTGCGGCAAAACCTATGCACCTTGCCCCCCGGGCCAGTTGCACTTTCACCGATGCTGCCACGGCAATCAAGGGGAAGACGTCATGCAGTACGATTACATTGAATGGTATTACCGTTCCTGCCGGTGAGACCCTGGATCTGACTGGCCTCAAAGACAATACCCAGGTTTGAATGACCCATAGCCCTTGTTACGCTTTGCTGCTGAACGATCTAACTCAAAATGTAGGTCATTTTTACCGGAAAGACTACCTTTGGCTATAAGGAATGGGCCGGCCCTCTAATATCTATTTCAGGGAATGGTATTCAGATACAGGGCGCCTCAGGACACACTATTGACTGTGCTGGTCAACGATGGTGGGATGGCAAAGGTTCAAACGGCGGAAAGACAAAGCCCAAGTTTTTCAGTGCTCATAGCCTTCAAAACTCCAATATCAAGTCACTTAATGTCTTGAACACACCAGTTCAAGCATTCAGTATCAACTCGGTGACCAATCTCGGGTTGTACAATGTCACCTTGGACAACTCTCTCGGCGACACCAAAGGTGGACACAATACGGATGCTTTCGACGTTGGCTCGTCTACTGGAGTGTACATCTCTGGAGCTATAGTAAAGAACCAGGACGACTGCTTGGCCATCAACTCTGGGACCAACATAACATTTACTGGGGGCAACTGCTCTGGTGGCCATGGTCTGTCCATTGGGTCGGTCGGTGGCCGAAGCGACAATACGGTTAAAACCGTGCGCATCTTGAACTCGAAGGTGTCCAACTCGCAAAACGGCGTTCGCATAAAGACAGTGTCTGGAGCGACTGGTTCTGTTTCTGATATCATTTACGATAACATCTCATTGTCAAACATTGCGACCTATGGTATTGTCATTGAGCAGGATTACAAGAATGGTGGGCCGACTGGCACGCCTACTGCTGGCGTTCCAATTACTGGCCTTACTGTCAACAAGGTTACTGGCACTGTTCAGTCGGGTGGCACAAATACGTACATTCTATGCGCGGCTTGTTCTAAGTGGACTTGGACTAATAATGCCGTCAAGGGAGGGACCAAGACCAAAAAGAACAAGGGCGTTCTCTCCAATGTCTCTATTTAGTTTTTTATTCTTTTGGTTCCAGAGAATGCGAGTAGCCTCGTCGAAGGGAACTTGTTAAGATAGGTCCCAATGTTGCTTTGGTAGTGTTTTTACTACCCTGCAGTAGCGGAATAGCGAGTGTGAGCTCAGCCTATGATAGTCTGTATATCTTTTTCTTCTTCTAATTACTTATGTCACAAAGCATCTTAGCTTTGTGACAATTCTGAATTGAAAATTTCCTTCATTCACTTTTTCATTTCACTTTTCCATCTTTTCACATCCTCTAGGGGTGCTGATAATGCGACGAGTGCAAACGCATGGACATGTACAATCGTGGAACCCAGCTTTCCCCACACTCACCATGCCGGGATAAAATGCCAAGGGGTTATGATCGCTTTCTTTCTTTTTTGCGCGCCAATGACAGCCCAGTGGCTACGTGGAGGGTTACATCGCCTACCTGTATTTGCTCTCATTCAATTAGTGACTTTCGGATATCATTCCGATGTAGTTAGGCAGGCATCTCTTTTGTGACGCTCCTCAGTATCGTCAGACAGAAAATGTTCAAATTTTCCAAGTCCCCGCTTCAGGAGGTGCCAATTATCGTAATTCTGTAACATTTATAACATTTAATAAAAGGAAAGGGGCCTTCGTCTCTTCCCGTGTCTTCGAGAGGACACGTCTAGACCATAATGTGACCCGTCCGAAAGTATGCTAGGCCAAAGGTGGACAATAGCTGGGTGATTCAAAATAGAAGAACCGCCAAGTATAGATGCCAATTTATTACGTCGGCCCAAAAATAAACAATGGACTTCAGGGATCAATTTCGTACGAGTTTAAGCTGTCGGTAAGGTGTTCGCCCAATACAAAGAGAAGAATGTGTATATAGAAGAGACAAACATATGAAATGCACATCGATCTTGTAGATAAAGGCATCTTATCAACTTCTACATATATACGCAGTTCAAAAGTGGCCACTGTCAATCTTTGGTGTTTGAGAGTCTCAATTTATGGCCTAGGCGGGTCTTCAAGTGACGGATTCTGCAGAGAAGCATTATGTATAAGGGACCTTTGTTGAGTCCCCTCTTTGAGTTCAGCGCTATGCTATTATTTAGAACGTTCGGTTGACATTTCCACTGAAAGAGGACCTAGCATAAATTGCCAAGAGACAGACAAGCTACCAAATAAGTTTAGGTAGCATATGTTCATTGAAAGGAAAAAAAAGGTATAGTAATTCTAAAGCGAATAGCCCTGTCTCGTAAAACCCTATTTGTATACCACCCTACAGTTCCTTAATACGATGAAATTCGCAGCAAAACAAATGAACTATACAGGAATTTTTTTCTCACCCATTGCATACTAATTGGCAGAAAACACACAAACCAACGGTCAATTTTAAAACCAGTGGATGACGTTAACCTATCAATTTGAATTTTAAATAGAATTTATAGAGTTCATATATATTTGTTTCAAATCCAACAAACTCATCCAAACAAGTGTGTTTCTTTGCACTTACAGGGCTGGCTGGCTCTCATGATTTATAATTACCGATTTCTCTTTCAATGAGTAATTGAACTGTTTAAACATCTGCTTAGTTTATTGAAAAAGGCTTCTCCCATCATTGTAATCCATTCTGTTATCGTAACTGCAAATATCTTAAGGGGGTGTTGGGGTTACGACCGTAGGCTTCAGCAAGGCGCATCCCTGACCATTTACATTCACTGTCACCTGAGCAAGATTATCGTGGCCATTTAAGCATGCACCGCCAGAAGCAACCAAGTTAGCGCCTGTGAACCTGACCAATTCGACATCCTGGGACTCGCAGTCCTCCGCCTTGAAGTGCGTGCCATTAAAACCCACGCAGACTTTCTTGTCCACCAAGTCAGGTCTGAATCCGTTGCTGAAGGTTCTCTGAACAATTAACACGTCGGCTCCGTTCAAAGTCGATGGCGTAAGTTGTCGATCTGCAGCTTCGTTGACGCAAGCAGCATCAACGATTTCGCCTACACAGGGGTGATTAGCTTGGGTAGTTTTTAATAAGGAGTTCCTACTAACCATTATTCCTGAAGGTGAGGCATTCGTTTCCGGGCACGCCTCCAACTTCAAACAAGATCAATGTCTGTTCCGATTTTTTGCTGCCACTGCTTCCTCGTCTTTTACCGATTCTGTTATTGTTATCGTTGTTGGTACCACTCTCTGCCGTCAGTGGAACCGCTTCAACAACAGGAGCCTTAGGGATAGGATCATTGTTATGAGAAAAAGGGTCAACGGCTTGGCGCTTGTGGCGAATCTGGCGGATGGAGCGGTGCGAGTGCTGAGCGGCGTTGCAGGTGGCGGTAAAAATGGTTACAAGGGTCAGAAACTTCATCTTAAAAGAGGAAAAAATCGGTAGAACTGTAGAGTGAATTAGATTGATGAATATGTGGGTAAAAGTAACGGACCAGCCGAATTAAGAGAATTGAAGAAACTGGTGATGAATGTCGATGCCAGACCGGGGCTAAGGAAAGAAAAAACAGCAGATGGACTCGGTCTTGCGAAACCCTTTATATCTTAGTGACAGGTATAGTGGCCCCATATCATGTCAATTTCGGTGGCTGTGACTTATTCAACGCATAGTGGGCCCTGCCTCGTGAGTGTTTCGAGTTGACAAAACTGCGGCGAACCGCCATGTCACATTTTGGGATGGCTTCTCAACTGGTCCCAGTCAAAGCTCAAGGCTGATCTGAGCAATGCTCTAAGATTGACCGGAGTGCCACTTTCAGATTGTTTGTACATATATAGCTTACATTATTGATATCCCCACTTATGAACTCCTGATCATAATCCAATAACTAATGTACTTACCAAGTGTGTGTCGTTCTTTTATGTACATAGCACTCTCAATGCACATTTTTTCGTGGATGATTAGATCTTAATCGCATTGGATACCTGAAGCAGTCACTATGATAGACTTTCTTGCGATTAACAATAACTTCTAGTCAACATCTTGCTAAGGTTCTTAAGCGAGGTTCACACTTCTCTGGAGCTTCAACTGAGTGCGATTAAGAATAGATAATGCCTATGTTCACGTCTGTGACGACTTACATTAGCTTCCAAGGACGACACTAGGCCAAGGGTCCATATTGCAGGTGTATTAAGCCAGTTAATAGAGTTTATCGGGTATCATGCTTATGCCAGTAACAAGCTGTAAAACGTTATAGAATTGTAAGACAAAACATGATTGATCTTAATTTCAGAAACGTACCGAGATATGGTTTCATCTTCTGAGTAGTATCAAATGGAACTACCTATGTAGACCTACCTGAACATCTCCAGTGGAAGCTTTTACGTCTGGGTTGAGTTTTCATTTTCCGGAATAGAAGTTGGTAGCTAGCGAATGCCACGATCGTCGCCCTCCTCACGCCCATCATTACTTCAAACATTTGACATGCAATAAAGTTCTAATAATAACTTTTCCCGGGCAAAACCCTTTTCCCTCGGGGCTAACTAAAATAGCAGTTAGTTGAAATTGAACTGATCCCGGAGGGTAAGGTCCGCCGAGACAGATTCAGGGGCCTGTAGAAATGCAAGCTTGATAGGCGCTGTCCAGTTACATCAGAAGCGTCAACAAGTAAGAAATACACTGTCTCTCAAGAACACAAAGCTTAGTACATCTTCTTGTAAAGGTCAGTAGAGTTCGTTTCCAGTGTATAATCCATAGTATCAGCCGTTCGCATCACAAACAGCGTTAATCAACAAGTTCGAGTTTGAGCCTTGACATTAACGTATTGGTACCAAACAGCACCTGTATGATAAATGGTACACTAACTCTGCCGTTCGGGCGCATTACCCATTGTGGCGCCGTGCCGGATTATGTGGCAATTAGTAATATCTAGCGTGGGGTCGGTAGGGGAGATCAAGTATTTGCTTCGGTGGTTGACCGACAGGTTCCGGACTGATTCCGACCTTCTTGACCCTTGTTCTCCTATCATTCTAGCTTAAATTTTGGCGCTATTGTTGATGTTCCGCGAGCTTTCGTAATACCTGATACAAAAAAGTGGTCTTGCCTCCTTAAACTAGTCACACGACCTGTATCCGTGTGAAGAATAAGGTATTCTACTCCGTACATCCAGTGATTATTACCTCGGCCTAGTGGTCTCTACTGAGCCGCTGGTGAGGATGCTGGATGTAGGGCAGACGATGAGACTCCCCGAGTAATGCGTGGCTTGTCCATCAACCTCATCATTATGTTGCTGAATGATTCTCCAAAACGATAAAAGTTACCCCCATGTTCGGGGTTCTCAACAGTATGAACTTTTAATTGCCTTGGCCATTTTGAGAGAGGAGTATGCTGCGGCAAGAGAGCTGTTCGTACACTAAGCCGTCGGCATGGAGATATCGCATGCAACAAAATGCAGCATGAAGCAATTGAATAGTTGATCCCGTTATTCATGGCAGTCTAATTAAACTTTCATGCACCTCGCAAACGATTGATGTTAGCTCTGCGTCGGCCGGATATGTCTTAACAAGACAATGTTGTTAGAGCCACGGAGGTAGGAATTCATCAACAAGGCTCATGGTAGTGACATACGCATATATTTTATTAGTTTGTACTGTATTCGGATGAATAATGAAACCAAAACGTTCAACTGCCTCCTCAGATAGTGGAAATTCCATGGTTCATGTCGACGCCGGTTTGCCGGTAGCGCGAGTAATGGTTGATTTGATGAGGTGCCAATGCCTGAGACCATATCTAGGTTCATAGTTATCTCACGGAGCGATTAACAAAGCTGGTACCCTTGTTTCATTTCTAAACGTATCCTTCACAGTAGCAGAAATCGATGAGCCGACATAAGGCTAGCACGACGCAGAAGAGATAGAGCTTTCAATGATAGAGTCAATTGACGCATTTGTCCTAATCAGATACCACTTCATGTTCTTCTATGAAAGAGATAGTGGCTAAAGACTTGGGCCTTCAATATTTTGATGCGGTAAGGCTTTCTGATGCCACATAAATCTCCTTCTTTATTTTGTTTTAAATGTGACTGAAACGGCATCTCATATTGATATATGGCACTTGTAATGATTATATTTTGGTTGGTCATGGTCGTATATATTAGTATGTTGGTAACATCGCAAAGCGGATCAACGTGAGACTCTCATCTGACCAGGGATGACGGGCGCGGAGAAATCACTCACAACAAAGTTAATGCAGAACTCTTCATGATTGGATATACGATTGAAAAAGATTGTAAATACATTGGCTTATGTAGATGCATGCTTATAGCTGTGAGACTTGGAGCAAGTACAGTTAGTGATGGGATGATGCACGAGCATGAAGTTGAAGCACCTATAACAACTATGTATGTTTGCCTACTCTATAACACGTCTTGCACCCTTTACAATATTCCCGAATAACTCGAAGCTGCCATACATGTGATGGGTATTCAGGCTTGCTCTCCGGTGAGTCTTCTGGAAGTGACTGAGTGGCCACCCCTGCCTCTCACGAGGGAATATAAGTGTTGGTTTGAATTCGAGCAGCAGCCGAGAGCGCCTGGCTTTGAATCAGAAAACATTAGGGAACTGCTCTTGTCTAACCCTCATCTCATTACACTAAGAGAGATATTACACTTACAAGACTTAGAATTGTCTTACTCAGAGTTTGTGAGCTGCACCTACGTAAATTTCTGGGATACTAAATAAAACAAGGCTAAGTCAGGCAGGTCCAAAGGTCTTTCTATTAACTTTAATTAATTTCTTCAGATACAACACAATATGAGATCATGGTGACTTCGTAGATGTTAACTTATAAATTAATGTTACGCAACACCAAGGTGATGTGGGAAGCACGGTGCAAGACGAATAAAATGATGCCGCTGAACAAGGATTTCTTGACAATGTGCTAAAATATGAAGAAGATCAACAATCAACCACGACGGATAGTCTTGTCATCGTGTTACATGGCGCAACTCTGTTGCTTAGCTGGGGTGTTCCTGAATTCTCCGGGGTGATGATGAATGGTAAAACAGAACAGCTCATCATTTCGCCTGAACCTCCCCAGCTTGATGTGGACCAAATACAGTTATCTCAAGTTGGGCTCCTCCGAATAAACAAAGAATATAGGACAGTAGATTTGGAGCTGCGGTGGCGGCATCCATTTAGGTTATTGTCGCGACCAGTGTATTATATTCCTGAATCATCCTCAGTAACACTGTTGTCTGACGCATATGTTTTCCACGCTGCACATGTCGCATTGAGTGACTCGTAGTCGATAAGGTCAGCAATCTCAGACTCGCGCACCACCCATTGGAGGCCGAATCCTTCACTTGTGTGCCACCCAATGTGACAGTGCATAAGCCAGGCTCCTGGATTGTCCGTCTCAAAGGCGAGCACGATATAGCCTGATGCTGGGAGCATAGCCACGTCACGACGCGGAGGATTATCCATGTTGAGCGTCACGCTGTCGCTATACGTACCCGTGCCCTGAGCCAGGATATAGAAATCGAAGCCATGCAAATGGATTGGGTGCGGAACCGGCATCGTCGTACTAATAACGGTATAAACCCATTGGCCGGCGTCAGGCAACGAGATCACAGCATTGGACGTGTTAAAGGCTGTGGCGCCGTCGTATACCTGCAACACAGTGGGATTCTCCCAGTCAACCACCATGGTTGTACTATTCAAGTACCATTTGAATAGGTTGTTACTATTCTTGCCCACCGTTACCGACTCGTCCTCGGTCTCAGTCTGGCTGGAAACTGTTTTAGAGACATAAGGAACGAGGTTAGACGTATCTTCGTCGGCGCAGCTGTCTATATACGAATATCCGGTTGTCTCAGGTGTGCTTGCGCTGTCGCCGTAGTAGACAATACCCCTGATATCATCTGAGTTATCGTTAGACGAGCAAGCGCTTTGTGGGATGGCCCGCATCCAGAAGTTTTCGGCAACGGAAGATTGATTGGCTGTGATGATAACATCATATCGCTGCCCTTTAGCAGGGATATATGTTAACAGATTCCCCTCCTATGGAATATGGGAGTGGAGAATACATACCCATGCCAATGCTTAGGATGCTGGTATTGAAAGGTGTAATAGGGACGAGGTCGGCGGCAATCACTTGCATGGTGTGGTTATCAATAGAGAATTTGAAGTGTGAGTCAATGGCAGCGTTGACAAGACGCAGTCGATATGTCGTCCCCTCCGTAAATGATGTGTTAAAACGGTGACCGGTAGTATCGTAGACGTTCGTGCCATTGATGAGACCCGTCGTTAGTGTAGGTGGTCCGCTCGTCTCTGCTGACTCGTACAACTCATCAACCGTCTGGTGACTCCAGTCGTTCAGAAACATAACACCTAAATCCTCATCGTAGTTGGCACTAGATGGGCCGTTGATGATAATGCCTCCAAAGACTCCCTCCCATGCTTGCAAGGCAAAGTGAGAGTGGTACCATGTGGTTCCATACTGAGTGGCCCTCCAGGTGTAGGTGATGCTGCTACCAGGAGGGGTGGGACATTGAGTGATGCTAACAACTCCATCATTCTGGTTCGTAAAGTTCTGACGAATACCATGGAAGTGGAGGCTGGTGCCATTGCTACTAGTCGAGAGTGTATTGGTGACATGGACGACCACAGTATCTCCCCAATCGGCAAAGAGCGTAGGACCAGGAATACTTCCGTTGATCGCCTGCGCAGAGCGTGAGACACCGTCCGGCGCTACTGTAACGTCGGTAAGCTCGAGCCAGTACTCCCGAGTGACGCCAGTGTCTGGGACCTCATTGTAGTAGTCTGTCGAGATATCATAGTCGCACCACTCATCTCGTGTGGTAGCAGTATTGCCTGAGCATGAAGACCGTGAATGGAGGACGGGAATAACTGTTCCATCAAACGAGGGAATAGCACACACCTCTCTAAAAATGAGAGAGGATGCAAGCAGAGGCAGCCAAATCATACTGAATAGGCGTTTTGATAATAGATTGAACTTTTGATAGAGCTCTAAACTGTGATGGTAACGAATAGTTGGAGAAGATGATTTGTAGTTTTGAGTTATAAAGGAGAGTTTTGACTTATGAAAGAGATTGAGGAGATCTTCATCAGATATAATCAGGGCGTCGCGCTACTCTTATACTCGATCTCAGGTTGTATTAGCTTGTATGTCGCATTGGATAACTGGTATTCTTTAGTCTGTAAGCACTCTTTGCAGATCCAGAACGTTATGGAGTTTCCGCAATTACCGAGACTTGCCATACGCAGTCGGTAATTTTCATAACCGAACACTCCGCGGCAGCTAGAAGAGGAATACGCAATTGTTTTCATAATCTGGGCCTGATAGGGGCGACAGGAGCCGTTCGAGAGCAAGGCAGACTCGTCTAGACCTAACCCAATAACTTCACATGTAACATAAGAATGCCTGTTATCAACATGTCGACCTGTAAGTATCTTGGAAGTCTTGTGGTTGCGTAATTGGTTGCGTAATCGGCTACCTCTTGAATTGAGAACCCCAAAGAGGGTTTACGCATTCTCGAGGCCAGCATCATGTTTAGAGTTGCTCCTACGAGACGGCTTTCATTCCCAAATAGTTGGACCGTTCATGTGCGCATCCGAGCCCAGCACAGCCTCGACAGAAAGCTGAGGCTACTAGCGCATGATGATTTATCTCAATTGGGTAGACTGAAACATAGCGAGAGGGAGAAGTCTTTAAATGAGTGATGACGTGGTTCTCAACATATATGTGTTTGTTATACTCCGTAGACCTCCTGAGTTACAAACTTAGCGAGCGTGCTCTTCGTAAGAGTCTTCGGTATGTGGCGGGTGATGTGTAAACGCGGCATAAGTTCCCACTTATTTGGGCGCACTACGTATGCAGGGTCGGATCAAATTCGGACCCCTACCCGCAAAGTAGTATCTAAGACGTTTTAGTCTTGAACAAGAGCGCTAAGGAAGAAGGACTTGCTGAGTCGGTTAAAGAAAGTGAGAGACAAATGGGCTTCATCTTCAAAAGTGTACGCGGCGGAGGTCATAATACATTCTTAACTAAATGAAGAAATTGCATTGATATCGAGCTAGCACCTGACCAAACTGGGCCACTTAGTCATCTCGAGTCTATTTGAGCAATTAACTACCTACCTAAGTAATGGTACAATACTCTTCGCTTCGTTGTGGCTAAAGTACCTGCAACTTGGCAACGCAGTATTTTCGACTTAATGATGTATACAAAATATACGAAAGAGATGTCATAAATTATTGTAGTATTTGAGGTGAGCTACTTAATTGTCAATTGGTAGCGTGTCATCCCTGTTTGTTTATAGCATATCTTTGTCACAGATTGGACGCGTGGCCTTTAACACTTAAGGCAGAATTGTAGAAAGAAAAAAATATAGTTAGCTAGTTTCAGGTTAATATTTTCCTTTCATTTCTTACGTAGTTCTCGACTGTCCAGCAATAGATAAAAGGGAGGGTTACTACCTCGAAATATTGGATGATACTGTCCATTTGTATTGCATTTACAACCCAGGCTCAGCATCTCATATCTTACATAGCAAATACTCGCTTTATTATCACTCACTTCGGGACACTGATTGAGATTTGCTCGACAAATATGTATCACCTCAAGTTGTTTGTGCTTCCGCTTGGAGCCAGTCTGTTTGGTTTCTCTAGTGGCGCCAATGTCCCTGACAGCTTCAACCTATATGCCTATGGGGAGGGAATTGGCGGATACCCAATTGTTTATCTCAACGGTGAGCTACTGCTTCTAGAAGGACTTCATAAATATGCTATGACTCTAGCTGACGCATTAAATTGCAATTAGGCATTGCCTATGTGGGCCAACAAAGTCAACTAAACGCCTCTACTCCTGTCGCACGCTTCAGTTAGTTTAACCAATTTCCCCCCACCCTATGGAATAACATGAGCAAAATTGCATCCTCAGTCGTTCCCAATATCATCAATTTTTCGCCACCATTGTCCCCTCTTCCCCCTTACAAACCTCCCACACGTTTACTCGCTCTGTACCCACTATAACATTAAGACCCTGTTGTAACATGATTAATATCAGCACTCTCATCCAACACTCTTGTTGCCAATTCCAACAACACCGCCGACACTGACGGGTTCTTAAATGCTACATTCTTCGTGCCCGGCCCGGATAATTCATCGCCACAGGCAGGCTTTGTCAACGGGACGCCGCCAGCTACGGCTGTGTCGACAGGTTGGACATTCTATGGGCAAACACTCCTACTAGTGGGCTCTTCAGGTCAATGGGACGGACTTTTCTCGGCTGAGCCAACCGAGCAAGACGGTATCTTCTCTCTTAATTGGAACCAGACATCAGATACAGCCGTCCAGCTATCCCTGCGGCTCACTTCGCCTTCCAGTACTGTTTAGGAGAGTCTTGAATAAGATTGGTATTCGAAAAGCTATTATAGGTAGTTAGAGTATTATAATACAATATTTAAAGCTATTGCGCTTTACGTGAAAAGCCGGGTGGTCACGATGCCTGCAGGCAACTGTTTTACACAGGACCAGCGGTAGCCCCTTGCTATGTTGCTACTCCAGTGAAATAATCTATACTTATCTATTCTAGTTTAAATAGTTAGCAAAGTTTATAGCGCATATCTGTGACTGCATTATAAGTACTTGTAGAAAAGAATATTTATTTTCGAGCTTGATAATTTTTCTTTTTTCTCCCGTTCTACATGACAAACATCAAACAAACATATTAACGAACTCAGTTTGCACAAAATACTTTATGCCTAACTTTAAGCGGCGGTATTTGGATTAATATTTCAATCTTACTATTATGGTTGCAACCAGTCAGCTTGCTACCCACCTAGCATGTCTACGACTATTGCAGTCATTTCCTCATGTCCCCAATCATAATTCAGTAGTCTCAAACTTCCAGCTGAAACTTGTTGGCAGACGCCAGATGCATTGAAACTTCAAATACAACCAACTTGGAGACTACTAGGCCCTTTCCACTTTGTGATTTAGTTATCCTGTTCTGTAATCCTGTTATAGTATCCCTGAAGTTATCATCTATGCACTTAGAAACGTTATTGTAGCCGACTAATATGGATTAGAGATGTCATTATGTTGGACGGCTGTGACTCATATTGTGGGTCGAGGTTAGCAATTGCTCGACCTTGGATTATTGATCCTTCGAAGAAATAGTTTGCCTTTACCCCGAGGCCAATAAAACTTAGTGAGTGACAAAGCCCCTTCCTGGCCAAAATACAGGGGGTTTGTCATTTTGATTAATGGTGATCAGATCGGACTGAAAAGATTTGAACGCCATTGGGTTTTTAGCACGCGCCGAATCTTGATCTAGGCATTACTATGGCAATTGCTGTCAGCGGTTATATATATTATGAAATCTGATAAAGCTCTAGGGGCAATTCCAGCAATTACTCTACCCTTATAAAATACTAGCGTTGGGAAAACCCCAAGGCAAGAATATTGGTGAAGATTGCCCTATAAGTGTTTGCATTTATCGGGTCGGTTATGTAGCTCTTTGCACGTTTATATATGCCAATGGTATGGATAGAAAATAATTATGAACGGCAGAAGTAAAGGTGGAACACAATCTAATAATTTAGGGATTTTATTATAGGTATCGAGATTTCTGTACCATTACTCCGTATTTGTGCCAACAATTTTTCCTAGCACGAAAGCCTTTTAGAACCTATGACTTCGAAGGATCGCCGTGCATAGCACTTTCCCCAAGAAAAATACCCCGCTTTATGAGTACTTATTCTTATAGGTTCTTTTTTTGCTGATTCCACATCATGTCATTAATTCCACATCCACTATATTTTTTTCATTTCATCTTTTTTTCAGTAATGTTCAAAATTGGAAGAGAATCTTTTATAGAACTATATATTTCCTTCATTAATATTAAATACTTGCTCTTCAAATTACATCCCAACTTATTCAATCTGGCGTATTCTATACGACCTCTCTCATTTTACCCTCCATTATTTCCCCTTCCACTCCGTTACCCCTCTGCTTCGATTAAACCGCGGGCGGGGCGTTTATAAGGGTCGTGCTAGGAAACCATAAATCATTACTCAACAATGGCCTCCTCAACCTCTTTTTCGAACAACCGCCTCGTCAATATCGGCACGCATTCTCTAGCCCTTTACACTCATGGCCCAGAACCAAGCAACTCAAAGGACCCCGTCGTACTGTTTGTCTCGGGCGTGGCAAGCGACTCTCTCAACTGGCAAGCTGTGGTGCGACTGCTTTCCTCCACGCTGCGACTCTACACTTACGATCGCTCCGGTTATCGCAACTCTGAGTCCTCGCCGCTTGTTCCTTCGGCCGAAAACATTGCTCTGGAGCTCTCTCTTCTCATAGAAAAAGCTCCCATCCCGAATCCTCTGATCATAGTAGCACACTCCTGGGCAGGTGTGATCACACATGAGTTCATCGCCCTAAAAGGAGCTGGCCAGATCGCTGGCCTGGTGCTTGTTGATGCCAACCATGAGACAGCGCCACAGGTGATGGATATAGATGATTCAATTCTCTGGACCGTCGCCGAGGGGGTTGAACCATACTCTGCCTGGGGCGTTGAGGTGGAGCATAAGTTGACACAGGAAGAGTGGGATGCGTTTAGGGCCGCGGAAACGACGGAAAAGTTCAAGATGATCGAGCAAAAGGAGGATTCTGAGCAGTACATTCCAAGTTTTGAGACGCTTCGGAGGAAAGAGATGAGTAAAATGCAGCCACTTCTTGAAGATAAACCGGTTTATGTAATTGGGGGAATGCGAAGCAGAGATTGGAATGGTCTTTACAAGGCGGGCGTTACGAAAGGAAACGGGACGCAGGAGCAGAGAAGTTATGTTAGAGAGTTGATCGAGACGGTTGATAAGAAAAATGAGGTTCTTATGAACGAGTTTTTGAAGCTCTCTACAAAGACCGAACGCGTCTTTGCTACCGAGAGTGGACACTTTGTCCAGATGACTCAGCCGGATATTGTTGTTAATGGGGTGAACTGGGTCTTGGGTAACTTACAAAGATCATCTTAGTGTTGTAAAATACATGAGAAAAAAAAACCTTAGGCATCTAAGCCGAGTAATTATAATGCATATAAATAACGAAGCTCGTCAGATAGAGAGTCGTTGAGATTACTGAGTTTATAACGTGTAATATTTGAACAATTGGAATTGCAAGAAGTATCCCCAACTCCGAATTTCACAAAGCAATGAAACAGTTGATTCTGGGCAATTAAGGGAAAGTCAGGGTTAAGTCACTTAAAACCAAGTACAAGACATATCTAGACACTCTATAGTTGCCAAAAATACGAAAAGTTTGTAGGAAACTACAAAAGGAACCAAGAGATTTCTATGGTTATGGCCATCTTGGATCCAACAGGGTAAAAATATACAACTCGCTTCGAGCTACTCCGTATTTAAACTACCAGCGGTGTGTATGAAACCGTTCTTTCGCCAATCCTAGCTGCAAACGGTCAACAACCAGCCCCATAGGTCTTGGATATGATTGACATATGTCATATATTCCCATGTCTTCTGCGGCCAGTACAGCCGTATTCCCCTTTTTTTTTTCTTTAAAAAAAAAAAGGGGGGGGGGGGGGATTCTGAGCTAGAGCTTCATCAGCCATCTGCCTTGGACTCATATGCTAAATTCTTATCATTGAGTCGTGTTAGTCCCTGCCATCGATATTCGATAGTTTAATTTGTCCTTTTCAGCTGTTGGCTTAGAACACCAATTCTTTGAGCGTAATACAGTATTTGTAAGGACGATAGGGAAATTCGGAAATCCTCTTCGCAGGTTACAGGGCCCTCTCCTTTAACAATTTGCCCATCTGACTCCCATGGATTGCTACAAGTAGAAAAAGGGGGCATAAACCAGACTTGCGTGCACCGATTTCGGTAATTTAGGTATGGACATTAGTTCGGCAATATCGTTCCACTGGCAGAACTTTCAGGAATGTCCGAAGGTGTTGGCTCTAGTTTTCATATCAGGCCACTGGTGCTTTAAACCCCTGCTAGGGCGACAAGTCAGGGTTCTACATGCCTGGGAGATGCCAACGGTAGGTAGCTTCCGCCGGGGGAACTAGCCTGTTCTGCGGAAGCCCCGAGTCCATGTCGTCTTTTGAGTAATTTTGCCCCGTAAGAAACATTTTAGAGGACAGAAGTCGAACTTGGGCTTCCAATAATTCAGAACTTACGCCATATTCATACCAATAGTAATAGTATTGAGAAGAAAACGAAATGATGTTTTGGCCTGTCTTGTATTCCTATATATACTCTCAAAAATCTAGTCTTGGAGATTCTACTAATACCTTTCTGTCGTTCATTATATGCCTGGGGTCAGAACAGAACCCATCCACCTGTCCAAATAGCCAGGTCTGTTTGTTTGGTTTCGACTAACAGTTCAGTAATACTGTAAAAGTCTCAACAGGGGTGGAAGAAAGTATACGAAGAAAAAATGACGAGTTCGAAAGTTGTTGCACCTGCTATATGACTTGTCTGTGCTGTTTTTTATTCTCGCATATTAATATGATTTGAAATGACCATTATTTCCGCTTGAAACGTACGTATGTCAATGGAAGTATAACCATTGAAAAGTACAGTATGCTTGGTTTCTTTTCCAGTGCGCCAAAGGCGCCCCGGCGCGTACCGGTCGACTTGGTTGTACCGGTGGGCTTCTTTGACGACACTATTATCTTCAGAACGTTTGTGTTATACACGCTCTTTGTTTTCGACGATGTATTAGAGCCTCAAAAACTGCGCACCTCTCTGGAGCATGTTGTGAGCCGCCCTGGTTGGAATAAGCTGGGTGCTCGGCTGAGAAGAAATGTGCGGCAAAAGACTGCCCCCCCTCTCTTCCGCCCAGGCAGATATATCTAACAACTGGGCCGCCATCATTTAGGATCGTGGCGAAATTGAGCACCATATCCCCACCATCTTTTCCCAAGATCACCTAGCAGTGGGATTTGACCATGTAAGCCTTGACGCCTTGGCCGTGGAAGACCACCCTGGAGCATCATGTATACCCCATCCTCCGCTCAATGACCGACCAGCAATCGTAGGAGATCCTGATAATCTCTCGGCGCTCATCTACAGCAATGGAGTACCAAGAACTCTTGATGATTATATCTATACCGACCGTCCTCAGCTTGGTCTGCGTGTTGTCTCGTTCAAGAATTCGACAATCGTTGTCCTCCATTGGATACATCTCACTTTTGACGCAACAGCCAAAGGGACTCTTCTCAATGCCTGGATGTTGATGCTGCAGGGCAGAGAGAACGAGATTCCAGAGCCCCTGAGCCCCCACGAATATATTCTGGAGCACTGTGGCAAGAACCCAACAGAACCTCATGTCCTCGCCGAACATCATATGTCTAAGTTTGGCCTAGTCTGGTGGCTGCTTCAAAATTCCTACAACTTAATGTTCAAGAAGCAAGAACATCGCGTGGTCTGCGTGCCTGCCGCATACCTTGCAAAATTAAGAGAAACGGCCCTAGCGGAACTTGCTGCTGAGGCCAGTAGCGAGAAATGCGAGACCCCATTCTTGAGCAAGGAGATATTCTCGTTGATTGGGTGTCTCGATTGGCAATTGCTAATCCTCCAGAGGATTCGGAGAAACCTGTATATGACCATTCTTTGCTATAAATTCAGGAAATCGCTTAATATACGTATGTTTAACTTGCCATTCACAGTTTGCTGTACAACAAGCATATGAGTGGCGGCCGATATTGAAGGATTTGATACCAGAAAAAAGGCCATTCCTCAGCAACTGCGTTGGCTTTCTCGTTACTCTTATGCCAGCTAAAGATGTGCTTCAAAAGCCGCTCAGCCACCTTGCTGCACAAATACGTCGCTCGATTAAGGAGCAAGGCTCTCGCGAACAAGTTGAGGCCTATACATCACTGATCCGACTCGACCCGGCCAACAGGGCGCCTCCATTCTTCGGCAGTAGCTCGATGCAGTTGCTGATGTTTTCCAACTGGCAAAAAGCCAACATGTACGGGACCGATCTATCAGCCGCGGCTGTCACGCCGCGACGCACACCTCTGAGACCCTCCTATGTCCAGAGCGTACAGGGCCCATACAACTTCTCCGACGGAATCATCATCGTGGAGAAAGATGCTGAAGGTAACTATTGGCTCTCTGGAAACAGAGCAAAGGGCCTCTGGGGAATGATGAGGAAGAAAATGGAGGATGAGGTAATCTAAAAGAGAAAAAAAAAAAATACCATAATTATTACCCTACTTGCCTGCGGAGCGTACCACACATGTATGCCCCAAAAGTCTCGATGGCATTGGTATTCTGAGGTCAGCTTGGACGGTAACTTTTGCTCCCCGACTTCCAGAACCAAGGAATTCATTGCATCGAAAATTTCTTTGTGCAATTTTGAGCTCAGAGACATGGAATTCCTGCATTAATAATTCACGAAGTACACCTCTTACCCTCTATCTCAATAATTTTTTTTTTTAACCTCATCGATGTGGCACTTCTTACTGGGGCTGCTCCAAAGGTACTGGCCTTCGCCGAACGGAGTTGGCTGTTATGACATGGGTTATCCGACATAGTTCTGGCTCACCAATGATTGGTGTCGGTACTTATTTCATGGAATAAGCTGGCCTCTCGCTCCCCAATTCCTTTTGCTCTTGGTGTTGGCCAATCTGCAATAGGTCTTGTTGGCACCTTTGGTTCATGGTTTTTGATGCCACAGTTTGGCCGCCGAATGCCGTACCTTTGGGGTCAAATTCGAATGTTCATAAGCCTGGTGAACATTGGCATTCTGGTATCCCAAAGCTCAGTTCTGGAATTAGTTGAGCAATTCGTGCACTTAATCTCATTCTATTCCTACAGTATCACAGTTTGGCAGGTTTGCTACTCCCTTATGGTTGAGTTACCATCAAACCGTTCTCGAATCACGACTGTCATTTTATCATGCAATTCGTACCTCGCTCCTGGCTCTATCACTAGTACTCTCCAGGCGCGTCTTAGAAACCCTACTGCTTGGAATTGACTTGGAAGAGCTGCTTTTTTCTAGGCTAGCACCAACTCAAATTATATAGTTGGACTTACTTCCGTCTACCTAAACCAAAAGCTCTCACGTGTGCTGATATTGATGCGCTCTTTGAGAGGGGCGTTCCTACGCGAAAAGTAAGCAACATCGCCGTCGACCCAGTATTGTAAATGGAATTACAAGCGGTAAGAATGCCGGAAAGAGGAATTAACCTTGGATTGATGCTCTTTAGAGATAGTAGCACCTGTGGCGATTCATAAAATTTTGTAGGGCTATTTTACAACTGTTGCTTGATTTATTTGCTTCGTAAAACCATAATGCTAAATTTCTAAATTGGGATTGCTTATCTATTTTAACTAGGCATTGTGATGTGATTTATCTCCTTTGGCGGTTCAACGTCAATTGCGGGCACGAATTCTGATAGATGGAATTTCATATGACTTTATAGTCGTCGATGTAGTAGTATTTTTGGAAGATCATAGATTACACGATAAAGTTTGGGCGAACGATTGAGCTGTGTTTTATGACTTGGCATTCACTTAAGTTGCGTGACGCTCTCTTTTCTCGCCACCCCAAGTTCCATTAACGACTTGATCAACCCAATTCGAACCCAATTGTCAATCTCTCTCTCAGTAGCTACAGCAATCACTCCCAACATGCCCAGCGAGTTCACTCCGGCCTCTTTGTTGACCGCTGCGCGCCGCCGCGGAATGACTACCATCCAGCGGCTAGTGAAGGCCATGTTATGCGGGCAAGCCTCCCCATCAGGCACAGCGTCGCCTGCGCTATTCTCCCACGCCTCCGTAGCCTGCTGCAAAAGCCGCGCATAAATACTCGCCAACGTGGCAGGCGTTATGGGTCTATCCACGAATCGATGATAGAACCACTGGAAAGGCACTCTAGGCTCTTTGACAGCGTTGGAATTGAGAAACGCGGCGGCAAAACCGTCAGCAGGCAAAGGCATTAGTTGCATGTGTTTATGCAGTCGGCTACATCCGCTGTTTTTTCCGCAGTTGTAAAATACAACATAGTCCCTTGCTGCATCATTCAAAGCTAACAGTGCGGTCCACGCTGCTTCCAAGTCGTTCTCATCCAACGGCTCGTGTTGCCTGCGGTTCCCATCGCAGGTGAGCATCATAAGGTGTGGCCGCGAGAAGCAGAATTTGTTGGCGATGAGAAAGTGGCTGCTACCACTACTGTCACCTATCTCGTAGCCGTTTGTATCGATATCACTCCCGGGTCGTTGCGGCTTGAGATTCAACGAGATGCCGTTTTGACCTTCAGCCAGAAGTTGCTGCTGAGGCGTAGCGAGAGTTGGTTTTTGGGCGAGTACATTGGTGAGAACGAAATGAAACTTGATGCCAACAGACAGTTTGTTATTGACGTGGGTACTATCAGTTGGCAGCAATCGAAACGAACCTTGAGGTCTCCATCAGTGTGTTCGATGATCTCCTGATTTTTGTCATACCGAACAAGGCCCGACTGAGTCAAGGTATCGAAACGGGACAGCACTAGGGCCCCGTTTATGGCAGGCAAAGGTTCATCAGCCGACATGGTGATTATGATGCGACAACTGTCTCTCCAATTTGGTGGATAAATGTTGAGGGTGCGAGAAGAAAAGCGGATGATTGAGTAGCGGATTCACATGTTATAATGCGAAAGGTCTAATTTAGCTCAGTTATCAATCGACCCCTCCAAAACACTTTGGTGTTATTAGAGAACAAATTGTTCTTTGCAATCGGAATTACAGTAGGGCAGACACCACGTCAGCGAAACGGAAATTTCCGCCTGCACAGTCAGCGCATTGCGCATACAAACTAACCAAGTATTCACCCTGTTACTAACCGAACAAGATTACATTGTAGCAGTTAACCGCGAAGTAATAGGATGATTTGGTAAGAGTGAAGACTATTTATTGATGGAAGAACACAATGGAAGAATTTTTAGACTCTTTAAGCGCTGGAGAAAAAAAAAAAGCACTATTAACTATAGCAGAGTGGGATCAAATCGATATGATATCATACTATAATAAACGAATGGGGTTTGATTTGTTCACTTGAGGTTGTATGTCAAATCATCTGCTCCAAATCAGTGAAATATATGCTGGGTTCCTCGAGCAGCGTGTTCCTATCACTGCAGTGCCTTCGGAAAAACCAGACATAAATTCTATACGATTTAGCGGCTGCTAACTCGAAGATATGCAACCGCAATATTTCCAACACATGTTACGACCAATTGGATTTCTTTGTACCACCCTTTCCCTTTTCTGCCGCGCTAACAGGGTCAGAGGTTGTAGGATTTATGAGCCCCTTCAGTTCGATTACCCTCAGCGTTGCTGCGCCGCGCTTCTTTATTGGCTTCCATCTCATCATAGTCTCGCATCGTCAGCCAAAATGCAGGGGCCGCAACGATCATAGTCACAGCGGGCCCTATGTATTGGTAGAGGATTTGCGGATCCTGCGATAACGGTGACAAGGCCATACCAAGCGCAGAACCAGCAGCAGAGCTCAATTGAGTCATTGCCTGTAGCAGGCTGCGCATGTTCTTAAGAGCTTACAGGTAACTCAGACACAGAGTAATGTACCGTCCCAGCCATGTATCTGAGAGAATGACAACTATTGTGGGGACCAGAAATGACAGGAAGAGAAGAGCACTGGAGAGGTTGGTAGCCGTAGCCTAGCCGAGCCCCAAGGCACTTGGGATAGCGACATTGTCTGCACTATCTTGTATATAATTTTCTGCGCACATCAGCCGATGATAAATCGCAATCATGTTGCTGGGACTTCCTTTGACACGAACACCATGGTGTTGTTACAGCATAGAAGGTAAATCTCTCGGTGGCATTGGCCACGAGTGCGACCCAAAGAATGAATGGCACAAAATCGACAACGTGCCGTAGCTCTTTGGCGGCTTCTTCTGTGGCTTCACGCCTACCATGGTTGAGTTGTTGTCTGGCCATGATCAGTCGTCGATAGCGTACGCCGTCGGAGGTTTCCAGTCGCAGTTACTACGCCAGCTTAAGGAGCTAACTATGCAAGCGGTAGAGTTGAGGCTAGGGCTGAGAGAAGCAAACAAGCATTGGTCTCATATCAAGTCAATTATCGTCCTTTAGATCCGTCCGCTGATATAGACCAAAATGAAGGAGAAAGTAAGGGTTACAAAGGCTGGCAACCTTGCCTAAATGCGGAAAATGATGTTGGTTGGTAGTGCTGGATGTGATGCATGGCAGGCAATGGTAAGATAACCCTGGAGGTCCTGTAGTGGGTCAAGTCCCTGTCTATGCAGATGCAGGCACTTTTGGATTCTAACAGGACCAACCAACAGCTCAAGCTAAGAGTACGACGGACGAGTGTACAATAAGTTATCTCCTTCTACATTGGGAATTGAAATAAGACCATCCACTGTGATCATCCACTGTGATCACCCACTGAGGTGCTGATGGGACTTCGTAGATGGTCTGCAGAAGAGGGGGCGATGATGGGAATCAGCATGCACCATATTTTACAGGTGATAACTCTAGATTATCTTCTGTTAGCGGTATCCGTATATCCTACTGATTCAATCATTATGTTATTCACAAAGAGAACAGTCTTGCTATACGCAACTTGGATGCCTCATTGCATGCTTGCATGTTTGAGACCGCATTCCCGATTGACATAATATTTCATTTCAACCACACTCCCCCCTAGGCAACATATGGTCAATCGCAGCAGCCAAATTACTCATAGCTACAATCTCGAGTCTTATAAGATCCGTAGTTGATAACCAGAATCTGCTAGGCTCGGATGCGAAGGCAAAACGGTGTGCTCGGATGGACACCCGCATTCTGCTTCGAAGCGTTGGTGGAAGAAAGGTCGCCGCATTTTTCTTCTCTTGACCTTGTACCGAGCATCACATCTACCGAAATTACCAATGCGGAGAATGAGGCAGTTGGAGAGGACTGTCATCTCATTGATGGTCTTGGCACCTCACTTGAGGACATTTTGCCCATATGCCTTGGGACCAAGACCCTCATCGCCCATGAAGACGGACCTACATCTAAGAGAAAGGCTCTAGTCAACATTATACTCGTTTCCCGCGATGGCTATTGTATTGGCACGATATCCTGGAGTTGAGAATGACACATGTTGAATCCATCGAAACAGTGGATCCTTTCCCCCCAGCCGACAAGCGTTATTTAGCAATCCAACCTTTCATACAAAAAAGGCAGCTTCCTCTTCCACAATGCTCTCCTGGAGCCTTAATATGCAGGCCTTCTGCTTTCCCGTATACCGCATCTCGAAACATTTGATCACATCGAAAGAGAAGTGTATAACAGAGTTTCCTTTGAATGGGTGCTCCTGACTCAGCCTCTGGCTTCAAGCATGGCAGTGGTCGGCGGGCGCCCACTGTTCGATAATACCATAGGAAAATATGGTTCAGAGGGCCCTTTTGACGCTACTCGAGCTCTTGGGGTATGGGTTATTGTCCTCGATAAGCCAGGCCACTTCATGGAAGGCGCAGAATATCGTCACCTCCGGGGCGATTCCATTGCTGTCGATGTGACTAGCGATGCCAATCTGCCGCAAACTCTTGCAGCAGCCATCAAAGGCCGTAAAATCGATGGCATCATTAAGTTTTTGGATGAATATTGATTGTAGCTGCGAAAGCAGCCAAGTTGTTAAACCCCCAGACCTAGCCTGTAAAGTCAATTACAGTTACTACAAGGATGAGACGCGGAAATTTCCCAACACTCCCAACTTGCAGACTCTGCGGCTGCACAACACAGCGCAATTGGGTGAATCATCTTTTGCTGGAAAACTTGAGAATTTAAGATACCCTCTGATAGCCAAGCTGTGCCGCGGTGGCGCCTCTCAGGGAGCCAAGAGAGTTCAAGATCGATCAGGGCTAAGACAGGCGACGCGGCAAATGTAGAAAGACGGACTTTCAGAGCACAGCATCCTTCTCAAGACATATATTAGCGGGCCAGAAGTTGGTGCCAATGTTGCTCTATGGAATGGTGAGCTCTTGTTCATTGAGATTACTGGTAATTTTCCTTGAACTGCAGAGGCAAGTGATGCGACTATTAGAGCATAATTTGCAATCCCTTTAAGCTGAAGTCAAATCCTCAAGGAAGCTCGTCAGTGGTGAAAAAAAAATGAAAAAAATAAAAAATAAGTGGCAGCTATGTAAGCAGTGAGTGAAGTAGAAAAGGTCTGCGAGGTATTAGGCCTCGGATTTGGGCTTCGAATATGCTGGTAATGATCTATAGTGTTGACTCGTCCTTTTCCTTCACGCCATTGTCAACAACATGCTCGTGATGCAGATCAGGGCCAGCTTCCCGAGGTTCATTAAAGTACTGTAAGTTGTCAGTCTTTAGCCCAGGAGGTCTGAACTGCGGCCACCCTCAAGGTGAGCTAAAGCAAGTTCTGGGAGCTGGCACCTGAAGATGAGACAGTTTGATAGGCTCGGTTCATGCGAGACTATAGACTTGTTGCTGCTGAGACTGTTCTCACTATCTCCGACTGGCGCAGAGCTAGTTATCTTTTGTGAGATTATTGTGCGCTTGAGTTTTGCCAATCGAGTTGATTCTTGGGATGTCAAATGCCCAGCTTCCACACCGTTCACACTTTACGGGCTCGGCACAGGAGCCACAGCTGTGGTTTGTTGTGACTCTTCTCCTTCAATCGACGGGTTCGTGCCTTAGTATCGTGCAATCCTCTTCTGAAGCTCGGCAAAGCGCAATTTGATACGCCGACCTATCGCACCTCTGAGTTAGTATCAATCAATTGATAAGGAAAACACATTGGTGTTGCTCATGCCAAGTGTATGGGTCTTTGCAGCTGCTTTATGGCTCTGGAGTCTGTGGCTGTCTGGCATTCTATGTATGTTGCATTATGCTGACATGGTGTGTTACTTTCCAAAGGGCGATCGGTATAAAAATCTACAAACAGCATTTTATAAAGGAACAGAATCATTGAATATACGTGTATTTATCTTGAAAGCAAAAGAAAGCACGTGAGCACCTCAACTGGTCAGACACCCTGTTGGTTATGATAATTACTATGCAACAAAAGTGCTACTAGAGCCCCACCCTGCGGGGAAGAAAGCGAGGCCTTAGCCTCCGCATTGAAGCCGTAACATTCCTTAATACATGTATGTATGTTGGTATTGAAGTCTTAACATCATGTACTGTGCGTTAGGTGTTGTGTCTTATGGCATTACATCTATATTTGCCTAACACCTGTTGTTAATTCTCAAATACAATTGACGAGTACAAATTATAAGTCTCTAATTTTTTATTGCAATACCTCTGATCTGGAAGCCGGCCTTTCCCCCACACAACATACAGAAAGTAAATATATCTTCTCAGAGGATATTTCTGTACCAGGTCACTCGCGATACAGCCAGGAACCAAGATAACCAGTATGGTGCCAAGACCGCAGCGGTTGTTTTTATGATTAATGAACCACAAAAGTGACAGAGCTCCTCCCCACCAGGGCATACCCTTGCGATATCCGCCGTCGATACCGTCTACGGTGGGTAATCTGCCTAAGCTATGGGCTGTGTGGGTTTCACCATGCAGATCTGCTTTGGTCTCTGGTATAGTTTAAAGCAACGTTCACCTGGAACAACAGTACCTGCAGTGCAGGTCTTATTTCACAAGAGAAATGAGCATGATGGCAACGTGAGTAAGTTGGTGTTCAAAAGGCTAACATCAATGGTGCTGCAAATATATCTAAATCTAATTCCTAGCTATATATAAAAATGAAATACAAGCTGTTTATCCTTCAACTTACTAGACAGGGTTCCCAAGAAGCTCATCAGAACTTCTCTTCCTTCTAAATCTCAAATGAATATAATTGCCTTATCTCTCCGTGAAGGCTTTGTAGACTTATGGAGCTCAGTTCTTTTTCTGCTGCGTTGCAAAGGGTTTGGTACTACATACACGCCATCTGTACAACTTGCCTGCACCGTCAAGGTTCTTCACATCTTACGCCTTCCCCGAGCCCGCCTCCCCTTATCACACATCCTAAACTTGGTGAATTAGAAATGTTACTACTTTTAACTATTGGGCGTACTACTCGATGTAGGTCTCCATCTTTTCATGCTGCAGCATCGTAAGCTAAAGTGCGTCGCTGTCGTCTGGATTCCAAAACAGCCCGTCAGCCTCCACAAGCAGATTGATCGCATGACCTTTGTATCGGTACGCCAGACGTTTTATTACTATTACCTGTGCCATTCTGGTCGATCCATGGGGTTGCGTAATCGATCCCCTAGTAGAAACATGAGTAAAATGGACCGAAAACCCTACAGCCGCTTTTTTTTTCCAACTCAAGAAAGCATCTCACCTTTAAGTATATCCTCCGTACTCGCATCCTTACTTGCCAATTCGATGTCCACCGTCTTCAAAATTCTTTCGCCTGTTCCGTGCCTAGCAGCAGAATCTTTGCGTCTCACTCCGCTATCGTTCTCATCTAAACTCATGATGTAACCGTCCGACCTCCTGCTATGGTAATTGGATTCCCCGCGGCTAGATGCATTGTGGCTGGCGTATAGAGACATGGGAAATGCGAGATCGAATATCGCTTGAAAGCAGGGCCGCATGACGACGACGGAGGCAGCGATAATGGTAATGTTCATTTCGACGACGATCATAATATGCGTGGGGATGATGAGCCCTATGAGGAGAGGGGTGTTAGGTATGCCACGAGATATCCAAGTGATTCGATGAAGAGACATACAAGTAAAATCCGCTTTCACATTATAGAGATCGGTAATCATGTAGAGGCGGACAATGGAGATAATAGTATCGCTGGGGAGAGTGAACAATCGTCCATAGGTTCAAGGGGCAAATTTGAACATACATCAAACCGAAGAGAACCAGAGCTGTCAACTGCTTTATCTCAATGCGCTTATTTTTGGCCAGATATAGCACCGGCAAAGGAATGCAAATAAGACATATGCTAGTGGACACATTGACGGAGCCAGTAACGTAGTTGAACATGACAGTTGTATCGATGCAGTGCCCCGGGACCTTGGGAAACCAGCTCTTGTAGATTGGATTGCAGGCAAACATACTCACCAACGTTGCAGCAGTAAAGAAGCCCGAGAGAACTACCATCAGTGTGTAGTTGACCATGCGGGAGAATTTAACCAGGGGATGGTCGACGAGGCTCATGAGGTCGCGATAGACAAATGTCAGAGAGAGTTTGCTGAACAGTAGGGGAAGTTTGGTGAATATTTGGATGAGCCAGAACATCTGTTTTTGTTAGATGATACGGAATATCGGTGATAAGAGTTTAATAGGGCGTACAAGAAAGGTCTTATAAGACCCTTGGAGATTTGGTGGGAGATCACTTTGGTGGCGGGCATAGCCAAATGCAGCCGTTACTAGGAAATATTAGTTCTTTGAGTGCGTCAAGGTCATACATGTAATGGATTTTGGCATACTGATAATATCGAGAACCATATGTATCATGGAGGCTAGCTGCGGTATGGTCAATTACCGGCACTCCAACTTCTTCCCCAGGGAACTCGACTCACCATAGCCGTGCTAATCAAGTAATCCGAAATTGTGACTCGATTTTGTAACCACCGATGTCCAACTCTGAGCACTACCACGCCCAGAGCCAGAATTGTGATGGTAATATCAACACCGAGAAAAAGGGCGACCCTGGATTCCGGCATCGTGACGATTGCTTCTGAAAGTATCACCAAGTTGAGAGAGAAGGAAAAGACAAACTGCCATGATCCTACTCCCTAACTATACTTCAAACTAACTACCATGCCTCCCTATACTACTTCAAACTTTGTATGTGGACATAGAATCCTACCTAGATAGGGATGGGCATGGGCGCCATGCTGACGACGAACATGGGATTGTAGTACTCGGACATGGTCATAGCGCAGGTGCAGGCGTGGAGCTGCACCTTGTGTCCGGCTCGAGACCCGGTGCAAGGGTTTGTTTTGCGCTACTGCGCTGAGGTTGAAATCGAGTACGGTACGGAGTAGAAACGAAGAAACACGGCGGTGAAATGCGGGCATCTAACTTGAAGTAAATGTTGCCGTTGGTTAACCCATAAGCCCCGCTAACTGTCCAACCAGCGGTTAAGTTCCGAGGCACCTATATTTTATTTATTTCTAGGTAGATACATTGAGATTTTTCCCTCGTTTGTCGCTCCCCCAAGCTTCCTCATTCAACCATCATGGCAGCTGTGGTCGACAACGCGGTCGATGTGCCCGCGGGCACTGAGAAGTCCAGCCACACCATCATTGCCAATGAGGAAGCAGCCGCTGCTGATCGCAACCCTGCGTCCAAGAACTCTGATGACGGCAGCGAGTTCTATGAGGACCCTAAGGCCGCCCGCCGACTACTCATCAAGTGCGACATTCGCCTGATTCCAATCCTGGGATGTCTATACCTCGTGTCCTTCTTGGACCGCTCAAACATCGCTAATGCGCGACTTTTCGGGCTGGAAAAGTCACTTCATATGCCGTCGACGGGATTTAACACTTGCCTGTGGATTTTCTACCTTCCATTCGTGATCGTGGAGATCCCGAGCAATCTGTTTATGACCTTGAATAAGATCAAGCCGAATCAGTGGCTTGCTGGGGCGATGTTGATTCTTGGCATGTTTTGAAAGCATGGGTAGTTGGAGATTCATCTTCTAACTAGAGCTAGGTGTTGTATCGATGTGCCAAGGACTCACGAGGAGCTACGGTGGGCTTCTTGCTTGTAGATTCATCATGGGCATCATGGAGGCTGCGCTGCCGCCTGGTAAGTATCAGCATATCCTATCGAGGATTCGATAACTGATGTTTCTAGGGGCTGCTCTTCTTATCGGGCAATACTACAAACGCAGTGAGTTTTACATCCGCTTCTCATACTTCATCTGCTTTGCTTTGCTCGGTAGTGCTTTCAGCGGTGTATGTCCTCATGTCCTCATCTCATTCTACTATTTCTAACAAAGCATAGCTTCTCGCGTACGCCATCGAGCACATGAACGGAATGCATGGCTATGAGGCCTGGCGCTGGGTTTTTATCCTTGAGGGCCTCTTTACTTTTGCCTTCGGACTCGCAGCATGGTTCATTATCCCAGCATTCCCGCAACAAGCAACTTTCCTCAATGAAGACGAGAGGGCCATGCTTCTCGCCCGCCTGCGCCACGATCGCGGCAGGGAGAGGGTTGACTTCAAGGGAATCAACTGGCTGAGAGTCCTCACTGACTGGAAGATTTGGTCCTTTACTCTCATTTACTTCTGCGCCGATATGGGCGCTGCATCCATCTCTTCCTTTACCCCAACTATCCTTTCCCAGCTCGGCTGGAGCGCATCGCGAGCGCAGGTCATGAGCATTCCCATCTGGATGGTCGGCATCGCCGTGACGCTATCTACTTCTTACGCGTCCGGGAAACTTTCCCTCCGTTGGCCATTTGTGCTCATCGGCGCTATCTTTTCCCTTATCGGCTGGTGTATACAGTATACCCAGGTCCAACCACCGGCAGTGCGTTACTTCGCGCTGTACATTATTGCTTTCGGTTCGTTCATGCAGTTTCCCATCCTCATCGGCTGGCTCAACAGCAACCTACGCGGTCGGCCACAGCAGGCTGTTGCGAGCGCTGTTCAGCTGGGAATCGGCAATTGCGCGAACTTTGTGGCGAGTAATGTGTTTATCACAAAGCAGGCGCCGAAATACCCTACTGGATTTGCCACGGGCGTTGGGTTCGCGACGCTCGCGACTGTGAGTATAATTTTGGTGACAGGGGCCTTAGCTTGGCATAACAGACAGTTTGACCGGAAGCATCGAGATGAAGCTGAAAATGCAGAGGACCAAGAGAATTTTAGATATATGCTATAACGTATTGCGTAGGGAAGGAGCAAAAGCGCAAAGAAAACTTAGTTTTTCTTCTTACGCTTATGATAAGCTTTTCTCTATAAGCCTCTGTAATGTTAATCCAATTTTCAAATTACCTATCCAGAAGTGCTCTATTATAGGTATCGCTATGGTAAAGAGAGTACTCGTATACCTTTGCCACCTTGTAGTGGCTAATTGCGCCGACCTTCCAAGCTTTTCTTTCATGGGCAGGGTGAAGGAGATTATGACGTCTCATTGGAAATCTCCACTTATGCGGTTGGTCCCTAGCGTATAGAATATACCCCTGGCATTGCTTCATTCGTTGCAATATGCATAAGCGCTACTAACTTTTTACCCCTACCACTTCTCCGCCAGCCCACTTATTAAAAGTTCCCAGGTTCAATAGGTTATTCCTGCCTGTTGCGGTGGAGAGGAAAATCCTACGGAGTACTCCGTACACGCATCCGTATCTTGCGCATAATGGAACATTGCATGGTATACGGAATACGGGGTATGAAGTACTCATACCCATGTACCATGAAACGGGCTGTGATTACAAATTGTCTCGCGGCCCGAATCAAACAGCTAGGGAGTTCCAAATGAAGGCTAGGCCAGCCAAACTGTTCCATGGACCCTACGGAAGCCGCGGCCTTTGAAACAGCGGATCTGTTGAAGATCATTTGAATTGCGTCTTTTCCCTCGGCCAATTTGCATGCTAACGATGCGGCAAGAACAAAGACTCATCCTCAATACTATATATATTTTTCCAACATCTTGGTACGCAATACCGCCGGTGAATGAAAATGGTTTCCACTTCCATTGAAACGCGGCTATTCATCAACGGTAAAGTATGGATTAATTGAGCAATAGCTGTGCTTCATGACTCACGCTCTATAGTTCCGACCGTCTTCTAGCAATGAGACCTTTGATCTCTTATCCGCGAAATCTGGCTTGTTATTAGCTAAAGGTAAGTTTCTCCGATTAAAACTTATGTCCGTTCCTCCTTTCCGGCTTGTGTTTTGTAGAGTAGGGACGTATGTTTTGACACCTCGATTAAACAGTATATGAAGCGACGACGGAGGATGTAGACGACGCCGTAGCGGCAGCCAAAGCCGCCTTCCCAGCATGGGCGGCTCTCTCCCCATATGAAAGAGGAAGATATCTTGTGCGGCTTGCCGATCTCATCGCGGAATCTGATGCAGCATTGGCTAGGCTGGAAGCTGAGTCTATGGGTAGGCCAGTGTCGACATACTTTGATGCGACTGCGGGTTCCAAGTATTTCCGCTACTTCTCTGAGGCTGCATATCCTCAGGGAGGTTCCAGTTTGAACACACCAGGATTCGTGAACATCACCTTGAAGCAGCCGGTAGGTGTTGTTGCTGCCATTATTCCTTGGAATGCGCCTCTCGTTTTCTTTTGCAAGAAGCTGGCGCCAGCTTTGGCCGCAGGCAATACCGTTGTTCTCAAGAGCAGTGAGAAAGCGCCCTTGACTGTCTGTTCTCCCTAAGGCCCTTCACATCTTCTTTACATACTAAAACATACACAGTCCCTGTATGTTGCTGGTCTCGCTCAAAAAGCCGGCTTCCCTCCAGGGGTCCTCAACGTTCTCTCTGGCCACGGCCCCATCTCAGGCGCGGCGCTTGCATCGCATATGGATGTTCGAGCTCTGACATTCACCGGCTCCAACCGCACGGGAAAATTAATTGCCAAGATGGCTACTGATTCCAATATGAAGAAGTTGATATTCGAACTCGGCGGCAAGTCGCCCGCGATCATTTTCGACGACGCTGATATCGACGCCGCAGCGCGGGATACCCAGTTCAGCATCCAGCTCATCAGCGGACAAACCTGCATGGCGAATTCGCGCATCTATGTGCAGCGCAACATTGCGGAATCCTTTATCGACAAGTTCAAGACGTTGTTCACGTCTGCTCGGTTGGGCGATCCGACTGATCCCAAAGTAAACCATGGGCCGCAGGCGGATAAGATCCAGCACGCTACCGTACTACGATATATCGAGCTGGGTAAGAAGACTGGGAAGTTGATTACCGAAGAGCAATCCGCTTCCGGCCTGTATATCAACCCTACAATCTTCAGGGACGTCCCTGAGGACGCGCAAATCATGAAGGAAGAAATCTTCGGTCCAGTGGTTATCATAAACATGTTCGACACAGAGGCAGAGGCTGTGGCTAACGCGAACAATACCGAACATGGTCTATACGCAGCGGTGTATACTAAAGATCTGGATCGGGCGATGAGAGTTGCCTCGAGGTTGGAGGCGGGTACGGTGGGGGTGAACTGCACGAGCCCGACGAAGGGGGATGACATGCCATTTGGCGGGCAGAAGGGGAGTGGTTTGCAGAGGGAGAGTTACATACATAGTATGGAGACGTTCATGGAGACGAAGTCGGTTTTGATTAAGGTGGCAGGGCTGTGAATAGGAGAAGTTGCAGAAGTGGTGTATATTAGAAGTATTTAATAAGGTAACCATCATATCATTGAGTGAAGTAGTTGCCAAGTTTCGTCTAACACTATATAATAATTAGCTCTTAAAATTGTATAAATCACTACACTCATGGAAAGTCTGAACATTCCATCACCTGAAGCTATGAATCATTTTAGTTTCGGCCCTGACTTCTATGATCACCGCGATAGCATAACTCCTCGTAATTCGCCACGGTACACATATAGTTGTCACATATACTAATTAGTTTGCTGGCTATAACCCAACCTTATTTCCATATTAACCAAGCTATCTAGGTTTCTGTTGCTTCCAGCGAGAAGATTATCTTTGAGGGACCAAGCTTCTTTAAAATAAAACTACCTGAATAGAACGGCAACTCACTTCACACACCCACGTAAAATTCGTCCACCTCGCGAATAGTTATTAAGAGACGTCCACATAGGTTATTCAATGAGACTTGATTCTGTAGTTTCCGCATTCTCAACTTGCGAGCGACTTTTCCGTCTCCAAAACGACGGCAGATCGTATTTATCGCCGCGCATGATTCGTCCCGGATGTACAATATTGAAGATAACAAGTGCAAGAAGCATGGGAAGTGAATCAAGAGAGTACTGATAAGCTTCATGTAGTGGTATGGGGCTGTCGAGACCTTGGGCATATTCGCAAATGCGGAAGACAATACGTAGCTGGCATGAATGATTAGAAATTAGACCCTCACACCTCTGTGTTGCTTATTCATGTGTTGACTTACTGCTATTAGAGCAAGGGCAACGAATTGAGCATACAGGAGCAACGCGCCGGGCCCTTGTTCAGCCGACCTAGTCTCCTTGTCATTGGGCCTCCGTAGTTGGTATAAAAGTCGTAATGCAAACAGGCAGAAGATGAGAATAAATAGTAACTGTATTCCAACACCAGCCATGTATATGTGTAATCCTTGGAGCACCCTGTCTTGCGGTGCATCCTTCGCTGTGGCTTTCGCGGCACCGTACACTTGGACAACGAATGAGACAATGTCTAAGAGTACAAAGATGAGCCCAAAGTGTGGTGCCTTAATTCGCCATAAGCTGCGGTTGTCTGTGTAGTTCCAAACCATGCGACCAAACACCATATAGACGAAAGCGTTTGTCCACAGGGGGGCAACGAGAATCAGGACAAACCAGGCGGCATAGTAGTTGAAGGAGTCGGGTTGCTGGATGCTGACCGTCCGAAAGATGTACGTGAATACCTGCCATACACCAGACATTAGAATAACCCAGCAGTATTTCTTTTTGTACTGAATTGCTTGTCCAAGGTGAACGGCAGTCGTTATAAAAAAAAGAATGAGAAAAGCAATGGAAGCGCCAAGAGACGGGGTGAAGTTCCACATCGACTGGGACTCTAGACCTCTTTGTTGTGACATTTTATTGTTGAAAATTTATGAAGACAGAAAGCAGTTGGGAGGAGTGCAAGTGTCTCTAAATTTCAATCTTCTAATATCACTCCATGCTCCTTATATTATCTGGCCAAGATATGTTGCCCTGAGACTGTTCCTGCACCATAACCGGCTTTAGTTACTATCAGATGGGGCCTGTTGAGACTGTAGGGTTCCCGATTGGCCGAACCGTAAGGGCATTTCCCATCCAGCACTAGTGCTCATACACGTAGCTTCGATTCGTTTGCCCCTTTCCTTTTGTACATAATGCCGCAATAATTGTGTCAGTAGTGGGAAGAACCATTTTGTCATGGATAGATGTCCCGTACACGATTATTGTCAAGTCTGAGCCGCAATGACACGCGTAAAACCAGGTCAGCGCCGAAGAGCAAGAGCACCCAAAGTCCGGACGGGCTGTCAAACATGCAAGTAAGTGACTCATTAAGCCCCTGTCTGGCCAACTGTGAGATCCGAGATAGTGTAGGCCGCTAATGTCGCGATGTGCAGAAGTCAGCTCCCAATGAAATATTAGACAATGCCCATTACTTACTCTACTCATAGTTCGGAGGCTCAAGTGCGATGAGACCCGCCCGTTTTGTATGAGATGTGAGACCCCCTTCATTCAGTTAGCACATACCCTTGATACATTATCTAAATGCTCGCCTATGTAGGCACCACATCCGACTTCCCATGTGACGGCTACCAGACGACGTTGAACTCGTCACCGGCTCCCCAGCTGAAGTGGATGGTGAGCGTCGTACAGAGTCCTGCTGCTCCTCTTGAGAGTCGCTCTATACAGTTTTTCACAGAAATGACAATAAAACAGCTCGCAATGTTCTTCCCAGATGACTTTTGGAGTACAAGGGTCTTACAGATGGCCTACTCAGAATCTTGCATTCGGCACGCACTTATCGCTCTATCCGCATACCATGAGAGATACATATATTGCAGCCCCGGTAGTGATTACTCGTTTGCATTGCGTCACTACAACTTTGCTATCAATGGCCTCTCTAATGCCCGTCACGGCCTATCATTGATACACCTGGTATCATGCATTATATTCATATGTGTTGAGGTATATTTCTTCTTTCTCATCTCTTCTTATTTTTGGATACTGAACTACCAGATCCTTCGAGGGCAGATCAGGTCTGCCATAAATCTTTATGTATCTGGCTGCAGAATGATGAGAGAAATACAGCCGACCACATCGGAAAGCGATCATCTCTTCCGCCTTATTGGGGCTTTTTTTAATCGCCTTACTCTCCAGATATCGTGGGCGAGTATTCGCGTCCCTGTGTCACACTGTTAGTAAAATCTAATACATAATACACATAGATTTTTGGGATTACGAGACAAGAGCTACTGGACATGAGTTGCATCGTACTTGAAACCAACAGGCCAAAAAGGCCGCCCGAGTTTGCGTTCCGACAGCTTGCAGAAGCTCGAGAAGTAATCCACGGTATTGCGTTAGAGTGGATGAGCGACAGGCCCGCAGGCGGAGCGGCGCTTAGCGCCTTAGTCAATCGCTTCGAAGAATGGTGCCAGGCATTTGAAGCATTCGACCAAGAAAACCGCCATTTGCTTACTAGCGCTGCGGACAGGAGGGCTCTCACATTGCTTGAGCTTCAGAAACGCTATCTAGCTACTCACCTATCTATTCTTAAGACAAAGGAAATTAACGATGAAACCATGTGGGATGGATACTCTAATGAGTTCAACGAGATGCTCAACATTGCCGAGGCGTCAATGCAAATTCATGACTCGGGGGTAGCATCAAACAGACAGCCACGATTTCACATGGATACCGGTGTTATACCTATACTCTTTGCCATTATTACCAGATGTCGTGACCCCTTCATTAGGAGAAGAGCCATAGAGCTTATGACTTGGAACCCGATGCAAGAAGGCCTATGGAACAGCGTGTTGGTGGCCAAAGCTGCACAGAGACTCATAACTCTGGAGGAAGGCACCGTTGCCGTTGGGTCTTCTAGCGACATATCAGCTGAGGCGAGGGTTCAGGGCATATCTGTCTATGCAGGTGATGAGAGGCACGTTGTGTTAAGGTTTTCACAGGCGTTGGGGTACTGGCAGGAGTCGATTGACTATTGAAGTCTCAACCTGTCCAAAAGTTGGCGAGCTATTTATTTGGCCATGGATAGAGATGCTAGTTTATAGCTTCGAAAACTCTACATCGCTACAATATGTGTAGTGAAAACTGGGCATTGAGTACTTCAAGCTTTGAACCAGAGATTCTATAGAGATATCTTTTTTAGACAATCATCTTCTCCCAACTGGACTTGTGTGAAATAGTGTCAGTTAGACATTCGCCGAATTTTTTTCGCAGCCTAAATTCGGCTGGCGATTAGTCACTATGTCCAGCATAGTAAAAGCATTCCTCCTGATACTAGAAAAGATCAGCTATCATACATGTGCCGTGTGCTACTCAATGGCATAATGCAATCTGATCCTCCCGAGTACAGTTTTCACTTCTTAGTGGCAGCTAGATGTATAATGCGAACTAATTGCATCTTAATAACGTAATATGACTCATGGATATCTCAGAAAGCTGCTAAATACCTTTGACATGGTTCCAAGGGTTGAATATAAGTCATAGTACAGTTTCACGGGGAACTGTTATCTATTCCATTCTATTCTACTGAGGCTCTGAAAACGAATATGCCTCAAAGGTGATGATTTACAACAAACCACGTACTAGATGCTTTGGCTAATACTATTCCATCTTCGCCACGTATATCACACCTGATTCTCATCTTGCGGCCTTCATCTGCATCAATCTGGGCCGTAGCCAAAACCGCTTGGCAAGTCAGAACAGGATTCATAAATTTAATTTCCATCGCCCCTGTGACACTGCCTGATTTAAACATGATTCCTTGTTTGTTCATCACAGTATTGATCTCAAGCAATACATTAGAAGATTCATCAAGCATTGCCATGGTCATTCCACCATGCATCATCGATCCGACACCACCTAGACCTTCCTCAGGGGCGAAAAGCGTCTGCACCTTGGTGATCAGCTTTGATGTATCTTGTAACACATATTGGTCCTCTGCCACAAACACACACAACATGTGTTTAAGAGTGGTTGGTGTAGCCAGAGTCGAGCTGAAGAATTGATCCCGCTGGTCTGAAGCAGGGTTACGGCAGTTAGGGAGAAAGTAATGAGCGCCATCAACCCCAAGCAGCTGCGCACACCAGGAGATCGTACGAAAGTAGGCCAGCGCATCATCATACCGCTGAGACTTGGAGTTGAGAGGGATCAGATTGAGAGCTGGGCTATAGCTACGATTGAGTTGACCGACGCTCTCTTCTTCTGACATTCTAAGATATTGAATGAGCGGGGATAATTTGGCGACGGCACGTTTCCTCCTTTCAGACTGTGATAGAGGCAAGACTCGGTGAACAGACGAGAAGTAGATTTCAGTTGAGCGCATAGAAGAAGAAAAAGGCTGCTGGGGAAGAGTTGATGTGGATAAGAAAAAAGGAAAGATCGGACTGAGAAAAGATATTGCAACCTTATGCATCAAGGATAAATATTGTTTCGATGAAATGGAACTAGTAGCTTTGGCACTACTACCTCATCTCTCTCATGCTTAAAGCAGATAGTAGTGGAGAAGATATACAAGCAAAGTTCAGCACAAAAGACATATCGGACCGTCGGACCATCGGACCATCGACACTAGCCCATCAATTTCGGGCCGGCTATAGTTAAGTGGTCGCTATACATATACCCAACTCAATATAGTCTGCAATGTTTAGTGTTCTTGTCTTCTATTTGTTATATTGCTGGGGCCATGGGAAGAAGAATGTATTTTACCCCCTTTCGTTCAAATAATAAAAAGCTGGACCATATTCTAGACTCGTAGCCAGCTTGTCAAGTTCCGGTTGCATAGATGCTGTCCACGCTTCTTCTATTTCTGGACGTGGCTCCAGAGTATAGCTGGGAATCTTGATGGATTGTTGATGAATGCGTCGAATAATCTTGAAGTTGAAAGCAGCCTGTATCTCTAACCCTCGGATCAAACTTCCCCAAGGCGTAGTCGTATTTGGGCCATTTACAAAGACAAGATTAGGAAATGCCGATGTCATAGTTCCTGACGCGATGCTCTAATTAGAAACTTCTCTTAGTGAATAGAAGCGGTATGAGTACTTACCGTATAATTTATTAGGAGAATCTTTCCAGTGCTCACTAAGCAGCCGACCATTACGGCCTATAGTAGGCACTGCTCCGCCCCAGCCCTACATTTTGAATCCGGTTCTCCAGATGAGAACATCTGCTTTGATGTGAGAAGTTTGCTCTCTTGTATAATGTATTGAGGTTAAAGAGTCATCTACTTCCGGGTTATCAATCTGTAACACGACATCATTTGTGTGTGGCCATTTCGTAATAATGCCAGTGTCATCCACGGCAATAATGGAGTCGCTGACTACCTACTTTAACATTGTCTTTCTGGAGAGTCTCGAAGAAGCCCGAGAGTGAAACCAGTGGTCTTTTAGAACCAAATCGCCCAGTTGGGATTAACTGTTGAAGCAGTGTAGGATCAGAGACCTATTTTTTAAATGTTGACGACAGTAATGTTCTGTATTCTTCGCAATCCACGATTCTGGGCGGAAGGCGAAATATGCCCAGAGGGCAAAGAGATTTGCAACCATGAAGGCATACAAGGCAAGAATTCCAAGAACCCAACGGAATACCTATTTAATCCAAACCGGGTATTTGAAGTTATTGAAGGATGGCAGTAGGTCATGCTTCGACAGAACACGCTGACTGACTTGGCTTGCGCTTGGATGTATGGTAGCACCTGAACAGAGGTTGGTCTAGTACCCACGTATACTACGGTCTTTCCAGCAAAGCCACAATTTGCCGGCCACTCCGCGGCATGCTATATATCCCCCTTGAAACGATCCATTCCAGGAATTTGAGGTGTGGATTTTCGGTTGTATGTTCCGGCGGCCTGTACCAACACGCGACAAGTCCATCGTTTGCGCCTCCCAGATCTTCCATCTAGTGCATCCACAACCCATAACGATCGATCCTCAGACCAAGTCGCATGTGTAACGCTATGGCTACATGTAGTGCAGTCGCCAATTTTAAAATATTCCGCAAAGTTTCTTTAGTATTGGAGGAGCTCTGAGGCTGTGGGGAAAGGGTAATTCCAGTCTGGTGAAAAAAAAATATTAGCTTATGAAAAATGTAAGATTTTAGTAGCATCGTGTTATGTTAAAATACCCGGATTTCGATGCCAGCTAACCTGGTAGGTGCAACTGAATACATCACAAGCAGCCCCAGGGTAAGTTGAAGCCTTCCAAACACCACCATAGTCACTGTTTCTCTTGAGAATTTGCAAGTCTTGCAGCTGCAGGACTTTTTTCGTAATAACTCTGCTGCTTGGATAAGACCGCCTGCACCAGCGCCAATAATAATGCAAAATTTATGGACCTCCGATTCAGAGTCCATGATAAAAAGAGAGAACGTGCAATCAACTGAGTCCTTTGTCTTTATATTGCCTCTATTAAAATAAATACAGAAAGCAGCTATTATATAGATATTCCAAGCAAAAAAAGGTTTGGAATCATTATTTCTTGATGTGATCATATTCCAATAACGGTAGCCTAAGATGTCATTAGAAATTAGCTGGCATAGTTGAGTTATCAATGAGCACAAGAAACCTCACAGCCTCAAACTAAGCGTTTGGGATTACAAGTGATACAAGTTGATATGGAACCGGCAATTGTGTGTCCTACTCGTACCTTGCCCTTCACATCCTATGTCGCATTCTGCATAGTCAGCCGTATTCGTATGCACCTTCATTACCAGAAACGGCTATCCAAACCAAACTGTGGGGAACCCTGCCGCGAACCTATGGTTACCCTAAACTTTCTACACGGCCACATCGTTGCTGCGGAGCATGGAAAGAAGGACGGATAGACGTGACCATTTGTCTCTTCTTTCCGGATATCTTTGTAGTGAATCTCCAGGTACTTGTATCGAGTTTGTCCAAGCGGTTGCGGATTGCCTAGTCACGGCGTAGTTGGAGACAGGTGGAAACATTGTGGTCTCTTATATTCTTATTCGCCGCTATTTATGACCTGTGGAGGTCAGACGGTTTTGTCGAGTTTCGCGTCTCCGCACAATTATCAAAATTGGTTCTGTTCAAATTGTCACCTATGAACCTAATTGGTGCATGCACGGTACATTGGTACGAGCAGGGTATACCTGCCTTTAAGCTATGTAAATAGAGCAAGATAGACTTGTGTAGAGCAGGTAAGTTTTTATTGCAAAATTACAGTGAACCCTATTAATTGCTAGTCGACCGGGGAGGCACGTTTGCTGCCTCGGCTGCGCGCACGTAATTCTTAACCTGGTATTCCAAAATGGCCTTTTGATTCAGAAACACACGGGCAGCCGCTTTAACTTTGGCAACATACTCTTGGTGAGTTGGATACAATGTCTGCAGCTTTGAATCGCAAAATGGATAGGTGTTGCCAGAGAGACCATTGTTAATACCATTGTATCCGGCCACGGGGACTGCAAGCTCCGGAAGACGGATTCCGCCCTTAGTATTACCATCGGCATTTCGAACACAGTCCATCACTCCGTTTGAGTCCGTAGCTACTTCTATATAAGGAAATGTAGGGGGGTTATAGGTTGGATTATGGACCCAGAGAGAAATATGGCGATAGATTGCGTCAAGAGTAGGCTGCTAGTTGATTGTACTGATATTAGTCGTGTCTGGAAGAGGAGCAGGCATATCATCTACCAAGCTAGGTTTCCGAGGTTGGCATGTGATGATCCCGTAACTTCCCACTCGCGAAACTTGTGTGTGTTTGGCTGGCGAAGATAATTCTGAGCATAGTGCAACGATTTCGTCTCAGAATTTATCATGAAGACTGGAATTTTGAGGTCGGTTCGGACTCTTGTAAAGACAGTGCGACCATTCTGACCGGGAGTGCGGTGGGCAGGGACTGGACTGAAATCCGAGGAAGCACCAGCGCAGATAGCTGGAATGATGGCATTATACGAGTTGTTCAAAGGCTGGACACCATTTGTATAGCCTAAAACTTGGCTACCGGATTGAGAAGCCCCAACCAGGATAACGTGCTTGGGAATTTGACCGCCAGTGACATTGACACTTCGCAAAACATTGGTAGCCTGACTGACAATATCATAGGAAATAGCATCATCAAGAATGCTCAACGTATCGTATCGTACAGGATCCCACTGAATGAGCCCCTGAGGATGAGAAGCTCCACCTTCGATACCAATCGCTTGGGCGTCAATGCTGGCCCATATGTAGCCTTCTTCATAGACGCCTGGAAGATCAGTAGATGTAATGCCGAACCCGCCGGAGACATTGATCCACTCGACGAGAACATCGCCGTTGAACTTTTTATGGTCTACTGGGCGTCGGACGAGCATACGAGTTTTGTATGGAGCAGTGCTGTTGTAGGCTAGGGTCCAATGCCCATCGCTTGTCAAGTTACCGACGACGTTATATCGGATACCATCGCCACTGAGAAAAAACTCTTCTTCGATGTAGCCGATAGAGGAGATGTTTCCAGCAAATGCACTAAAAGGATGGCCTTTGTTTCCCCCGGTGATTGGACCCTGGACTGCTGGGAGTTGGCCGGCAGTGACTGCAATGATTTTAAAGCCAGTGATGAGGCTAATAAAGCGAAGCGTGTGGACTGTGATTTGTTATAAAGTGACTCGAAATATCGTCGATGCCTCGATTAAGAAACCTAGTGATCCAGAACTGCCAGGTTATGTACTAGATTACTAGATTTTCTCCCCCCAAATCATAGAACTATTAGAGAACAATCTTTGTTGTGGTCTACCCCTTGGAGGCCTGTCGTGCGAATATCCCAAGAGGGAAATTATCACGACGGATGAAGTTTGGGCTACTTGCTGAATCACCTCGCCATACCGAATTGAGTTTGGAGGTTACTATTTCCGGCAAGTAAGGCATGGGAGGCTGAGCTAGACAACAAAACAATAATCTAAAGGTGGGTAAATTTGACATAATAATGCATAGAGTACCTATATGCAACGCGCCTTAGAGTATGAGGAGTTGTGGGCATGTAGTTTCCAATTGAACCAAGCACCAGTGCTATACTAATTAGCGGTCTGGTAACTTTTGTTTGTCTACGCTTGTAAAATACCTCCTCTCATATCAACAGCGGCTAGCAGATGAAACCAAAAGGTAACTCAGCACTGATCGTAAAATGAAGTAGTAGTTCAGCCATCTACGCCGCAGATTAGAAAGAACACATTTAGGTTTGGTTTTTTTCCCCCATAAATACTCTTGATTTTATGCACAATATTGGATATACCGCCAAATATTACGGCTATTGGCCCCTTCTTTACAAGTCTTTAAGCGTTTGCAATCACTTGTTCATCTGTAGTCTACGTCTCGGCAAGGCACTAATCAGTTTCGTGTCACCTCAGAAAGCTTCTGGGTTTTGCAGTCGAATTTGCGGGGCGAACATCCGGCATTTTAGAATGCGTGACTTTAATCTGGTCTTGGAGATCTGCCTTATCCTCATGCGAGCGCCATTCTACCGCTGCCGAACTCTCCTCGCACAACAGGGACGATACAAATATCCATGGGTTTTGGCTTGCATCTTGAGCTGTTAACCCTTTTATGGAAACCCGATTTGTTACCCAAGCTTTGAACTTCTGCGCTGCCGCAGTGGCTTTTTTTTTTTTTTTTTTTTTTTTTTGGTTTTTCATTATAACTGATATTTGAGTATACCCTTTTAGCGACCAGTTGTCACAGCCCATTGATACATGCTGTTTACAAATATAGCGTCTATTTCTTGTTTTCTAAATTAAAAGAGCACAAATGCCCATTTCCGACATAGCTGACTTACAATCAGCTACACCATGTTTTTGAAGCTCCCAGCACTTCCTCATTATCCTAAGAACAGTAGAACAATTCCCAAACCTGCCGTGATCGGCTAACATTTCCTTTATGCAGGTCTCAAAAGATTGTTGTACTGTTGGCTGTGCCATAGAGCCAGTGATGCACATTGCCCATACAATACCGTTCGCAGGACAAGATTTTGGCCGAGCACGAAGTGTTGTAATAGTTCTTGAAACAGCACCTTGTATCTCCGGAAGTCTTGGTAGTGGTCCGGATATGATGGTATGCAATAATACCAGGGCTGCGAGAGCAAATATGCGAGATACCCAAAAGACGTTCATCTCTCTATCAGTGAAACCCTAAGAAAATTATGTCAACGTATGTTTCTAGGGAGAAAAAGAGTGACTAAATGTACTTTTTCGTTCAAGTCCAAATGTGCAAGGCCATTTTCTAGCGCGCTTTCAATTTGTTGGCCTTTGAATACTAGCTCACGAGTACTAAGCAAACCGACTTTTATGCTGTTGTTCTTCCATTGATCGAGGTGGGCCAAATCACCAATCAATGTCACGACCCAGTTTTGGCAGCCCATGACAGCTGCGGTGTCTAATCCGGGAATGTTGAGCCATTGCCTATAAGGCAGCGCTGGTGCTTTGCCTGTTGAGACACAGGAGAGGATATCGAACCAAAGGGCAGCAGTGATGAGAAACTGCAGCCCATAACGGTCTTTATTGTCAGTAAAGTTAAGATACTCGTGCATCTGGTCCCATTGAGAGTCGTGCCGACGGTCTTGCTGTATCAAGGTATTTTCGGTTGTGAGCTGACTCAATATAGAAGTCACCGCATTCAGATGCAGCTGCCAATCATGTTCACCACCCCGAAATACCTACAGATGTTTAGCAGGGTCACTATGTGTAAAGGGGGCTCTATGCTGACCTCAAAAGTAATAAGCATTATGCTAGAGGACAAAAACTCCGTCATTCTCGCCGCATCGTTAAATAACTGGTCTTCTTTGCAGCTCATAAATGCACAGAGCTCCCTTAATGCCCTGGAGTGGCGGTCGAAAGCTATACTTTGCTGACAATATTCCTCCTCGCGGCCGGGTAATGCACTCTGGTGAAGGGAGGACAAGCTCAAGATTGCATGGTAAAGGGGCCCTTGTTGGATCAGTAGCGAAAGCAGCCAGCCTCGATTTCCTGATCGAGAGGCGTAAGAGTGGTAAGGGAACTGCCAAGAAAATACCTGATCCAAGTAATGCATCAACAAACTAGAATCATGTGAATCAATCCATGGCATGCGCCACGGCTCTTGCTGTGCCATTTCTATGTGTGCAAGCTGAGTGCTACTGATGGCCGATCTTGATTCATCATTTGCAGAGATTGATGCGATATCTCCGTGGTCTGTCTCAGAAACAAAGAGGTTGCCACCATAATCTGAAGATATTGATTCCCTAGACGCCCAATTGTCTTCTTCATGAGCTGGCAATGCCTGCAGCTGTGATGCAGCCCTGCGTCGGCTTTGGCGGGCTCTATTCTGCATTCTCCTCACGCTGCGAAAATTCTCCTTGACTGCACTCTTGATTTTCAGCTTCTCCTTCTCTTCTTCCGTGGCGCCATCCATCCACTCCGGCTTTTGCCCATAGCCATGACATTGGACGTTACGGTCGGTACATTCCTTGCATGTGGGGGTTCTCGAGTCACATTTCCGGTGTCGAACGCGGCAAGTCCAACAGCCCGAGGGGTGATGACCCATGCTAGGAGAGTGTATTGATTGATGTTGGGATGTGAGGGAGACAGACGACTCCAATGATTTGGACTGTAGTAGCCACACTAATGTTTGGGGACGGGAAGTATTATCAATACCTAGGAGCAGAACCCAACCTAAATATGCCGACAGCGGCTTCGCAGTGGACCGAAGAAGTTTTAGCGATAGTGCGGGGCGACATGGTCACTATTGGGGTATTACTCATGGATGCCTTAATAGTTCTATCACAGTTCGTAGATTTGGAGTCCAGTAAAACGCTGGTACTGATCTTGTGGCTGAGTAGCTGGCCGTGACCGCCAAAACTAACGGCTATGCCATTGCTGTCCCCGCCCCAACAGCCACTGAGGGAGGCTCAAGGGAAAAGCACGAAAGTTGGCCAAGGCTGAGGCAGTGAAAGCATCTCTAGCAACGGCAATGGCATTCGGGGTATCGCCTGACAGTGGTGGAAATGGCACACCAGCTTTCAAGCCCACCCACCTCATCAAGATCAAAGATTTTGAGGCCCTGGCTATCTTATATCCAAAGTCGATACCTGTAATCTCAAGATCCCTGAGTGCTTTACCGTTGCACTTGAGCGTGTAATAATTGGTGAGTCACTTGTCTCCCAGACAAAAAAAGGTAAACTAGAGCTAATGATAGTCACAACAGCAAGAAAGGGCTTTGCAGAATGTGTCGCCTCGGGTGGTGTGCAAGTCGTCTCCATCTCCAAAGGTCGTCACTCCTTCTTTGTAGAACTACCGGAAAAAGCTCGTCACCTTCTGAAGCCGTTTATGGGGAGTATTCCATTCAAAGCTGAGAGACGATCAAGGGGGCCATCAAGCTTGGCCGAGCGGCTAAGAAGATCCTAGTGTCTTGGAAGTCTACCACACATCCACATAGTTCCAGAATGCACCAGATGCCGTTCCAACGCATGCAACCGAGGTCAAGTATGTTGCAGAACAGGAAGACACCTTCTTAGATGTCATCTTCGCTTTTACTACCCTTCTAAACGATTATCACCATCTCAGGATCGAGGTAAATTCGCTACGTGCTGACTACACTTCTTGCCGCCTTGATCTTGCCGCAGTTTCTGTTGTGACTAGCATGGCCTTTGAAATGGCTCGTAATATGGAAGAGGATTTAGAACCATTGTTTAGCAAACAAGGAAGAGGTGGATTTTGCGGTGGTGCTAATTATTGCTGCAACTTGGAATATTTAATTTCTATCATTGTACATTTCCCCTTCGCATTCCCTATTTTCGGCAAGCAATGCCTCGTCTAGTTAATCCGTGTCTCGCAAGGCCTTAGAGATTGCGTCCATGCCGCCAAGAAGTTCCTCCCTTGTGGGCCAGCCAAATCCTAACCGAAAATGCGTGTCAGGCATTTCAAACCAGTGTCCAGGGCCAACATATGTTTTGTACTTCTTTAACAACCTGTCGTAGAATGCATTCGTGCCGCCTATGGGTTGCTTCTTCATGCGTGGGAAACAAACTACGCCGCCCACGGGCTCGACCCATTCAAGGAGTTCATCTTTCTCAATCCATGAACGAACCATCTGCAGACGGATTGCCATCTCCTCATTTGTGACGGAAATGATGCTTTCTCTTCGCAGCAATAGCTGCGTCGCAATCCATTCATTGATAACGCTACCGCTGATGCTTATCTGCTCTTTGGCGGCCAAAAAAGTCTCCTGGAGCTTCTTGCTCTGTGTAATGACCCACCCGAGGCGAAGTCCAGGCACACCGTAAGATTTCGACAGAGAACAGACGCTCAGAATGTGGTCACCCAGTGAAGCTGCGACTGGAAGTTGCCGGCCATACTTGACGTCCCTGTAAGTCTCATCGACGAGCAGCAAACAGTTTTTCTGCTTAGTGATTGCAACAAGGCGATCTAGAGACCCCCTTGAGAGGAGAGTCCCGGTTGGGTTATGCGGACAAGTGATGGAGACGATTTTCGTCTTCGGCGTGATTGCTTGTTCGATGAAGGATAGATCTGGCTCGAATCCGGATTCAAATTTGAGATCCACAAAAGTGATATCGCAGCCAATTGCCCGCGGTGTCTCTAGATTAGTTGCATAATTTGGTCGAACTACCACAATATGATCCTGCGCAGACAGCTGGGATGTTGAGATAATAAAGAGAGCTCCGGCAGCTCCACTGGTTATGAGCACATCGTCTGCACTCAGGCCAGCGTCGACAGCAATGGCATTTCGCAGCTCGGTGCTCCCTTTATGTTCGTTGTAGAGGAGAGTAAGGTCTAGAATAGTCAATCCAAGAGAGCCTAGGGACTGATCCGCGATGGAACTCTCGGATAGATTGAACTTGATCTTATCATAGCCATATTCTTCTGGAGACTCAATCTCGATTGGCATCCGTTCGTACTTCATTTTGAGATAAGGTTAGTATCTGCCACCACAGGAAAGCCTACAGATGTAGTGATAGATAAGAAAGTTGGGAGTGTGTAAAGCCGAATAAATCTCAATCTATCGGATATTTTTGCGACTATATATATATATGCGGCACTGGACCTGAATAGTTACCTCTATTCATCAACATTTGAGCTTTGATAACTTGGCCCAGTGCGGAGCCAGCCTCGGCCATGCAGAAATGAAGAAGCGGCTCGACTTTCCTCGCTAGTAATACTATTAGATGAGAATCAAGGTCGATTGTACTATACTGATTGGTAATTGGTTTGTTCAATGTTCGGCTTCAGTCGCATAGATATGGGCGAACAAGCCGATGCTTTCGTTAGCTTGCGGAAGCGCTGTGGGGTAAAGCTTTGTCCCTCACTGCAGCAAAGAAACAGTTCGGAGGCAAAGTATTCGCCGCGGCACTCAATAACAAAGTCAATCCACGGAGTCAGGCGGGGTTGCACACGAGATAGTACGGTCGTGGCACTCACTTCTGGCAAATCGTGGAGTTATTAGTTCGGAAAGAACACTGTGTCAACTCTACACCGAGCTCCGATCGCTAGGCGTGTCATGTTCTCCCATTCCGCAGCCACAAATCACACAAGTCTCAAGAAGCTGTATCATATTAGATTAAACGCCGATTTAGTACGTTCCGATAGTAGATTGCGCTTTCCTCCTCTAGTGTGCCATGAGGCGCCGCCCGGCTTATTTATGAAGTGTGAATCTGCCAAAGGTTCTGAGCCGCCAAAGCCGCTCGGTGCAAGAGTAACCTGTGGCTTTGTATAATAGGAAAAGCGGCGCGATCAAGGTGGGACTACCGAGAAATCCACTCACTCAGCATGTCTAATTCCCCACAGGATCCCCTCATATTGTCGGCACGACTTTCCTATTCCAATTTCAAGTTGGGAGATGTAAATGTCCGTCGCTCCTTAATGCTTTTGCCCCCGATGAACTCAGGCTTATTGGGTACATCTACTACATCGCAACAGTTCAATGACAACGGCCAACAATTCTCCAAGGAGCAGTGTATCCCCCAAAGGCCGCCGTAGCCTTCGGGGGTGCCTTACATGCCGCATCCGGCACGTTAAATGCTCACTTGAGCAGCCCGCATGCAGAAACTGTCTAAAATCATCTATCACATGTGATGGATACATGCCCCAGTTCAAGTGGTTAATGTATGGCAGTCGGGACGGAAAGAACGTTGTTATTCTTCGTGGAAACGAGGGGAACGCGGCCCAGAGCGCAGGCAGAAGGGAAATCTTTAGCCGTATGTATAATATTCGCTTCCCTCAAATGGTGTCGAACAACTTATTGCATGTGGCACACTTATCACATGATGTTTTCTAATACATTGAATACATAGTGACAGAAAGGAGATGCATGTCGCAGAGTCTGATTGACAGTCTTGGCCAATATCGTTATCCAGGTGCCGATCAGTGTGTAATAAATGTTACATTGAAGAATCTAGAAAAACAACCATTTCTAGATACATCATCAAGGAGTATAATACGCAATAGTGCTGTCGGCTTCTTTTCTGGTCCATTTGGTGTATTTTTACTCCAGACTATGCGGTCGGCTGAAACAGCATCTGCTTCTTAGGGTAGGATGTTCCAAGGACCAGATCAAGTACGAGGAGAAACCGCTGATCTCGTTATCTATGTTTAGGTACCCTTTATAAACTACACACATTACTACTGTCTGATCAACGCTTCGCATACACCCAACGTTGGTTTAAATGAGATTTCGTGAAGTATCTTGGACTTGTACAAAGATTAGGTGATGGAATATTATGTGGATTACAGAAATGTTTGTCGGCCACCGCCTGAAATAAATTGTCAACAGCTGAGATAGATCGACCTGTGTGCGATATGGAAACCCACTACTGGAGTTTATTCATTAAAACTTCCCTGCATCCACGAAATAATGGCTAATGCGTATTTCCCCGTGCTCTAGATTAAGGATCCTTACTCCCGAACCTGGCAACAACACAAAGTCGGTATTTAAAGTTGAATTAATTCTACTAACCTCTCCTGTATGCTATGTGCAGCTAACTAAAAAGCTGTAATTAACCTGTTGGGCTCGAGCAACGCCAACCTACCAAGCTTGGTGAATTGGTGTAACCGTCGACTAGAGTCTTAAAACCCGCATAAAGCCCGAGGACACAAGTAGCAAGAGAACCCACATATATCACCCCGTCGAATACATTCCACCACAACTCCTTTCGCATTCCTCGGACCCAACGCTTAAAGCCATGGTCAACTCGCTCTATTCGGCGGTCGAGGGGGTTATAAATTTCCTGAGATAATACTGAGTCTCTTTGAGCTCTGAAGCCAAGCGCTAAAAACACCGGAAAAGTATATGTGAATTGCAGAAGCGCTCCAGCTCCAAGTATAGCAGTCCAGGATGTTATTTGTGGTACTGATAGAGCAATGACCCAGGCAAGAACCCAGTAGATCGGGACAAAAAAGGCCCAAATCCATTTTCCGGATCCGCTGTTCAAATCGGGGAACTTGAAAAAGTAACGGCCAATGCTGTTGTATAGAACCTTCATGCCAATATTAGCGTATAGAACCGCGGCAATGACATTAGTCAATAGTTCAATGGCATTGCAGACTGTCTGCCAGTTGTATGGAGATATTCCTTGATAGGAATTGATATAAGCATATTGCCCCTGCCTATCTATTTGTCAGTTTATAAGAGGGCTGCGTAGGATGGAAATCACCTCACATCATATAGCAATAAATACCATACACCATATAACATAAGAAGATGAGGAGGTCGGCGCATAGAAGACCTTTCCAAAAGTCCATTGGCCGCCTCATCTCAGCCATCAACTCAACAAACATTGTCGCACCACCGAATGAGAACACGGCATTCATCAAACCGTTCACATTATCTACAAAGGTGAGTTCTGGTGGTGCAGTAACGGAAATGGAAATGGGATTAGGCGCCTGAACGTCAAAATCCGGATGTGACGCGGCATAGAGTACATAGTTCGGCGGGCTATGAGCCATAACTCCCATACTGCGGATAAGTAAGCATAATGGCCGACATGAGTGACAAAGTCATCGAAGAAACAATGTACCTACGTTGCAAGGATGACGAACAAATTCAGAAAGACACTCACAGACCCCACCCAGCCGAGGTTATTGAGAGTCCGGATCTGTCCCATAACGCAACCAGCCAGGGCGCTGATCAAAACAGAAATGATGAAGCATAATTTGTTTTGTGACAACTGGCTGATGGATTGACCATTCGTGATCATGATGACCATGACGGTGAGGAAAAACTGAAACGATTGCAATACATTGCATACATGCTGAAACCAGGGTCCGTAGATGCGCAAAGCTAGATCACTGTAGCCTCGGAGGGGGTGCTCGTCGCTGTCAAGTTGAAGAAATAACCTCCACAGTAGAAACCCACTGTATCCGGCCAGAGCACCAAATACGGTGTACAAGACGACACCGGGAGCAAGGCCCATCTGGGAGAAGGCATAACCAGTCGAAAAAGGTCCCAGGACATCAGTTGTAATCAAGTAGAATATCGATGCCCTAAAAATAATTAGTAATGGCTATTGTATTTGAGCGTTGCGTAATTGATATCTACTCACCATGTGGCAGTTCTTGCAGCCCTGGTGGCCTGAGTCCATTCACCTTCAGAAATATCCAATGGGGCAAATGCTTGGGGCGCATGCTTTTTATTTGATTGGACGCGCGATACATGTTCTACCTCTCCGCAATTGAGCGGGACCATACCTCCCCCGGATTCTTTGACAGACTGGTCAATAGCGTCTCTAACAGGACTCAAAGCATCAATAGATGCTGTAACATGTCTAGATTGTGGAGGGGTTTGTGACTCCCTAGCGCGGGACAGCTTAGCGAAATATATGTATTCTTCAATTGGGATATCGGAATCTTGAATGGAAAGTTTGTTGCTTCCTTGAAGATTCTCATCCTCTTTCGGCATTTCTGCGACGCCGGGACTGTCGTCCAGAACCGTAATGTTATCCGGATGTATCATAATGATGTTATAACCAGAAGAAGAGATAATATTCAAATTGATGGTGTGAATGAAATAATAAGGACGAAGTAGGCTGCTACGAGAACTTGCCCGTGGTGCTAGGGTCCACCTAGTATATATATATATATTTGATGCATATCAGGAGAAGCGCGCCCGAGCTGTAAGTCGATGTCAGGTTCAGAACTAAATGCTCTCACCGTAGACCCACAATGCTGGTGGCTGAAGCGCACATACTATCTTCCCCGATGTTCACCAAGCTCGTTGGGGTCTTATTCTCCCCACCAACATTTAGCGTAGTTTGGCATCGGAATTGGCGTTATCGTACCGCAGCTAGCGCAACTTTGATTGTATTTTGGCGATGTCGGCAGCGGCGCGACATCGGCTTGACTATTACGGAAATCACTGTCTGACCAATACGAAGAAAGTCCCATAATCCGTCAGTCTTCCCAGTATTGTAATATTAAACGTACGGGTAGAAGCGGAGGATGAATTGTAGTGATAAGGGGTAATTGGGGTAACTTTAAAAGAACCCCTGCCACCCATAGTTTGCTACAACTTCATCTGGCACGCAAGCGCGCTTAGACGATCTCAAAAATAGCCCAGAGAACAACTTCATTACTATGGCTACTATGGATAGCCACGATCTCCCCTCCTGGAACTCTATGCCGGCTGTTCCGGGAATGCCACATGGATGTGCCTGGGGACTCTTTGATCAGAACGATGTCAAGGATGAAGTTGGCACCATCAATCTCCTACAGCCGTCCACAATTATAAAAGCATCAAAAGAAATCAAAACGGGAAAATCGGTTGTACTCAAGTGAGAGATCAGCATCTCCATCATTGGATCACCTAATAATGAGTTGTATAGCTGGCCGCTTGATAGGGTCCACGAACCCAGCTTTGACCGTCCGAATTTACATGTCACAGTGAAAGATTGGAAAAAAGAGGGAAGCCCTTGGTACTGCTACGATGATGAGATCAAACTCAATACTCAGTCCGGAAGTCAATGGGATGGATTACGTAGGTCATCAAAATAGACAAGCTACTAGTAATCTCACTGACACCATGATAGGTCATTGGGGACATTCTGAGACTGGTCTGTACTATAATGGCCTTCCACACGAGTTGGTTCTTGATACGTCACACCTCGGGGTCGATCGTGAGTTTTTCACACATTATATCCCCACCCCCTATTTCAAGACGAATATGCTAACGGACGCTACCGTCTCAGATTGGAGTAAGCGTGGAGGGATAGTTGGACGCGGTGTTCTCCTCGACTATGTGGCCTTTGCTGCTCGACACAATTTCGAGTATGATCCTATGACTAGACACTGCATTACTCTCTCTGATATTCGCAACATGGCTGAAGAACAAAGTGTAACGTTCCAGCATGGCGATATTCTCATCTTTCGAACCGGATGGGTCAAATGGTATGAGGAGCATAACGAACATAAAAGACGATCCAAGATAAAGAACGGCAACGACCATGTCGGCATTGAGGGAAATGAGGAGATGTTTGCATGGCTATGGAACAATCACTTTGCGGCCTTGGCAAGCGACACAGTCGGAGTAGAGGCTTGGCCTCCCACTTTCCCATGGTGTTAGTGCCTCAATCCCCAGTTGAAGTAATGCAAACTGACAGTTGAATAGGCCTTCATGATTACGCAATCTCCATGTGGGGGATGCCTCTTGGCGAACTATGGGATTTGGAAGCATTGGCTACAGCATGTGAAGAGGAGAAGAGATGGACATTCTTCTTTACAAGTGCACCGTTAAATAATCCTGGTGGCATAGCTAGTCCACCCAACGCCGTGGCTGTCTTTTAAAAGTAGATCGAGGCTGGTCATTTGCTCAAAGAGTATAGATAGATGAAAGATTGTCATTTTCTTATAATTTAGGCCAATTAGAGTTCCTTGGCATCTCTCATGATGCATTATTTTATCATGTAATGGAAATTAGGATTGTCAACATGGTGTAACTAAACTCCCCATATTGTGGCACGTCGTCGTTCTAGCACATCCCATTTCCTGGCAGACAATCTGGCCCACAAGCCGTAGAGTCTTCCTTAAGGCGCTCTTGACTGGTTCTAAATTTTCTAGTTTGGTTTACAAATTCTTTAGACTCATGGAAAAGCATGCATGTATTCATTCGTTCCACTGCTGCCATGTACTTCGACAGGGCAGAAAAGGGTACACTGCCAATCAGTCATAGCATGAATCTTAGGATATTATTATTTATCTCCTGTGCCAGAAAAAAAAAAAAGCACTACAATCATTTCTACCTAGTCGTCGAGAGTACGTATTCTCGTGCGTTAATTCAACATTTACGATAGAATGATTAGCAAATGAAAGTCTACGTCATTTTATTTTGTTGAATCATGGGCTATCTCTAATGTTCTTGGAAAGTGAATCCGGCAACGGACCCCGCCATTTAACGCCATGTCAAATGCCGCCATTTGTACATCGTATCAATAATTTGAGCCGAGCGCCGAGCGCCGAGCGCCGAGACCCGGTCACTCAGAAATCAATACCCTTCCAGACAAAGGATATAGCGGCTTAGATCTGGGTTTTTTTGTAGAAATAAGCGCCAGTTTGCTTCAATGGAGTGAGTCATAGAGATGGTATCTGGTTGAACCAGAGAGGAAAGTCGAGCCGACGTCTCCGCAGTGAGTTAGAGCCGATATTGTCATGATCACATCGGGAGCCGTGAATACATTTCAGCAATTACTGGTTAGACGGCTTTCGGATAGCAGCCATATCGCTGGTCTAAGACCGAGAGTAATAGCAATACACACCGAAGAAGAAGCCGAGGGTGGAACGAGAACATGAAAGCTGCAAAACTTAAACAATATTTAATTCACATCATTCCTACAGCATCCGAGAAGCTCGTTGGCATCACCCCCATCCAAGACCAACTTGAGAAACCTAATGCAACAGAGTCTCTCCACAAAGCCAACAATAACCCTGCGATGACTCAAGTTCAAGAATCTCCTTATGGAACCTGGGAAAGCCCAATTACCCCGGATCACTTTGCCTCAGGCTCTGTGATTCTTGACCAGTTGGATGTGAACGTGAGAAGCAATTATATATTCTTCCATTCGGTTATCAGTGCTAACAAACCAAGTGTTCCAATGGCAAGATATATGCTCTTGAGGTCAGGCCTGCCGAAGAGGGAAGAGGTACCATCGTGGAATATGTTGATGGAACTGCCAAAGAAGTACTCCCTAGCCAATACAATGCCTTATCTCAAGTGCATGAGTACGGTGGAGCCTCATTTATGACAAGACAGTGTGACAACCACATCATTTTTACTGATTTCGAAACAAAGGCGATTTATGATCTGAATCCCAGCACTGGAGACACAAAGATATTAGTTCACGAGGATAGAAAGCTCTATTATGCCGACTTTGCCATTCCGCCAGATGATCAGAGATGGATAGTTGCGATACAAGAGAATCACCACGCCGATGATCCCATGGCCGTTGAGAATAAAATTGTTGCAGTCGATTCCACAACCAAGGAGGTTACAGTTCTTGCCAGTGGTTGTGACTTTTATGCCTTTCCACGCTTCAGTCCAGATGGAAAAAAGCTTTGTTGGGTCCAATGGTATCATCCTAACATGCCTTGGGATAACACACAGCTACTGATAGCTGACTGGGATAATGGCCAAGTCTCGAACATAACCAGCATTGCCGGAGTCGACATAGATTCCAGCGTTACGCAGCCTTGTTGGGGCGTAGATAACACTCTTTACTATGTCGATGATAAGTCGGGATACTGGCAACTTTACGAATACTCCAACGGACACAGCAGACACTTGAAGTTATCCGACCTGGAAGATGCGGAATTCTGCTTTACTGATTTTTTCCTCGGAGCTGCGTCATATGCGCCATTATCGCCGGATACCATTGTTTCATTTTACACCAAGAATGGAACCTACACAAGCATCGTCATTGACACTAAAACCTGCAACTATCGAGAGCTCCAATGCCCCATAACCGATATTCTCACAAATGCCATCAAGGCAGTGAGTTCGACGGCTGTAGCCATCATTGGTTCCACAGCATCATCACCTCAAGTGCTTACTGTGGTGGATATCAACCAAGGAGGGCTTGGCCAGGTCTTGAAACGTTCGGCCGCCACTGAGCTGCCAGAAGATTATGTTTCCCATGCCACTCACGTTACGTTCCCTCGGGTAACTGGATCTGGAGAAGGCGTGGCACATGGTCTGTTTCTTTTGCCCAAAAACCCCAAGTTCAAGTGCGACGGCTCCCTGCCTCCATTGATCGTATCAGTACACGGTGGGCCAACATGCCAAGCCGGGCCCGGCTTCTATCTGCGCGATCAGGCTCTGACAACTCGTGGTTATGCTGTGCTACAAGTTAATTACGTTGGGTCGACTGGATACGGAAAGAAATATCGACAATTACTCAATGGGCAATGGGGAGTTAGTGACATTGCAGATGCAGTCAGCGCTGTGGATTATCTTGCTCGTCAGAACTTGATTGACAGACAGAGAGTCGGGTTGACAGGACACTCAGCTGGTGGGTTCTTGACAATGCAAGGCATGGTACGCTATCCGAATGTTTGGAAGACAGCTGTTGCTGAAAGTGGTATTTCGGACCTGAAAAGATTGATGGAGGACACGCATAAATTTGAGTGTCGCTACCTACAGCCCCTCTGCTGGCCCAATGGAACATCTGCAGAGGATCAAGAACGAATTCTTCTAGAAAGAGGCCCCATTCATCACTGTGCCAAAATCCAGAGGCCCATCTTGTGTTTCAATGGAACGGAAGATCCCATAGTGCCTCAAAACCAAGCGAAAACATTTGTGGAAACAGTAAAGGAAACGGGCGGAGTTGCAGAAGTGGTCTTATATGAAGGCGAAAGTCACATCTTTGCCAAAGGTTCAAGTTTAAAGGATATTGAAGCTCGTCGGTATGCTTGGTTCAGAAAGTATTTGTTGGATTAAAATAGACTATACAATTTAGAAGCAAAACTAACTTGTAGTATTTGGAGAATTGCATCGACCGCATTGGGTTAAAATTTAGCAAGTAATAACTACTATCACGACTAAGTTGGCATTATAGCGATCTTGCTTTCTGTTTATTTTGTAGTCTCTCCCAAACCATTATCGTGCACCTCGAATTAGACAAGTCCATCTGTGATAAACCGTTCAAGTTGAACATCGAAAATACAATAGAGTCGTTGGTATACACTGGTGCCCATAGCAACGAGAGTCTTATATGATAAGCACAGACTAAGATCCGATGTTATTTCTTTCAGGCGCCTGACGAAACCTATATGAGCCTACCTTGTCCTGAGCTGTGAGGAGTGTGTAAATGCCGCTTCTAAGAACTCTACGTTGTCGGGCACACCAGATTGTAAATTAAGCCAAAAAACCCCACCCTTTGAATACTCCTTCCTGTTCACGTGTGCTGCAAACCCTCTTGGCGTCTCTCAGCAAACATAACTATCCACAATACGAACAATAGTATCGTCAGTGCAGTATTCTAGTAACACTGATGTATTAATAAAGACTTCGGTATGATCGGTAACGTTATTTGGGAATAATGCGACGCGTTTCTGCAGGGGATCTGCCGGGGAAAAGCATCTGCCTCGAGATTCGAATAGATGCGCCAAGCTTGCTTGCTTGAACATTACCATTTTACGACTCTGTGCTGGAGCGACAAACAAATTGTTCAGAGTATGAGTAGCTATCGATGCACCTTAGTCAATCCGGATAGCATAACACGATCTCATTAACCACCAAGTTCCATACTTCCTTATTAATAAATTCTCGAAACCTTGTAATTTCGCGCAGTCTTGTAACCCGAACATCTTCTCTTTCTGATGGTTCCGGTTCATTCCATACATTAAACCACTGGCAGAATGTATCCCCTCTTGAGGAGACGGAATTCCCCTTTATGGGAAAAGGGAATACCCAGAAGAAATCAGGAAACGCGTCTTTCAGAGTGAGTGGCAGTTTGATACAGAGAAGCTAAACTCGGTAACCTCATTACTACGGCAAGGTGAAAAACTAATATTGTGAGGATGGCCCGCTAAGGTTTGGGTTGAAACAATTCGCGGTACGTTTATGTCCTATTCTGTTGGGATATCTTATAGGATGTTCAATTTATGTTTGTCTAGAAACAAAAATGTCTTCTTTTGCCTGTAGATATAGAATAGAGTTGTTTATCGCCCTTAAACCAAGGTATGGCCGTTACTTATCCCTCATTGAGTGAATTTCTGTTGAATTAATGAAGAACAAGCGAAATCTTTGCATATTGCAGGTGTTAATGTCTTCCTACAGAGCACTACCGTGATGTACCATTTTTAATAATCACGCAGGTTTCTAGTCGAGCTATGTCTAGATTATCGGCAGTAAATCAGGCCATGGCACATTATCCTACGTTGTATAACATCTATTGCAAGTCAAGGTAGTTAGTAACGAAGCTATTTCTCTAAGTTCAAGTTGTTCATTTAAATATGAGAACCTCATTAAACGTATATACTTTAAGAACGAAACATCCGACTTCGTAGGTGCGGTTTGTGACAAAGTCGCCACACCTTTCCTAAGCCGATGAGAGAACATTATATTATCCTCGGAGTCATTTCTAATTCCATATTATAAATTAGCTGTTACGTATGTTTTTTTACCTTATCCAATCCTTTCTTGGAACTGGTAAAGTCAGAACAGATCAGTGTCTGCATATGGGTTTTTGAATCGGTTTATTGTACCGAACGGATACCGAATTACAGTCCATAGGTGTAAGCTTATGCCTGTCTTTCCATTGCATGTCTTTTAATTAGATTGAACTCAGTCCATACCACGATTCGTCGGATAAAATAATATACTCATCATGCAATTGAGATCACCCAACACTCAATGTTGACCAACGTGCATAAATACGGCGACTCGCGCAATACGGTCGCTGGCCTCAATGTTTGCATCATTAGCTACTGGATAACCGCATTGTATACTCTTCTAATTACCTCCAGCTGGTAGGATTTTGGCATTTTGGTCAATTGACACACTTTCATTACCACTGCCCTGCAACCTCTGATCAAGAACCATAAGATAAGCTTCTGTGGTGGAAATTGTAATTCATGTAGCTGCTAATGTTTGTCGATTCATAGAAAACATATAGAGGCATATCCGGCGTAAACATACTAAGTTGTATATTAGGACATCCAGAATAGAGTGGAGTGTGCTTTCTTTTCAGCTTTGCAGTAGAACAAAGGGCAAAATTTCGCTACTAGATTACAGAGACACGAAGATGAGAATTACAAGTACAATTCCAAGAAGAAAAGGCATCGCGTGCCTGCTGAAAACATGCCTTTAATTATCTTCAGACTGGCCAGGCACACATCTACTGTGGATCATTGCTGTCATGCGTCTTACCACCATTATTATGCTTCATAGTCATAACATGTTCATGCATTTGGTCCCATACACTGGGATTCTTTAAAATAGTAGCTTCAACAAGCTGAAGCGCCCTGTCATGGCCTACGAGCGGAGCTCGGGCTTCAATTGAGAACTTATCCAAAGCCGTTTGGGAGTAGTCCGCAGCCGTAAACTCTCGACATGCGACCATAAGCTTGTCTTTTATTATTCTTGGGTACGGATTCCTACAGTTCAAACCGTTATTCACATGACGCGGTAAATAGGAATATGAGAGACTACATATTAGAAGCACACACATCCAAGGCAGAGGATGGTCAAATACTGGTTTGTACCATCCTGAGAAGAGCTTCAAGTCTAGTTCAGATTTGGAAAGATTCGGGTTCTCTTGACGGAGGTGCTGTTGTATTGCGGCAGCGCGTTTGAGAAAATCCTCCTTTGTGAAGGCAGGCAGAGCTGAAATATCGCTTGTAGTAGAGTTACTGTTGGCCATTATAACCGCGACAATATCTGATTCAGAGTAAAAATATCTGCTGGCTAGGTAGAAACTGGGCTATAATAGAGTTTGCAAGTACTTGAATTGGGCAAACAGAGATACCCCAACATTGGGACGCAATGAGACATACTGGAAAGGCGGGGTCAACGTTCTCTAGCGAAAAACGAAGTGTGGGCTTGACATTTTCAAATTGGAAACTGCATCGTTTGGTTAAGCTAATGAATAATCGAGTAGCTGTGTTTAACACGTGATGTTTCGTGAACATATCATTTTTTTTAAGTGACAACGTTTATTGAGCGAAGCGATGAGGATTATGGCATTCATATGACTTTTCTCAAGTGGTATCCGATGCAAGAATTAGTCCTAGGTGGACACATAGGGGTGAACAACGGTGCAAATACGACAACCCACCTATATACAAAAGTTTTGAAAGTTGGCAGGTACAACGCACAATTCCTGAACTTACGTGTGTCGACCACTTATCTTAGTAGCATGCAGTTATCATAATTCGCGAGGCTAGCTTTGAGCCATGAACTAAATAGTCCGACCTAGTTCAAGTGGTACTGAGGTTAAAAAGATGCAATGACATCGTTACTGCATCCAGTATCACGGCTTGGTAAAAGAGGCATATGCAGCAGACACGGACGGAGGATGCCGCTATCCACCTTACTCGACTAAACACAATATTATTGGAAATGTACGTCACAATTAACATATATATGCTTTTTAGATTGGTTGACTAGAGAATCGTTATCGCTAATACTTATATAGCACAAGTTTTGAAGTTTCTAGGTGTGTCTGCGAGCCTTGCGTTGCGATTTCGCGCAGATGTGAACCCGGCATTTTTCTCATGTCAGCATGACCAGCTTTATTTTATGCCGCGGGTTATTAGTATCCCTTGACAACTTCTGCATGTGCATACATTGCATCATCAATGCAGTGATCTTTTGTAGCTCAGCGCAGGGCCGCCCAACAACAGCATGACATGTTCCAATTACAGCCATCCAAGCACAATCTGAGCTGTTACATGTGCATGCGACCACACTATCTACTAGCCTTTTTGATTAAGCAGCCTGTGTGCTGACCCTGACTTCGTTTAAGGATCGTAGGATGTGGGGCGAAAAAAGTTCATCGCTCCAACAAACGAATCAAATGTCGAATTGAAGATATCCCATGTTGCTGAATCCATCTACAGGCAAAAAAAAAATCGGGTACAGAGACAGGGTGATAAATGAAGGTCGCCAAAAATATTCACCCTCAAGAAAATGGGCTATGTCGGGAAAATGCATTCTCGTATATAAGAATTATACGAGGAGTTACCAGCTTGCAGCCAAGAACCTGGACCAACTGCTCTGGACGGAGTAGAGCCTCCATCATGTAGAGTAGCCAGGTTAACGCCGGCCATCCTTATTGCTTCTTAATCCGTTGGCACCATGTTACTACGGAGCAGCCATCACGGCTACCAGCCCCGCACCTCGTCCTACTGCGTGATTCTTACGTTGTCTACATGCGGGAGAGTATATGCGGAGTACATAATATGCCCCTTTTTTTCACAAGAAGCTTGATTCCATTCAATTACGGCTGCCACATTTCCACCCAAAAACTACCACGCATGCAATCAGCATTTACGCATCGGCGATTCATCAATTTCTTATTCCATCCCTTATCACATTTTCTCGATGGCGTACACTATGGCCGATAACTTGTGCCGCCACATCGAAGGTGATAATCTTTACGGGGTGAAGGAAGCTATAAAGGCAGGAATCTCAATAAACCAGTACTCAGCGGCAGGGCTTACCCCTCTCGGAACAGCAATCCTCTGTGGACATTTAGCCATTTTCTCCTCAATGAAGGAGCAGATACTAACCTAGCATACAAATCAGACCTGTGTCTAGACAAGGCCCGTATCCGATCTGATTTGCCCGAAGTTTGCGCCGCGATTCATTGCGCATCGGTCACTGGATCAGCGGATTTAATCCGTTTGCTTGTCGACCATGGCGCAGATGTAAACGACCCCAGCGGTATCGAATATGGCGCTCAAATACTTCCCTTGTGCTTATCCATAGAAGATGCAACCAAAGCGCTTATTGAACTTGGTGCAGATGTGTCTCGAAGGAATGCGTCGGGTTTCACTCCTTTGCTGCATGCCATGGCGCGAGAAGATATCGCCTCCACTAGGCTGCTTGTAGCGAATGGCGCGGATGTCGAGATTGAAAGAATGGCGCGCCATCGAATCAGGATAGAATTGGGAAACGGCACAGAGGGCACAGAAGAGCGCCTTGTTGAGGGGACTTCTTCGCCATTGATAGTAGCGTGCCATCAAGGCCGTCTTAGGCCTACGTCTTTCGAAATGATCAAGATATTGGCCTCCGCTGGAGTAGATGTCAATCGGCGCTATTGTATCAAGAATACTGAGAGTAATGTCCGCTTCACAGTATTGTCATTGATTTGCAGCTCTCGTACCCCGACACCGTTTATAAAAGGCGCTCATGCTAGAAACGATCAATACAGCGAGAAAGAAGTGGCAGCTATCAGAGAGCTCATTACTGCCGGTGCAGATGTCAATAATCCCCCTATCATTGATTATTTATGCCAAGGAGAGATGCCCTTTTCAGATTTCGAGTCGCGCGCCAAAGTGATGGAGATGTTATTAGAACATGGTCTGCGACTTGACTCACAGTCCGGTCGAGCTCCGCAATTGTCACTTCTGAAGTCGTTTACCAAGCACCCAGAAGCCGAAATTCATTTGATTAGGATGGCAGCCGTGTTGGCCAAGGCTGGAACGAGATGGGATCTTTACAAGACCGAGATGGAGCTGGCTGGGGTACTAGCACAGCTCTATGACCAAATCTAGAGCATCAATAGGGATGAATTAAGCGTATAATAGTGTTCTTTGGTCAATAATGCGTACCATAGTACCAACCCGAAGCAGTCAATCGATTTGACGGTACTGGCTGCCGGCAACCCTCAGGATTGTGAGTCATCTCTAGTAGTACTGTACTTTTTGTGGCATTTGCTAAAATACCCTAGATATCTGGGCCGAGTGAGACGACATCTATTGTAAGGTATAAATAGCCCTCTAAGGCTTTTCTACACACTCAGTCTCTCACTAGATATACGAGCTCATAAGCATCTACTATGGGTCTATAACAAGCTTTGAAGGATCTCATTAGCGCCTCAATTCAGCTTTTTGAGATTATGGACGTGTGCAAGGGCGCTGTAACAAGATATTATATGAGTAACGACTATACTAGAATATTTTTAGGAACTCATCATACTGACAGCTATAGACGATGTATTTGGTTGTCCATTGTCACATGCAATGATGTTGACGTTTAGTAGTGCTCATAAGATAGGTACACACGTTCACTTGATGACTTTTTTATATGACACTCAGTCTAGTACTTCAATATGCTTGCGTCCACTGCGATAATCCTAGCTGCAGTTGTTGGATCTGAGATATTCCTTCCTGTGGACACATAGAATATGTTGGTATCAAAAACACCTCGGCCAAAGGCCAGACATGTCGAATCAGGCATCAAAGGATTTGTCGGCCCTCCAACAACGCGCTTGCTTATGCCGGTCGTAACATCGACATGCACGATTGCATTCTCAGGGCTGTTCGTGGCGAGGAGGATATTGCCCTGCAGGTCAAATATAAAATCATCAAGGCCAGGGGCTACGGATGAAATATTCGCAACCAAGGAGGGCCGAGCTCCCTGGATAAGATGCCCTTTGGAATCAACCTTGACCTTATAGATTGACTGAGTCGAGGGGTTTCCAAAGTAGAGATAGGACCCTTTCATCCGCATGGCGCTTACACCAATAGGTAGCGTGGCGCCTTTAGGTACAGTCATTTCGTAAAATGCAAAAGCCCTAGGATTGTAGTGGCCAGTTGAGAGATCTAAACGACCAATGGCGCCAACGAAAGAATCGACGATAAGGACGGACCCCGGGCTCTGCGGAATAGCAGTGACGCTGTTGGGAAATGACGAGATGGGCGCAAGATCACTGACTCTCTGAACATGAGCCTTGCCACCTCGAGAAAATGTGAGTGTAAAGGCTCTGAAAGAACCAACAGTTGTGGTGAAATTCGTCAGGCTTGTGAAATTACCACCAACAAAAAAGAAAGTCTCTTCGTCATACCATTCGGTCAATTCAGTTATGCCGAGGAAACTGTTGACTTCCGTAACCGGGGCAAGAATATCAGCCGTGCTATTTGGATGTGCGAATGGTTGCGTGACTGTGAAAATATCCGAGGAGTAGAAAAGACTGGTGGCAAGGATGTCACCATTGCGGCGTACAGCGATACTTTCCAACCAAGTTCCCTTAGGAAGTTGAATGAGTACTCGTGCTGCCGAAAATTTAGATGGTTTGATAGGGCCGCCAAATACCAAGCCAATATTGGTTATGGCAATCCCAAGATATTTAACAAGCATCTTGCAAACCATAGCAGTTGGGTTGAGAAGGGGCCTAGCTATCCGGAATGTCTCACAAGGATGCTGATGAGTGATACGAGAGATACAGTGAGAAGACTTATGACGCTGTTATACTCTTAAAACAGTCGAGTCCTATTTTGCAATGATTACACCTGGTAGATGACATACTGGCTTGTAATGCTGATAAATTATTGTAAAATAATTAGTAGATGTATGATGTTTTGCACTTAATTGAAAGGCTGGCTGACATCGTATTGGCCATGCCAGTCCCAACTGTGCCAAACCAGGTGTATTGTATGGTAAACACCACGTCCATAAGCGGCCGATTGCGGCCGACCGCGGTCACTCCTTTTCATTCTGAGAAATTTCATGGTTTGTAAGCGCATACTAAGTGCACACACGTCGACTTTCTAGGATGCATATAAAAAGCGAACATAATTCGCAAAAATATTCCGCCGTATTGTGAAGCCCGGCAGTAAGAGTAATGGAACATGGCAACCATGGTGGTGGAGAGACTAGTATGAAGGGGCTGTGATTTGGTAATCCAAAGGTGAAATATGTACAACTAGATTCCTCAAGTGCCAAAGGACACACTCAGAAGATGTTTTGGATCCCGACTTTAGTAAGACAGAGAGTGGGAAAATTATATATATGAATAAGTAGGATTTCGTTGGGGCCGGGCACTCTGTTCCGCACGATTCAAGAAAATCGCAAGTTCATATTAGTATGCAGCGGAGGAAGTATAAAGGGACTCCAATACCCTACCTCAATACGAGCAGAACATAGGTATGATACGTGGCAGTTTAAACACGGTTCTAAGTTACTATATTTGTGACCCGGTCGATACCATGACCGTTTCGATGCATTTGGAGATATGATATACCATCCATAGGTTTCGCAGGACGCTGTTGTGATGCATGCAGGATGGTGCGCATAGAAACAATACACTGATGTTTTGAAGATCCAAAATAGACGTGATTATTGAAGATACGGCAAATGCTAGAGAATAATCTACTGAAAACAACTCCAGCAAGATGTGGGCAAATTCGTGGTTAATGTACAAGTACTCCGTATTTACAAGTACGTGTCAAAACAGGAATCGCAGTCTTGGACTTAGCCCAAAAGAACCACAGCTCATAAAGTTCCAACCGCAAAGGTTTGACATCCTTGAATGGGATGCAGAGCTAACATCACGTGTGTTAAAACTGCATTTGGGCTGATGTCCGCTTTGGGTGGATCATTGTCCTGTGCTGGAAGCCTTCTCCCCAGATATCCATGCAGCTTCCCCACAAGGTTGCATTTTAACAATGAACTGAGAAGAGTATAGGGCTGGGTGAAGCAGGATTTATCGCTCGTGCAACAGGTACGAGTGGAAATAGTTCTAATAGATTTGTCAAGACATAATATATAATATATATCTACATGCAAACCGTACTAGGCTATACTTGGTACAACATATCCATCAAGTGGACTAGAAGCCAATAGCCAAATCAATGTATTAGAAGGTCGATACAGACGGGGAAGTTTTCTAACCAAATGAAAATGTAACATATAGAAAAGTAATCTTCCCACAACAATGAAGATTATTATTTTCAACATAAGATTCCTCTAGAGCCTTGGACAGCTAGACAGAATTCTCAGCTGCCCGAGTCAGTTTCTCTGCGGCGCAGCTTATCGCATGCATTCCCTTCTCTTGTTTGTTCCGATCGGGGTGATTTGAAAGGACTGTCATCTCCAATCTTCTTCTCTGGGGTAAAGGCAAAGGCAAAAACTGTTTGTCATAGATTGGTTGTTATATTGCTTTAATCCTCTAGTTTTACGCGCTAATTAGCGAGTGACACTGTTTGTTGAATACTCTGCATTAGAATTACTCCCGTTTATTATATAAGTAGGGCAGGATCAAACCATTCAGCTTGTTACCCTAAGTTAGTACGCTATGCTCCCATGAAATTTGTCCCACACATGATAAGCTCGTTATAGTAGTAGCATTTCTCGCCTCTGAAGAAAACTACTACTAGTACTCGCACCATTAGACGCCACCTCCTTCATCGCTAACGAGAGAATCCAGTAGCGCTGATGTATTTATGGGGATCTTGAGCTGATAGGCCCTATCCCCAGCTGATTGCACTAGTTTTAGCAACGATGAGCTCTGTGACCCATTTGTAACGACGGGTTTGTGGGGATATGGGGCCACCTGTCGCGATTTCAACAGTACGAGTACTCGTACGTATACATATAGTGCCTTGCTGGGTAAGTACTGTTAGAAATTGGAAGTTGGTCACAGTATCTACGGTTAAAGGCATGGGCCATTTGGAAATAATGGCAAATGACCGGATAAGCACATTGTCGCTTCATTTGTCTCTATGTTTTTGAGTAATTAAACAGGGCCAATAATAACCATATCCAACATCGAAGATTGCAGCTTTATGGATGGTGAACTGAAATTGCGCCAGGGGAAGAAAAGCCATCTTTCGCGAGAATTCGGAACAGGGTAATAATCGTTCGATGAGCAATAAATATTACTGAAACAAGGTACGCTGATGCAGGGGAAATGGTTTATTTCCGAAGCCGGAAGGTCCTGGGCGAACTCCTAGCCTGGCTTTCCATCAATCGGCGGCGTTGGAGGGCGCTCAATCAGCCGCAGTTCCGCCCCGCTCCAAAACAAGGAGTATCCCCGGAGCTAGCGAACAGAGCAATCAATCGTATTCTAGAATGTCAGTCTCTCAAAGACAAGCACAAGCCAATTTGAATTAACTGGAGCTCTCTTTAGTGTGTCTCGAGCCTCGGTCCCTATCAGGCTTATCTGCCTAGTGTACCTATGGCGTTATTTCGCTGCAAAGGTTCCCGTCAGGGATGTAGAACTGAAGCCCGATCCCGCAAATCTTTAGCACTGCGCTCGGAATTTGATTTCGCCAGCATCTCGTGTGCTAGTGAGCCTTAGCACGATAAATCATTTCCTGAGGAGATTCTAGTCTTGCATTTGACAAGCTTGGAAATGCGACGGCCTTGGTCCAAGGCCGCCCTAACTTGCACCACAGGCAATCTAGTCGCTAGCCTATCAACATGTAATCGTCCCTGACTCAGAAATTCTCTGCCAAGGTGCAGGACCTTGCGCTAACATCGCCCGCAGCGAACGATCTACTGCAGATACAGGGGTTAAATATGGAATTCTGCTGAAAAAGCGCGATAAGGCGGTTCACAAACAGGACAAGGGGACATGACGCCAAAAGGGAAATGTCTCGCACTGCGTTATCCTGCCTTTGAATGCTGCATCTCCACGTGGCGATTGCATATTATGCCTCTTCACTACTGCTGATCATTCCCCTTCTCCCTTGCATCTTTGTTGTAACCTTGTCAGTGCTTTTCTCCGAGCGGTCGTGGCCCTACTAAGAGGGGGCAAGCAAGAACTCGAACAAGAGTAGATCCAATGTGTATAGCGTCTACCTCGGAAACGGCAGCACGGACACAACAAATCTTCCAAGATGGACGCCGAGTTCATGGATCAGTTATGGAGTGAGCGGCACTACGGAACACCGCTTGCCATTATCTTCATGGTCCTGCCTACGATAGCTGTCGGCCTACGATTGTACGCAAAGATCACCGCTCATCAGCCAATCGAGATAAGCGACTATTTCTCTATTGCAGCTTGGGTGAACACGGCCGGCTTCTTCATATCATTGCTGGTAGCTGTGTATTTGCCGCCATCTTTTCTCGACAACCCGGATGGCATTGATGTGCCGGTGTCCAAGATTACATTCTCTCTAAATTTGTTGTGGGCTGCGGCCTGCTATTGCTGCAAGCTGTCGATTCTTTGCCTTTACTACCGCCTTCTCAGCACGCCTTCCAGCACATTCCGTCTAGCAGTCAAGATCATGTTTGTTCTAACAGCTTGCGTTGGGATCGCTAGCATCCTGGGATTTCTCTTGATTTTCCGAGATATGTCGTGGTGGTGGTCGACAGGAATGAAGACTCACCCGAGCGCCCAGGCCAATCTAATCAGAATGAACGAGGCCATAGACATCTTGTCTCTCCTCACGGACGCCATTTTGTTCATCATGCCGCTGCCCGTCATCAGAAAGCTGAGTCTTAGCAAGAGCAAAAGGCGACTTCTTATTGGGCTTTTCTCGCTCGGATTCTTGTAAGCCACTGTCAATCTGGAGATTGGCGTTTCAGCGAGAAAGGGTGCTGTGCTGACACTCTGTTTGAACCTCTCCTAGGACCTGCATTGAGGTTATCGTTAGAATCATTACTACTTATGGCTTCAACGGCGCTTTGGACGCCATCCAGGTTCAAGTCCTGCTAATGGGTATCGAGCCATCGATGGGCATTACACTCTGCTCATTGCCCGTGTTTCTACGACTAGTAAGTTCCGAGTCCAGAAGCGCAATGCGTATAGATGTGTTAACCAAGTATCTCCAATACAGTTTCGAAAAGGCCAACAGAATTCCAGCGGTCGCAACTACGCTTCCGGAGAACGTGGCAACTTTTACTCTCTCGGCCCGGTTAGTGCGAAACGATCAACACGAGATCCCGATGGAGCGTTATTGGATTCAACCCTTGGCAAGCCGAAACCAGTTCTGGTACAAACCGAAATTACTATACATTCGTCACGTAGCGGATATAACGACTCCATTGAATCCCAAGAAGGATACTGGAAATAGGGTCTATGCTGATCCTGAATATAATTGCTAGACATTAATGAGCAATCCTACGAGCGAATGATGAATTTGTACATTAAGAATACTTATTTAAATCCCTAATGATAACCTATTTATACCCCCACGTTTCTACTACATACTACTTCAAAGCTAGTTTGTTCTTCTTGTAAAACCCTACCATAACCATATCAACAACCACCTTTTTTTTTTATAGAACAGGAACGTCTCCACAAAGAGTGCTTTGTAGAATATCTGATATCAGTATCTGGAGCAGCTAAAACTACGCTATAATTTCGAGTGGTAATTTTGCCCTTTAACTTTCTAGTTATTCCGCGTACTGATTGGTTACTGCAGGTATGTTACTTCCAATACACCAGTATCCGGATCATGATCACATCTAGTGGCATCATGTGTATAGTATTAGCGGTCGTTAGCTACACAACTCCCTATGCTATGGCATGGTTGCTAAGTAGATAGGTTCGTTCATCAGGCAGAAATATATGCCACATAACTCACATTATTTTAGGCTGAGTAGTAAACGTGCTTGTTAGCAATAGTCTCCAGCGATATGCAGAGGTTTCAGCCCAATAAGTAGTTTTAGCATCAGTTGGAGAAATCCGGGTAAATATCCGCCATTAAACCTACTCCAGCTATCTCCTAGCGCAGCTTCTAAAGGTTGAGGGACGTTATGTCATTATCTCTTGGGATAGAAGAAGAGAGGCAGACTTATTTGGGTATTATTCCATAATTGCAAGTCAAGATTAAAGTCAAGTGGATTAGCCATAAAATTTATCATCAAGAATATGCGATTGGTAATGGCCCTTTCTGGTAATATTACACGTATAATATTGAGCCTGATGCTTACCTGAGGCCATTAATAAACATGAGGCTGGAAGAGAATACCGAATTTTGAGGGCTCACTCTGTAGCTGAGCACAGCACATACGCACTCCAACTCGAAATGCGATAGCAAAGTTAGCAGAGAGGTGGCCGTAAGGTTCATCCTTGGCTCGGCCTTATGACTATAGCAAATCATTTTATGGGGACTCCTTCCTCTTTATTTTAAATTTGTACAGGGGATAAATGTAATCTTTTTTATATAGCTATCTGCCAGGTTTGTGCTGGATAGCCGCAAATGTACGTGCGTGATGTTTATAAATGGTATCTCAGGGTATCTTCAATTCTGTACATAACACTAAATCTCTTGGGGCAAAGATATATTTTACGATAATCTTAACATTGAGAGGTGCCAATACCAACCTAGCTGATACGTCCACTACTGAGTATGTACCATGGTTGAACGCTTCATGATTATGAATGTATTGTTTCCTTCTCCCCCACCCCCCACCTCCAATTTTTCTCTTTTAGGTGAGGTAAGGGGTAAAAAGAAGAGGGAAACCATTAATTGAAGTTAATTTGCATTAATTCAGACCTCATGCTATAGCGCCGTATAAGTGGATGAGTGAATATTTACGGCTGCCTTGGGTAATAGAAATGAGAAGACGAGTATAGAGAAATATAAAGCGAAGTAGATTCATAAGAAATATCGGGACTATTGGAACTGATACAAAAGACAACATAAGAACGAATATTTTTCGATAACATGTGACCTTGTGAATTAATCGATGAGACAATGGAGGTAACTAGTAATGGAGGTCCGCGGTATACGATCCGGTATCAAACAACAGTGGCGAGTCAAATGATTGGCACACAAATCCGTACTACTATCACACAGAAGTAATAATGCCGCTGCTGTGCAATGCTATGGGTATTCCCGTTGTGGTGGTCATTAGTATTATTCTTGATATCTAGGCCATGAGTATTCCGCTCAGTTAGTAAGCCTTTAGTGCCTTGGTTACCATGAGTTCTCCTTAGGCAGCTATTGGCAATACGGGATACGCAGTTTGGCAAGGACACGAAAAAGAGAGGCCATCAAATGAATACGCATATTGGTACGTGATGAGACGAAATGCAATGCAGCTGATATGTGCGTTTGTTATAGTTAAACATGCTGACCAGGTGGCGGCTCTTTGGTTTCTTTGGCTTCCAGTAGAATGTATAGTAATGGCATGTATTTTATATACCGTTCGAAATGTACTACCCTAGCATGAGGTGAATTAACAAACTCGAAATATTTACTTGGAGTATTGAATGTTAAAAGGTTGATAAATCGCTCCTATCAGCGATTGTAGAGGGCTTCACAGGATACAATATGATTGTGTTATCAAGTGTTTCTCATGAAGAAACATCTGCTGGGTAAGCTTGTCAGGACTTAATATCTCGTAATTAGTGGTTAGAGCTTCAATGGCCGCAGGTGAAGCCGAGAAAGCAGCTAATAGCGAATTAATTACTTCAATAGTGATAATTGCATAGTAGTGCATGCAGTAAAGTAATTTATGGTTAAAATGATCCAAAAATGTGATGTAATGCATGAAGTTGGTTAACAAGGTCTAAAAATAAAGGCCCCCTCAAAGACTCGGACGAGAGATACTCTCAAATCTAAGCCGATGGGACATGAAACTTAGCAGAATTTGTTTCTTAGGGCGGTCTGATTTTCTATATATAAGCAACCTTCTCCACAATTCTCTTCTTTGTTTTATTTGTATTGCTACCTGCTCTTCAAGATCGTACAGAGCACCTGCAAGGCAGACACGCCACAGTGCTGACACTGCACAAAAGCTGGATCGCTGCCACTGCATTCACTGCGGCCGGCCAAACACATATCCACTTTTGGGCTGGTGAGCTGTATAGTAATTCCCTGGCCAGTAAGATTCATCTGTTTCTTTAAATAGATACTGAAGTGACTGGGTTCGGAGTCCGGAGTATAGGAGATGACATTCAGGGGCCAACTAAGAATGTACTGACCTCTAGCTCTAAGCTATTTTCCCAGGTTTGCTCTGTATGTGGACTGTGTATAAGTCGATTACTCATGGCCCTGGTTCTTGGCGCATTGTCTAGTATTAAGCAAGGCCCAACGAGAGTAAGCACAAGAAAACTACAATAAGGCCCATTACTCCAGCTTTTGTTCTGCTGTCGCACAATTCAAACTTCGCTCAATTGTCATACTTCATATGTTATTTTCGGTTGATCTAGGCGAACTTCTACAAAAATTTCACACGCACCTGTCGGAAACTCAATGGGGCCTCTACAAGGCCCCCTCGATGCCCCCCGAACTACATCTCCCACGCCCAATCCTGCACAGGCTACTAGCCGAAAGGTCCGGACACGGAGACTTCACAGAATACCACGAGAGATTCGGACACGACGCCAGGCCTACCTGCAAGTGCGGCGAGCCGAGGACACAAGGGCACTTTGCGAAGTGCCGCATGGTAGCCCCTTTCCTCCCCGACGTACCGGAGAGGGAGGCGCGCTTCGGAACCACCCACATCCAATACCTCCTCGGCGATGGAGGGTACAAGGACTTCCAGAAACTAGTGGAGGACACAAGCCCATACGGACCCCCCCCCTACAGAGACAGACACGTAAAACAAAATTGACACTTCCCCTTTCTTTTGTCACATCGAAACGTAGCGAACGCTTGATCTGAACTCAGCGGCTCCTACCGTCCTAGTGCCCAGATGAGGACTTATGTAACTAGCTTACTTAATGGACGTCAATAATAAAACAAACAAAAACTGTCGGAAACTCACCCTTCCTCAGGCGTGTGCTTGTTCTATTCTGGGTGGTACGCATTTTGATTATGGTTGTTGAAATTGCCATATATGCTTTCGGGATTGGCATAATGGCTTCAAATAAAGACAAAATAGACCAGAGGGTCTACACTGGATCTGTGGCTTCCTTCGCTGTTATGGAGAGCATTCTTGTTCTCTGTTTGCTTCTTGATATTGTTTGTATTATCAAGAGAGCACGTTGGACGCTCTCGCCTCGCTTCTTCTTTGCGATAAACCTTGTGCAAACAACTATATTTGTCGTATTATTTGTCTTGTCTATTCTCGGCGGGCAGACATTAATCAGTTTCATTCTTAATATTGCTATTGTGTAAGACCATCAACCCCCTTTCTTAACCTATGACGATTCTTCTAAACTTATTGATAAAAGGTTATCATTCATCGGACTTCTTGTATATGCTTCTATTATCTTTCACGAGGACCGCAAGGGAACTCTACAAGGCAGCTACACCCCTGCGGCACAATTTGCCGACTCTACCAAAATGGCGACATCGACCGAATATGATTCTGCATACTCGAGGCCGAAAATTGTAGAAGCAAAATCATTCTCGAGTTCACCTCCGTACGAATCTGACCGGACACGCATGTATTATGATACGCCGGCACGTGATAGCCCTGACGATGTACATCAGACAAATCGCCAGGAGGCGCACGAGTATGTATAAATAGCAACTTTCTTAGGACTATAGTTGTGGAAATGTGGAAAGAGAAATTGTATATCTTTATATTTAAATTTAATTATGCGATGTTAGTAATTATGCGCAAATACAAGTACTGAATCCCGCAATTTGATGTAGTTGGGTGGGAAAGTATGATGGAATATTGCGACTTCCCGAAGCCTATCTGATGGGCTTAGCTGCCTGTTAATAGTGATTTACTTAGTTGCTTGTATCAGTAATACTGATCTTAATTCTTAAATGCCAGCGTTTGTAGAATATTTCCCAACAGCAAACCCTTATTCTTTCACGTTGATCGAAGTATTATGACTATATATCCTGGGCAAGTGCGTATCAGAGAGGAGCTGCGTGAAGAAAGTCGTTATAATTGCGATATAAATATAGATGTGTGATATTTGTCGTCGAATGGTAGTCTGACGATTTGATATTTGGACTATTTTTTAGGAAAAGATAGCGGACAGGGAAATATTGTTGTGGATAGGCAGGTCGTTGATAAATGCTTGATTCCAACGTAGGTCCTTGGCAAAAGGATTAGTCCAATCTTGTATTCTATCCAGCTTGTACCTATTACACTCCCACGCGTCAGAAAAGGGGCAGAAATAAGGGCCCCCCAGGATCCCGCCACACACCTTAGTATGTACTAAAGGGCCGGCCTCAACGCTATAGGATATATATCCAAAGAGTGCAGAGACATGGTTGTGGTGATGTCATATAAACACGTTATTGTTTGATTTGAAACGGAATTGATCAGTCTCGCTAGGAACTTGGTGTACTTTCTAAATGTGCTTATAGTATGTGTATTATAATACGTATGCGTTGATCTGCAGCATGTGGACAGCAAACTACCAATATCAGGCTCATTAATGAAGACCTCTTCTTGGTAAAAAGGGGTTATGCGTTAGATCGTTCTGTATTTGGCAATAATTGCTCTAACGAGAGAAATAGAGGCTGGGCACTTGATTTACCCATAGCGGTAATGAACTTTTTTAATCACCGGCCATTCCCTCAAACATGTCCATGCATAAACCCGAATTCTGATCATAAGTTATATAGGCAATAGGCTACCTGAGTTTTCAGTTAAGTATGAAACAGATTAGCTGAGTGGCTTTCTATTGGAAATATATACAATTGGACAAGAGATCTGCAGTGCTATACTGCCATAAAGCTACGAATATGGGTGGATTCGCAAGAATATGGGGCGGAATTGTCATTTTGCTATAATGAAATTGAAGTTTAAAGGAGCTTTCGTCCTCTGGTTTATCATTTCGATAGTGTCCGTAGCTAGACATTTATCTAAATATAATAAGTGGTCTTGAGGATAAACCAGGAAACAATGAACATCCCCTTTCTGCATTCTTACTGTTCAAATATGCACTTACACACTTTCGCCGCTGAGATGTGGGTTAGCGGCAGGTGTATATAATGTAATATTCTAAATGGTTTGTTACTGTGAATATTCTAACACATCTGTGAAGACTTCTTTGATATATATTTTGATCTAATATCGCAAATATGGCCCTCCTTATATATCCAAAGATGATGCATGAGCTGCCAAAACTTCAAGGCTATAATTTACCTCTTTGTGCGATGTATTTTCTCCAAATGCTTCATAATGCCAAGTAAACTAATCAAAACCCTCTCTGTTTTGATACTGCCTCTTTTATTTATTTTTTTTCGTAATCAGAACGCTGTCGACATCGAAGGTGCCTAAAATCTTTGGCAGTTCCTGCCTGAGCTTCTTGACCTTTTTGTCAAGATGAGACACGAAATATTGGACTGTAAGAAAATTGGGAAATTAGAGAGTTTATAATGGATATTGAACTGCACGATGTTAAGACAAGTTCACCATCAGCAAACCCTGACTGTCTCGGCACCACCACGTGCAATGATGCATATAATACCGACGGAATCAGGGGAAGAAAAATATGGATACAAAATGAAACAAGCACGGATCTGCCGGGTTACGGCTTTATTATCTCCCTATCTTTTTTACGAGGTTGTCGCTTTTGATACCAATTTTGGGTGGGAGTCGGCTGGATCGGTTGTTATGGTATGATGGCTTCTTCATCACATATTGACAAACTACAACTTTTGCCTCGGTCTTTCTCTTCGAATCTTAAGCTCGGTCTACCATTAAACCCAATATATATACACATATATATCAACCAATGCTATATATCATTATGCTGATGAATGGGTGAATTTTTACCATTTTGGAATACAGTGTTGATGTCCACAGGGAAAGGGCCGCAAAAACTTAGATTGTAGTGGATATGGGTTTATTTACCCAACTAGCCATCTGTCCAAGTTGATATTCTTTTGCATGGCATGAGCGCTGATTGAACGCTAACTTTCGAGGCATTGATGTGTATAGGATGTATAAACTAGGTAATTGTGGGATTCTATAAAGTTTAAACAATAATCAAAAGCATTCTCAACCAAATTAGCGTCATGGTTGGTTCTTTCACCATCATAACTAGGTAATCATCAAGTATCTTTATTACTAAATTTTTGAAGCATTTAGTAGTACCTTGGATTGAATGGCCGTAAGCCGTTCTAGCATCCGTTACTAGCCGATCCGTATGAACATAAAAACCTTTGAGTGTTGCTCGGCATTAATTCTCATAGCAGTGGCCCATCTTATGAAATACACATGAGTATACTGAAATGGAGTCTATGTCTAGCCTTGCAAGAGATTTGTATTTTCGATCAGGCTTTTTATCTTGTTTTTGGTTACAAAATTGGCATCACGCGATCGTCGTATTGAATTCGCATGTAACCCTCCTAATCCACATCTACTAAAGACTAGATCCAGAATTGCCGCAGTCAGCGGGGTTTCATAAGCACTAGCACTCCAGACATATCAACACACCGTTTTCACTGGGTAGTATCTGCTGTATACGTACTCAGTACACCAAAGGTGGTAGCGGTGTGATCGGGCTTTCTAGAGGTAGTGGTATATTAAGCTTTGATTCGCAACCATTTGTTGCAAATTTTGTTTTTCTCTGATACCCATAATACCTGGTATTACCATCAAATCGGGCGCAGCGACTCGAAACGTATATGTCCGCAGCTCATTCTGACATTTTAAATTTGGCAACTACAGCTCACTCTTGATTACAAAATGCCGGGTTTCGAGAGTGCATCTGACTTCACCGTTCAATCGGGAACTTCTCTTGTTCAAGTAAAGGATCTTTGGTGGAGCCAAATGAGAGAATTGGGATGGGTAACGCTCGGATTTCCATTTACATGGGCGACAAAAGCTAATGGACGCTAGAATCGAGATGAATTGGATGCTAAAACGCACTTCATGGTTGCACAAAATGGCCAAGATTGGCTTGTACTGATCCCGAAGGGCAAAAAAGAGCCTTCTGGGATGGTAATCGGCTTCAAATACCTCAACCAAACCGGATGGGTTGGCTTCTTCATAATTAACAAGGAGTACCAAGGCAGAGGATGGGGCGGGATTTTATTCAACACAATGCTTGATTCGTATAAACGGAATGGCATTCACATCGTCGGTTTAGACGCAGTAAAAGAGCAAGTCAAAACATATGAAAGACGGGGGTTTGTTGAGGCAGCCAGGATCAAGCTTATGACACGCGTATCGGCAAATGAATTACCAGTCAATTATGGAGACAAACAGCCAAAACCGGGTTTTACAGTAACTGATATAAAGGAAATTGATGGGATAAATCTTGCAGACCTTGACCACAAGCACACTGGTCTCCAGCGACAGGCACTTTGGACCGAAGAAGCTTTACTCTCCCGGCCAGATGCATTCGGTTTTGCTATTATCTCGAACATTTCGAAGGAGTTGCAGGGGTTTATTCTGGTTCGTCGTTGCGAAAATGGTCATCGAGTTGGGCCATTGATAGCTGATTGTATCGATCACGCATCTCTCTTACTTCAACTCGCTATGGCTCACCCAAGAGTGTCAAGCTCCACTGGAAGCTTAATAGCAGAGATATTCGGTGCGAACGAAAACGGCATTAGCGTCTTCTCAGAGTTAGGCTGGCAATGGGCTGGATTGGACTATCACAGGATGTGGCTTAATGGCCGAGTGCCCGCTGAACAGCAAGAGGGTGGACAGGGATCGAGAGGGATGTTTGCTGTGTTTGATGCGTCGGAAGGTTGAAATTGAAACTATCTAGGTATGGGCAGGAAAGGCGGGTTGTACTCTTAAATGTGGGAGGTAGTAGAGTTCACTACAACATGAATAATCCGCATCAGTATTTTCTTCATCTCCCTCATAGCCTAACAGTCGGTGGAGACATGAGAAGAAAAGCGAGATGAGGGACATTATAGTCTATAGCTCATTTAAAAATTGAGATATTAGAGGATGGAGAATGGCATCGACATTCTCCTATATCCGATAGTCAGTAAGCAATCGTGACAGCAAAATTTTAAGCCGCGCATTTATAAGTTACTTGATATGTGAGGAGGCCATGGGAAATTATAATAGTGAAAGACAAAGCTATATTTCGCTAAATATAACAATTATAAACTAAGAACAGCCCTATTTACTGATTGAAAAAGAAACGTAACATCTATGTACTTCTGACTACCCGCTCAATCACTTCCCATGTAGGGGAATATCATGGTGGCCCCATTGCTCTGAATGGCTTCCAAATATGCCGTAATTAAAGGATCAATGCCCGCCCGTGCCGCTCGACGCAGCCATTCTTTCATGTCAACCTCTTCAAAAGTAACACCGTGCACCTGTTCTAGATGCGACCAAAGCTCACCGGTGGGAACTTTGACACCGCCGGAATGATGCTTGTAAACAATCTCCGTTGAGTCATTAGTGTTCTGGCCTGATCCAAGATGTATCACTGACTCTAATAACTCGGCAACAACAGTTTCCAGCTGCGCCAAGTCAAGATAGCCCTCAACATTATCCATTCGAGGTACAGTTCTCATTAGAATGGAATATCTCAAAATTGCGTTGAGAGCATCAGAGTTGGGGGCGTTTTCGCTGACAATGACAGACGGACGATGTACTGAAACAGTCCAGGGGTTTTGCTGATGCTCTGGTGAAGAGGCATGCAATTGGCCAACGAGATTTTCCAAAAAGACCTCGCTCGCCCATTTACTCATCATATGACCTTCACGACCATCTGTTGCCGGAAGAAATGCGCTGACCGAGGCAGCCGGGGGTGCAGTGTTTCCAGTCAGGAGAACGACCCGATTAGATGATAAGAAGAGCAAGGGAATAGAGCGTGGCAGGGCCATTGAAGAAAGAAATTGGGTAGAAAGAACATTGGGAGTGCGCAGCGTGGCGTATGTATTGAGACAATGCCCACTGCCTCCCGCGTGAACAATAATGTCAGCAGTAAGTTCTAGTCGCTGTCGTTCGACTGTACTAAGTCCCAAGGTAGGCGACAGTAGACTTCCTGTGAAGCATTCAATTTTACTATCTTCAGGGAGTAGATGCTGGTCATCAGCAGGAATGGCGATGCAATAAACCTTGCTTACTTTGTCTGATTGAAGAAGCGACTTCAACAAATGGCCACCCAGGAAGGTTGTTGCGCCAGTCATTAAGACAGCAATCTCTTCGTCAGATGGCTTTGGGCTCGAAGAAATTTTTGTTTGAGAGCGTTCGTGTATCTGGTTCAGGAGCCATTTGGGAATAGCGGTCTCTGCAACCCAGTCTATCTCCAACTCGGCATCGTTTGCGATCTGGGACTGTCGCTGCTCACCAATGGATCGAGCCATGTCGCGCAGTGTGCTTGCCTGATAAAGCTTTCTAGTTGACATGATTACGTTCATAGAATCCTTTAACGCTGCTTGAAGCTTCATGAGCAGAAGTGAATTACCTCCTAAGAGGAAGAAATCCGAAGATGGCGAAATCCGCTTTGAGGACGTTGCTTGTGGGAGAACGCGCTCCCATAGGAGTCGCAGTTCTCCCTCGCCAACTGTCATCTTTTCCTCTTCTAAAGCTGGATTGGCTATAAATTGGCTTTGTAGAAGTGGAAGAGCGCCGATTGCTTTACGATCCAGTTTTCCATTGGCGTTGGTGGGAAGCGTCGGCAAGATGACGATGCGGGCTGGAATGAAGTATTGAGGTAATGTCAATTTTCTCAAAACGGCCGTCAAGTCATCATCTGTGACAGAAGTGATTGTATTCTTTTCCGCGGAAATTGTGGCATGGGCTATTAGCACATCGCCTCGCTGAGAGACAACCACTGTGGATAAAAGTCCGTCTGCCGCTTCAACAACAGCTAATTCAATCTCTTGCAGATCGATACGGAGACCTCGGAGTTTGATTTGGCTGTCGCCATCAATACGACCAAATAAGAGCAAAGTTCCATTAGGCAGAAGGCGACCACGATCTCCAGTGCGGTACATTTTTTGTCCTCCTTCTGTGACAATAAATTTACTGCCTGCCTCTTCGGAGGGATTGACGTATCCGAGAGCCACTCCCGCACCACCAATGCAGATTTCCCCTGTATAATTCACAGGTTGCGGACTGCCTGATGCATCCAAAATGGATACCGTATAATTAGGGAGCACCTTACCGACGGTATACTTAATCATATCGGGATTGGCATTTTCTTGTCCTTCTAAATCGATGGTTTGGAAAGAAGCTGCCGCTGTTATTTCTGTTGGCCCATAACAATTTGTCACTGTCAGATTTGGAAGTCCAAGGCGATTCAGTTCCGCGACCAGTTGTCGAGTAACCGGCTCGCCGCCCATACAAATGTGCCGCCACGCTACATTCTCTTTCAAATTCGCGGCTCCATAATTTGCCCAGGCAAGATATTCGGACGGCGTTGCAATTGATAATGATATTTGCTCGCTTCGCACGAGGGACACCATCTCAATCGGATCGCGCCTGATCTCAAATGGAGCAATGACTAATCGACCACCATTGGCGAGAGCGCAAAACATCTGAATCATGGACATATCGAACCCTGTTGAGCTTTGCTGGAGTACTGTTTCCTTGCCTAAGCCAAGCAGTCGCGTCTTGAGAGCCAGATGGTTTACAAAATTGGCCTGTGAAAGCATAATACCCTTGGGTGTGCCTGTAGAACCACTAGTAAATAAAATGACACTGCAAGTGTCTGGCTTCGCGGCGCACGGCACTGTTATCCTGACTTCTTCTACCACAATGTCATCAATGATTATTTGTTGAATGGGGAATTCAACTTTGTCCATCAAATCTTTAGCTATGCCACCCGTAGCAGAGTGACTCAGGATAACCGGTGGCTTGCAGGATTGAACCATAGCGGCATGGCGTGATGTTGGTAAGCTGACGTCCAAGGGGACGTAGACAGCGCCAATATGCAGAATGGCTAGCATAGACACAATGGTATCGGCAGATGGTTCACAAAGAACGGCGATACGAGAGTCGGACTTGCACCCATGCCTATTAAGTGCATCGGATACAGCATTCACTCTCTCCAAGAGCTGGGCATATGACAGCGTGCACGTCTTATCGGTTACGGCCTGGTTGGTGGAATAAAGGCGAACCATGTCCAGAAAGCGCTCTGAAAGAGTTGCAGGCCAGCCAAAGTTCATAATTGGGCCTGTTCCAATTTCCAGAGATCTTTCGATATCCGTCTCGCCATAAACCTTGCATTTTCCAATCTCAAGGTCCGGAGTGCCGGAAAAGTCATCCAGAAGACGCATGTAAGCGTCCATGATGGTACAGCAAGCTTCGGCGCTATAGAGAGAAGATGAAGCATAGACCTCAACCATACAGCCTGTACGTGTCTCTGCAACGCCCAAGCTCAGATCATACGGATTATTGGCGTCTTTCACAGCCTCCATATTTAACTTTGCTTTTCCGAGCGGCATTTCCCAGATGGAACCGGTGCGATAATTGAGCGCAACTTGGAATAGAGGTGTACTGCCAGATGATCTTGGTATTTTGATCTTGTCAAGTATCATGTCAAAAGGTACTGCCGAGTTTTCGAGAGCTTGAAGAGCACTCTTGCGAGTTTTTTGGGCAATGGCAGCGAACCCAGTCTGACGGCCGGGGACATGCAGACGAACCGGGACCATATTAACAAAGCAACCAACTGTACTGGCGAATCTGTGGTCGTTACGGTTGGCGTCAACTATTCCAATACACATATCCTCAGAATTGGTATATCGGGAAAGCAATATCTGAAGAAGGGAAAGATGGAAATGGAAGAGGCTAATGCGGAGATGTTGACAGGCAGCTTTCAGAGATAGGAATTGTGCGTCGCTGAGTTCTCGGTATTGATGATGTGCGTCCGTACCTAACTCAATTCCATGGTTGCTGATGTTCGCAAATGGTATAGGTGGCATTGTATCAGGGATTGTCTTAAATTCGGCCTCCCAGAAAGCAAGTTGCTGATCAAATTCGCCTCGGGTTTGTCGCTCTAATTGCTGCGTGGAAAAGTCGACATATGATCCCGCACTCTTATCCAAGGGCTTCATATTGTATGCGTTGTTCAAATCGTTTAGTACAATGCCTAATCCCATGACATCCATGATGATGTGATGGTATGCTATAATTATGACATGGTCTTCAGGGCTGCGACTGAGCAATGACACTTCCATTGTGTGCCCGTGTTCCAAGTCCCATTTACGCGTAGAGAGCCTCGACATTTCTTTATCAACATCAGCGTCAGATGCATCCACAAAGTGTTTGAAGCTGTGCAATGACGAAGCCATTACACCTTGCATAGGATGGCCGTCTTCAAGACGTGAATAGAAGCACATTCTTAAACATTCGTGGTTGTACGTCGTGACTGATAATGCGTGTTTTAACCTGGCAATACCAATTGGACCTTGAACTCTGTACCGGAATGCCATGTTATAAGCTGAAGCATTCTCCAAGTGCTGAGATAAGAACCAAAGCCGTGCCTGGGCGGGTGACATTCTCTCCTCGCGAAGGATTTCTGGCCGAACTCTCATGTCCTCTAGCTTCCCTTCCCCAATACTGTTCGATCGCTCTGATTTGTTATCAACTTCGGGTGCCTCGCCCTTCGTATATGAGCTGCTGCTTGAAATAGAATCTTCTTGCTTGCTTGCGGCTGTTAACACACTCACACTGTCAAAATCGAGTACATTTTGAGCCGTGAGAAAGGGAGATCGGCCGCTCTCAGGCGTTAAGGTGGGACCGGTTTGATCAGTTTGAATTCTATCACCAGAAACTATGTTAGATGACTCGACGGCAATCCGAGGCGAAGGAATAGATGCTGGGGCGGGAGCACTAACCGGGGCTGGCGTGTCGGTAGGCATCTCAGTTGTAGACTTCTTTTCAGCCCCGGCTTCCATATTCTTGGCTAGCAATTTTTTCGTCGCAATTGTAGACAACTGCTGGACAGTATCACCTCCAAGAATTTTAACAACAGGAACATCTGCACCGAGTTCTTTGAGGAACCATGTGCGAATTTCCACAGCAACTAGTGAATCGATGCCAAGATCAGTGATTGGTCGCTGTACGTTAATGCTTCCAACCGTGAGCTGCAGTATGGATTCAAGTTTGCCACAAAATGCTGCCATAACGGCGTCAATGGCGTCTTCTTCCTTCTCAGCTTTGTCGACCAATGCTCTCACATTTTCCGTAGTTGCTCCTGAACCACGCTCGTGCTGGGCATGGATAGCGTGTTGGTCAAAATGCGCAAATCGTGGGTTCTTCATCCACAATGGTTGCTGGTCGGACGGAATTGCTTCGGTAAGCGGCTCAATGCCCATGATTATATCATAGTATCCCGAAGTACTCCCGGGCTTCCCTCCTTTGACAGCTTCAGCAAAGGCGTGGTGAACATCAGTCTCTGATGTAGGCATAAGCCTTACTTTGCGGAAGTGAGAATCAAGTTGTCGATCACGTTCTTCCCGAGTCACATAGCCAACATCTGTCACATAGGCGATATGTATAATAGATGCGGCAAGGCCACGTGCACGCCGTTGATGAACAAGACTTGTCATAAACAGATTAGCTGCATGGTAATTAGATTGACCAACATTTCCTATGACTGAGGCCACCGAGCCAAGAAGAATGAAGAAATCGAGAGGATCACTGCCGAAAATGGAATCAAGATTCTCGGATCCAATGACTTTGGCGGCGAGTGTATTGTTAAATTGATCGACATCCATATCCACAAAAAAGCCATCCTTCAAAACCATGGCAGCATTGCAGACACCAGCAATGGGAGGCATCGTGTCGCGAACTTCTTGAACCACCTTTTCAACAGACTCCCTCTTGGTTAGATCCATAGCGAGAACTTTCACGGAAGCGCCAACTCGTTCAGCTTCCTCTAGCGTAGCTCTGTCAACCTCAGGGCGACGACTGGTAATCACCATATGCTTAGCTCCATTGCGGATCATCCACTGGCATATAGAGAGACCCAATCCTCCTGCCATGCCAGCCATAAAATATGTTTTATCAGCTCTGAAAATGCCTTCAACGTTGAGGGGCTGAATTGTTGTTGGCAGGGATTTTTGCTTCCAATCTGTGACGTATGTTGTCGTGTTGAGAGACGTGGTGCGACTACCAGCAAGTTTTTCTGCTGGTATCAGGTTGAGAACAGTAGATACCTGGACGTGAGATGACACATAAGATTCGCCGAGTAGCGCCACAGGCTCTTGCTGAGCAGTGCGAAGAGCTTCTTGTATCAGATCGGTGCTTAACTTTCGACACAAACACTTGTTAGGCATACTCTCAAGTAGAGTGGCTGAAGCCGGGGAAGAACCCGAAGAGCAGTCGATATAGAGCTTAACATCACGAGGCACGAGTCTCTGAGTTGCACGCCTAGAAGCTAAAGTATGTACCTTGATGAAGTCAGTAGAGCTGTTTTTTGTCTGAGCCGCAGCAAGGATGACCTTGCCGCCAGCTGCGGCGATCTTGGCCTTGACTGATACAGCTAAGGAATCATCAGCCTCAAATAGCAGTACCGAGGCATTAGGAGCAGCCAGCGTCATAATTGCCCAAGCCAAAATAAAGTTGGACATGGCAACAAGCTTCTCAGGTGTACAATCCTGTTCATCAATGGGTATGAGATGCCTGCCATCAACATAAACGATGGAAGCATTCACACTAGTCATTCCAGCTACCCAAGATGAATCCGCAGATTGTCCGCTGATTATGAATAGTTCATCTCCGCTCGTACCAGGAATACGCACGGAATAATGAACTTGGATTGGAACAGAGCCGGTGGTGTATTGGGTATTGTGAACAGTGGCAATTTGTAAAGACAATTTGCCATCTCTCTGTACCACATTGACAGGAATTTTCTTTGCATCAACAGTCTTGGTGATGACTCGCTTAGAGGCATTATATAGCTCATTGAGCTCAATATCCGGGATGACACGGGGGATCATAATTTGGTCACCAATAATGTCAAGCTCGGGTTCCATAGACCAGAGCATGTCACGGTGACTATTCCCTCCGTCAGTACCAGTTTCTCGTAACCGTAGGAACATTTCAACAGCTTTTTTTGCAACATTGGCTGGAATTTCTCCCGTCTCAAGTCCTAAAACCTGAACGTTTAACTGAGGAAGCTCTGAGGGAACCACGCGCATAATTCCATGGATGAGATTTGCCCTTGGAGTCTGAGATTCACCGGCACAAGTAACCCAGAGCAAGTTTTTGGCATTCATCAAAAGAGATTGGATGATGGTCATGCGCTTATCTGTCATGGTTTGAGCAAACGGTGGTTCATCAACATCCTGCAAGCAAAGAACATCCATGCCAGGAGTTAATTTAGCCATATCAATCTCATCAATGCTCTTAAAGAGTCGCATTTGGCGATCCCATTTCTTTGGAAGTAACTTCTGGATTTCTCTCACAATCTTTGATGTCGAAAGTCGTTTGCCACCAATAACGACAATGGGCTCAGTCGGAATCGGCAGCTCAACAGCGGTGCTTAACGGAGAGCGCAGGCGTTGGAAATCGTCGTCAATGGCTTGGCCCATGATGAGGGCAGTACAATGCTTGTCCTCATTTGCCAAGTCGTGGATGACGGCGTCAGCCCCAGAAAAGCCGGTATCTTGTAATAACCTATCCCATTCTATGGCGGTGACAAGTGGGCTGAGTCGCCGGCCGTCACCCTCTCCAAGCCACCATCCTGGAAGGCCTCCCATGACCAGAGTGGCGCGAACACTCATGGTACCTGTCAGCTCAACCATGACAAGGAAACCACCGGGTTTTAGCAATGACCGAGCGTGACGCATCGTCTTTTCCAAGTCGTGGGTCGCATGGAGGACCAGAGCGGCAACAATAATGTCGTACGAGTGCTCTGCAAATCCTTGGTCCTTTGGCTCTTGTTCAATGTCCAACACTTTGAATATCATCTTGTGCGCAAATTTGGAGAATTTTTCCTCGGCCAGATGAAAAAAACCAGATGAGACATCGGTGTAAGTATACGAATCATAGGCATCACCAATGGAATTCAGGACACTCCACGACGTTCCGCCAGTGCCAGCTCCAATTTCCAAGATCTTGGCGCGTGGATACTTAAATGAGAGCTGTCGTAGTGCATCACCTACTGCTTTATTAGTAGGAACAGAGGCATAGCCTTCCATGTAGAAGCGGTTGAGCATATCATCCTTGGTCATGACCTCAAGCATCTGCTTGTTGCCACGCACGACATCAGCCAAGTCCTTGCCCACAGCATGGAGGAGTTTGAAGTCAATCGTGTCCCCATGGCTAGCATCGAGTTCATCGAGTATCGATGCCTCATCATCCAGCCATTCAGCCAAAATGATTGGATGCTCTCCAACTTTCACAACCCTGATGTGCTCTTCGAAAGCTTCAAACATGCGCTGGTGGTACCACTGGAGGCCTTTTCTTTCCTCTTCTTTAACTTCATTTAAGATGCTCTTAACGTAAAAAAGTGCTACTCTCTCGACAGCGTGAGCCATTTGCAGACCTTCTGCATCTTTGACCGGATCTCTAACAGGATCAGGAAGGCCAAGAGAGACATCTTGTCCCCATATAGTTCTGGAAAACATAGATCGATCAGATGAGGCATCTTGCTCTCCAACAGAATTTACAGAGAGTCCTTCCACTTGTAGGAAGGTCTTGCCTGTTGCAGCATCGTAGATATTGAGATCGCCGATCAGTGAATTAGCGGTTTGCTTAACGGCCCAGGTCTCAAATTCAGCAGTAGTCTCAGCACCGCCATTTGATTGTGTAAAGTGCACTGCCGGATTGATACGAACCCGATCAATATGTGACGGTAATAGAGCAGAAGAGATTTGACGACTCGCTGGGTGAGCCTTTGCAATGAACATGGTCTGAAATGCCACATCAAGCATAGCGGGATGAACAACATAAGATGTATCCAGACCCTCAGCCCAGGTGCTTGTAGTGCTGGCATAGTCAAGCTGTCTGTCGATAGTGGATATGCCACGGAAAAGACCGGAGTAATTGAGACCAATGTCTTTGAATAGTGAATAAACTCTTTCCGTGTCGATACTAGTTAAATTTGTAGGCGTAGCATCCCTTGGAGGCAATACTTCTTCCGACAATGAACCCGGATGCGTCTCGAAATACACTGAAATATCGCCATTGCAGGTCTGCAGCATCGATCCTAGAGTTTCATCTGGGCAAACATAGTATATAAACTTTGCCTGGATATAGTCTTTGGTGGCTTTAACAACATGCGTTGTAAAAAGGGTCTCGACACCATCAGCGCCTTCTGGAACAACAACGGGACGCAGGATATTCACATTCTCGACTTCAATAAGCCGAATCCCCTTATCCACCGTCATGGCCAAGCTTTTGGCAGCCTCCACAGCGATCGATATGTAAGATGCTCCTGGAAGTAGCACTTCTCCCAAAACCTCATGTCCACGAAGCCAGGACATTTCGGTAAGTTTGAGAACATTACGCCAACGTAGTTCGGTATCATTATCGTCGAGCGTACGACGTCCCAAAAGCTCATGGCTCTTATCTTTGCCAAGTCTGAACCGGCGAGACAATCTACCTTCGCGCCAATAAACCTTATCATGGTCCCAAGAATATGAGGGCAATCCCTTGGGTATCTTCAGCAAGGGTGCATCAGTCTCGTAGAACAGGCTGCGATAACCAGCGAATCTAATAAATCCAGGCCCAAGCTGAGCCCAGGTAGTGGCTATGGCCGAAGAGAAAGCTTCCACATCATTGCCACCCCGTTTAAGGACTCCAGTGTACACAGGGATGGCACCATACGAGGCCTTAAGCGTCTGCTCAGTAGGCCCCTTTAGGGCAGGATGAGGACCAACTTCGATAACCAGATCAAATGGGCCACCATGCCAAATAGATGACTCAACAGCTTGCGTAAATAAGACTGTTCGAACCATGTTGTCAACCCAATATTGGCCCTTCAGGGAACTCAGGTCGCCCCTCAAGAGCTGTGTATCACCACGCACACTTGAGATCCAAGTGCATTTATCTGCTGCTGGCTGCATAACCTTAATATTGCAAGCTAGCAACGAGTCTAGATAGGGCTGTGAGCAGGGTACCATATGATGCGAGTGATAGGCAGTATCTACTTGTAGGCGCCGTGCAAAAATGTTCTCCGCCTGCAGTATCTCATAGGCCTTGGTGATAGCGTCAACATCACCGGAAAGGGTCACAGACTTCGGAGCATTGCTAGCTGCGACTTTAATCTGGCCGTTGAATTCTGGTCGAGAACAAAAGGCTTTTGCGTCCATAAACGATAAGCCCGCAGCCATCATAGCGCCCTTCACACCGTTGATGCCACGGGCAGATTTGGCATGCAAGCCACGATAATACGCAATCTGCATTGCGCCTTGAAGGTTTATGATTCCGGCTGCGAAAGTGGCAGCGATCTCACCAGACGAATGTCCGACAACTGCGTCAAACTTAACACCAGCCACTTCAAGCAGCCTTACCAGTGCAAGTTGCACAGCTGAGCAAAGAGGTTGGGAGATTGCCGCCTCGGAGATGCGAGAAGAGGTGTCATCTTTCAAGAGCTCTTCCATGAGTGACCATTTGGGAATGTCTTGTTCCGGAAGCGCAGACAAAACAGCTTCGCATTCTTGAATGCATTTGCGGAATAGTGAAGACTTTTTTATCAACTCTCGGCCCATAGCAGGCCATTGCGCACCTTGTCCTGTGAATACGCCAAGGATTCCCGGAACCTCTTTGGGATTGATAAGCTGAGGCTGGTGCCCTATCTGATCACTGGATGACTTCTCGTGAATTCTCACAAATTCAGCCATTTTATCGAGAATATCACTTTTCGATGATCCTGAAAAGTGAGCGCGAACACGGTGGGTGGTTCGCCTTGACTGCAGCAGCGCACTTAAGTCTCGGAGATCAATGGAGGAGTCCTGCTCCAAAAATTCAAGATTATCTTTGATGGATCGCAATAAAGAGGCTCCGGATTTTGCGGAGAACACAAACGGCCCAATTGTGCCTTCTTCGTCTGTGGAGTTGTGCTGGGGCACCGAATCTTCGTCGAAGCTCTCGATGATGGCATGAGAATTAGTCCCTCCAAACCCGAAGCTATTGACACTGGCACGGGCAGGAGTACCAGGCGGCAGTTCAGGCCATGGAATAGCCTTTGTAGGAATTTGAAGAGGGCCGTAATACGGAGCGATGTCTGGGTTGAGCTCCTTGAAAAGCAGATTTGGAGGAATAACTCTATGCTTAATGCTGAGTAGGACTTTGATCACACCTGCTATTCCAGCGCCACCTTCCAAGTGCCCAATCACTGTCTTGATTGACCCTACAAAGATGGGGTTGTTTGTAGATTTTTCATGTTCAGCAATAAACGCATCACTAAGTGCTCGTGCTTCCACAGGGTCGCCCGCAGGGGTACCTGTACCGTGGCATTCAATATACTGCGGTCGGTCTTTGATGGGGTCAAGACCAGCACGAGCATACGTCTGTTGAATGAGTGCAGTTTGAGTTGGAGCAAATGGCATTGTAATTCCTGGACTTTGGCCATCTGAGTTGACACCTGTTGCTCTGACAAGACCTTCGATATAGTCTCCGTCCTTCAAAGCCTGACTCAGTGTCTTTAGTAGTAGTGCACCAGCACCTTCACCGCGTGCATATCCATTAGCAGACTTATCCCACATGCGTGACCTCGCATCAGGGGACAGCATGTGAAGTTTTGACTCATTGATGTATGGAGCGGGGTCCAAGATCAGATTGACTCCGGCGACGACGGCAGTATTGCAGTCGCCGTTTAGCAGGCCTCGTGCAGCATTATGTAAGGCTACCAAAGAGCTGGAACAGGCTGTGTCAATTGTCTCCGATGGGCCCTTGAGGTCAAAGATATACGAGATGCGGTTAGACAAGATGCTGTTAGCTGAGCCAGTAGCATTGTATTTTGGCACCGTCTCTGTATCGCGAGCTTGAATATTGGCGTAATCCGATGTCATGCAGCCAACATGAACGGATGTGAATGACCCTTTTAATTCATCAAGGGTCATTCCAGCAGACTCGCATGCCTCGTAAACAGCTTCCAGCAATATTCGCTGCTGCGGATCCATGCCTGCGGCCTCAACAGGACTGATGCCAAAGAATGCAGCATCAAAAAGGCGAGTGTCTTCTTCAAGGAGATAAGATTTGTTTCCAACATCTGTGGCTCCGTGAGTATCACCACTCTTGTGATAGAAGCGTGATAAATTAAGTCGACTTGGGTCGAATTCCTTCACAACATCACGAGGTTGTTGAAGAAGCTTCCATAGTTTCGACGGAGAACTAGCTCCTCCTGGAAATCTACAAGCCGATCCAATGACGGCTATTGGTTCACGGAACCGTGTATCTTGTTGCTGTCGCTGATCCATTGAGGAATGAGAGTCTGTAGGCTGCGCAGTGTGTGGGTTTGTGTCGGAAAGTAAAGAGAGTAACCAAAGTATTTTGGAATCAGCGAAGGGAACAGCTAAGCGCAAGAGATGCAAGAAACAGAGGGTGGCTCCAAAATCTCAAAGGGAAGTAACTAGAGTATTTGAACCACAAAATATCTCGGGTTGAACTGTGGCACCAATTCTGTCATATAACATAGATCAAGTCGGGTGTCGTTGCCAAATTAGAGTACCTGCGTTGGGATGCGACTAGGTCGTTCCGGAAACCATCTTACTATAGCCGGTAAATGGTAGCAACTCAATATCTTACGCGAGACATTTCATCTCGCTCCATTCGAAGACAGACTTACAGAGAGCTAAGATTAATGACCGTCGGCACCACGCAATGCCTCTTCAAGGGGTAATATCACCAAATAGGTACTAAGCTTTATCTACTGCGTACAATGATTGGCTGAGCAGAGACCTAAATCACCAATAATACAATATTACACGTTGATGATACTTTCTGTGAAGGAAGGCCCACAGATTGAAATGATTCATGATAACGCTGATGAACTTCAGGCGAAGGACTAGTCGGTCTCCTCAACCGTGCACACATAGTCTGACTGCATAAATTTGCAGGCTGCCCTGGTCTCAGTCCGCCCATCATCCATCATCGGAATATCTCTAGTGTTGCTTACGACGGCAAGATGTCAAATTGTTTTCGAAGTAGCCGGCATATCGCCGGTATCCGGTGGCGTGATGTCCTAGGAATCTCGTATCTTTCCAGATCTAGACCAGTAGTATTAGAGATCCTCAAGCCAAGACGAGTCCATGATTGCATATTCCGCTCAGATCTTAGCTTCGGAAAATCTGCAACCCCTGACAGATGATCCTGTATCCTTCCCAAAATGGGAACAGTTAAGCGCATAATCTTGCTCCGTCGATCTACATGCTATTTGTTTATGTACTGCAGTGAATGGCTCGGGATTCTGAGCGAACGACAATAGATCCGACAAAGGAATGACAGATAGATTCCAAATTTCCCAAATGCCTCATAAGCTGATTGTCGATTCAAGGATCTTTGAACTGCCCCTGCATCCCTAATGTCCAGAGAGCCCCAGCGAGGCCATACAGGCCGTAATTTTCCACACGATACACAGCGAAATTCTCAAAACTATGTCTCAAATCATCCCTGCCGCCTATCAATAACCATATTAATGTACGGATGTTCAATTTCTCACCAGGCCGACACTAAATATTAATTAAGTGCCCCCTGTAAGAAGGTAAGCATAAAGCATACCCTGCACACAGAATGTAGAATGTACAGGTGGCCGGAATATCCAAACAGGAACGCATTTTAGTTAATGTCGGAAAGAGGCTTACCAAATGTAATGATAACGTGAGATGCTGTATTGGAACGCAATGTAAGCAGTTGTAGCTGATGTTCACGTTGGGTTGGAAAAGGACTTAAGCTGAATCCACTTATATTCAAAGTTTCACGGCTCTATGTTCTCTATCAAGATTTCACGACTCCTGTTATCAGGTCCCTGTTTATTTGCACACTGCTATAACACGAAACCCAAAGAAAAGAAAGAAAGAAAGAAAGGCAGAAGATACCGAAAGATCATCTCTTCGCAGCAGGTCATCTTCTTACAAGCAGAATGGCCACCAATAACGCTTTACCACAAACTCAGAGGGCATTGAAGATTATCGGGCCCAATTCCGTGTCTGTATTTCCAGATGCACCTCTTCCGGAACTCGAGCCAACAGATATTCTTGTACGGGTTATTTGCGTCTCCATCAACCCAGTAGATGGTAAGGCGGCAGACATGTCACCACAACCTGGAGCAACTAGCGGCACGGATTTCTCTGGTGTCGTCGTTGCTCTCGGCTTGGATGTGGAATCTGATGATTGGCGAAAACAAAACAACATTAAGCCCGTGACGATAGGAGATCGTGTATTTGGAGGAGTTTTTGGAAACGATCCGCTCAGGCCACACAATGGTGCGTTCGCTGATTATGTTGCTGTCCCAGCGCGACTTGTCTGGCATATTCCAAAGGGCATAGACTTTGCAACAGCAGCGACGATGGGTGCCGCAATCGCCACAGTCGGGCTGTCGCTTTTCAACTACTTGGGACTTCCACTACCGTCCAAGTCGAGAGGTGACAACTCTTCCAGCACGAAACCAGCGGTTCTGGTGTATGGTGGAGGCACGGGTACCGGTTCAATGGCTATCCAAGTTTTGAGGGAAGCTGGGTTGCCTGTCATTACAACTTGTTCCGCCGCTTCTTCTGCACACGTTCTACAATTGGGCGCAGAAGCTTGGTTCGATTACAAGTCACCTACATGTGGTGCTGACATCCGTGAGCATACTAACGACTCTCTCGCTTTTGCCCTGGATTGTATTACCGATACAGCATCAATGGGAATCTGCTACGAATCGTTAGGCTCAGCAGGAGGACGATATGTTGCTCTGGACGCGTTTCCCGTGCGAGGCCATACGCGTCGCAGCGTGATACCTGAGTGGATTTGTACACCTACACAATTTGGCAAAGCCATCCGCTGGACACCACCCTATGATCTTGAGCCACGGCCGTACGATCTCAAGTGTGCCGAGCTCTGGTACGTAGTTGCTCAAAGATTGATTGATGACGGGGTTATTGCGCCTCATCCGTTGGAGAAGAGAAATGGCGGCCTGGCCGCGGTCCCAGAAGGTATGGAAGCTGTGCGCAGAGGGCAAATCAAAGGCAAGAAGATAGTTTACACTATTGTTGATAGTGAGCCGGTTGCTGTGTCAGCTTGAGAGGCTATAGCTAAGATGATCGCGATGTAATATACCATGAGGAGACGGCGTTAGAAGTAAGACGTATTTTAATACATTTTACTCTTTTTTTCATAAGGGTATCCTTCTTATATATGCTATATAGATCAGTGAAAATCTCGGGGATTAAAGTCATGACAAACTACCGCCTATTACTATAAATTTGGTTGCATAAAGTAAGGGTGGAGTAACTACTGTGAGATGGGTTATAAATGAGGTAGCTTTAAAAATTTCTTTACAAAACTACTCTAAATTTATAGTAGAAAATCTAAAATAAAAGGCCAACAATTGATGAGATAGTCAATTATCATGTTCTTTTTGTTATAGTTCCAAGGCACAACTAAATGTTCTTAACATACTCCTTTGACAAATTTTTGATATGGGCTAAATACCACGCCTGCAGAAGTTTAGCACTATCTCTGTTTCTCGTCTACGAATGGATACTTACATTATCCATGTGGACATTAAGAGCTGTGATGCCCATCTTCTTGATAATCCATGGCGCTTCAATCTTTGGTGAATATAGTGTTGCATCCGAGTTGCTGATTTCACGATTGAATATTACCGTCTTCGGTAGCAGAGGGTTCACTGCAGCTGGACGAACAATCCCCACCATAGAACAATTTCCATCCACCACAGCTTTCTCAATGCTATCACGGCAACGGAAGCCACCAGTCAAAATGAGCGGAGTATCTGGAAAACTCGATTTGACCACTTTTGCAAAATCAACGAAATATGCACCTGTTGTTTTTGTGCTATCTTTCAGTATCGGGCCTCCATGTTTACAGGGTCCGAGAAACATCTATAGCGTGCAGGCATGTTAGATGACAGAACAAGAGAAGGAAAGTATACTGACCTGGGGGTCTTCAAATGTACCACCGGTAATTTGGATATAATCAATACCAGCGTTTATAATAAGTTCCAGTTGTCGAATCCTATCAGATAGAGCTTTTGGAGACAGAGCGTCTATAGAATTAATTGTGACTCCGACACAAAATGAAGTGGGCACTTCTGATCGAATACCGTTGATGACTTCTAAAATAAATTTAGTTCTCTTTTGTGGCGAACCTCCATAGGCGTCGGTTCGTTGATTTGTCGTCTCGGAAAGAAATTCATCTATGAGATAACCGTGCGCAGCGTGAATCTCCACGCCAGAGAAGCCACTTTGGTAAGCTAAACGTGCTGCACGGACAAATTGCTTAACGATGGTCTGAATCTCGGATACATCCAGTTCTCGGGGTGTTCCAAACGCAATTGCAGAGACAGCTTTGGGAATAACACCGTCCCCCATATAGAGGCCAATTGAAGTTGGCGCTACATTCTTTGAGAAATAGCCGTGCTTTCCAGCTCCTATCGGGCACTGTCGACCAGGATGATTCAGTTGTACCACAGTTGGCGTTCCAAATTCCTTACATGTGGTTGCCCAACTTTGCCACGACGTAATTACGCCATCGTCACTGACAAGTGAGTCCACCGCCAAATCCGTAGCCGTACCAAGATATCTGTCATCTACTTGAACATTCCCTATAATTTGTACATTTTAGAGAGAAACACTCATGAAACGAATTTTGCTTGAGTAAGAGGTGCTTGAATAGAAACATACCAGTAATAATCATGCCCCAACCGCCTTTAGCCCAGTGCTGATAGATATTGTGAATTTTTTTATCTGGAAGCGACCTAGGCGTTGCAATTCCCTCTGACATGGGAGCTTTGACAAGTCGATTAGGCAATGTGAGGCCGCATCTTAATTTTATTGGTTGAGCAACATGTAGTTCCGCCATTATAGTATTGCATTTGTCGGTCAATGGGTCATCCCAACGCTATTCAAATGGAAAATTTCTTTTCCTATTTTTCTTTATTCAATAACGATAACATAGGAATTTGAAAGAGGCAATCCATGGAATCTAAAATGCCGTTGTTGTACGGAGGTCCCTACCAAAAGTTTTGGCTGACCGCCTTTTGAGTTATAGTGGCTACAGGCCATTTTTCTGCCAAGCAAAACCACTATAATTAAAAAGGCGGTCAGCCAAAGCTTTTGGTAGGGACCTCCGTATCTGGAAGGTCTTTAGCTACGCTGACAGCGGAACCTCTTTGGCATATAATAAGCAGGGTCCATTTCTAGGCAGTATCCACTGGTAGTTTTATATATGTGCCTTGGCTGGGCAGCCAGCAAGTACTATCTATAGTATAGCGCCAATCGACGGACAGGTATGTAATACTATTGAAACAGGTGCAGCCAATATGTTTCCCTGCGACGCGGAGCACTAAGCTGGACAGGGATTGCCCACACCCGCACTGCCGTACGAGTCCGAATTATGGCACCCTGTAGTAATACTTGTAATATTCCGTTGAATATCCCGATGAATTTTGGTACGCCTCCCCACCATCTCCCCCTGGAATAATTAGGGACACAGGGCCGAAGGATGATGTGTCAATTTGCCCACTAATCCTCCAAAGTGATTTTCTCATGATACCAATATGCTTAGCATCGAGGAAGAACTGATGTATCAATATGACTCGCTCGGCCAGGTGGAATGCCATTTACTTAATCAGCTACGTATATTATAGTAGATATCTATTACCTATTGCTGCGGATTTTATTCATCAGTGGGAGGGGGATGAGTTCAACATGTCGTAAAAACAGAAGCAACGCAGCTTAATACGCAGTGCAGAAGACTAGACTTCCATGAGTGTATCATATGATAAATATGTCAAAGCGGCTTAAGTCTCGAGGTTATAGAAGGTCAATTCACTATTGCATGTACGTATTTAAGCAGTGAACTTCTTTTACCAATGTTTGAAACTATATTTTCAAGTATGTGTATCGAAAAATAGTGGCGTAAATACACATTTCTGGTAGTTCATTGCTAATATGACGAGTTTATATCTGATTGTAATTACTGTACATGTGCATCACAAATCATTTGTGTATTAGAATAGACTAGAAACGTAAAATTAAGAGAATTCCGAAAGTTAGATCGCGTAAGGAAACCAACAACTGCGCACTCTCTACTTTGTATGTGTGGGCTGGACATTGCGGTAACCAAAATTGTCTTGGACGTAAGTTATTGTGTCTGCAGGGTAAGTTCAATCTCGTGGCTGCATTCGTAGTCTCAACAATGAACTTTTACCGGGCTCTTCGAAGGCTCTTGCTAGGTTTCTTTAACTGATCCTTTGGTTGCCTCAAATCATTGTATATTGCCGAAAACACAACCTCTATTATCGTCGAATAAAGCACACGTAATATATCAGATGCTGGAAGGATTGTTCCAACAATTTTGATATACCCTACTCTGAATATATTTTAAACAATATTGCAGGTAGAATCTTCTTGAATATCACCAGGAAAAACAAAGCGAGACTATGTCATTAATATCTGTTATGATCTACCAGAAGACGCGTATCACCCATTGAATTCTCCGCGCGCAACAATAAAATGAAGGCATAACAATGACAATGGTAACACCGTCGCCCTCACATTACTTGTTTTTGGGGCTTTCTATTCTCTCTCCCGGTTTTGTAGCACTAATTGCAACAAACCTCCATCTTGATCTACCGGCGTATCCACTTCTTGCACATATCATGTTGATAAAGCTCTTTTCGTTCCCGAACAACCTGAAGAAAAAGTAAGGAATCATAACGAGAGCATAGAATAGCCGTAGGATAGGCAGGATATTTGGCTGCCAATCGCGTACTTCAACATCGACAAAGCCTGCTTCTTCTAGCAGATTTTTGAAGTAATTTTCGCTCGCGGCCTCGTTTGTTGGCATAACTGTGTAGTCATTGACCATTTTCAACTCTTGGGTCAGTCTGTCGTTAGGGTCGTCATACTCAGCTGCCGTCTTTCGCTCAACTTCGACCATTGCAATCCTACCACCTGGTCTTAGAATGCGGAAGAATCCATTCATTGCCTTTTTGGGTTCAACGGCATGACCAAATGCTTGCATAGTGTATACTCCGTCAAAAGATTCGCTCGATATGGGCTCAAGGTAATGGTAGTCCATCTTCTCCACTGACATCGTCTCCTTTGAAAGACCAGCCTGCTTCGCGGCATTACGGGCGTCTGATATTGCCCAGTCGATTATGTCAATGCCTAAGATGCGCATTCCATGCTGGGCCATGTATCGTGCAACGTGGCCAACCCCACAGCCAGCATCCAAAATATAAGATCCCTTGGGAAGAGATAATATCTCCATTAATTTTTGTTCCATGCTATACATCATTAGTAAAACTTGTGAGAAATTTGGGGAGTATACGGGCAAAAAGTATATAAAGTTACATACCGACGGAGCCTGGATCCCAGAGGAAATGGCCAGTATGTATCCTTTTCCCAGTAACCAAAATGCTGCGTGCCGCCCATGATCACTTGGTACACGATTCGTGAATCCCAAGATTCGTAGTATGCTCGAAGAGCCGCATTATCTGTCATGATATGCTCTGTTTTAGCGGTATGATTGGAAGACATGATGATCTGTTACGGCGCACTGATGAATAGCGCACTCAGAGGCTTTTTTTCTCGATGTTTGGTTTGGCTTGGTTTTGGCTCTAACCTTTTAGTATACTAAACTACCAACTTAGCGTCATTACAAGCGGACGTTGAGGCAAGGGATAATTGTTGCTTGAATATTGGAACCTGGCATCTGACTGCGTTTGACAGCGTGAGATTGAATATTCCGGCGTTCGGCGCTCAGAAAGCGCGCAACATTCAAGGACCAGGGATATAACTGGGATATCAGATGAGTACATGCATGCTTACAGGTACGGCTGCGAATCCCTACATCCTTGCTGCATTTATCCTCGATTTCAGCGTACCCCTTTTTTTAGTGTGGTTGGGTCGTCCTCGGACACCAATTCCATATTACTACAATGTTACTACGGCACAGGGCAAACGGCGAAAAGATCTCATAAAGTAATTATGAACGCAATATCAATCATTATAGATAAACCATTTCTGTAGCTATGCTGCGTGAGTGATTTAGAAATTCCTCATCTTAATACTCTGTGCTTGTCTCAAATTAGACTCATATGAAGCCCAGATTTGCAAAGAAGTATACGTTGTGAAGCAGCAAATCATGTGGCATCACCAACAAAACAAAGCTTCAGAATTCAGGAAATAGGAATGGAAGTTCATGACTTCTTTGTGATATTCTCCACAGAGTTCGCTGAACTAAGCTGCCACCGATAACACAAATTGACTATTTGGTGGTAATGCACACAGAAATTGTGCATAGGATGTTGTTCTTTTCATATTGCCTATTAAAAATATCCAAACTGGAATATTATTCGCCGTGGTTATGGGAAGAACTGGTAATCTCAAAATGTACAACATTAATTGAACTGGATGGGCTAGAATATCCTTATTGTGATCTGGAAATGCATAATTATCGTATGGTGATGCATAGAGGCGCTCCTAGCAGAACGTGATAAGAAATGTCTAAACTCTCTCCAAGCCTGCTGCAGTATATGGCTCTTCTCACTTGTACAAAGCTACCTTAACACCGTTAATATTGGACGGTCCAATCCGCATCACAGCTGTGTAAGGCTCAGGATCGCGACACTCCAAACGCGAGTACTTCTTTGCCAATTGAAACAACATATATGCTGATTCAGTCTGTACCATCATCTGAGCAGGGCATCTCCTAGGGCCTCCACCGAAGGGCAAAAAGTTCCAGTTACCACGAACACCAAAGAACCGTTCTGGTCGAAACTTGTCAAAGTCGGGGCCCCAGACGTCAGGATCACGGTACATCACAGTTTTGGTGACCGAGACAAGATCGCCCTTGTTCACGTACAATGGAGACTTGCCATCAGGACCACCTCCCAGAGGTAGAACGGAATCGTTTAGACATGCGCGAACCTGGACGATATTGTTGGGAGTCAACCGATGTGCTATTAAAAATAAATTAGACTCCATTTCTCCAAATAAAACAGGGGGATACATCTTACTTTCATTGAGGACTCCATTCAAGTACGGCATATTCCTCAACGATTCAAATGTTACAGGCTTGTCGCCGTATTCAAGTACTTCCTTGCGCAGTTTCTGCCATGCCTCAGGATCACGAGCTAGATGCCAGATACAGTTGCTAATGAAGATGGATGTAGTGTCATTGTTCGGAACGAATACCAAACAAAGCTGGGACCGCAGTTCCTCTTCATCACGCACATGGCTGGCCATGTACCAAAGAAGATCGACACGCTCTGGCCCAACTGGAAGCCCATCTTTGATTCGTTGTTCGCGCTCCTCAATTTGTTTGTATGTGCTGCGAATGTGAACGTTGACAAAATCATGGACTTCATAGACAGCCTTGAGCCACCAATTCCAGTTAAATGCCCACAGAAATTTATACATCTGAATCCTTAGACGCCCTCCTCGGAGAACATCTAGCATGGTCCAGGTGATGTTGGCACGTTCAGGATAGGTCATGGAATCCATAGTCTTTCCAAAAATAAACTCGCTGGTTAAATCAAGGAACTGTCGGATTGTTATTATGCTATCACCCACTGTAATGAATATCACGGATAAAGTGATATCACAAAATAAGGGAATGAAAACTTACCCAGCGTTGAATAAGAGGCTGGATGTCAAATGTAACGCCCTCTTCTTTTGGCAGCAAAGTGAACAAACGGTTGATGTATGGGTCGATCCTATCTATGCTGGCGTAAACCTCTCTGTAAAAAAAAGGCTTTACGAGGAATCGAGCAAATTCCCAGTCCTTGCCATCGGTTGTGCTGATACCTTTGTCGGCAAAGGGCATTGCACCTTTGGTTTTTCGGCGCATAGGCTCGAGCCCAAAGTCTTTGAAGTTAGTTGCTTGGATGGCCTTTAGATTTTCACCCTCGATGGTGCATATCTGTTTCACTCCCATGAATTTAATTGCAAATGTTTTTGGTCTACCATTGTGTAACTTCCTTAGCCAATCCAAGTAGTAGTTGCGTTTTAGGGCTTGCAATTGGCTATACACCATGTCGAGCCCCCAAAAGGGCTCCCATTGCTTGACACGAGTTACTGGCTTGCAACCAAAATCGGTGCCTTTCGTACTCTCATTAAATAGTCTGCTGAGGAAAACAACCAGGACGCTCACACACAAAGCAGATATTGTGACTGTGTGCGAGCCGCCCATGTCGTTTACATATTCGTACAGCAACATGTCGCTGGGCGAAGAATGTCCTACTGCTGATGTTAGAGTCTTCGTGTAATATGACAGAAATCAATGGGGGGATTAGAGATTGACCTCTCTTTTTTTTAGTATTATAAATTTAACCAAATAAGCCGTCCTCTGCTTGTAGGGGTGAACGACGGCTTGCTTCAGCAGATTAGAGCATTTGTCCCTGATAAGACCACCTTTAGATGGCAAAACAAAGCTGCAAGATGTTATCGTAAGTTTCTCAGATGATTCCCCGTTCAAGGTATGATGGACAAGATTAGATGACCAAGATAATCCGGGTTTCGATCTGACAGCGTGGAGACATTTTCCGAAGCACGACCACGCAGTCAGATACCGTATGAATGCCATTCCAAATGGGTAGTAGCCAACGTTAGAAGCTGAGGTGCATCGATTTTCCGCGTGGAGACTGGGTCCAGGTACTCCGTGTGGGGATTAAATGTTGATCCTTCCAGGCTTACGCCCAGTGCTTACATCTAGCTACTGATATGAGTACGAAGTACGGAGTACTGGTTAATGCTACGGCAGACGAGCAGGGGCAATAGGCCACGGGTATCCACCGCCGACCACTCGACCCTCGGACTAGAAGGAATGGAGTGCCTAATGATGATCATTAATTGTTTAACCATCTCAGCCAGTCGGATGACCCGTACTGACGACAGGCTTTTCACCAGCCACTCTAGGCACTTTATCCCATATAGTCTAGAAAAAGAAAAATCCTAAGAGAAATCATTTTACTGTTAGATAATTTGCAACGAATTACAAATATTCAGGATAATATGCATTCCATAGATTCAAGAGCGCAAGCCATACAAATTGTTACGCCCCGTTATACCGCGGCGCCAACAGGGCAAAGGATTAGGCCAGTGGTCGAAATTGTAACAACTATAGTAATAGAACCAGCTGTTTAGAATGAAACGGTCTATTACGACGGACCAGATAGTAACACAAATATAGACCCCAAACAATAAGGACACGATAATGCGGAAGATATATATTCAGCGTCATTATGACGAATGACTTGATCCTTAGTCAAATTAACTCTCACTAAAGTAATTATAGCTGGATATTTTAATTCTCTGTGAATCTTGTTGCACCTATTTGCGCGAGGTTTTTGGTGTACCAGCTCTAATGATCTCGTATCAGTCTTGAGCGTCACGAATGAATTTAAGTTGGCTAGCTTGCTTACCATTTCTGGACCAACACCAAGTGCCTTTATTCCGAGGAACTTGGAGAAGCTTGAAGCTTCTATCTTTGGTGCTGGGGCTATGGCTTGATTATTTGGAACCGCCGGATTGAGGAGAATTTGATGCGGAAGACTTGGATTCAGAGCAGATGGCCGTGCCATGCCAATCAAATCACAGCTACCATCGATAATAGCCGCTTCCATACCATTTCGAGATCGAAACCCACCCGTTACCATAAAAGGAACTTGGGAGAACTTGCTTCTAATGGTTGATGCAAACTCAATGAAGAATGCCTCTCGAGCAAGAGTACCTGCTTTCGTTTGAACCTTCTCGATCCCAGTGTTGAAAACTGGATTCTCCCATGTGCCTCCACTGATCTCCAAAAAGTCAACGCCGGTATCAACAATAGCACCAACCTGTTCCAGTATTTCCTCCACATTATCCATATTTGTTTGATGGTCTGCGGAGTTGAGTTTCACGCCGATGCAGAAGCTACTTGGCACTGTAGCCCTGATGGCTTTTATTATGTCGACCACAATTTTTGCCCTTGCAACCGCGGAGCCTCCGTATTCATCCGTGCGTTTATTGCATCTTTGAGACAAAAACTGAGCTAAAAGATAGCCATGGGCTGCGTGAATCTCTACACCCGCAAAGCCTGCTTCAGAAGCCAGTTGCGCGGCGTTTGCAAATTTCTGTATGGTATCATCAATGTCCAATATAGTCATCTCTCTCGGTGTGCCAAAGACAATCATCTTTACCAGCCAAGGTATTATGCCTGTGCCAAGGTCTAGCGGTATAGCACTTGGAGCAATCCCCTTTGCAAATGGAGTCTGCCGCCCCGGATGATTGATTTGAACTATTGCTTTAGTTCCATTCGCGCAACAAGCTTCTGACCATTTTTTCCAGATTGCGATAGTTTCCTCTCTTGGTATTGATGCGTCAATGGCAATATCGTGTGGACTAACAACATGCATCGCGTCGACGTGAACATTTCCTGATAATTTGGTTAGCTATACGATAAACAGAGAAGGGCAGAATGCTTACCCGTGAAGACCATCCCCCAGCCGCCTTGAGCCCATCCTTTGTACACAGCAAGCATTTGCTTCCCATTTGGTTGATGGTTTTCATCTGCGAGCTCCTCGGACATGGATGCTTTCACGAGACGGTTGGGCAGAGTGAGCCCACATCTAAATGTGATTGGCTTTGCGATATTGAGATCCATTCTTCAAGTTTTTTTGCCATACAACGAAGACGATCTGAGTGCAAGAAAAGATTCTCAAAACGACAGCTGAGATTACTGGCGTTCGCATTCGTAATTAGCATAACAAGTGGTCTAAGAGGGTTATAATAGGCCAAACGCAGAGGTGACCCGTTGATTGACTGAAAGAGTTATTATCAGAGCTACAGGGGCATAAAATGACAAAACCAAAATACTTCCACAAAGTTAGTACAGCTCAATACCCCACAGTACTCGCACCAGGGTGGTAGCTGCAGATTTGTAAATACCTAGTGACACTCAATATATTTAAGTTTTAATTTCTATTTTTCAAAATATTTTCCTCCCATATTTATTTCTTACTTGATTCGTATTTTTTAAGCGAGCTTGTTTAGGTATGTCTTAGGCGGATCGATGAGAAGAGTAATATTTTAGGTCACGGGCCGAAAAAAGGGACAGCTAATACTCATAATAGTCAGTCAGTTGTATACGAAACTTTATGCGTCATATCGACATAAGACCAGGGATTAAACTCCGTTCTAGATGAATCATAGGGAATGTATTGCGAAGGTGAAAGCGCTAGATCATAACAAGCTATACCTCGGTATCGATTTCATAAGCATCCTCAGCTTACTAGCACAAGGCGTATTATCTGCAAAGAAGTACAGGTATGAATGAATGTGCCTGCATATTCTCCCTACTGTATGCAAGTCTGTGCTGATTATAACGGTAAAGGCTCCAATTAAACAAATGGATACACTAATATCTAATAGACAAATATTACTTACTATGGATTCCTGTATGCCAAGCACGGCCACGGATGTAGCTAGCAGTTATTCCACCTTGCCCCTACATATGCGACGGTTGATATCGTCAGAAAAGAATGGTTAGACATTTAGAACAAGGGCACCCGTGAGCTAGGCGGCTGTGCAGGGATATCCCTGTGGATGATTTTATTACCTACGGATGTAGCCTAAGAAGGGAAATTCCGCGATTCGAGTATCTCGTCAGCTTCAACCTGTTGCTTCATCATCTCGTAAAGAGTACAATAATCAAAATCTTGGCCGTTACTCACTTCGGAATAAGGTAATTAACAACTGACCATTATATACATGGTTTCCAAAGAGGTAATGCGCAAGTGTACGATGTTTCCACGCTTCTTGTTCTTAGTCTTAGGGCGCCTTTTCTTCTCCTTCTTTGCTTTGTTCATAATATTCCGCAATTTTCCGAAATCACAACACCGCTCGGCTCTTATTGACTAAACATTGTGATCGATAAGGAGAAGATCAAACTTTTGTCCCTGTTGTCTTTAACTTGTATTTGATAGACTCATATAAGGATGTAGTGGGATAAGCTCGCTCCTAGAAGAGTGGAAGCCTGATCTCACGAAATTTATCAAATCCCGTAACAATGGCGCCTGTTGATACCTTTTTGGCGTATGTCGATGACTACAGAGACTGGACAAAGTATGTAGTCTTCGCAGTTATTATCGTTATCCTCTATCAGCACCTATTCGCCACTTCATATCCCAACGGATTACCATTAGTTGGCGAGCGCCCCGGTGCGAAATGGTTCAGTCTGCGGACAAGATGGCGCTACTACGTTGACTGTCGCGGCCTATACCAAGAAGCATACGAAAATGTAAGTTTACATTACACATTGTGCATGCCAATCATATGGACTATGACTAATAATTCTGGTCTCTCTTTGTATTAGTTCATAAAAAAGGGGAAAACCGTTTTAGTTCCTGGATTTGGCACACGAACCGAGATTATTATGCCACAGAGTTCTTTACCATGGGTTCTTCAACAAGCTGATGACGTGCTTAACGTCCAAAAGGCGTTTTTGGAAATTAACCAGACGAAATATAGCCTCGCAGATGAGCGTTATTGGGCAGATGGGTGGCAATTCCATCTTGTCAAAACCCATTTAAATCCCATTCTACAAAATTTAACTGTGGGCTTGAACGAAGAACTCGGCTATGCCTTTGACAAATATTTCGGCACCGACGCAGAAAACTGGACAGAGCTTCCACTGCAAAGTACTATCAGGAAGGTCGTAGCGGCAGCCGCTAGTCGATTTACAGTTGGGCTTCCTCTCTGTCGTGATGAAGAATATCTTACCACGACCTACAAAATCATCGACGGCTTCATGTTAAACGCTGCTGCTACCAGCACTACACCTCGTTGGCTGCGACCTATTGTTGGCCGGCTAGTGAGCGCCCACACGTTGCGCAATGTTGAAAAGATTAAGAAAATCTGGGAACCATTATATAGAGAACGACTTCAGACTCTTGAGAAGCCAGAAGATGATCCAAATCAACCACGAGATCATTTACAGATAATGATGCGTTATGCCTCAACTGAGCGTCGAGATGAGCTGCCCGATCTACATGTTATGACCAAGAGACTTTGCGCTGCAAACTTTGCCTCCATGCACCAAACGGCAATTACGGTTACCAACATGGTTCTAAATATTATCGGCTCAGATGCTGAGTATAACACTCTGGCAGAACTCCGAGAAGAGATGTCCGAGATATGGAAGTCTGAGAAACCAGAATGGAACAAGACAACCATTGCTCAAATGATTAAGACTGATAGTGTTGCTCGCGAGACATTGCGTGTTAACCTGTTTGGCAACCGCACTTTGTTTCGGAAAGTACTCAAGGAGGGCGTTACTACACAGGATGGTATTGAGCTACCCAAGGACTGTCTTATCTCTTTCTTCTCCCAGCCTGTTCAGGTAGACGCAGAAAAGTTTGTGAACCCGCTGAAGTATGATCCCTTCCGATTCTCCCGTCAGCGAGAGGCTGCTCCTGCAGAAGATGGCAAGCCAGGTTTAACGAGTCTATCTTTTGTTTCCACCTCCACTTCTTTCTTGCCCTGGGGCCATGGAAAACACGCCTGCCCCGGCCGGTTCCTTGTGGACTTTGAGGTGAAAATGATGGTTGCCTATTTGCTACGGCACTACGATATTGAGTTTCCAGACCAATATGGGGGGAAGCGACCACCTAACGTTTGGTTGGCCGAAGTGGGGATGCCACCTATTGGAGTGAAGATCAAAGTCAAAAGGAGACAGGTGCCATACTAATTGCTTTTGGGAAGAAATTGTTGGTCGAAATATCTCGATCATTTTGCCGTATCAGTCTAGGCTATAGATTTTCCAACCACGTTTGCATTAAACACGGAGTTGACAAGAAAAGATATACATGATGTGTTAAGAATGGATTGCATCCATTAGCTAAGTGAACTATTTATCTTAATATTTCTTAAGTGCTTAAACGTACCATAAAACTGTAAATTATGCATATTACTGAAAATGATTACATGAAATTAGCCATTATCACTGAACACGAAGATAAATAATTTTGGAGGTAGCAGAGTTAAGTGTCATCCTGCGGTATCGAAAATCTAACTAGTGACACAGCGAATAAAATGAAAGTTACTATGAGGCGTTCAAAGACAAAGGGTTTGATTTGTCAGGATACAAGTCATCAATTTCTAGCATGTCTTTTATGTATTTAAGTGTAGTTTGAAGTATACAGAGCCAATATAAGACGCATAGTTATACTTTCTCGCCTCGAAATTGGAAATTTGTCTCAAATCAACTTTCCCCCCTTTTGTACTAGATTAATATTTACACAAAACTGCTGCGCGCTGAACGGACCATGAAAATGAGAAAGAAAACATACACAGAGGGAGCGAGGGGGTGGGGGTGGGAAGGATGAAAGAAATGAAAGAAAAGGAAAGCATAATGATTCGATTGACTCTTTTGGCGTTCTTCGCCATGATCTCCATAAATGCACAACGTGTTCGAGATGAAAAAGCCTGATAACCTTACAGATATAGCTGATGATGTGAGAAAGAACTGACTGCATTGTAGACATTTCATGACTTGAGCCATGGCCTGATCCATAGTGCCATGATCTTGTCTCAAGTTAAGGAACTCCGCGCCGCTTATTGAGCCCCTGTTCCAATACTTCACAACACAGCGTCAGCGCTGTGTAGCCAGCTGATCCAATGGCCTGGTCAACTTCCCTGTCTCCCCTCAGCATTGCCCCAATGTATGCCTCCGCACAAGAACAGAAGAGGAACTCGCGCGCAGATGTGGCCCCGCCCGTAGTTCGGACGCGCCGCTCAAGTACGGCGGCATAGGCTTGTATGGTTTCTTGGAGTTGCCGCCAGCTTGCGCCATTTACTGCTGAAAAAAAGCTCTCCTCGAGCTCACTAATCATGTCGAGACAGAGCGCCAGAATAGCATGCCATTGCAAGGTGGCAAAATGGCCTTGGCTATGGATACGGAGAATCCCCAGTGCGTTTGAAGCTGGAGAGATGGCAGGACTAGCAGAAGCGGCCGAATTGGAGGCTAAGATTTGTATGCCGTCAGCACCAGCGATGACTTCCTCGAGTCCGCTGGCCGCGGGTACCACCGTTATTGTCGGGCCTAGCGAGTGGTTGGCCAAAAGCAGTGCCGAAACTTCCATGCGGACTTTCCGCGAAAAATAATACGCTGGATTAGTCGTGGAGTAGGCGGCAAACTTGGCGTGTGGTGCTAGCACAAATGGCAATGTGAAGGCATCCAAAAGCTTGATCTGAAACTCAGTTGGCTTCTTCTGTAGAGACAACAGCCTCTGGAGCTCTGTGGAATACAAGGCTTTTAGCTCAGCTGAGAGTCTGTGTGTTTCTTCAAACGCCTTGGCAGCACCAGGTGAATGTACCACGTGTAAGATTTGCAACCGCAGGCGCTGCGTCCGCGCCAAGATCACCAACGGGTTTGTCCTTGGTAGATTGTAATCAATAAAATAGCTCGTGAAAGAAGAGGATGACGCGGAATCAGCATCAGCAGTCGTCGCATCCTCTTCTACGAAATCGGAGGGCGATGCGCAGTCGTAGCTTTCCGGTGAGATTGGAGCTGGAAGCCCGTGATCAAGGCATAGCTGTAAGGACAACTCGAGCATTGTAGCCCACAGCCGCCGACGAATTTCAACCTCTGGAGCTGGCATGTCAGGGTCAGCAGTGGTAGGGTCACGATGCAAGCCCATCTGAATCGCTACCCGCGTCAGGTCATGATCTCCAGGGGACCATAGTGATCCGGTCGATGCCGTACTGACTGGACCTGTGTACCGCGATAGCGCGAGTAGACACACTATTTGTGCGGTATTGAGGTCTGCTCTACAGCCAGCCATTATTTTCCGAGCTAGCCATTGTTTCCCGAACGCGATCCATGTTTTCGCTTGCTCGCGCAAAGAATTACCGTCCTGTCGTTGTTCAGAGCCTGTTTCGCCAGCGGCATCGAGCCCAGGGCACACGAAAGTTCCTAGAGCAATGCATATCAGCAGCTTGCAAAGGAATAACTCTTCTTGATCCGGTAGGCGAGTTGACGGAGAGTTCGCCCAGAAGCGTCTGTAATTATGCAGAAAGGTTGGTACATGCAGAATACGCAACACCGACTCGAAGGTTATGAGGTATGCATCTAATAGCATATCACATGTTCCTTGGGATGGCAACAACTTTCGTACTATGTAAGTAGGGTGATCGGGGTTTGCTATCCAGTTTAATGCTAAACTGGGTGCTAGGTATTTTGATGCCCTTAATTGACGTTCGAGTTTGACAAATTTGTCTATTAGAGGCCTCAATGGCTCATGTTTGGACTGCAATGGTATAGGCCCTTTGCTGCTCCTCAATCCATGCAGAACAAATTGTAATCTTTCACACTTGATGACTGCTTCTTCCCAGCAGTTTGCGAACTGACCTTGGGCAGAATCACTCGTTGTTGGGTTTGTTAGTTCTGGATCCAGAATCGAATTCGCCGAGGACCACGACGTATGGTCGTCGCTCTGCGTCGATAATTGTCTCGAAACCGCAACAGATGCATCAGAAAATGCACCAGTGCTCGTGTCTGGGAATGGATCGCCTTCTGAGTTGGTAGGCGTAGCTCTAGGAAGCGTGTCATCAAGTCCCAAGTATGTCGCAAGATTAGTCCCAACATCGTCGCGTAGATGCGTTGTTGTCGTTGTGTTTTCCAGAGAGAACATGTCCAGATGCCCAGAATTGCTCTCCTGAAAGAGTGAATGCTGTTTGTTTGACTGAACATGCGCAAGCTGGGCAAATTCGAGATGCACACTATTGTTGGTGTGACGATTGTCATTGTATGCGAATGGGTGGAAATGAGAATTATTGTAGATACATCTCGTGTTGGGCAATTTGCTGCATGGACCGCAAGGTGTTGCACTGTCACATCTGATCTTTCTCCGTCGGCATTCAATACATGCCGTAGCTGGGCGCCGACGTTTGTAAGCAATGCCTGAATCCATTCGGAAATGTGTGCACGTTAACCAATAAAGAGACTGTAGTAAAATAATGGCTTTTGTTGCGGTATTACCGCATTGCTATGTATATATAGGTTTCTCTCCAAGGTTTACGGAATCAGATACAGTGCATTGCTTATAACAGGGAAGAGAAATGGAGAGTATAAAACCCTGTCTGCTTGTCTACATTAGCAATACACATGTAGGGTACGATATCGTGTTAGAATATAGGCTAATTTCCGCCTTTATTATAATATATCCTATAATATAACTAAGCTTATATAAGCTCAGGTATAAAGCTTATAAAGTAGTATATTTTTGTAATTATTATATAGCTACTTATAATAGCTATGATAGTATTTTCCTTTATATTAATATAAGGCTCTGTGTAACCTTGATTATACTCTCACTAACTACTCTAAGCTTCCTAAAAGATCGCAGCTCCCTGCTCCATGTAATAATGTAATAGTGAACTATGACAAAACTGCGCTCTGAAAACAATTGTATTTAATAATAATAATAAATTTATATAAGATTACCATTATATCAATAGGGTAAACAAATAAAAGTATTAGAAGTATATATAGCTAAAAGAAAAAAGTAAAAAAAAAAGTAAAAAGTAAAAAGAATTTAGAATTTTTTTTTAAAAAAAGAAGTGTGAAAGAAATGTCGCATAGGACAGTTTTTCTTATATTTTCCACTCCATGTAACTTTTAAAAAATGAAATATCAAACAATTACTTTGTTATTTATTAGAACTTAGCTCGGGCTTATTCCTCGCTCACTGATTGGTACCATGGTGAGTTGGTGTTTTGTACATGCAAGTCGCTCTTTTTACCACGACTATCGTGCTGTCACAATTTCGCGTTACTTACCCATGTGGTCGATCTCGATACACAACCCCAAGTCCCTTTGCTATTGGCAGCATTGCTGGCCTCCTTCTAAATTGATCTTCATATTAATAAACTTGGCTTCATGATCCCTGTGGCACATGCCATGTCTGCAGATTCCCTTACAGCGTCAGAAATTAGTGCTGATATCATCTGCGGTATCTTTCGGTCCGAGGGATGTTCCCTATGGCCCAATCTAAACTGGCTATAGCGTCTTGGCGACTCAAGGCTATTGAATGCCAGTGATATGGGTGTAGAACCCAATTTGCAATCGGAGCTTTTTACCATAAATGCTTACTGATTTCGTATTTCGTATTTCCTAATCCAGACACGAGTAATAAAATGTTGCATATAAATTGTCGGATGTTATTTTTCTTGTTCCCAGAGAAATTTCCAGATAGAAAAGTTGGAGCAGGTGTAGACTTGGTTGTGATGCTGCGATTTTATACACCTCTTGCCCTCCTCTTGCTGCCTACTGGTTTCTTCTTTTCTACATAAAGAAACGAGTTGACCTTGGTAGCTCAGCCACCGCAATTTAGGAAAGGCAACCACACGGCTTTAGTACAAGTATTGCCGTCACGTCAAGAAATGCTATCTACTTCAGTCACGGCAAAGATATCCGAAATGACACTTCTCCGAACTGACACTTCGCACTAGTCACAAAGTTTTGCAATTGAAGTCCTGTTATTGTAGTTATTTATTCGGGACGAAACATTCACGAGCACTGATTTGATGATCGTTTTCAGTTAAAGGCAAGATGAGCAAAGGTGAAGGCTATGAGTCGTAAACCGAAGAGGTGATTATACTGTACGCGGGAATTTAATCCGCCGATACATATCAGGTATATAGATAGTATATGACAGAAATTGCTTTTGTGTAAACATTTTGACCTACCGACAGTTTCATTCTTACGCATAATAGAATGCCCTCCTAGTACACATAGAAAGATAGACTGAAATTTTCCATTGTCACCTGGGCAGCTATTTCTCTTCCACAAATTGTATTCAGATTGACTTGAATATAGTACTAGTACGGCAGAACATCCGTCTTAGTTGTTTATCCGACACAGCTCCTGACCACACCGTATCTTCATAAATATCTACGCCCGTTAATATCTTGACATCCGTTAGTCAAGTATAACCTATCTTCTTAGCATAGCCTTCATTGCCTAACAACAGCCAAAGTAGTTCTACGAACTATATATCATCAACCAATACGGCTGATGAGGAAATCGGGAGCCTCATCGGCGGCTTCATCTGTATAGAGGAAGTGTGCAGGGAGGATGAACAAGGTCCCATAACAGACTGCATCGGTCGCGGCGCAAAATACATCAAGCTTGGAGCTGGGGAAGTTGGGAATCCGACCACCGTTCTGGAAGTTTTGCGTGTATCCAAAAAGCACTACCCCTTTGATCTGGTTTTGAACGGTGGAACTCAGACCAGAAATGGAGCCAGACATAACCGCAGTACCTTGGCTATAAATCGTATGTTAGAATGTAAAAATTTTATAAGTGGCATAGGCAAGATAATTACCTATAGCCACCGGCAACGATTACTGAGCTGGGGCATTTCTGGTTTGCCTCGTTAAAGAGACGGCGCGCCTCATTAATGGCGGCCTGGCTGGTCCCGCCAGGGAGAAAGTTCGAAGCCAAGTCAGCGGTGTACGGGCCACCAACACCCTGAACCCAGACTTGAGAGGCACCATAATGGCTCTCTAGAGCATTTGCGACAGCTGGGCCGGCAGATGCCCCCTGTAGAGCCTGTTAGAATTCGAACGAATATTGTATTTGAAACACCTGCCATGTTGCCCGTTTCCGTAGAAGCACGAGCAAAAATGAAGATAACTCGAGGGCAAGCAGATGAGCTCCCTGATTCAAGCTCATTTCGCGTTGTACTCAACTGGCGCTCGGCGAGAGATGCAGTATCTTCTGTAGCATGCTGGACAGGGACAGCAGCTGCTAGAGCTAGATATGGTAAAAGATGCACAAACTTCATTGTAGATGTCAATTCGATACAGTTTGATCGTCGGACTCTTTGCAAATATTGAGCTGATGACGAAGATTGAGCTTGGTTGTACACCAGAAAGAAAGATGGTCCTATAGCTGGGTATTTATACGCAATGTTGCCTATCACAGAATGTTCTACACTTACCAATTTTCTGTATGAAGATACCTTTTTACTTAATACTTTGTTTTGGGGAGCGTTTCCAGTGAAATGCAGCTTAAACTTGGCTAATTATGAATTTGGCAATGTTTGAGAATATCTCCCAGAAACGGGCATTTCTATTCGAGCCTCTCAGTTCGCGACACAGAGTCAAAAGAGGAATAGCGGCCGCGTTCAGATTTCCTATGACCTTGCGTCGGGCTTTGTAATGAGCTGCAGCGTTCTATAGCCTATAGAGAAGGTTAAAAGTTACAAGGGGTAGCGACCAGTAGTAGATCCTCCATGCAGTTGAAACAACCCTTTGGTCTACGATGTTGCATAATACATGTTGGAGTTATTGCCATGCTACTTACCCCGCAATCTGGAGCGCATTGTGCCTCGGCTTTCAGTAGTATTACTTGAAGTTTTTCCAGCTCTATCGATGAAAGTCATGCAGCCAAGCACGCCGATTACGTTGTATTCCATGTTAGCTAGACCACCATACGTAAACCTTCAATGCACCAGCTAGCGTTAAATAAGCATTAGTTGCGAATATGTATACAGTAGTGTATCTAATTTTGCTTAGTTAGGTCAAATATCATTTCTTAACATTCAACTGGAAAGAAAATGTCGCAATAATATCCGAAATAGGCATCTACACACGATCATATGTATAGATAAATGAAGAGTAAATATCCTAGTATAACACGGAGAGCTGGTGCACTTCTGGAATACCCACACCGGGATCTATTAGGGCCACACTAAGCGCTCTTAGCATTAGATGTTTATTTAGACGTAAAGAACTTCATATACGGAGCAGTGCTTCTCTTTTACGAATGTGTGCTTCTCCTACCCGGGTATAAAAGCTGTCTCAAATTGCCAATGCGTTATTCTACTGTTAAAGAAGTAAGTAAGCCATAAGAAAATGAATTTCCACGTTCGTCTTGATCACATAACAACAATATCTAGACCACAATAAACTGCATCCACATTGAAGTTTTAAGGAACCATACAAATGCGGGTTACCTTGGTTGCAACAGGTAAATGTTGTGAAATGATAAGGAGAAGATCGTTGTATAACACCGAAAATAGTACAGTGCTTCTTAGAAAAGATCAAATTTTCAACATCTCAGGGTACATCCCACATTTGGACACTATCTGTTCACTGGCTTCTCTGAATCCGGGAGAAACATCGTACCAGAGGAAGTGCTATTGTGGGTCTTTTGAATACAGCTATCTTTTTTGGGATGAATATCAGTGAATCTTATCATGGGCTCTGTATCTTGCAGCTCAACCACTGGATTCTCACGATGACGCGAGATTGGAATTTCGAGTCTGCTTGGCGGTTCAAACCAGACTTTTGCAACAATGACGGGCGGAAAGTCTCGTGTATCAAGCTGTACAATCAAACTGTACAATCAAACTGTACAATATAAATGCTGCTAACAAAACTCCTGCTCCGATCGTTGACAGGCGGAAGCGCTAATCCTTGATCCTGTGCCACTAGTTCCAATCCTGGACAAACACTTAGCAGACATCTCAACTTGGTCCAGGCAGCTATGACGAATCGCTAGCCAATTAACTGTGACAGATGGCGCAGCAAAAAGAGCGAGATTTTCACAAAACGCCTGTGGAGCGCAGCCAGAGGATGATTGGGTTGTGAAATATGAGAGCCCTTCCACCTGACCAGTTACAAGATTGCAGACCTTTTTCAAATGGTATTGAGTTATAGTTCTGTTCGCGTAAAATTGTATGCGTGGAGTATATTATCGTGATTATTTCCTACGTCTTCCTTTCCGTGAGACGCTTGTAATGATCTCTAGCCGTGTTAAAGGCACGACGAAGGTGAAACAGACCATACGCGTTTCTTAACATCGAACGGCCCTCAATATTCGCCGACGCATAAATATTATCGCACGATTCTAACATACAAGACTCCATGTAAGAGTGCGATTGTATTTCAGAGATAGAGGTCTCCTGCCTGGCAGAAGTACTGATTTAAAACTGCAATGAAGGTCTCTCTTAAGAGTCGACAATTCCGCATAGCAATTTGTGTCTGGATAGTCTTTGCTCAAGTATTAGTCGCAGTGTCATACTGGTTGAATGTGTCGTTTTTGTTTCAAGGTCCACTAAAATGCCTGGCAGTAGTCCGCATTAGAAATTTTTCACATGGGTATCTTTTAATGGGTAGATAGATGAGACACTACAGGTTTCTGGACATTTGAGTTATTAATGCAAACGATTTATCAGTGGAGATGCAACATTGATCGAGAACTTAATGCAACGGCTGCTCCAATGGTAAAGCTACTCTTAGTCGATATTGTAGCGGGTTATTACTTTTTGCAATAAGAAACCCGTTTTACCCAAAAATAATGAAACTTTCATTTTAATACTTATGACCATGCATTTTTGCCTTTTTGGATTACATGTGATATGTAAAGAAGCACCGAACTATCACAACTAAACAATCTAGAGATAATCTGAATAGTTCCGACTCTGTTCCAGTAGTTTTTCATATCAAATTCACTATTAATATTTTAAACAGTTATTCTCTCCCTCAATTTGGGCTATAGAAGCCGTCTAGATTGAAGACATATGGAGCCTAGGACAGCCAATACATTTTCCCGTTGATAAGCGATCGCGTTTGCGACAATATACTAGCTCAGGGAAACATATCTTTTCCAACGGTATGATTTTTTGGTTCCTCAAGGGATCTGAGCCGAGAGATATAACATGTATTATGTATGCACAATAGGCACATATAATCATCTTGATATATAACATATCGATGTAATGAGTTGTTGTTCATCGCTCTGATATGGCTACGAATCTTGCTACTATTGGAATTGCTTAAAAGATTCTTCGGCCATGGATTTTTCTTAATATAATGGAAAAAGACTGGTTAAGTCATTGTGCGATAGCAACCTCTATATTGATAATGTTTGGTGTTACCTTCCCTCCTCTTGTTTGTTCGGCACGTGAACAAATTGAAGAGCGATCTTCCAATGCATTTATATTTAGCTCCCTGCCAAAATTATGGTATATTAGTTTTGCGTAGTATTCTGGATATCGGGTATTACAATGTAACCTGTAACACGCACATTGACAATAGTTTAGCTTCACCAAAGGAGTAGCCGTAATTATTATACACCCATCTGGGTAGACATGTATGGTGTTACTTTTAACTGATTTATCATTAATAGTTAATATACAGAAGCCATTCCCGCTACCTATTACTAGACAATGCACTCAAAATATTTGGTAATCTAAGGTCGACGGGAGTATTTGGCTCGTTCCTCAATTTATGAACGTTGTGTTTGTAGCATATCTTGAGGCATGGTATATTATCATGAAAGCCGAAATGGAGTGAGAATAGTATAACATATTAGCATTTGTGACGCGAATATAACCGATGAATCATATACTCAATTTTCTAATGTTTTTATCTTGGTTGGTCGGTTGCTAAAGAGGCTCTTTACCAAATCTTACGATCAATTTTGATAGCTGAAGAGAATAGATTGCCCGATTCAATCAGTAGCGTAATCATTCTTACTGCTGGAAATCTGAACATCGCCTGCTCTCTAGGATAGATGTTATTCCCAATTGAAGCTCAAGTTTTAGGAGTGGACATGCTTATCGTATCTACGATAGGCCAATTGCGCACTAAATTTCGCTGAGCAATATCTTGCAGAATACTTAACAAGTGGTTCCGCCGTTGGTGGAAATCTTGCATGCTGCTGTTTGCTGTGAATGGAGTGTGGGAGACAATAAAGGTTGCTCTGTGGGCCGTATCGGCAAGCATGGGATAACCATATGCCTTCTGTGAGACGCAGAAAAAGAAATACGGCTAGGTTTTGAGTGCATCCAGTCCTAATTCGTGCTCTTCTTGTCAGTATGGGCGGTGTTCTTCATGCTAGAAAGAAGCCACATCCCGTTAAGCGACACTGTAGCTAGCAAGGCGGTTATTTTATGATATTGGGAGAGCATGTGCAAACAGACTCAAAACTACTCCGAAGACGATTAACGTAAAGCCATTAAATAGATTGCTATGCTTGTTACGTTTTGCGGACGAGCCAAAGCTTCAATTTGATATACACATGGGTATCTCGGTTCTTGGGTCAGCTCCAGAACGAAGCTAAGGCGGGCAAATGTGACAATGAGAAATTTTGCATCTGCTGACTGTAAATAAATCAGTATAGACTATTTATTTTGACCACGCTTTGGTCACAAATCGCAATCATCTACCCCTCACTGCAGCAACCGATATAGCTATCTCAATGCAATCTACGATGACACTTATACAGCAATCTCCAAAGGGAGTGGATTCAGGACAAGGCTTTGTGTCTGTGCGTGTATGTGTTTTTTTATTTTATTTTATTTTATTTTATTTTTTATTTTTTTGAATGCTTGAAGGACATTTTGACCTTAGATAAGTAGATGAGACAGACTAAGAGACTAAGCTTCAGGTAAAAATCTGTTGTGCTGGATGACAGAATCTTGAGATTCGGGTTGGAACGTGATCGGTTAGAGGAAGAGGGCACTATTACCTTTTAAATGAAAGGAGCTGATATTTTATGAAGATGCTTCGTGTATCATAGTAAGCGTGTTTGTGGTTACCATGATTGTCATAGGTATGAAACGAAGAAAGTCCCGCCGCCCTAACAGCAGCTGCAATTCGAAAGCCTTGCTTGGTAGACACATAAACACAGATGAAGATGGGCGAAGAGGCGCAGAACAATAACTCCAACGCTATTTGTTGTTCTTTTTACGAGTTCCTTCTTTAACGGTTCCATTAGCTTGTTGTATGACATACTATTGCCTGCTTAGACCGTTTCTGTTCGAGAATCAAACGCCAGATATTATCCTTTCGGGCCTTCAAGGCACACCGTCTCAATCTTGAAGAATCAAGCGACGGTCAATTGCCTGCGGTTGGCATCCTGATGGGGCAACGTAGATATATGCGCAACTATACCATCAAGATAGGGGAGAGCCAGGGGCAATAAATATATGTATTAATTAATAAACCTGCGCACAACCCGTGAAGCTTTACAAATAACTGCCGTACCACGCATCTTCAGTGCTACTTAGATGATGAGACATAATGGCTCAGACATTAAGACGTAGACGCGGAAACGTCCCGCGACATATGGCTGGACTTGTGTCACGTTGCGGTGTAAAGGGGTTACATGCCGTCGGAAATTACTCTCACGGAAATGCTTCGTCAACCCAAATATTTAGGCAGAATTCATTCTGATGCAGCTGCATGGGGAATCACGCTCAGCGTAGCATTGCCAATATTTGTGGTTTAGGGCGTGAATCCAATCCAACGGGTTTTGAGTCCTCCGATGCGGAAGTCCGATCATCGCGCTGTATGTCGTTAAGGATCACTCATCATCGGCTATAGGAGGGAACTTAGAAGCATCATTAGTAAGTAAAAATTCTCCGGAGCGGCTATTAGCTGATCAAGCTACAAATTGTTTAATATATTGAGGTTATGGTGAACGAGATGACTGGCCTACCACTCTTTGGGTCGCTATCACACGTATCTGGTACGCGACTTTCCCATAGAGCAAACCCGAGATTAGAACAACTCAGTCGGAACTAATATTGCTGCCGATTTGGCACTTAGTCGAATTATGCGATGGAATTGTTTCGGGTGTATTCACCACAACATCACATCTGGGGCTGCTCGTGATAGAGCGGAGTTGAAGCGGGGTGCATGATACCCACCATCTCACTTGCCACGGAAGTTGCCAATTGATGTCCTTTAGCTATATACTCCGTATTAATACGCGCACTATTGAGGACAAATAAAGTGCTGCCTATTATACGAGGGCTATCGACAGTTTGCATCCACCCTAGCTGACCCAAAGCAGATAGCATACGGTAGCTATACCGGACGCTCTTGACCCAGAATGGAAGGCCGCGGCAGACGTGTCCATCCTTGCCTGATGGCCCGATTTCAAGCTGTAGGTTCCTGATTCAGGGGCCCACAATGTCAGGATATCCGTGGACTGGACATTGCGGGGGATCAGCTCAGCTGATTTCCGCCTCCGTACGCCCGCTTCCCCAGCTTTGGTCTGCATTTGTCTCCAGGCCTTTGATGTAGATCCGGACGCATAACCGGCGTGGGTATCCGGGAGATGTACACTGGGTTGAACACTAAAGGAAACTACTTAAGAGAGTATTCTTGCAAACCAGCAAATTGTTTCATCCTTTAGGGGCAAGATCCTCCTCGCATTGGCAAACCGACACACGTCTGTTATGCTCTGGTGTCTCCAGAAGCTGTGTTTACAAGTTTGCGCGCTATTTGTTTTCTCGCCACACGTTTGTACTACATGAGGCGACATTGCATCCATGGTGCTTTGTCAACGCAAGCTGACATGTGCAGCTGCATTTGGCTGTTCAACGGATCATCGCATACGCCCCATGGCGCTCGGTTTAATGCTCGGCGCTTTATCCAACAGTGGTGGATTTTAGCTGCAAGATCCCTACAGAGGTTGAAGAAGCTTATGGCAATAAAGAAGCTTAATTACTTATTCGTAGACATTATTCACACTCATGATCATAATCATACCAGGGCTAGCCAATTTGAGTGTAAATCGCCGTCCACCCACCAATTGGTTTGTATTTCCGCTAACCACTCGAAGGATGCTTTTCACGAGCAACCTATTTGCCGTTGGCGTAACGAAATAGGAGCCCCTCGTTGTCACCACACGAAATCGCTTAGACGACAGAAGGAGAGCATCCTCGGTAACTATGTGCAAGTCTTCGGACCGACCTTGACATGTTTCAATCTCCCTCGGTTTTGTCTACCGGCTTCCATTTGCACCTGGCCCCTATCTGTCGGAGTTAAGTGTTTAATAGTTTCGTACGTAATAGCCAGCGGACAGACGTATATAAAGGCGCCCGGTTGGGCCTATATTCTACAAAAGACCTCAAGCCAACGGGTCTGTAAAGGCCATAGATCCATTACATCAAGAAGAATTATACAAATCATTGTCAATGTTGCGCGTTTTCGGCCGCCTCGGGCTCGGCGCCCTTGCCGCCGCAGCTCTATCTGCTCTCAGCAGTGCTGCTCCCGCCAACGTCGCAATTCGGTCTCTAGAGGAGCGCGCATCTTCTGCTGATCGTCTCGTTTTCTGCCACTTCATGGTTAGTATTTATCCAGAAACATCTGGATCAGTGTTAACATGATGGTATCACTATAGATTGGCATCGTCGGTGACCGTGGCAGCTCGGCAGACTATGATGACGATATGCAACGAGCTAAAGCCGCTGGCATTGACGCCTTTGCTCTAAATATCGGCGTTGATGGCTATACTGACCAGCAGCTCGGTTATGCATATGATTCTGCTGATCGTAATGGCATGAAAGTCTTTATTTCATTTGATTTCAATTGGTGGAGCCCTGGCAATGCGGTCGGTGTTGGTCAGAAGATTGCGCAATATGCCAACCGTCCCGCCCAGCTCTATGTCGATAACCGACCTTTCGCCTCTTCTTTCGCCGGTGACGGTCTGGATGTAAATGCGTTGCGCTCTGCTGCAGGCTCCAACGTTTATTTTGTGCCCAACTTCCACCCTGGGCAGTCTTCTCCCTCAAACATTGATGGTGCCCTGAACTGGATGGTAAGTAGCAACTCCTGAGCCGAGAGTAGAGAAGAGATACTGATATACCAGTAGGCCTGGGATAATGACGGAAATAACAAAGCTCCCAAGCCAGGCCAAACTGTCACAGTGGCAGACGGCGATAACGCTTACAAAAACTGGTTGGGTGGCAAGCCCTATCTAGCACCTGTCTCCCCATGGTTTTTCACCCATTTCGGCCCCGAAGTTTCATATTCCAAGAATTGGGTCTTCCCAGGCGGTGCTCTTATTTATAACCGGTGGCAACAAGTCCTGCAGCAGGGCTTCCCCATGGTTGAAATTGTTACTTGGAATGATTATGGCGAGTCTCACTATGTCGGGCCGCTTAAGTCTAAGCATTTTGACGATGGCAATTCTAAATGGGTCAACGATATGCCCCATGATGGATTCTTGGATCTTTCTAAGCCCTTCATTGCAGCATATAAGAACAGGGATACCGATATTTCCAAGTACGTCCAAAACGAGCAGCTTGTCTACTGGTATCGCCGCAACTTAAAGGCACTGGACTGCGACGCAACCGACACCACCTCTAACCGTCCAGCCAATAATGGAAGTGGTAATTACTTTATGGGACGTCCCGACGGCTGGCAAACTATGGATGATACCGTTTACGTTGCTGCACTTCTCAAGACTGCCGGCACCGTCACGGTCACGTCTGGCGGAACCACTCAAACGTTCCAGGGCAACGCCGGAGCCAACCTGTTTCAAATCCCTGCCAGCATTGGTCAACAAAAGTTTGCTCTTTCTCGTAACGGCCAGACTGTCTTTAGTGGCACCTCTTTGATGGATATCACCAATGTCTGCTCCTGCGGCATCTACAACTTCAACCCATATGTGGGTACTATTCCAGCTGGCTTTGATGACCCTCTACAAGCCGACGGTCTTTTCTCTCTGACTATCGGATTGCATGTCACAACTTGCCAGGCTCGACCCTCTCTCGGAACCAACCCTCCTGTCACCTCTGGTCCCGTGTCCTCGCTTCCCGTTTCCTCCACCACTCGCGCATCCTCACCTCCCATTTCTTCAACCCGCGTCTCTTCTCCTCCTGTGTCTTCTCCCCCAGTTACTTCTCGCTCAAGTTCTTCTGCCCCACCAGTCAGCACGCCACCGCCCGGTCAGGTCTGCGTTGCCGGCACCGTTGCTGACGGTGAGTCGGGCAACTACATTGGTTTGTGCAATTTCAGCTGCAAGTAGGTTGCCCCATACCCTCATTTCTTTTCTCAGCTAATATTTCGCAGCTTCGGTTACTGTCCGCCAGGACCGTGCAAGTGTACCGCCTATGGTGCTCCCATCTCTCCACCGCCATCCAATGGGCGCAACGGCTGCCCTCTGCCTGGAGAAGGCGATGGTTATCTGGGCCTGTGCAGTTTCAGTTGCAACCATTCTTATTGTCCCCCAACGGCATGCCAATACTGCTAGAAAACATCTATCACAGTACAAGCATGGGGAGGTGATTGAAGGATCTGTCAGCTGTAGTTTCCAGTGGGCAGAAGTTGTGAAATAAGAGTTTAAATAAGTAAAATGTGAGTGTTATATATTGTCAATACAGGTTTTATATGCTCTTCAACACCGTGGTGCTTGTCTAGGTCATTTTAGCTTCATTTATCTTAAAGCGGCAGGAAATGTAACAGTGATGATGAATGACATGACATGATCGCTATAGTTTTCCCAGAAGTTCCAACTTCATTTCATTTTTGTCCACTGGTTTGCCATGAATTTTACTCAATTCGTGGCCTTTCAAGCTCGAGATGCCATATTAAGGGTGTGGCTTCAGGTTTTATCTAATGACAACATCAGATTCCATACTTCGCGGATAGTTTCTATGTTGGTACTGCTGTATATGTAATACCAACATTGTCTACTGTATTTTGTTCATATCAACATTCATCAATATCGCTTCTAGCGGAGCTCCATGTTCTTACATACTTTATAGAAGACATTAAATGGCAATTAGAATGGAACTTCAATGTACTAATAAAAGACTGGACATTAAATTCCGAAACCAAAGCTTGGGTATATAATCGACCAATATGCTTGGTATCGAATAAAATTGATACCATTGATCAGAATTCATCAGAATGCTAACATTTAAGTATACTAATGCTTTGAATATCGTGATAATCTTATGAAGTAGGGTGGTAATTTTCCATGACTAAATCCTCCTTTGAAACACTCTCTGCCAAAAACCAACCCTTGCCCTGCAAGAGGGTAATCAATTGATCGCGTCCAGTTGAAGCAGAGTCGTAATCGGATGTCTTGAAAGACGCTTCAACGATATACTCAATTCCAGTGCCACTAGAGTTCTCGATCGGCCAGACCTCTATGTCGAGCTCAACACCGTTCCATGTTCCGGTAGAGCGCTTAGTAAGAACCGGACCATAAATGACTGCGTTCTTCAGCATATCTGTACCCCAGTCGTCGGATACCCAGTCATTGAACATATCTGGTGCGTTGGATTCAAGCATGCTTCGTGAGTCTTTCTCGCTTGGATCATCCGTTCCACTATAGCCTTTGGATGAAGCTGTATAATCCCTTTGAATAGATAGTGTTTGTGAAGCATAGAGCCAATCGATTTGTGCGTCGTAGTTGCCTTGGCCTGAATTCCAGCCATAACTGAAAGCTGTGTTCAAAGCACCTGTGATATCCCCGTTGTTAACGGGAAGACGCCACTTGTAGGTAAGGTCAAAGCCGCTCTCATTCTCGATGTTGCGGACACGGCAGCTCCATCCATTAACATGAAGATCTTCCGCAGTTGTGTCAAGATATTGTACATTGATCTTTGTAACTGTTGTTGGCATGGCAAAGGTAGATAGCACCGTGGGAGTGAGTTTGAAGTCTGAACCGAGAACCACAGTGGGATCCATCAGAAGGTGCACTTCGTAGTCAGGGACCATCGGACCGTTGGCTGCCAGTACTGCAGGTAACATTAGAGCCGCAGATGCGGCTTTCATCAGTGCTTGCTTCATATTTGATTAACGGTGGATGTTGTTGTAATGAATTATTCAATTTGATATTGTATCAAATACTTCAATCGGACTGGAAAAGAAACTCCTGCTACACACACTCTCTCTATTCGCGAGGCAATACATATAACTTTATATACCTAATACGCACAACTCTTAGAACTGTATTGAACTCGGTTAACACACTGCCTTTTTGAAGCTGCGGGGCTGGGATGGTGTATATTTTCCCATTCAGGCAGGTTGTGGTAAAGATGTCGTCAATAGCATCTGCTTTCGTCACCGAGTTTGGATGTTCCAGGGCGCCCACGTGTTTCCTATCGCCTGTTCTATTGCAGCGGAAACAAACGGCGCTAAATCATCTGTAGGGCTTAGTTTTTTTCTTTGAAAAAAAAAAAAAACTTAGCGTCTTGCAATCGAGATCGTTATCCGCGGCAACAGCGTCATGCGAGTTGTGTGTTCAAGATATATAGGATGAGAGTTATGAAAACTACTACGAATCTTCATGATTTTATGCCTTTTGAATTTGATAATTATCATATCAATCCTTAAACACATGGAAGAAATTTTGAGATATCGGTGCTGAGAGGTAGATATTACATCCCCAGCCTCTGTGTCAACATCTTATAGCGGCAAAGACGGAGCACTTAGCTTGCGATTAGCTCAAGGGCTGTGACTTATTATGGTCACCGAATCATGCAAGAAGAGCTGCCTGGAAACGCACGCGGTAATTATAAATACATTTTTAGTAGTGAAAACAATGCCGTAATTGCCGGATTGCCGCCGTTACGTACCAATTTTCAGAGGCATTTCAATATTTTAAGTGGGGGATGTGATATTTTGGACTATTATTAACAATTACAACTCATAAACTACCCATGTGCGTAGTCGTGCGCGCTACGAGAAGAGGACTTGAGGCTCTTATATGTACTCAATCGTTAGGGATGATTCTCCATTCTCCATTACTCCTCATATGGCCATAAAAATTTGTTGCTACACGGCCCCACAGACTGGAGTGGGATTCTGTTGCCGAAAGGTCTGTTGATGCTCATCACATCACTCGCATAACGCGGCTATTTTCTATGATTGACCTATATCAAAACTATTTCTTTGGTCGATGTTAGCCCCAGATAGCTAATATCTGCTTCAAGTCCCAACATAAGGTACTACATTCTTACTTAAATGAGATCTTCTTCGGATGAAGTATAAGTCCTGCTAGTTAACACCATTACTATCACAGCGGCGGGGGGGGCAAAAGTGCAAATAAGAAGCATCTGCCGGATGTGCAAAGTACTCTCAGAGGAACTGACATTGGAAGTTGTACGTAATTTACTACTGGGAACTATCGATTACTACCTGATTTGTAGCTACCACAGAACGTTTTTTCACTAAGCTTTTGGATAGGAATATTCACGATATTGTTGGAGTTTTGCTTCGACGGACAATGAAGAAAGTCACACCTCTCTCCTGGTTTGTAGATAGACACAAAATAGTGCTTTAGACACCATTGAATCTTGACGCTGATATATTCTACCAGTGTTTCACTGCATTTACGATTCATATAAAGGGTTAGTAAACAGTCTGCAAAATGGTGGTCACGCATACACACCTACTCTACCAAATTCTGGAACCCTGCCAATAGCGAAACAACTTTATTGGGTAATTATGTTCAACAATATGGGCTATGGACATCTCGCATCTCAAAGGGCGACTCCATAGAATTTCGCAACGCCAATTCGATACAGGACATTCCATATAATTTGGATGCATGCGAGGCCGAGCATGTATTGCGTCAGGCTTTTATGAAGCCGCTCAGAAATGAAATGATTATACAGCGGTATCATAGTATGGTTCAATCAAGGTATGGTTCAACTGGGCGAGAGCAAGTGATGTTACAACGTCCGTGAGATTTCTGGTAAGTATACTTTTCATCATTGGTGCGCTTATTGTATACCTTACAGACTGGAACAATGCAGGTACACATTCTTAGTTCCAAAAGTGATTTATGTTTAACACAAATCTTGTGTAATATTACATACATCGAGAATCACTTTACCGCTTGACGCTGGAGGAATTCAATATATTTTTGTAAACAATCGTACCGGCACATCTTTTTGAAGTTATTTCTTGGAAACATGTACATATATCATTCTTTAGGGATGGAAATAACAAGACGAGTAGGGAAAGCGGCTCTCCGGTAGCAGTCATGATATTTCGATGACCTCAAAATTACAAAGCTAACATCTTTGGAACCTCCTCAATCAACTACCGCCGGCTGTATAGCTCCAAATAGCCTGGCGGCAGTCGGCTAAAATCCACAGAAATCATGCATTTCTTATAGAACAAAGTATCTATTATTCAAGGACTGAACTCTGTTGCTTTTCAACACGGGCAATTTAGCCTCTGGCATGCACATATGAAGCCACGGCTGATGTAATATCTGCGCAGAATACTACCTCGTAACCTCGCAGTGTAACGCTAAATGGTGTATGAGGCAGAAAGGCGATTGGGGCGCTTTTCTGTTAGTATGGAGTGGCGTTACTTTAAACTAATCGATGAAATGCGAATTGGCCTGAGCTGAACCAGCCTCGTCACGACATGATTTTCAGATTATCAAGCTTTCTTGGAAATACACAGCATATGTGGCCGTAAATTTATAAAAAGTCAGTAATGCCTATTAGAATCCATCATTGTCAACTTCACTTTCATTAATACATCTTCGCCCTCAAGACGCCTTTACAATGAGAATCATGAAGGCTTGGGCCCTGTTACTTGCTTCGGCGGCTGCTGTCATTGCACGAGCAACTGCGTGCGTGCTTCCATCTACCTACCGCTGGAATTCCACTGGTGCCTTGGCCAGTCCAAAATCAGGATGGGTCTCGCTTAAAGACTTCTCTCATGTCGTATACAATGGACAGCATCTCGTCTATGGATCAACTCACGACACTGGATCAGCGTGGGGGTCAATGAACTTCGGCCTCTTTAGTGACTGGTCCAATATGGCGACGGCAAGCCAGACTAAAATGACTCCTGGTACTGTTGCGCCCACTATCTTCTATTTTGCCCCTAAGAATATTTGGGTACTGGCATATCAATGGGGACCAACTACCTTTTCCTACTTGACGTCAACCAATCCCTCAAGCGTGAGTGGATGGTCATCGCCGCAGCCGCTTTTCTCCGGGACCATATCCGGGTCTAGCGCTTTGGACCAGACAGTGATCGGTGACAGCACAAACATGTATCTTTTTTTCGCAGGGGACAACGGGAAAATCTACAGGGCTAGTATGCCAATTGGGAATTTCCCAGGAAATTTCGGTTCATCATCGACAGTAGTTTTAAGCGATTCGACGAATAATTTATTTGAGGCCGTTCAAGTCTACACTGTTCAGGGCCAAAATCAATATTTGATGATAGTCGAAGCAATAGGAGCAAATGGGCGCTATTTCCGGTCATTCACGGCCACCAATTTAGGTGGCTCATGGACTCCACAAGCTACAAGTGAAAGTCGGCCTTTCGCCGGCAAGGCGAACAGCGGCGCTTCTTGGACCAACGACATCAGCCATGGTGATCTAATTCGTAACAATCCTGATCAAACGATGACAATTGATCCATGCAATTTGCAATTCCTGTACCAGGGACGAGCAACCAATTCTGGTGGCGACTACGGCCTCTTGCCTTACCGACCCGGGCTGCTAACTCTCCAACATTAGCATAAGATGCAGATTGTCAACAGCCGCTGAAAGGTGCCTGGCTATGGACCTGGGGTGTTTAAGGGATTGGACTCTCGATAAATAGCAACGATTAGCTGTGATATCAAATTGATATTTAGCTGCATATTGGAACAGTAGATTATGCTATAACAAATCTAGGTATCTCAGTTTGGTCAAAACTACATGTTGGTATCCGGTTTTGGTCTCTCGACGGCAACTTAAGACAATAGATAGCGCACAAATCAAAGACTCTAAACTAAAATGTATTGGTATAGAGAATAGAATGACTTATCACAATATCGCATGCACGTATATGCAATTTCCTCGACAAATAATACTAATACAAACATGCAGTATTGCTTATTACCGTAATTTTCACTTTGAAACTCTTGGAAAGCCTATCGATAGACATGCATAGCTAGTATGTCTCTCAAGCAGGCTTTAGATTCTGACATGCATAATAGCCTACCCGACATGATTATAGATGTCATATTCACAGGGGGATATTTGTAGTTATCGGCATTGTTCTGGCATTCATGCTTCCGACTGCACATCAGCATATCTCCAAAAAGATTCGGTCCGAATCCAAAGGTCCGGCCCATAGCCTATCTATATCTTATACTCCTTTTATAGATTATTCGCGAAATATTTTCAAGCCTTTGAACTTTCCCAATTCCCGAGTCAATCTAAGATAACATGTTCTTGCGGGCGTGTCTCGAATATTAAGCAACAATATAATAAGGCATCTACAAACGAAAACTCTTTCACATAATCAACAATGACTACCAAAATTAAAATGCTCTTGGACGATTGCGTTGAGAAACGACACTCAACTCGAAGCTTTCTCAAAAAGCCCATTCCGCGGTCAGTTCTTGAACGAGCTTTGACATTGGCAAAGAACGCACCATCAAGTTCCAATATACAACCATGGCGCTTAATTATCGTGGAAGGCGCTGCACGTGACCGTCTTGCTGCTTCTCTTTGTACTGCTGCAACACAAGGGGGTCCCTTTGTTCCACCGATTCCAGCGGCCTTCCAGCACTACCGATCAAATTACGGGAAGGGGTTATATGGTGATGTTCTGGGAATTTCCAGAAATGACCATGTACGCTTGCAGGCGGCTCAATTGCGTAATTACAATTTTTTCGATGCCCCGACAGAAATAATTGTGGCTATGCACAAGGACCTGGCTATAGCAGATGCCTTGAGTGTAGGAATGTATTTGCAAACACTTCTACTCGGTTTAGCCCAAGAGGGGATTGCATCATGCTGCCAGGTAGCTGTCGCCGGCTATCCTGAAATTTTGAGAAGAGAGTTGGACGTACCAGATCATTTGGAGATCATTTGTGGAGTTGCAGTTGGGTACGAGGACGCGGACTCGGAAATCAACTCATACAGGGCACAGAAAGAGGAATTTACTGCAGTTACAAGATTTATCAGCATCTAGAGAGTTAACAGTGGCCATGGGGTATATACTGGTAACTACCTAGTATATCATGTATTTCCGGGAGGAAACGCAGGAAGAGGCCTCTTGTTACATAGATGACCTAGAATTCAGAACAGTACGCGAATAAGATACTAAATCTATATAGAGACGCGATTACATTGTAGCGACACATAAGCTCTATTCTTAACGCTAACCTTTTCTTGGCATTCCAAACCGTATTATTAATCTCGCTTAACGATACAATAGAAATGGTATCTAACATAGTTACATGGGACTCATCAACGCTCTTAATGGATATAGCATTGATAACCTAACATCTATGGCTATCTACCACTAGCGGCGAGAATCTGCAAGCCATTGGTCGAGGACGGCGTTGAACGTATCAGGGTCCTGAAGAGGGCCAAAGTGTCCAACACGTGGCATTACAACGAGGCTAGATCCCCAAATCATATCTCTTATTTCACCCGCAACTCGCCGCTGGACCACTTCCTCTGAATCACCATCCGCAATCCATATAATAGGCGCGTGACCGGAATCTTGAAAGAGTGTCTTAATTTGGGCGAAAGATTCATCATTCCAGTCCGGAAGTGTGCCTTGCATCGTGGTCATTTTACCCATGAATTCGTCAAACTTGTCTGGATGTGGAGACAAAGCCTCGTATTCGCTCCTCATCCTGCTCTGCAAATCAGCCAAGAAAGGCATTCCCAGGATGCCCGTAACATTAGCTTGGTCAGGCTGATAATTGGCACCAAAGATAAATGCGCGATCAACTTTTTCGCCATAGCGCATCGCTAGGGAGAGAGCAGTATTGGCGCCATCGGACCAGCCAACAATCGCAGCCTTGGACACCTTGAGATATTCAAGAAGAGCCACTGTATCGTTTGCGAATAAGTCGTATGAGAGCGGTACCTCCGGGTCATCGTTTGAGCGGCCATGAGCTCTTGTATCGATTGCAATAACAGGGTGACCCCCTCCAGCAATATGTTTGATCTGGAGGCCCCACCAGTTGGAATTGATCTTGCCGCCATGCTGAAAAACTACCGGGGTTCGCCCGCATGCCAGTGGTGGTCCAAATAAGGCATACCAAAGATCGACATTATTGATCCGAGTCGTCCCCGAAAATGTCGGATTCGGGAGATCTGGCGTTGGGGGTAACATGTCGTAGAGTGGAATATAGTTACCTAATGATTGCGACGAAGCAAAAGAGGACACAGTTGTAAGCAGAAAAGAAAGCATGGCTATGCTACGAAAGATGTGGGCCTGAACCGCCATGCTGACAATTAGTAATGACAAAATGACGATGAAGAGAGTCATTCACTCATCATAGTTGAGGTCTTTTTCTTTTTATATTTATGGATGTATAGGCATTGTGAATTTGGTCCTCAACCCTTGGAAAATGGATAACCGATTGCCATCTTGCAGTAATGGTTGTATCCAAGAGCCCCTGAACTGCGCGGAGACAAGTAAATCAGGTAGGCTATGCATAGTCAAGATAGGATTAGAGTATAGCCTATTACCGAGCAAGTAGCCTTTAGCATGTCTCAATTGCAGGAACTACCGATCAATTAACTTCTCTATCTTCAAGGCCCAATGATAGCCTGTGTCAGAGGTATTGCAACAGAGATCATGCGCTAATCAAAGAGTGACGATACTCATCGCGCAATAATGAGGTGTTCAAGGTGATTAGAAGACATAAATAGTTGAATCAATTAGGGACAATTGGTTTGTGTAGTTGAATTATTGCTATTCTTTATTGTCAGCAAGATCATGAAAGGTGTTTCTGTCAATGCGCTTGAGTATTAACTCCAATAATAACTCCACCTGTGGTATTGAAGGAATTGATGGAACTGATGGAGGAACTATCGCCGGTCTCAGAAACACTCTCGCTGGTAGCTCGACGGTCTATAAGGCAATGAACAGCATATCGCCCATATCTCATACGTCACTGGCCGCCTTTACAACTGCGAAAATGTCGACGACCGTGTTTTCAGCAAGGACCAATACTCGATGTACCACAGCTGCGAAATTTTGGGAGTGCCCCCACTGACAATAGGAATGGCGTTGATAACGGCGCGCTGGCTGTCAATTATCTTGTATGATTTAACTGTAACATTAATCATATGGGATTATTCAGAAGCTTTACCAAGCTACTAAAAGTCTTTCATTAGCAGGAATACGGAAGAAGGTGGATTACAAGCCGTTTCTTAAAACTTGCTAATGATGACCATATTAAATGCAGCTCTTTTGGGATTTTGAGTCTATCGATTTCTGGAATAATGACCATAGTCGATGGTAGTACTTAATTTATGCGGCGTCTCTAATTTTTTCTTCAGTAATGAAATAATTAGTGAGAGGAGAGTAGAAGTGAAGGGCCTGGGCAATGAAATTAGCCCCTTCCTTCTAAGCTGAATCTCGCCAAATGAGACACCGTCAATAAGATTTCTAAGTTGCTACAGCTTGCGAATGGTTGCGCAAAATCATCAAGTTGGTAAAGAAGATACCATCGTCAGTTAGCCCGAACTTGCTATAGCTGACAATGCCATTCTTCATTCTTGGGCAAGGCTAAAGAACAGTGGGATGCCTCGTGACACACATCCCCCTGCACGTAGGTTAAGCCAGATTTTGATGCTCCGATTCGGCGTTCTCTGTTTCCATAATTCCGCGAGATGGGTTCTCCAGAATTAGTCTACATCTTTCGGGCTTTTATGCTTCCTTTGGTTTAAACTGCCTTAACGTGCGAAAATAAGCATCTCCACAAAAGAGGCGTTATTCTTGAAGTTTTGCTTAGTAACGTCATCAATGGCTCGACGCTAATTCAATCTGCAGGATTGAGCTTGGTGACGAATTTGACTCGAGCCTAATAATAATCGCTTGCCAGAGAGCAACTTCTTTTACCTCAATAGAGCAGCGTCGAATGGCGAACAGTTATTCCAAACTTAGCTGCCGCTGATCTTTCCAATCTGGCTCTTCATCCACAAGCATCAGAATTCTACACAGATGTGCCTCATGGTAAGGGTATTCCTAACCGCCTGGAACCTTCACAAAAAAAGATGACCTCAGACAAAACACTCAAGAGTGTCAATCTTCTAGGCATCTCGTAATTGGTATACTTGTACAGACGTATTTGCTGACTAGTGTAACTACCCAGAAATTACTAGGTAATAAGTTGAAGCTACAGCCAATTACATACGTGCCTCCAACAGAGTATTGTGCCTCTTGTAGGTAGCTCTATTAACAGGGAAGAAATTGGCCCGTACACACAAGGGGCCAACCTACCAAAACTCGCTTATTTCTACTTAATGCTAATATATGATTTTAAGCAACCGTCGCTGCCTTATTGCACAAACAGTTTAAAATTACTCAGCCTAGCTAGGAGGACTAGTCTTTGCATAATGAAACGCGCAGTCGGTCCTCTAGATAAGCGGAAGAGAGTTACCCGCTGCCAGGCCTGTGCCAAAAGGCAAATAAAGGTTCGCAATCTAATTCAAATAATTGATGACTTTCAAGGGTAATAACTCTACTACCAACAGTGCCAAGGCGGGTTTCCATGTGAATACTGCAAACGCACCAAGAAGTTATGCAGTCCACAGGTTACGTCTTCAGCTACTGCTCCAACAACAGTCAATGTCAAGTTTGTGAAATATACGCCACCACAGCAACCCATAGCAGCACCTGCAACGCTATCTCTACATATACAGACGCACAACAGTGATTTATACTTAGGCAGCTTTGCCGCATCACTACTTCGATGTCAGTTTACTAGAGATTTCACCCATATATCGCGAGATTTAGTACCGTTGATGCAGACGTCGCCTTCATTGCGAGACTTGGCCATCGCAATTGGGGCCCTTGACGCAAGTAGACGCGCTTCAATCAGGTCATCCACCAAAAGAGAGTCACCGCAATGGATTGCATACCGTTCATACAGTCGTTCATTACAATCACTCCAACAGCGACTGCAAACAAGTGACGCTGCGGTGTGCGAAGATGTGGCATGGAGCACATTTTTGCTGGGACTATTCGAGGTGAGATTATCGCATCACCTAAAAACGATCAATTTGGCTAAGATAAAATTAGTTGATGTCGGAATCATCTGGAGAAGGATGGGCAAAACATATGTTCTATGGAACCTCAAAAGTTTTGCAGATAGCAGGCCCAGATGCCCACGGCTCGACGCTGCAGCAGAGACTTTTGAACGCATTTCGAGTGCTTGAGGCGAATAGAACAGTTTTGTACGGAGACTCTACCTTTTTATCTGAGAGTAAGTGGAGGTTGCACAACAGCGCAAATCACAGACATGCAGAAGCTCCAGATTTCATGGCGAGCATCACCGAGCTGATGATCCAAACATCAGCGTTCAGCAAGCAGTAAGTAAGAAATATGAAACCTTATTTGGCATCATAATAACGCAATGTAGACTTTTTGAACAGATTGAAAGCATACCCGAAGAAGCAAGACTTTTCAATCCCACAATCGTGACACTAGCTCGCGAAGGGACCGAACTACATCACAGAATAAGCGACTGGTACGATGATGTCTCTCTACGGTCGGATGTTGTGGACCCCTTTACTCAACTTGCTCTTGCAAATCATCATGCGGTTCGGCTTTTCCACTGCAAAAACTTCACCTACTACACCTGTTGGCAAGCTGGGACGATTCCTCAATTGAACCAATTGGAGATTGATGCATATGTTGCGGCGATTGCATATTTGTGCGATCAGATCCTTAAAACTTCAAACATTCCAGGTGCTATTCTCTTATTTCCTTTGCGAATGGCGGGAGCACATTCTGAAACTGAGTGGCAAAGAGATAAAGTGCGAAATCTGCTCAATCGAGTATATAACAGCGGCTTTGTTGTGGCGGAAAGGATTCAGACTGATCTATCCGAATTCTGGCAGTATAAAGATGAAGAGGTTGGGGTTAAATTAATGCTCAACTAAGTTTACTATGTAGAGAGACCATACGATACGGACTTAGACATATGAGAGAAAGAAACATTATCTACAGTGATGCCGGTAACCCTTTCTTGACACTTTCTTTATCTGTGCCGGTTTGCACCCTTTAGATGACAGCATTTAGCTGATCTGGATATTGAAGAAATCAGTGACAACACGTGTACGCCTACCAGGAGAGAAGTAATCATATCCAACAATCTCGTTGCACGTATTGACGTAGATCGTGACCGGGATAGCTCCTTGGTACATAATGTTCCACTATTGCATGAGTTAGCCGACTATACTATTGAGATGTATAATAGAGAAATACTTACAGACGCTACACTACCCTCTGTAAACTGCCTTGTCACAAGTCCTCCAAAGACAGCATCGTTCTTGACGAGGAAATCTTGCTCAAAGATAGGATAATTGGAATTGACATAACCTTGCCACACGTATGGCTTCGTTCCGTTGTAGATAGTCATCACATTATCCACCAGACCATCTTTTGTCACATTGGCATAGTTGAAAACTGATGAAGCTGGAGCATCGTCATATGCCTCATTGACACGAACGATGCCCTTGGCAGGGGAGTTGTCAATGTATCCAGTCATGATGTGAGACAGCGTCTCGTCCCTACATCTAGTGTAAGTGAATGTAATGCTAAATCGGGTTGCCTACTGACCACTTATGTTGGACAAAATTTGTTGTAAACTCAGGTTGCACCAAAGGTGGCTTTGGCTGCTTGAAGCCCGATGAGTATTCGATCATTGTTGAGGGAAATGGAGTGCATTTTGGAACTTTGGCCGCAATGACAGGCACCGTAACAGCGGCAGCTAGGAAGATCTGAATGAAGAGCATTGTTGACTTTAATGGATGAAGGAAATAGAATGTTTCTTAAAGCGAGTGTTGAGGCGCTGTTGAGCTGTTGAAAGTTTGGCGTTGAGATGAACATGAAGCAGAGCTAGACACGTTCATATATACTCATTTTGTTAAAACAGACACGTAATCCCATGCGACATGAATGAGGCTGCGCCATCAAATGATCGTCTCCTATCTCCAGCGCGTCTAAATCCTGCCTATTTCAGACTCTTTGTGGAATCTAATTCACTTCGAAGCGTCGAAGCCTCTGCCGCGATGTGGGCCAATGGGTTGGAAAAGCGTTCAATTGCTTCCCAATTAGGCAATGCCGATTTGCTCAGTGGGGTGTGGCCAACTCTGAAACGGGGTAGGAATACGCATACTTTGGGGTCGGTTTGAAAAGGGGAAATATGTATTTATGCGTACCAGTGATGCTTTACTAAAATATTTGTACTAAAATATTTGTTCAAGCAGTTGATGGTAATGAAATTGTAAAGAGAGAAAAAAAAATTTCTCTTGAGGGTAAATGCTTGTTTTAACATGTATTTAGACATCATCGGTGGACGAGGACATGCTGAGATCTAATCTATTAGTACGTCCAATAAGTCGATCTAGCTTTTTGCCCGATGCCAGACTCCACCTTCCAAGTTTCTTTATACACTTTTCCGTTCAGCGTATGTTTTCTCAATTTAAGGGCTACAAATGCTGCCTCCTTGAAAGGATTGTTAGTCAGGCGAATTCGGTCGTGATCGTCAAAGTTCGTTCTCTTTAGCTGGTTACTCCTCAGGCCCGCTGAGTGGCGAAGAAAGCGCTACAGCTCTTTCGGCTACCACGGCCGTGTTGAGTCAGATAGCTCGGCGAAATCCGAGCGTGTAGTCTTGGCACATACTCCGTACATTATGGCGGTAATTGATGACATACTCTTCGTACTTGATCAGAAATAAATCCTAAGACTTGCCAATTTGCCGAAGACAGTATATTATAAGACATGAAACCCGATGGTGCCTGGTACTCAATTTACTCAATCATGAATATAATTTGTGTATACACTCATATCCAACTAGATGTGTTATTGGGAATGATCATATGTTCATCACGCGACGCAACCGCTACGAATTCACTGGATTCCTTTCGATGTTGTTGTGGCGCATACGTTTAAATGTGACAGAAGAATGCACATAGGAGCTTACATAGCCACGGCATTGCAGCGAGCCGCCCCAAGGATAATTTCGGAATGTCCATTCAAAGGGCTGTGTTGCTTCCGAGCGGACATGTTCAGTATCCCCTCCTCTGGGACTGGGCATCCTCTGCATTTTGGTTGAGAATTGTCTTTCCCCTTGTTCACAGTTCATGGGAAAATGCACCCTAGATGATATCCGTTCATCATTGATGAAAAATGGGCCGCTCTCTTTCAACAAATGAAAAAGTTACGCATGAATTTACAGTCCTGTCTCTGCCGTCTCCAGCCACAAGCCTGATTAGAGTGTGCTTTGCTGCCCAGATAGGCATGTTAGGCCAAATAAAGCTATAAGAGCTTCGGCGCATAAAATAAGCTGCCCTAAACCATAACAAGGGATACGATTCGAACAGGATGAATTAGCAGCATCAGAAGCAGGGACGGGCAGACGAGATTAATGAGGGAGAAACCACACCATTGGGTGACTTTATCCACTTTCTTGCACAATGCCAATGCATGCTAGGTTAAAATCCACTTAAAATGGGATGATAGGGTGCTAAATTACTTGACATTAAGACCCGATACACTTGGTAGCCAATCCAGCAGCTTCACCCTCTCACGTCGGATTATAGCTGTTGTGAATTATCTCACTATTCGGAATAGAGGGGCATTCTGTAGTGGCGCGTAGTAGCACTTGAGCGATAATTTCTTTGTCCCGCTCTCTGCAGGCCTTCAGCAAGAGCGCGTTGGGACTAGGTTCGGGATCCAAGAAATTGAGACACTGAGTAGAAGATTGATGATGACAGCAAAGTAGACAAACTAATGTATAAATGAAGTATAAATAAGTTACATGTTCCCCGAAAGCTGTTTCTTTTGATATTTCATCATCATTACATCTTTAAGCCAGCAGGTTCACTTAATCTTGCACACAAGTATCCTCAAACTTTCAAATAAATCCAACCTCAACACACTCTCAATGTGTTTTTTTCTACCGCCATTGCCTCTGGCCTCTTTGCCGCTAACTCGGCTCTTGGACTTGCGATTCTTCCCTGTGAGATTGCCGAGGTTGATTCTATTGCCAATGCCACCACCAAGGAAATCTACGTTTTCGGGCCAATTTCTAGTGATGCCCTCAAGATTGATGAAGGCTACTATGGATTCATGCTCAGATTGGCATCCCACCTCATGTTCGTCCAGAAACTGTGAAGCGCCAAAACTACGCTAGTATTAGTATTGGCATGTTCACACAAGACTGGTGTATATAGGCTTTTCTCCATCTGTAAATGGACAATTCAAGATTTTCTGCTACATTATCTATAACTGATAGGCACTGGTCAGGCCGGCTGATAGTATGGCGTTACATACGACCTTCAGCGCTACGTCACGTTAAACATTTTCAGTGTTGGCATCACCTACCATGGTTTTCGCGAGAACGAGTAGCTTAACTTCAGCCACATGGCTGGTAACAACTTGTGCCGCAGATACTTATATTCTGCGGTTAAAAGCAAAAACACTCCCATTATACCATTTATATTTTCTTTACTCAGCACTAAATAATAAGTGTATTAACTTCTTTCAGTCGGCTGCTTCAACTCCCAAGCTATTAACTATTATCGTCTCACCCTTCACTAAACACATACACTGCAACCCCATGCATTGCGTAAGGAAATATTCTTAACCACCATAATTCTTAAATCGGCGTCTTGCATTATTTGTTCTATTCACTCCTATCTGGGTAACACATAGTCCATAGCGGGATAAGAGACAGGTCTCCATTCGGTAGTTATATTGTAGGAAAAACGACTGTAGACAAATACTATCTCACTGCTTACATTCTACATTCTAGTACAACCATCTTTGTTTGTATCAATCGGTTTCTCAAAATAAAGCTAAACCCGTATTTGCATCATAATTGCATATTAGACTAGGGCAGATTCTCCCCATCTTTTAAAAGCACTTATGGCAAACCTTGTCGCACATCTGAATGCTCATTTAGTCCCCACGCGGTACTACTAGAGTCATGGACAGTTGCGCGCCGCATGTCTCTCTTATACTTGGTACTAAATGGTCCGGTTACTACACGGTGCATTGTGCAAGTATTATCCCAAATAACCAAGTCTCCAGGCTGCTTCCATTCAACCTCGATGACGTATTTCGGTTGTGTTGCATGACTGAAAACTTTGTCAAAGAGAGTCTTTGATGCTTCTTCGCTGACGTTTTCAATGTGGTGTATGTGCGCTGCGATGTAGAGATTCATTCGGCCGGATCTCTCGTGTCGTTGAACCATCTTGTGCCGGCCCATTGGATGTTGAGTAGGATCAACATTTGCAAAATAATCAGGAGCAGCAAGTTTCTTGGAGTGTAGAATAGAATGCGCCGCAACATAATCGTTTGCCAAGAGGTCTTGTTTTATGTCGTTATCCAGTTCGTCGAATGCAGTCCTTGTATCTGCAAATGCTGTTTTACCGCCTGTGCCCGCAGGCGGTAGTTCGTGAGCAAGCAAGAGAGAATATCCAGCCCGGCGAGGATTGAAGCTAGAGTCGACGTGAAATAGGCCATTCCCCTGTGCTCTAAAGGTTGATACGACGATTTGTATAGACCATATCGAATTCATACATACCTTATTTGCCTGCCCGCGAGGACTGCTCGGGTCAACGATAGTACCGTCTAGTTCGATGTTGCTAACATCAAAGAGTTCGTCATATTTGAGTCGATTCTTCCGTCCAGCAGCGACATATGGTTTGACGTCATCTAGCTCTCCAAACATACGAGCCAGCTTGATGTGAGTTTCGTCCGTTAATTGGGATTCGCGTATAATTACAACCCCATACTAATTTCAAGTTAGCGGAAACTATGTCTCATGATTGTGCAAGTCGATCAAGTACCGTAGTAATGATTTCATGTAGACGGCGAAAATTCTCCTCCGTCATATCGTCCGCAGCATTGAAACCACATATTTCAGCACCAAAGCCAGGGCTAATTTCAGTGAGTTTGAAACCGCTGATTGCAGCAACCATTTTTATCAGGTAGAATGGATGGAAATAAGTATTACTTAAAATGTAGCAAATACAGAAACGCAGTTCGTAAGTGATGTCTGGTCGGGATTGCAAATGGCACCAGATCGTAGGAGATGCACCGCGGCTGCTTGCTTTACATATATGTGTATAACCATGAGCCAACGTCAATATATATATATATGATTGGTATGCCCTCTCGAGAAGGGGGTGCACCATTTCATGATTATGTTGCTAGGTGGACGGAGAGAATCCGTCTATAGCCGATGTAGCCCATGCCGATTCGTTGCCACCGCCATGCTTCACCAATAAAAAATGTAGAGCATGCGTTTTAAATGTCATCTCATACGCATAACAGACTCGCAAAGAAAATCCCCATATATAAAATTTTATCACGAGATCGGGATTCAGTACTAACTACGGCAGCCTGCAAGATGACAATGCCAAATGCCTCTGCCGCCACAGCTACACAAGATGGGGAGGAGGTACGGAATATTATAGAGCCTCTGACAGTTGACACCCCACCAAGTCAACCCACTACCCCGCATGGAGTGCTTCCTGCTCGGAGCCGTGGTTTTGTAGCTTGGGGGGCCGATTTCGGTATATCTGGCCCGTCTACAGCCGATGCAACTTTTACACATCATTTGCCGATGCCGACAATCGATTAACTCAGCCTTTATGCTGTCACGTTACTCCATACTGTGCTGCTTAAACACGTATATTCTGTTACCGATACCGAAGGTATCAAAGAATGACGATTAGCACAGGAAAGCGATCTTACCGCGCATGCGTCAGATGCCGCCGCCGGAAGACAAAATGCGATCTGTAAGCAGCCCAAATTAGCACGACATTGAGAGAATGTCTCTAACTCCAGGTCGTCTTAGTGGTGGCATCGGAGAGCCAAGAAAGATCCCTTGCGTGTCTTGTTTTGAATCGGATAGTGAGTGCGTGCTGGCTGAGTCCCGCCGAGGTGGGAATTTTCGGAGATATGAGCCGAGCAAGAAACCCACAAAGAGTCGCAAGGCTTCACAGCCCACCTCAGACGCGCCGACGAGAACGACCAGGTCAATTGAGAAGGAGTTGGATCGTAACTTCGATGTGTTAAATGAAGAAATTATTGACGAGCAACTCGCCTCCGAGCTTAGGAATCCTTCAGATGCCCTACATATACTCGCCCAATCGGAGAAGTCTAAAGAGATGATATCATCTGTATTGCCAAGCGAGGAGGGGCGCGATGTTCTTTTACGTGGACCATCGAATGCTGTATTTGTTGACGAGTATGAGCTAGTTCAGAGGGGACTAGTTCATCATAGCAACATATCCGAGTTGCTGCACCTGTCAGTCGGCATTAACTAGAGATAAGTCAGTTTCGCGACTAATCGAGGGCAGGTATTCCCATAACTATCATTCTTATTGTCCAATTGTGCCAGCGTATATGCTTGGGCAATCTGGCATTGACAAAATTCTCAAATCGGATTTCTTTCTTCTTACAGTTATTTTAACGATTGCTTCTAGAGACTCCACAAACCATTCCCTCATCCATCGATATTGTTGGGATTACACCCAGAAGCTGCTGCTTGAGGTGCTTCTAGGGCATCCTTGGATACTGAGATCCCGAACAGTTGAGAGTCTGTTGTTGTTATCGGAATGGCTTCCCCACATTGAATTAACGCAATCGGCCTCGAACGAAAACAAAAGCATGTTTATTGAAGATAGAACATCGTGGTCACTCGTCGGCCTAGCTGTCCGACAAGCCTACCTGATGCGCCTGGATCAAGGCGCCTTTCCCAATGTTGTTGCACAGGAGACAAAGGAACAGGCGGAACACAAACGGTTAATATGGACATGTGAGTGAAATAAATGAATTTAGTTGAACCCTTGTCTAACTTCAATCTTTTCCTTTTTTTTCTTTTTAAAAAAGTTGTTTATATAGCAGATCGACAAATATCTGTTCGCTTGGGCCAGTCCTTTTGGTCCCGCGGCCCATCTCTTTCAACACGCTTCACTGCAAAGGACTTTCCTAGCTTACAGCCTACCTCCAATGGTGGTCAAGAAGATTATGCCTCTGCTCACCAAGCAATCATGGAGCTGACACAGCTCATGCATAACGCTCAAGCCATCCTATACTCCTCGCCGAAGCGGACGTTGGCAATGGTCCATGATGGAGATTACAGTCGCTATCTTGACGATTTCCAACGCGCAGCAATGAATTGGCATGCTACTTGGAGCGATCTTACAGTATCTCTCAAAGTGAAGTGTTCTTTATCTCTGGCTTACGAATACCTGTGCCTTTATGTAAACGCATTTTCGTTCCAAGCTGTTCTCACCAGAATGTCGGCGCACAATACCTCAATTAAATCGTCTTCCAGGCCATTTGCTAAAGGCATCATGAATTCTCCTGACGGGCGATACGTTTGGGATGCTATTACAGCGGCCACAAATACCCTGAAATTGATGACTGATTTCAATCCCCGACAAGAGTTATGCTATTTACCATATCGCTACTACTTGTAAGCTATTCAGCCTTAACTCTTGAGGTTCATTTTAACTTACTAGGCCCGGAAGATATGGTGTTTATGCGGCAGTTTTTCTGCACAGGGCAGATCGCGCTGGAGCTTTTCAACCCTCACGACGCCGTCAAGAAACCGCGGCGTTGGTTCTCAACTTCATATCAGTATTAGACGGGGCCGCATCAGATAAATTCCACATCAGTCACAGATATAGTCAACTGCTTAGGAATCTATGGCAGATGGGAGAGCGAAACATTGACAAAGTTCGAGACGCGCGAGCTACTTCTACATCGACTATCCAGACCAGGACAACACAACGGTTGCGAAATTCAGATCCACTACATGCTACTCGCACTCCGCTTGATCATTCTCCTGAGTGCCACGGCATAGGAAATTTTGATGGCACCGATTTGTTAATTGACCAAGTTGCAACTTTGAGCCAAGACCTTTCCGATATACCACCAATGGAGGATTACCCGTTTGGACCCTTTATCAACATACCAGACTTCGAGCTGGGAGATTTCGGGAACCCTATAAGTGATATGCAGCTTCCATCGCTCAACTGGGGAGCAAGTCTTATTGGAATGGATACTATTGGGCAATGATTCTTTTGTTACCTTCCTCGTCTGAAGTCAAGCATGACGATATAACAGCTGATTCCGGTCGAAAAAGAGTGCAAGTTGGATGAAATCGGCAGAAGGTAGTTTCTGATACTATAATGCATGGAGAAGGAGTAGACATATAGCATATTATATGCTACCACATAGTTCTCTTTGGCATTGCTGAGAATTGAAGGCGAGCTTATTAAAACGAGAGCACGGAGTCGGCCTATACAATAATCACCATGCATAAACAACTCCACTATCTAGTACCTTTATGTTTCTTCAATGTAAACGAACTCTAGGCTTCAGTTGTGATCCCCTTTACCAAGCTTAATCTGTACAGTTTATTCATCATATGCTGGGATATCGACTACTTCACATGACACAAATTGATGGCTTCGTTGCAAACAAAAAATTCCAGAATGGAAAAAAGTCCAAATAGTAATATTTGATACCCTAAAGCTTATATATACAGGGTAGCAAAAGAATATTAACAAGAATAGGAAGAAATATATTGACTGCTAGAATCAGTGGGTGGAAGAGCAAGAACCGCCAGGGGTGGTAGTGGTGTTGTTTGAAGGGCTGGAAGCGTTATCAGAACCAGTGGCAGCATTGCCAGTGCTGGTGCTTCCGGTGCTCGTAGAGCTGCTGCTAGAGCCCGCCACAAAGATGTCGTTTTGCGCACCGGGAGCAAAGCCCATGTTGATGTTGTAGCCGGGAGAAGCGCCGTTGGGGACCTGAACGTTGTTGCCGGTAGCCTGGTTCCAAGCAATCATCTGCTTAGCACCAGGGAGGCACTTGGATGAATCGCCACCACACCAGGTAGGAGGTTGAGCCGGGGCAAGCTTCTTGGTGGAAGTGGTGTTGGTAACGTGGCATCGGAAGTTGGACATGTACATGTTGGGTTGACCACAGCCGGTGGGGACCCAGAGCCAAGCACAGTAGCAGCCACCTGCAGGGCAAGCAGGAAGATCCTTGGGAACATCATAGGTAGCAATACGCTTCCATGGAGTGCTATTATCGAATTTAGTTTCAAGGGTGTAATTTAAAGAGCCAGGATTCTAGACTTACTGCTCAAGGACAGAGAAGACAACCAGGTTGTCCATGGTCACCTTAGAGATGTCCGAGTTGTAGGAAATGGCCCAGGCAGTACCAGCAGCCATGGTCTGGTTGTTGGTGTGCATAGCACCATCGTCCTGAATGCAGTCAGGAGGGCTGCCAGGACCGTGCCAGTCCTCGGGGTGGTTCTGGCCATCAGGCCACTCGCCAGCGTACTGTCCGTTGTAGGACAAGGTGGTCTGAGCCTGGTTGTGGGCGAGCTCAACAGTGAACTTGCCACCAGCAGGCAGAGCAAGGGAGGCACCGTTAGGAGGAGGAGCCTTGTCGCAGCCACGGTCGGCTTGCATCCACCACTTCTCGAATGGAAGGTCCCAAAGAGGGTTCACAGGAGTGTTTGAGTTGGCGTTGTAGTTGTTAGGATCAGGACCGCCCTAGATAAACTCAGTCAGACTTTCTCTGGTGATGGAAAGGAGAGGGACAAAGGGACTGCACAAACCTCGCAGTACATGCCCTTAACAAAGGCGGAAGTGTGGGCAGAAGCCCCAGAGGCGAGAGCCAGCGCAACGGGAATTGACCAAAACATGTTTGACAGTCTTAAGAATTGAAATTGGTTGAATGAATAAATGAATATTTGAACGAATGGGACAAAAAGAATGGAAGGAACGAACAGTGGAAGTCTTGCTTCGAACTGATTTGATGATAGAAAAGTTGATGGATAGACGAGATAGTGAGTTCCTTATATAGTTGCACTCTGTACTATCCTATGCTCCTGAGAGACCTATCTTGCCTAATAGATCCCAACTCAGAGGCTAGCCAGGAACTGATCTCAGCAAATGGGGCATCTGCCATGGGCCAAAACTTGACATGGGCAGTCCAAAAAGACTAAAGATCTGCCAATCTATCACCCCATGAGGCTGTTCCAAATACGGACCACTTGGGTCGCTGCCCCTTTCAAGGTCATCTCTAAGTTTTTCTCTTCCTTCTTTTAGACTCGCATGTAACCTGCCCAGCGAAACGGTACCGAAATTGTAGGGCCCTGTACGGCCGTCGGCGTGGAGTATAGCACCAATAAAGGCGCAGCTCCTGACGAGTAATTAGCCGCCGGGATGTTTCTTTGAGCGTCATGGATTTCAGAATGCCGCCAGGCCGCAGTAGCTCCTTACTCTGATGCCTAGGAGCCAGAATGCGGACACTTGCAGACACTTACTATCGATGTGACACCAAGTGTTTCGAAACGAAACGAGCTGGAGAGAGTGATACCCACAGATAAACTCCACCGCCATACAGAAGCTTCGCTTCATTTACCCTGTCTAGCAAAACATGGAATAAAATAAGCATCGAACTAGCATAGCTTTACCGCCTGGTCCGTACCTGATCGTTCGTGCAGCGGCCAGCGACATCCATGGCGACGGACCAGGCATTTTCGGCCTTCCAGCTGCTACGTCTTTTTTCAAATGCCGAACGGGCGTGCCCAGAAATCTCACCAACGCAACGGGCAGGTCGATGATCCGTAAGATCAGCAAACCTCACGAGACTGCCTCGCTTGCATTACTTACACACCAACTACCTTGTAAAAGGAGAAATCCTTTCGCATCGCAGTATACAACCACTGGGTATGCAACCTCTCTACGCGCCTCTGGTCGGCCCGTTTCAGAAGACACAAACATGTCGCCCGGAATTAGCGCTTCCATCTTGGAGAGATTTGCAGTGATTGCTCGTTAGCGCTTAGGCACCTCTCTCCGTGAAACTGGCTAAAATTTGGCATCGAACCGTGATTCTTACGGATTACTTTTTTGATCGTGCCAAGCTGGACCCTTGCGCCTGTCATTACGAGTTTAGCTGCCAGGCCCGTTTTTTTGACATTGGCGCCGGAAGCAAAATCTCGAAACAGTAAAAAGTGTTGGTACAAAAAAGCCGCCAATACTTGTATATTTTCAGAGTTCCACCATGTAGTTACGGCGTATGTATATTAGCGATTGATACAGGAAAAGTCCAAGCATGCGTCTTCAAAGGAAAACAGGGCGAAGAATAGGGAACTGGTCAGAAGGGAAGACACTGCATGTCACCTGAGTTCTCTCCCTTCAATATGACCTACACCCAAGTTCTACCATAATAAACGAGCTTGAAAATGAAGGTTGCGATCCGTATTGAAACGATATTACTACGGACGTTTAGTAATCAGATAATAAAAGAAATAAAATAAAGGGATTCCGAACAATATGTACAAATGCTTCAAACAAGGATCCATATCCTAATTCACAGCCCAGTGATCCAAATGTCATGACCAACGAAATACTCATGGTGTAGTTTCAAGCGCCTTGCTACTTCACGTAATGGGATTTGGTAAATGGAGTTATAACGGTGTTGTGGCAAACAGGGGGGGATATTATCACAAATATATCACAGAGCGCCTTCAACATTACAAAATACCTCTCAACGTATCGATACAAATCCATCAAGAGGCTGATCAAGGTTATTTCTTCAGTTTCACCAATGTATATATTATCTACTTGGGGGTCACAATAATGGTCTGATTATTGTTCTCAGCTTTCAATCGGTATTGGCTCTTATTATACCACATTTTGAATTGCATAACAGCACCCTATTTTGAATTGCATAACAGCACCCTATTTAAGATTAGAGTGATATGGCGGCGGGAAATTGCTGAACATACGCAGAGTTATTCGCCATTGATCCAATGAGCCATCGACTTATTCGGAATTATAAGAAATGTATGTTTATGTTACTATTCGGAGTTCGACTGTTGTGAATTTTGTTGAAATCCTCACAGAGGCTAATGTATCCTCGGTATCTGTTCACTCGTCCAAATAGGAGGGAGTAACGACTGAACAATCGGCCCTAATTCAATGTCTGCATCCATCAGCTGTAATGTTGCCTTTCTGCTACCCCCCAAATTACCCATATTGTTCATAGTTGTAGGGTAGCAATGTGCGCACAGTATTTTGCCTATTCTATATTCTATATATTCTCCAATCAGGAGAACGAGTCAACCATCACATGAGCGAAACAGTAAAGAAGAGCTATCTGTAGTGGCCACGAGATATTCGCTTTGACGGTCAGATACTTCGTATAAAGTATTTTCATTCTCTGTTGCAACAATGGCAACGGCAATGCCGTATGAGGATCTAATAGAGAAGGTAGTACTACCTCGACGGCAAAATCTCCCGTCGGGTCCAATTACGTCATTGACTCTTTTTGTCCGAGGAGATCTACGTGTATATACTCCGTAGGTCAGCTATATGCATAGCATCTATAAGTGCTACAATATGATACATCGCACTGGCATATAGGGTAGCTGATGTTGTTCTATAAATTATCCGAGCGTGATTAACTTTGTATAGTCTTGAACTTGGTTTTCAATATCTTAATCTATCCTGCTACCGTAAGTAGATTGCTTCGGAAGGAATAGGGCACCTGACTCTCACAGTTTGAGTGGCAGCTAGTAATACAAGCCCACCCCTATTGTGTAATTTGTACTCCGTACTCCATACAGCTTGAGTGTCCCCCCGTGTTCATGACAAGGGCCACCATATGTTGTTGGTTCACTGGTAAGCTTGTTGCCTGAAGGGTTTTAATTGGTGGAGGGACAAAGCCGAAATACGAGATTGCTCGGCACTCCACGCCCAAACCCCTGTATCATGCTAGTAGATGTAGAAGCTAAACACAATCACAGCGCCCCACGCGTTTCATATGCTCCTGTACTGATTATGCCAAGGGACTCAAAGCCGCGCTTTGTGCTTTGTATCGTTCGAAAAATACATACAGGTATGAAATGCAGACTCTGGCACCAACCTACTACGACTGCTGCTAATTGCATATGTAACCATGAAACTGACGCTTATACTTCTTAGTGCTAGTATGTAATATAATGGCAACTGTTGAAGGACCCCGTGCCATCAACCGCTTATCCGGATTCCGGGAGAGCCGGTTCACACCGAGAGCCCGCCGTCAAGGGAATTCGTACGACAATCTGGCGCTAAAACATCTCGAACAAACCCTGACACATTCGCTGGCCTTGATCGCAAGATCCAAGTGCTCCTTCATAAACAAGCTGAGTGAGAGATTCCGCGAGATTCCAAAGCCGCGGGTGACGCTCGCTGTTGGTATTGCTAAATTATTAGCGACGAAATATTTTATCTTCCAATTGATGTAGAGTACTCCAGCAGAATCTGCACCCATTGGCATTCTCCTAGGCATAAGCTCACCCGCAATCGGCTTTTACTGGCCAGCTGAATGATTGAAAATGAAGATGCCTCCCCCAGTCCTACCCACAGCGCCCATGTCTCGGAGATATTTGACCACCTCTTCATGTCCGCCAGACATAGCACCCTGGATTGGAGTCTGTCCTCTGCGGTTGCAACTTGAATTAACGTCCGCGCCGATGTCAACAAGCTTTTTCACAATCTCAATGTATCCCTTCTCAGCGGCTGCGTGCAAAGCTGTTCCGTCGCCATTGAACCCTCCTCCTCCTGCCCCCACATCAGCACCGGACTCGAGCAGCAGCTCTACAATTTCAGGGTTGCCCTGCAAGCATGCTCCCTGAAGAGCCGTGATTCCTTTGTATCTAGCCGATGGGGCATTTACCTGCGCGCCATGTTCCAGCAGCAGCTGCACGATTGCTCCAAACCCCCCTCCAGATGCTGCCTGCAATGCGGTGCGACCGGCAATGGGTGACGGAGGAGCATTTACCTCTGCCCCAAGTTCCAGGAGCAGCTTCACGATGCTACGATGTCCGCGTTCTGACGCTCCTTGCAGTGCAGTTCTCCCATTGTACCGAGCGACGGCAAAGGTTTTAGGCGCAGAATGAGGTGTTTGGTAGGTTTGTGTCAACACACGAATGCCATGGTTCGTCGCTGGACTCATGTTGATCTCTGAACCCGCTGCCAGAAGCATTTGAACAATAGTTTCACTCCCCTGCCCACAGGCAATCTGAAGCCCAGTGCGCTGGAAGTTATTACCGCCACAGAAGTGGACATCGGCTCCAGCATCAAGTAAACATCTTACAATCTCTTCATGTCCCTGCATGCAGGCAGCTTGTAACGCCGTTTGGCCATAGTAACCACGTGGAGGGTCGTTCACAGCTGAGGAGTTTAAGGCGAGGATCTCCCGCACCATCTGTACGTCTCCACTTCTAGCAGCGAGCTGCAGAGGTGTCCAGCAGTATTCATCATTGTCTTCAGTGGGCAACGAAGGGTCCCAGGCAGCATCCAGTGGGGACAGGAATATTCGGTGCTGTGGTGTCGCGGCCAATGGAGCCTCGACATTCGTTTCTGTCATCATGATTTCGAGTACAGTTTGCAACCGTAGAAGGCTTTGCGTCGCGAGACTTTAGCCAAAACTGGGGAAAGGAAGGTTATAGATAACGGGTGGGCTCAATGGGTTAGTTGAGTTATCTGACAATCCCCTCTCTTTGTTAACACGTGCACTTGCGAATCCTTCGGCATGTATTAGGCAGCTTATCGTCAATGACATTGCGCGCCTTTGCTATGACGATTTCCCTCGCCTTTTGCCAAATGAAATAACGGATGCGCGCATCGAGATGATACCGAACAACGAAGAGCGATGGGGTCGCATCTCCTCGAGTCTTGTTTGTCACACAAAACGCCAAACATTCTGAGACAGACCAACGAATATGTGCATTAATTTGCTTAGCGGCATCCATCACTCATTAGAATCCTCATTCTAAATCTAAATATTATTATAGTTGTTCTGCTTTACGGGTCTGCCGTTAGTATAGCTTAGATTCGATCGAATGCAGCTCTTGGACAGAATCTAGGATACGATGCGGGCTATGTAATCTACGGGCAGGGTGCGGCGTAGCCTGTTGTTAAACCACGATATGTTAAATCTAAAATCATCAAAACGTTTACTTAGTAGGACTTCTATGAGATATGTGCTTCATGAGAGAGAAGTTTGGTGGGCACCGTGCCACAAAGTCATGCAGTACACCAAGAGGAGACGTCAAGACACAATTAACGAAAACACGACGGGAAAGAAAACCCGCTCTTTACCCCTGTATTTATCGAAAAACAAATCGTCAACTGAATCTTATGACTAAAAGTGTCAAAATCCCGGCTTTGGGAAATAGCGCCTGAGTGCCTGCTAAGTTTGAAGATACAACAAGATGTATGCATTCCCACCATGCCGCAAATTCTGCGTCTATTCTATCCATAAGGCTATTCCTTCACACCCTTGGCAATGAAAAAAGGCTTCAATTTAGATGCCTGGCAATTATCATGCTGAGGAATATTAGACGCATACGGAGTGGTGTCGGGGTATAATTTGTAGTCAAAGCTCTCAGGAATGAAACCACCTTTGGTCAAAAGAGCCTTCATGTCTTCGGGCTCAAATCCTCCATGCTTAGCAATTGTGTGCTGAGATGAAACTATTTCATGAGAATGGGCACTTGCATCACAACTACCGTGCCCATGAGGGCTATTGTGGGAATGATTGTGGGAGTGAGTCTCTGGTGCTAGGTCAACGACCACCAAGACACTACCGCCGCGGAGCCGATCGTAGAGGCCGGATATAACACCAGCACGATCCTCAATATGGTGGAGGGCCATACAGATGGTGATTAAATCGAAGTCGAAGAAATCTTCCGTGGCTAGCAATGTGTCCGTCGATGTTAAAGGGATGGAGCCCTGGACTGCAAACATCTTACTAGGTGGAAACCCCGACTGTTGAGCCATCTCGTTGTATGCTGCGACGCTAGCATCGGATATGTCAATACCTTTTATGACGTCGAATTGTCCCGAAAGCACGCTCGATACCATGCCGTAACCGCAAGCATAATCGAGAAGCTTCACAGGAGGGCCGCTTTCTGATCGACGGCGAATGCCCATCCACTCGACATTGTCAGAGAGGGCATCACCTATCTTCTTGTTGAAATTGAGCACCCATTGCGAGCCAAATATCTTGTTCCCATGAGTGCTGCCCAAATTTAGTTACTATGACTGCCTTTTCTGCAGAGCCGTGTAGCGCGGATACTCACTTCCAGAACTCACGATTGGTCGTTGCCAGGTCTTCTTTTCCTTGCTGGGGAGTTTCCATTTTAGAGAGCAATAGTCACTTTCGTATTGATTGAGCTGAAATATTGATGATTTTTTTTTTTTTTGTAACAAGGGGAGAATAAAAAAGGAGAAGAAGTATCGCGGTGAAAGTCTCCGGAAAGGGTCCGGTATGTAAGTGAGCACTAAGTAGCTCGTGTCAAGTGAATATTGTGTCACTGCCACCTTTGTGCCATTTTTTATTCAACAGACGATAAATAATTGGTCTACTCTTGTTTTTACGCAAGCGCACGGGTATTGAATGTTACTGGCATCCCGTTATTGATTGCTCTGACTGTAATTCTGATCTGCAGCATCTATTGCGACGATGCTGATGTCGCGATAAGGAATGACGGCAATACGAGCGGTTGTGAACATTCAGATTTCTTTCTTTCTTTCTTTCTTTTTTTTAAACATATGATGAATCATTTGACGTTAAAATCATGCAACGTAATGTTATAGCACGAGGAGGGTGGAGGAGGAATATGACTTGAAGGTTTTTTTTTTTTTTGGTTTGTTTGTTTCGGATAGTACGTGAATTCAAGTCGGATGGAACAGAAGCTGAGAACGCCGGTTTACGCAGAAACCCGATAAGTTTAAATATTTGATCTCCAGATTTGAATGCCACCGCCACGTATTCATTGACATCTCGTGTGGGCCATACGTAGTTAAATATCTGTACATATTCTTTCCGCCTGCAAGTTTCACCCTAGAAAGCCCTAGAGATATTTGTAGCAATTTGAAGCTTCTTCATAGCAATAAAGCAGTTAAACCCTAAGAGAGAATAAAAGAGTATCTTCTTTTTCTTTCTTTCTTTCTTTCTTTCTTTCTTTTTTTTTTTTGGGGGGGGGGGGGGCTCGTCGGGGAGTCCGCTCAATGCCATGTGTTGTTTAGCAGCATACGTGAGGCTGCTTAGATCCAATTCATCCATTATTATTCTGTCTCAACTACCATTCTGGACCTTTCAAATCCAGCGGCAGTCGTAGCATCCGATGGCCTTCTTCGGTTGGAGTCGGCAGTCGCCCCCCTCGGATGTTTATCTGCAGAGATTGGTGGAGCATCCTGGGCGCCGCTAGTGTAGCGTCACGTTCATTTCGCATAGCCACAAACTCCTCTGCTGTGATGCCGTCCTTGAGATGCTTGTTTTGCTCTCTGTGTTCATGAACAGTCATGTATGCCTTTGGAGAGCTGCGTCCTTGGGGGGGATAATCGTGGCCAGTCCATATCTTGACATGATCTGGCAAGCTGAGTAGCCTGCGGCCTGAGGAGAAAAGGCTATCGGCACTGCCTCCAGGGAAATCACACCTTGCAGTACCAATATCGGCATGGAAAACCGAGTCACCACAAAAGACGTTATCTAGAGAGAGGTTGTTAGAGATCTGGAATCCACCGCAGTCAAGCGTTGTCGTGTCTTACCTCCGATCTTATATCCCATATGGTCAGGCGTATGGCCAGGAAGATGCATCGCTATGGCCTGCAGATCGCCGATGTCAAATTTCTCGTCATCATCGAGCAGATGATCAAAGACGACCCCATATTGCTCCTCTGGAACTCCATATCGCTTGCCAAAGAACCTCTGCACTTGGCCAATGCGCTTGCCAATGGCAACAGATGGACTATAACCCTGCTCCCGAGCCAGGCGGCGTTGCAGGTACGATGCCGCGGTCAGATGGTCGGCATGGACATGGGTTTCCAAAATCCAATCGACTTTGTATCCCTTCTCCTTGACTAGCGCTAGCAATGAGTCGGCAGTACATGTAGTAAGGCCTTGAGTCGTGCGATCATAGTCCAGAACTGGATCAATGATTGCAGCAATGAGCGTCGACGGGTCAGCCACAACATACTGCCATGTGCCAGTATCATGTTCAAACACGTCATGAATGATTGGTTCCATGGTCTTGTGAGGCTCTGTGCTGGAAGACATTTTTCTGTATGTGTTTAAGCCTTGAGGTCTGTTGATACTAGCCGCGTTGCTCGATGCTGCTCCGAGGCGAAACGGTGAATGTCTGGAATTTTGACCAAGGGGACGAGCGTGGCAGTTGCTGAAGCACCTGGCATGTGTTAAAGAGCGCGTAGCTGATGTTGGAGTGGGATTCAGGCTGGCCGCCAACTGCTTTCTGCAGCCTGGAATTCGAGATCGCAGCGACATCGTGGATGTTTTATAGCCGGTGTAGAGATGATTGTTGTTGTCCTGTCTGACCCCTCGTCAGCTCAAGATACATATGAGCCCGGCAGTGACGGGGACGTGCCTAATAACCTAGAATCGAATAGCCGTGTCTGAAGCCCGAAAGCTGAGATCATGCCACATCACGTCCGAGTTGCTCCGTCTGTTCGGCGAGCCACGCACCAGGTCGGCGATCCTTGCAGCCATGATGCTTCCGTCAGCGCCGCCGCCACCGAGTTCCGGCCGGGCGATGATTCTTGGCCTAGAGCCGGATCTTGGGTCACGTTCTCGGCTCGTCGCTACGGGGGACGGTAAATCCTCGGGTCTTTTGCATCTGATGAAGCCGGAAGTCGGTGATGGAGACGGCCCGCGGTGGTTAGTCGATTGCGCGATCGGTGATTATTCATCTTATCCTGCAGAGCTTTTGAAGCCTGTGATTTAACTTGCTGGTTATTTCATTGCAGAGCTTCTTCTTATCTTATTTTCTTCTCTTGGTGGTTTACTCTGTTCTTATTTTACCTACTCTTTCCCGTGGTGGTTTTACTTCTCCAACTTCATCATGCTCCAAGCACGCTCAGCGTCTCTAGCTTGCCGAGCTGCCACTCGCTGTGCAAGCTCTACTCTTGCTTCTCGGAGCTTCGCAACGGTGTCAAATGTCTCTCCTGCCCGGAGCCATCGCGTTGTTGTAATTGGAGGCGGTGCGGCTGGTCTTGATATTAGCCATAAGCTCCTTCGGTCCGGCAAGTTCTCTCAGGATGACATTGCTGTTGTTGATCCAGCGACGTGGCACCATTACCAGCCTGGGTGGACCCTTGTGGGTGGTGGTCTCAAGACCAAGGAAGAGCTGCGAAGGCCTCTAAACGGCCTTGTCAACCCCAAGTTCAAGTTTTACAACGACAGCGTTGCTGGATTCTCCCCCGAGGATAACTCAATTACACTCGGCAACGGCGACAAAGTCGGCTATGAGCAGTTGGTTGTTGTACCAGGCATCGCGATCAACTATGGTAGCGTCAAGGGCCTCTCTGAGGCTCTAGCGGACTCAAGAAGTTCCGTCTCGACCATTTACAACTATGACACCTGCGACAAGGCATATGATACTATCCAGAAGCTTCAGAAGGGCACTGCCATTTTCACTCAGCCTGCAGGCCCAATCAAGTGCGCCGGCGCTCCTCAAAAGATCATGTGGCTCGCTCTGGATCACTGGAAACGCGCGGGCCTGTATGACCCCAGCAAACCCTCTGGTTCTGCCATTCAAATCAGCTTTGCTACTGGAATGCCTGTAATGTTCGGTGTTGCCAAGTACAACGCTGCGCTGGAGCAGCTCCGTAAAGAAAGAGGAGTTGAGGGATTATTTCAACACGATCTCATTGCTATCGATGGCGACAAAGCCACTTTTGCTCTACCGGATGGAAAGGAGGCTGTTACAAAGCGATTCGACCTTTTGCACGTTGTACCCAAAATGGGCCCTCATGCATTTGTTAAGAGCAGTGCTCTGGCAAACGAGGCTGGCTACGTCGATGTTGATGATGGGACTACTCGCCATAAGAAATATTCAAATGTCTGGTCCGCCGGTGATGCATCCAGTCTTCCAACATCCAAGACTGCAGCCGCCATCACTTCGCAGACACCCGTTCTGGTTCACAATCTGTTGCAAACTTTGGAGGGCAAAGCCGCCGAAGCCACATACGATGGATATGCTTCGTGTCCTCTATTGACAGAGTATGGCAAAGTCCTCCTTGCTGAGTTCAAGTATGGAGGAGTGCCAAGCGAGACTTTTGGCGACTGGTTTGGAATTGACCAAGCAGTTCCTCGGAGATCATTTTACTATCTAAAGAAGAACTTTTTCCCATGGGTTTACTATAACCACATGGTAAAGGGAACCTGGGGAGGACCGAAAGGCTGGACCAACTAGGCAACCAACTCCTTTAAAGAGCTCCAAATTATATTCTAGGTCATTTAAAAGTACTGCATTTTAAATTATAAATGTTCAGCCATCTGAACTTGTCACAATTCAGAATACCCTGGTTTCCTGTCCTTTTCCCTTCCTTTCCAACTTAGCGCCATGCACACATCCACCGTACTTTTTGCGCGTGGCCGTCAGCTGGCCTAAGGGGCCAATGCTGGCAAGAAAATAACCAAGGCCAAAATGACTCAATTATTTCTAAAAGTAATTTAAATTTGAATGAAACTAGCGCAGAGGGATTCAATGCTGGTTCGTTCTTCCAGCCTCAAAGGCCGTTGCTGGCTGTGAGATGAATGCCGACCGACAGGGTAAGGGAGGGTGGGTTGCTATGAAAATTTGTAACCCGATGTATACGATACTCAGCCTCTATTGCCGATAGGTGACCAGGACCACGCATCACGAGGGGGTAAAACAGAGAATTATTTAAATTCAGAGTTAGTACACTCGATGGTGAAATTTTCTAAATTTATTCTGCAACACTCCTCAATATACAGTTCTACATTCAGCCAGGTTATGCACATTGTCGTTGGGTATCAGTAACCGCATCTCAAAAAAGGCTGTCCACACCATAATATTCCCACTCTTTGTCTTATATTGCCATGGCTTTGAGTGCATCGTCTACTAGTGAGCCATATGACGAGGTCAAGGGAGATGAAGAACATGTTCTCTTACTACCAGGAGGCAGGCAGTTAGCCTACGCTCACAACGGTCCTTCAACTTCCCGAACCGTTATCATATTCTTCGTGGGAATCATGAGTGTTGGGACAGCTGCTCATGTCCCTGAGTCTTGTCGTGAGATACAGGCTCATTGGATCTCCCCAACTCTCCCTGGCATGGGGAATTCAAGCAGTCGTGATCACTCTGTGCCATACCATGTCTCTCTGGCCAATGATATGAATGCGCTGCTCCATCACTTTTATCCGACCGCAGACGTCGACTCTCTTTATGTTGCAGGAGGTTCATACGGGACTGTTCAAGCGCAAATGTTGTACGGGGCACCATATGATCTCTTTCCCTTTGGTCGAAAAATTGTCGGGTGTCTCTTGCTCAGCGGCTTCTCTCCGTTGAAGTACCATGTTGGATACTCCAAGAAAATCAATTGGCACAACTGGGTCTCTATTGGGCCGCCAACGAGAATTATTCCATTCCGTTTATTGCAGCATCTCTTCAAGGTTGCCCTCGGATCTAAGCTGAAATCTGTCGATGGCGCAGCCCATTTTCTTAAAGAAACAATATTCAACAAGATGGATGATGAAGAGAAGCAAATATTTCAGGAATGGCTGCAAAAGAACAACTTCACAGAACACACGATTATCGAAGAAATGGCACGTCGTACGGTCAAGTGCTGCAGCAACTGGGACGGTTTCATGGAGGTGTCCGATATCATTCATTCCGACTGGGGATTTGACCCCCGTACTCTAGACGCAGAACACTCCTCAAAGCCTGTGTTGGTTGTGGGGTCCAACAAGGACTACATTGGAGGAGGGACTAACGACTGGCTTGTAGCCAACTATAAGTACGCGAAACTCAAGTTGCTGCCCGGAGGCCATATATCATCGTTATTTTTTATGGATGAGGTTTGTAGGGAGATGATTGGTGATGCCAGCCGCATATGAAAAGTGAATGGGGCCAATAAGTTCACCTAGACCTGATCCGATGTCAAATCGGAAAGAGCGCATTACTTTATTATAACATTATGGCTTATCTACATCTGCTAAGCTGATTCAATTGTTGATTGTGGGGGGCACAGTGGGGGAAACCCCCGGCTGCTTGGACAGGCAGCTACCCTGTGGCAAAGTCGTGATTTGCCTTCTCACCGACGGTGAATAAAAAATAGTATTTTTCATCAAAGGCTGACAAATATGGGTATAGGTAACCCCCATTGATGGCTTGCCTGTAACCAGTCTAGTGAGACACAGTTAGTTTTCTAGACCATTTTCGAAAGAACTACTAGCTTCGAGGGCCGTGTAAGACAACTAGTGGCGTATAACGTATTTACCCAACCAACACGACGAAAGGGATGGTTGGCCATTGTTTGCGTGAAATAGCCCACACCAGACTGGAGATGGGTAGCTTTGACCTTCTCGGTTACTTTTAATATATTCAAAATACTGTCTCCACTTCATGTGTTCACAGGACTAAAGGTGCAATCATCAGCAATGATGAGATTTCCACACTACCTACTGTCTAATTTCTTTACTAATAAGACACGCAATTTCCCCGTCATTGGCTACCTCGCATTTAGAATGGCTTTAGCATATGAAGTTTGTTTTTGTCAGGTCTTAGCTATTGCCTATAGTACACACCACCCCACAGATATTTTACATGCGGGAATTGGAAAAGATAACCTGGGTCCATGGTTTCTAGCCAAATCTTGGTGGTATTGATCACTCGAGCATATGGTGAATCGATCACAATGATTAGGCAAAGCATTAAGAGTGAATTTTTATCATTTGAAATATGCGCTTCATCTGAGCACATGATGTATTCAAGCCTGTCGTGTCAAACGAGTGTAGGCAGGTTCTCGTAAACCTCTATGTACAAGAATATCTATAACAGTATATAGTCGAATAGAAAGATTTTATATACGGATGAAAGAAGGACCATATATAAAGTTCGACAAGAAAGGACACAGTCTCTCCAAGTCATGTTCGTAACCCATCAACTAATTTAAGCGCAGGTGCTGGCAGCAAGGGTCCAACCCGTGAGACGGTTAGCGACGTCAGATGAATAGCAAGCAGTGCTACCCAGACCGTTGTCGAGGTTTGTGTAGTCAGCAGAACCGCTGTTATACAGACGAGCAGCTGCATAGTAGGCCTGGCTACCATCGTTGTGAACCTGGCCCTTGGCCTGAGACAGGAGCTTCTGAAGGCCAGGGCCATCAGTGGTGCCGGCAACACCGTCATTGATCATGAGGTTGATAGTGGATGACGGGCAAGGGCTGGTGCCGAAGCAGCTACCGGCGCCGTTGTGAGACTGCATGAGACCGGGGTTGACAACTCCGTTGTTTGTTGTCGGAACACGCACGCAGCCCTTGCTCTCCTGCATCATGATGGCGAGGATAAAGCGCTCGTCGACACCGGTGGACTTGGCAACGGACTTGATGGCGGTGGCGATATCCTGAATCTCAGAATCGGAGTCATCGCCAACCCAGCCATTCCAGAGACAAGACTTTTGCATAAGAGGAACGTTGGCGTTCCAGAGGTCGTCCCAGCTGCCCCAGGCATCTTGGGAAGGCCAGCCAGCAGCAGCAGATCCATCACCCTGATAGAAGGTGTATTTGTCTGCGATGCTACGCTTGGTTGCGCTGCCAGCAGCAGGAAGAGCAGTGCCGACGGCGGCAAGACCAGCAACAACGATAGCAATGTTTGCGAACATTTTGAAGTGTAGGTTGAGATATATATGGAAGAAAAGGAGAGAATGGACTACTTGAGGCCAAGGGTATCGATTGTTGAGTTTGAAAAAAAAGGAGTGTTGGAAAAAGAAGTTTGAAGTAAAGGAATGTAAAGTTTGATAGACTGACTTGGTGATGAGAATAAGAAAGAACAGTCCGGGAAACAGAGAAATCATGGGTCTTTTATACATGAAATCATGGCCGTTGATGTCTACATTTTCCTAACCGAAAATGCTGTCTACGTACGATCCGTGTTGAAGCAGGAAGTCAAACGCCATCTTTTACAGCGCAAGAAAAAGAAAAGAAAAATTCTCTCAGCATGGCGAATAGAAGCGCCGAGAGAAAAACTGCAGCAGCAGTAAGAAAGCCGATATGCGAAGACGAACACCGAAGCCATGCCCGGTATAAACCCCTTGGGAGGGAGTGGGAGGGTCAGCCTAAAAACGCCACTCCCAAGGGTCTCTCCCAAACAAGATCCGGCTTGCAGCCGACTCGGTGATGGTGGATACAAAGGGTCTTATAGCGTGAAAACCACGTGGGTGAAAGGGGAAAATGTCGCAACTACCCGCCTGTCAATTGTCATGGAATTTCTGTCCGTGATTCTATGACGGCTTCTACGGATCATAAACTTACCTTCTCTACATAATCACCGTCATGTCAAGTTCCCCCATCCTTTAAACCTTGTTTTATTTATCTTATTTCTTGAAGTTACCCGTCGTTTTATCAAAGTCAGAAGAGTTAAAAACGGTTCAGTAATAAAAGAGTTGTTGGTCACCACATTGTATAAACTAATCTATGCGATGTCACCAACATCCACTTCCAAAACTGAACGTCCCTGGACGGGAGTTTCAGAATCTGGCAATGTCAGCCAGTGCAGTGGCGTTTAGAAGGCCACTAGAATGGATAAGTGGATTCAGGACTGGCGAATCGGTGTTGATAAATCCCACAATCCCACGCGAGGCGTCAACGTTATCGAATTAGGAGCGCCCCAAGGCATCTGTTCCTGGCTAAATGGGTTCCCTTGATTTTTTTTTCTTCTCGTCGTTAACCGAATGTATGGACTGTTGTTGCTAGGTCAGGAACACGAATCATAACCTTCCATTGTGAGCGAGTCATCTAGTCAAATAGGCAGACCCTGAATGACAATTGTCGGCGACAACGCCTTCCAGATAGAGAAGTAGCAAGGGGAAGTTTGGCGCCTCGCGCTGGGAAGACAGCTGCTCTCCAATGTCACCACAAAGACGATTATACTGTTCATTCAATAGTAACGTTCGTAAGCACACGGCTTAACCAATTTCTCAGCTTCCCCTAAGCGATTTCGGATGATTCCAGTGTCTTCATGCGATGCAAGTTTTTGGCCTTATTAGCCCCGGGTTTTTAGAGGGCCTCCTCACATTCGGGAATTTGTTGCCAATGCTGGGGCAGAGAGCGGACCGAGGATGCCGAAGTCGCTAATGCAACGAGGCCCGAGGCCGTCCTCGTATTCACGAAGATCATACAGGGAACCTCTGTGTAAAGAGTCTGGGGTAGGGTGCCGAAATCGATCATCGTTGCAGATTCTGGGGAGACCGCGATAATTGCGCTTGATAGACGTTACATGATCTACTTGAGCCACTGCTTTCTACTTCAATCTCAAATTTGTTGACTATATCACCGATTATTACGAATTATACTGGCAAGATGTGCCTGACAACATGTACAAGGTATGTCCGGACCTCCGACGTCGCCACAGCAAATGCAAATATTTGCCCACTGCTGCGTCATTGTTTGCGTGATGAAATAGACCAATTTCCTTCCAGAACTCCAAACGCCGAGAGCAAATTTTCCACGAGTCCCTTGAGCCAGTTGACAGGCGCCCTGTGGCGTTTGCCCCTGGCCAGTTTTGCCTGAACCGGAGATATTGTGCCTGGTGTGGCTCCTTATTCGGCAGAACCGATTACAGTGCCAACGCCACTCGAACAGCACCCTCTAATTGCGGGTATTCAGGGTGGGAAGTTTGAAGACGAGCCCATTAAGCGCGATTAGTATGGGCGTACTGTACGGAGCCCGAAGAACTTTTGAAGCCATGGAGAAGGCCATGAGAATAGTGAATAGCCGAACCTGCCAAATGAAGTAACGAAGCCCGAGAAGTTTAACACAAAGGAACTACAGTATGCGCTCCGTTAAATACGGTATGCGGAGTTTTTCCCAGTAATAGGCCAATGATCCACCGACGTCGCCTCTCGTGAGCTAGTGTGCCTCTTTTTGAGGTAATATTGTAAATACTATACGTTATAAGTCCAATTTAGAATGTCACTCTACGGTTGTAACGGAACGCTCCAGTACTGGAATCAAGGTTGGGAGAAGTGATGGAAGGGGCGATCATAACTTGAAGATGGCGAAATTCCACTCGCGAAGGCCGACCCGAAGTAAAGCCGAATATATATCCGATCATATGCGGAGTATTCGTCTACTAGCAGATTAAACCACCCGAATCAAATAAAAGCGTATTCAAGGTATTACCATAGGTGTGGCCACTCTAGTAGTAAAACATACGCAGTATATGTTGCATTCCTCTCTGTGTCAAAGAAACCGAGCTATATGTTATTGATTTTTTTTTAAATAAAATAGCAATTTGTTTGGGGTCTTCTTTCCGTACCTAGATAAAACGAGTTTGTTATCATTGTTGAACTATGTGTACACATCCACCCGCCACCATGTCGGTCGGTATACGGTGTCAATTGCTACCATGCATTTATGCGCCGAGCTGCAAATTATTGCATATACCATGTAAATGGGATTCAATAACCTCGAGATTATAGATGAGTTCTATGGCGATATGTACCAAAACCATGGTATAAAATGCTAATTTCCCTAGAAACATTGCTTCGTTTTGGCTTGGCGGTACTGCCCTCTTCTCCCTGTTGCTGCAGCCTTGGAGGAGACAACTATTGACTTGATTAGGGTTTCTCGCCGAAATGACAGTAGCCGAATCTATCCTTATTCTTTGCTTCTGTCCCCCAATTTGCATCTATATTTATTATTGCTTTATCGCTTTTTCTCTATCATTCTCTCTCATTCCCTTCCTCTTTTGCCTATAGTTCACCTAAATGGACAGTCGCAGCACGGCCGCGGCTTTTCGTAGCCCGGCCGCGGCTTTTCGTAGCTCGGCCGCGGCTTTAAGGCGTCTTTGTTCTGATCGCCGCGCATCATCGCTGGTAAACAAAATTAACTGCGAATAGAACTCCGCAAGAGACATCTCTAAGTAGTAATCATGATGTTTCATTCTCCGTCTCAGTATTGAAGCGGAGTTATCCTGTTTTCCTTACTAAGGTCTGCGTGGTCATGGGTAATGATATGCGGGAGGCTGAAAAGGAATCCGCATCTGGAAAGAGTAAAAGCGGCTGACAGCTGACAATTGTTAACGAAAAACGGTCTAGCGAGCGGGAGGCGGCGCAACCAAGGAAAGAAGAAATCAACTCCGCCTCAGTTGTTTCTTGGGGTAATTCCCACAATATTCAACTCATTCCGAGGCTTGGCTACTCTTCCAAGTAGTAATATGCGATGACACAGCGTGGATTCCGGAATTCATCCTTAATCCGATACTACATCTCAGGGGGATGCGGAAGAATTGAACTATCGATTTCTCAGTTGATCGACCAGGAGAGCGCAATGACAAAACGAGACGCATCCTTTGTATATATGGGGGTCTTCCTCCTGCTTTCTGGATATTTCTCGATATCGACAACTATAAAAATCTTGATTTTCGAGTAAGATTTTAACCAATACGCCATGAAACCCACGCTCCCATTTTTTTCTTGGCTAGCCTTGGCCAGTGGCACCACCGTTCATCAGCAAGAGCTCCCAACTGTTGATCTTGGATATCAAGTCCATCGCGCCATTTCATTTGATGTAAGATTCTTAAATAGAGTTCGCGTAACCTGAACATTGCTGAAAATTGTTAAAGAAAACCCTCAAAGCTTACAACTTCAGCAACATTCCTTTTGCTGAGCCTCCACTCGGTTCTCTCAGGTTTAGTGCGCCGGTTCCACCCAAGGGACGCAAGTCGGGCATTCAAGATGGCAGTGTTGGCAAGGTTTGCCCACAGGCGTCTCCTGATTACCTGGGATTAAGCACACTGTTTACTACGGCTTTTGCCACGAACCAGGTGTCATCATTCAACGTGACACAGGCAAAAGAATTGCTCTCTCAGCTGCCACCGCCGCAACCTGATGTTAGAACTACGGAAGACTGCCTTGTCCTCGATGTTTTGGTTCCGCAAAAAGTATTCGATAAGGGGGCCCACAAGAAGCGCAGTAAGGCTACCAAAGGAGTCCCCGTCTTGGTATGGATATATGTGAGTAACTTTTCTGTATGTGGCCCTTTGAAGAGACACTAAACTGAGACTTTGGACAGGGTGGAGGATACGTTCTTGGAGATAAAACAATGTTTGGGACTCCAGACGATCTCATGGCCGCAACTCAAACAAAGGGTAGTGACGGTGCCATTTGGGTTGCTATGAACTATAGGCTCGGCGCTTTTGGATTCCTCTCTGGCCCCACGTTTCTGGAGCAGGGCGGCACCGCAAACGCTGGGCTTTTGGACCAGAGACTTGCACTTGAATGGGTTCAGAAGAACATCCACTTGTTTGGAGGCGATCCCGATAATGTAACTGTTATGGGGGTTTCTGCTGGTGGTGGATCGGTTATGCACCAGATCACGGCTTACGGCGGGCAAAAACCTGCCCCCTTCCGTCGAGCTATCCCACAATCAGCCGGTCTTGTCCCAGTACCTGGAAACAGGAAGGCAGAGCAAGCCTTCGATGGGTTTCTTGAGCTTCTCAATGTTACGACATTGGCTGAGGCAAGGGCGTTGCCTTCAGAGAAATTGGTGGCTGCTAATATGAAGCAAGTCGCCAATGCTCCCTATGGCGGGTTTGTACATGGTCCTACGGTTGACGGGTCTTTCGTGCCGGGAATGCCCTCAAAGCTGTTTCTTCAAGGATCGTTCTCCAAGGACATAGAGATTTTGAGCACTTTCAACCGCTACGAGGGAGTACAGTTCACCGACCCTTCCGCCTACGACAACGAGACTCTATTCAGGAAGCAGGTCGGTGACACTTTAACCTCATTGTCAAGCGCTGATTTCGAGTTTATTTTTGAGACGCTTTATCCTGCCAGATACGACGGATCTCAGCCGTATAGCGATTCCTTGGGGCGAGCGCAGTTGGTAATTTCCGAAGCTGTATTTATTTGCAACCAAAACGCCATGGTCAAAGCCGCGCAGAAGCAAGGCGTCGCTGCATTCGAGTTTCAAAACTCCATCTGGCCAGCTCTTCATGGTTCTGATCAGCCTTTGCTTTTCTCTAATGGGCTGACGCCAGGTGTAGACCCTCAGATCTCGAGCATTGTAAAGCATATCGTCGCTGGATTTGTTAACAATGGCTCGCCGATCAAGTCGCCGTTTGGCGGCGTTTCGATTCCAGCGTACGGGCAAAACGATTCCATTCTGGACTTGGTAGTTAACGCTTCCTCGATTATCCGCGACCCAACGTCAAACTTAAGATGCGAGTGGTGGAACAAGGCACTTTACTACTAATTAACACGTATTGATGGAGTGGATATCCAGGACCCCGGCGACTCCAATACTAAGTGTCGTGGCGAGATGCTGAGGAAGCACCTTTTATATTCTACTATCGCTGCATTCTCGTGGCCTCTGTTACGAGCAGATTCCTGCCTCTCTATTTTTTCCGGCGAGCTATTCCCTTGAGTAACTACCTATGTTTATTCACCCATACACTGCTAGCTTCACTATCCCTTGTGATCGCACCTCACGGCGCAGCAGAAAGCAGTGAAGTTATACTTGACATTTTCCTTTCTTATCATATAGATTTAGAGTTAGGGTATACTGTATATTAATTTGTCTGTGTATGCATCATCTAGCAAGCATCATCTAGCAAGCATCCTCTATCCGGCTCCAGACTCTTCTACGGGGAAAAGAGCCAATCTTTCCTTTTCTCGCTTGGGTAGCTCGTCTACGTCCAATGATAGCGCTCCACGTAACTGAAGCTCGAGGTCTTTCAATTCTCGTAAAAATCCCGGATTGGGCGATGCTTGTGGACGAGCGCGAACAATCCTACCCAGAGCCGCCCTCAATGACATATCATGATGCTTCATTAGGTATGCCGCAACAACCGCTGGAGAGCGTGATATGCCGGCCGAGCAGTGTACGAGGATCCTTCCCGAGCCATTGTTTGACTGCAGCGACGTCTCAATGATGTCGCAAGCGGTGTCACAAATCTTGACTATTGACGAAGACGGAGAGTCGGTGATGCTTACGCGGTCGTAAACAACTCCTGGGACCTTACTTGATGGGCTAGCGCCAATGCTTAAGACATGCGATATTGAGTTTGTCTCCAGCAATTGGATGGATGAGGCTGCGGAGACCGGGCCGATAAAAACGGACGGAGGGAATACCAGCGAAGTGGAGTTGTGCTTCTCTCGCTTGCCCATCTCTCAAGCTAGAAGCCATACAAAATAGGAAAATCGTCCTTGACGACCTTGGTAAAATGTTGGTCTCGAAACGAGGTAGAACTTAGGAAGACCATGCGGTGTGTGCCATGCGTCCAAAATATGACACCCATGGATCTGTCAAACCACGTGCGGGCAAAGCCGTGGTTAGCCGGTGGCCCTGTATTTCGCACTTAGATAAATCAAGATGAATTAACACTGTATTGACAGTAGGCCTGACTGGGTATTTCACAACTCGGAGAGGCTCAGGTTTGCGAGTCGGCCATAGAACATTGAATACTTGAGGTTCTTTCTGGACTAAATTTTGGGTTCACTGATACTTTTTGCCAGTGTCCTTAAGCCTTGGCGGCGAAATAGTGTCATTGTCCAACCATCTTTTAGCTAGAAATGGATCCAACAGCTAGCAAGCCACGGAAATGTTCTCGTATTAACCCCCCCCCCCCGGAATTATCCCTCACCGTCTCTATCTAGACTCTCAGTAAACATTTAAGCTAAACTTAATGCAAAATAAGTCCAAATGCTGCTGTAGTATGTACAAGTATTAGCAGACGGAAGGCGTTCTTTGTAGCTCCACTGAAAGGATTCTGTCATATTGTAAATATCCCGGCCAAGCCGGCTTCCCATCTTGGCATGAAGATCATTGTCAGGGATCCCAGCAAAGAGTACGCTGGCAGTTCCCAATGGAAGCTGACTCGCAGCTTGTTTTCCAGGAGCCTAGGCCAGAAGCAAATTAATCAATATGCAACAAGCTGCTCCCCCACTACGGAGTCGCATCAAATCTACGGAAGAGACATCTGATGAATCGCATGAATCTCAATATACGCTAGTTGATCATATCCGTTAATAGGGGAAATCTGCACTAGCAAGTGTGCATTTCCGTGTCGGATAAAACGAATCATCGATCGAGATCAAGAGACTGCCTGTTGCGCCATTTCCCGTTCTCCTTTGCGTACCTTACTATGGAGGGTCCAATCATAGCTTACACGTGCGCGCATTCTTATTTTGCACCGCGTATGTAGAGCTGGTTCAATGAAATATTGAAACGGAAACTGATTCTAGCTGACTGCAGCACATCATAGCGGGTCGTTCCAACCCTTGGACGTGAAGCTACAGGAACCATGCACTCATACCACCTGGAGCCTGTCTTACGACGACTTATGGTAGCATTTGGCGCTTATTACAACTAGACGTTTGTAACTTCCAACCGTAGCTTAGCCTTGGTCTTTCATTGCTCGATTGTGTTGCTTTAATATACACGCAGTGGCGCGAGCAAGCAGTAGCATGAACACGACTAGCTAGCCAGGGGCGCAGAATCTGGGGCTTTGAAAATCCACAAATCATAATCGCCCAGGAGCATTCCAAGCTCTACGTCTCCATTTCCTAAACAAGCAGCTGAAGCAATCGACAGCCAGCCACGTCAGAGTGGCGGCGCTCTACAACGTTCTATTCAGGAACATTGTCTTTTCGTTTACACATCCTTGTCAAGGAAACTCGTCGTTAGTGCAAGGAGAAACTATGCTATCGGTCCGTCGATCCAATGGTGGCATGCCGGCATCCGGTCATCCATCTATACTCGATAGCCCAGGAGATGAGCCTGGGGATTAAGATATATCCAAAGATAGATAAAAGGCACTTGCCGCTCGCTCCTGCTTCTTTTCCGAATCCTTTCCATCTCAAGTCACCTGTATTCGCCCATTCTCAGCTCGTGACCGAAGCAGTTTGACTAAACCGCCACCATGAAGTCCGTCGCCGCCATCATCACCACCGCCGTCCTCGCCGGCTTCAGCCAGGCTTGCTCAACTCCGGGCAATTACGTCGTTACTTTCTATGGCTACCCTGACAATTGTACATAAAAAACCGTTCTATTGCCTGTGGCCAATGGCTAACCAGCGTTTGTGTATTCTTACCATAATAGCTCCCCCCGGTCCCGGCACTGCTCACAACTGTGGTGGTCGTAACTTCAAGGCTGGTGGTAAGTACTTGCTTGCAGAGACGTTATACATGAGGGTAAAATTTCTAATTGTATTACCAGGTACTGGAACCTATGCCGACCCCATCACAATTGCTACAGCCCCTGGCGAGCTGAACGTTTGCGAGATTGTCTACCTACCTCTGTTGACCAAGTATGGTCGCTACGAGGATGACTGCGCGCAGTGCACCACTGACTGGAAGAACGGCCAACCTCACATTGATATATGGACTGGCTCCAACTCCGTCAACGGTGGCCAGAACCAGATCAACTGCGAGGACAACCTCACTTTCGGTGGCCGCTACTCCATCGTCCGCAACCCTCCCACCAACTATGGTGTTGACAGTAAGCTTCTCACACGCTCATTTCGGTAGCAAAAACGACTAACTATTCTCCCAGCCACCCCTCTCTTTGTTGCTCCCAACACCTGCAACACCAACCACGTCTACCCCAGCAACCCTGCTCACTGCTAAATTAGTACCCAGCAGACTTGTACATAGCTACGAATTTTTCACTTTCGCCTGATGATAATGATTTGCTATCCATGGTTGGCTCCTGCAGCGAGTTTACTTTGCGAGATGCTTTAACGTATATAGTCGATTGATGATTGTAAATAAAATGGGTTATGATCTCCTGCAGTTTAAGAGTTTGTGAAAGCGTACTATGACATCGTTGAAATCACTGGCCTATTTGTTTAGCGCAATAGAGGCAAGGGACGCAGCTATGAGAAGGATAGTTAAATGAGTGGTTACTGCTGAATTCAATTGATCCAAAATATAAAAAGAGGAAACATGCATATAGATGCTAAATACAAATGGTTATTTGGTTAACCCAGTAATATATGATGCAGTTTAGTGTACCCAATCGCTTGAACTGCATTCATTTATTCCCGGCAGATGTTTTGTCGAGAGAATCGTAATATAGATCTATTCTCGTCTTAGGCACATTCTTGGACTGATTGGCAAGAATGGTATCCACAGCCTTGACAAGAGTATCTTCTAAAGATGTAAATCCTTCCTCTTTGCCCATCATCTTCAGCACCTTGATGCTGCGTTCATTGCTCACTTCGCCAGCATCCTCAACTGACTTATCAACAGACTTCAATTTTATCTTGTCTGGATACCGCCTATGCAAAATCTCAAGAATCTGTGTCCACGAATATTTTCCTGCAAAGGCTAGCAGACGTTCGTTGTTCACATTATCGAGAGTCAAGGCACCTAAGTGCAGCAATGCCGTATCCTCGACATCAACGTACCATTGAGGAGGCAAAACAGATGGTGCAGCAGGATAGCCTTTAACGGCAGCATCAATTACTGCCGAGGTGCTGCGGTATCCCATGTTCTCAGGAGATATAGCGGTGCCAAAGTTCACATTTGGCACAACCGTGTTGAGGGAGAAAGCAGGTTTGTGCTCGCGCACCCAGGCAAAGGCCTCCTGCTCACCACGCGCCTTGGAAGCTCCGTACAGAACAATTCCGTGCCAACGAGGGTTGCCCTCACCATTCCAAGGATTCACTGTTTGCTCAATAGCTGCGGTATTCCAGGTAGTCGGATTAATCTTGTAAGGCGTGCCGGTTGTGGGGAGGGCGCATGCGGCTAGAGACGATGTTATAACAACGCTCTTGACACTAGGCTCTTTTTCAGCAGCCTTTAGGAGTTGCAAGTTGGATTTGATAGTGTTTTCGATGATAGCATGGTTTTGTGGGTTCATATCCATGTCCATGGCGATATGGGCAACACCGCTCACTCCCTCAAGTGCCTTATCAAAAGCATCAGGAGCATTCAGATCAAGCACCTCAACAAGTTCGAATTTGGGACCAAAATATTCCTTCATCCAAGCATTGGAGGCAACGGAGCGGACAGTGCCACGAACACGGTAACCGCGCTGCAGGAAAACTTTGGCAGTGACGCTCCCAATGTATCCACTGACCCCAGTAACGAGGATTAACCCTCCAGGCGGCACTGAAGACATTTTTGAAGTTGAAATGATGCAATATATAGAAGATTTTGATGTCAGTGATGAGGATGAAAACTAAGAGATGGAATCGAGGGTGATGGATACTTTTTATATCACAAGGCGAGAAATATATTGCTATTGCATATGCACGTACGGTCACGGCGCAATACACTCCTTAATTGCGGGAAAGAACAGTTTCTACACTGACGGTCCCCTTTGGATCCATCTGTTGTGCTACTCGGATGCAATACGATGGCATCTCGCAGTCGTTTTACTCGTTTACCTCATCCGGTAACTCTTCGGTCCGCAGTCCAGCCTCTGACCAGTCAAGTCGGCGTCGCATTCCTGATTGGGAATGCGAGCAACTCGTCTGCTCAGCCCCGCTGAAATGGTCCAGTCTAAGGCTCAACCGTCTCCACTTGATGACTGGGTAAAATCGTTCTCCCTTCTCAATCTCCTTGCCATCACCTCGTTCTCTCATACACGTCAACCTGACATTTTCAATATCCAATGTCTAATATAGCGTCACCTGCCCTCTTTGCCAACACCATCCTTGTGTCTCGAGATGCGGGCCAAGTCCCAACACTCCAGACCATCGGAGCCGTGGGCCAGGCTCGCAAGAAACGCCCCCATAACAAAAGCCGGCGAGGGTGTGTCGCATGCAAGCGGCGGAGGGTCAAGGTATGTTCTTGAGGTGCGTCTCTGATGAATGTCATAGACCTCTAATAGTTTAGTGTGATGAACGTGTCCCATGTTCCAGCTGCGTTAAGCGCAACATCAACTGCTTGCCGCCGTTCCATCAACATGTCATTACCCCAAGTCTGTCCATGCCTAGTGCCCATTTCGAGATGGACATGGATCCTCAAATAAGCCTCCTGCATCTCGAGCTATTCCATCACTGGGATAAAGAGACCCGATCAACGCTCACGTTCCCCCAAATCTGGCCTGTTGTCATGCAGCGGGCTTTTAATGTAATAGCCGCCTCATCCGGGGCATTAAGTTTCATGCTAACTCGTGATAGGAGGACTTTATCATGTCCGCCATATTATGCGTTGCCGCTATGCATCTAACGACCCTCTGTCCGAAGAGCGCAAAATACTCGCATGCCTCAATGCAGCTAACGGCAAAGACAGTTCAGCTCTTTCGCAAGAATCTATCACGTCCCTTCACAAAAGATAATTGCGAGGCGCTAATGGGAACAGCGCTTCTCATCAACTATATATCATGGTTTGACCTTGGCTTCCTGGACGGTGAGAGGATTGCCAGCTCCGGGAGCAGGCTAGACCTTGCCCAAGATCAGTTGTTTCTCCTAAGCCCGGGTATCGTCCAGGTATGGTTTCAAGCCATGCCCATCTTCATCGACGAAGGAAGCGTCTTTACTCAGATGATCAATCAAAATCCAAGGTTCAGCATTGAAGAAGCCTTAGTTAGACGAGGTGAAGACCCAGCACGCTTCGTAGAGCCATTCATGCAAATATGGGATGATCCGCGCTATCAGACCTGGGGCTGCACAGCCACCGAGACGACTGTCTGTGGGCCTACATCTTATGCTTGGCGTCTTCTTCTCGGCATGGAGACGGAACTGTCATGTCGTAGTTCCTTACCGCGTGCGCCGACGCCACCTTCAGAGGAACAAGATGAAAAGAAGAAGCTCGTGCATATTAGGGACGCTGTCATAAGAATTACTACCCATTATACTTCAGTCGACGAACCTGATACAGCACTCACATTAGAATCTCAGTCGGCTCGCTCATCGTTCGAAAACATCATACGCCGCATGTCACCTCTTTTGTGCTGTGCATCTCTCAAAACGGCGACAGAAGCATCAGCACATTCCAGTATCATGCCGCGAGATGCGGATATTGAGCAGCTATTTTATGGATTTCCGATCCTCTGTTGTGGACCATTTGCTAAATTGATGATGAAAGGAGACTCACGGGCTCTCGTCTTCCTCTTTCATTTCTATCGTGCTGCACGTATATTACTGTGTCCGAAAAGATGTTGGTGGGCATCTGTAAGGAGTGGTGTTATAGAGGAGCTCATATTGATGGAATTGAAGTCACGCCAACTTGATATGTGTCTGCGCACTTAAGTCTGCAGAAGAGGGTACTCATATCTCGAGACATTTACTACATGTGAGTTTCGTTATTAACTAGTACTTATAGGTTGCACATGTATTTTTTTCATGTAGACAAGCTGTATTTAAGTACTGGTAACTATCTATTTGCATGTAATTGTGGGATGCATTGGCTTGAACGCTTTGGGGCGGGATACGATCGTTTAGATTCTTGGGGAGGAGCAGCCCATGGGATATGGCTCTAGTTCCATGCCTCAGGGGTTGTATGCGGGATGGGGTGACGGATTCATGTGATTAAGCTATTGGAGTACTAGATTCAAGCTAATGTATGCTTAATGAGATGGTTATAGCTTTGTTACACGGATGCTTTTGTCTCCTCAGTCCCACTCAGACGTGCATTGCAGATGTGTGTAGTATTAATAGCGTGGAGATTTCGTTTTGTAGCGTGCAATTTATATACTTTCTCTATCGTATTTAGACAAACTGGCAATACTTGCTGATCACTCTTCAACTTCTAAATCTCTCTACCTCTCCATCTTTTGTGGATGGTGTTTCTTCTATCTATCTCTGATTCTTGGGTATATTATGTCACCTTTTGTTTACCATTCGTTCACCAGGACGTAACGGAATCTAGGCTTGCCCGCCTCCAGATCAACAATGGCCTGGTTTGCCTCGCTCATAGGTCGCAGTTCCACCCACGGCTTGATTTGCTTGTCGGCGGCGAGCTGCATCATATCACGGATCTCGGCCGGGCTGCCGATACCTGAGCCAGTGAGATTCTTGCGGCCGGCAATGAGGGCAAAAGGCCGGAGAGGGACAGGAGCTTCAGGAGCGCCAACCTGCACAAGCGTTCCGTTGTGCTTAAGAAGGGCCAGGTATCCGTTAAGAGGCATCTAAGTTGCAGAAACAAGTCAGCACAAGGACAGAAATAGCAGGTATGGAAAATTGTTGACGCACATCCTCGGAAGAAGCGGTTGAGATGATGAGATCAAAGCGCTCCTTGTTCTTCTTAATCCAATCTTTGTCATCGCTCGTTGCAATGTAGTCATCGCATCCCAAGTTGATAGCATCCGCCCTCTTGTTTTCTCTCCTTGAGATTCCGACAACCTCATCGACGCCGAATGCCTTGGCAAACAGCACGGCAAAGTGGCCGAGGCCACCGACACCGACAACACCAACCTTCTTACCGGGACCAGCGCCGTGGAACTTGAGTGGCGAGTAAACGGTAATGCCTCCGCACATCAGAGGGGCAGCAAACTCGGGGGCAACACCACTTGGAATTTTGACAACAAAGTGGGCAGGAGCACGGTGATACAAAGCGTAGCCACCATATGCTTTACCGTTGTTGCGATGTCTAGCATTATAAGTGTTGACGTTGCTGGCGCAGTACTGCTCTAAGCCTGCCTCACAAGTTGAACATGGCCCGTCCCGGCCAAGGCAGGAGTCACTCTGAGCACCAACGCCAACAATATCGCCAACCTTAATGTCGCCTTCAGCCTTAGAGCCGACTCGAACTGCAACACCGACGATTTCGTGTCCTACGACGCAGGGATACTCGGTGGCGCCCTAAAGAGAGGTCTCCAGTCAGTATATATTTTCAGAAGGGAAAGCTCATGTGGAGAATATAAAGGACTCAACGCACCCATCCTGATCGCAGAGTGTGTAGGTCTGAACCGCAAATGCCAGAGTGTGTGACTTTGATGTCAACGTCGGTCTCTTCCCACTCCTTTGGCTGAAACTCCCTCCAAATCATGTTGCCTTGTGAGGAGGCGGCATCATCTCCCATCCATCCTTCGAACTTATAGTCGGTCGACATTTTGGTGATGAAAGTAAAATGATAATTTGTTGTTATTGATATGAAAGCTATGTGAAACTGCTATCTGGTCGAAGCTCAAAAGAGGACTGGCAGTGGGCTGCTCTTTATACAATGGGTCTTTCTATACTTCCTATCTCATGTGCTTTTATTGATGTCATAGGGGCCTCTAGCATCAATAAACTGGATATGCTCTCCCACCTTGCAAGCTTCAACCTATAGTACCTTCCCACTAGGTGGCATCTATTCGAATCGTTCGCGATTGGCTAATGAAGCTTCACTCCTATCTGCTAGTACCCATATCTCAAGTCCACGACTCCATCATGGGGGTAAAAAATAGCCGCAAGCGCAATTTCCACCGATTCTTTGATCTGATTAGTAAAAGGATGGCCTAAGTCCGACCAATTGTGCTACCCCATTCTGATACAGTAATCGGTAGCAGCACTGCTTTGCGACTGATCGGCGATTGCGAAAAAAAAATTTCGGACTTCAAGGCTAAACTTGCCCGTTGAGGCTCGGGCCTACGCAACTGTGTGCGAATCTGGCTGCTATTAGACCGTTTGGGAAGCTTGCTCTGAACACTCGCCACTACGACGGAAATTGTGAGCTGGAGTTAACAATCGGGGCCGGTAGCAGGAGAGGAGCTTACCGCATGTGGCTTCGTTGTGCGTCAACCTAAAAGCTAAGTGGGAGACATTCTCCGATTGGCAGACGGCTTAACAGTTACTCCACCAATATTCAGTTCAAGTAAGGCGGTTCTACGGCTGTCTATGGATTGCGTTCTGCCAGCCATTGGGGATCAGTCTTGAATAATTACATGGGATGCAGTGTAACCTATTAGACACCCTCTCCGGGTCTTAGGAAACTTATATCAAATACATACCTGCAGTATTTAGCTCTCAACCATACTATGTACTCAGCTTGCAAGTCGGATTTAAGGAATGTTTCGGGGAGGATGCTTAACATACAGACCAACTATCAAAACAAAGGCCATGCAAAGTCTCAACAAAAGCCTACGGTAAAGCCGAGATCCACTAGGGGCCAAGATGCGGTCTGCAATCCTCAATGCGATACATAGATTGATGGAGATTTTTTTTTAATCTCCATCGCTACATCGCTAAAGATGTCGACCTCGGCAAACTCGGGCTCATAACGAGTGTCCGCAATGCGGACCTGGCGGGGCGGTTCCATTCTTCGTCATTGTACTCCGTAGCCGGTGCGAATCATTCCACCTGGGTTCCCAGAACTAATTGTTGCGCCAGAATCCACAGAAGCAGATGCCGGGTATTAGGGGAAGTCCGCATTATTGATGCGGAAGAGAAAAAAATTGTCTTTGTAAGACATGACTTATAGTATCTAGTTAGGAAGTGTGAATAATGAGACACTCTTCAGACGAGTTATGCATGCATGCTGCGTTACTCATCAAACTCATGAGAATTATAAATATCTCCCCATACCCAGTCACTCTTGTTCATGCTTGGAGAGGCATTTGCTTGATTAAGATATAGACTACTACTGTTGAATGATCTCATTCGGGCCGCTCATTTCCGCACGCACGGCTCTCGATACATTAAGTTGAACAGTGCTTGGAGTGGCGGATACTTTACCACGTAAATTGCCTTAGTATCCTCGAGTGAGGGTTAAACCCAGCAAGATATTGAGAATGCAAGAGTGGAAAGGCAGTATCATTATAAAAAGGAAATATACGCAGATCTAGTAGATACAAATAAATTCAGTACATAGGCACAAGTAGATGTGTGTAGAAGGTAATTCTATCAACTACCTATATAGAGAAAAACATGTACGAAAAGAAAAGAAAGAAAGAAAAGAATTCCTTCCCTTTGGATCTAGTGTGTAGTGTTTTGGCAATTCAAGTCCCGTTTATAGCTTGATCATTGACAAAGTTCGTTAAATATGGTGCGAGTGAGAGGAGCGACAGTGGCCATCCACGGATGATCGCCCTCCAACTGTTCGCTCTGCCAGGATCCTACTACTCTCGGGTGAGATTCTTATTGTAATCCTTCGACAGACGTTAAAACTAAAATTGAAATGCCCACATCGATTGCGGAGCTGTCCAATGCCATTTATCTTCAAGCTCTGACAGGTAATGTCAGATCAATTGGAACGAATATGAAGTACTAGATCAATCCATGACCCACAACTCCAGGTCTACGATAGCGCTGACAAGAAATTCCCGCTTTTGCCAAGAGGCTCCAATGACTTGAAGGTGAGGGGAAGGTTGCCAGCAATGCGATGAATGTCGTGCTCGTGCGATCTAGGCAGCACACAGACGCCATGGAACATGAATGGTTACACGTTCGCATACCATCTGCCACGCGCCACCCCACCAAGTCAACTGAAAGAGTTGAATACATATATATCGCCATTTGAGCCTGGAATCATATGGGATGGTCCTTCAAAGATAAATCGTGTACTCCGTACTCGCCGTCCACACAACGAGGTGGATCATATGGCACCCCAGGGTTGCTTCTCCTTGTGGTCTCAAGCTTGCATGTAACAGTTGTCTGCAGATTGTCGGACAGCCTATTGCTAGTGCTCCGAACTTAATCTCACTCGTGATGCTAGTGTAGCGTTTCGCTGGTAGCCTAAATCCCTGTGACCACGTTTCGACAAGGCTTATTCCAGCAGATCGGAAGGGCGTGGGAGCCTCGCCGCAGTCCGTGAGATGCATTCCATATGCGAGTGCATCTTCCCCACCAGAGGCTGAGCAGCAGCTGAACCACCCATTCGTTGCACAAAAATGCCTAGGCTTCTGAAGTCTCACGCGAGCTAGGGACTAGCAACGGCTACCTGTATTTAATCTCTCAAGATACAATTGTTTTTAATCTGGACACATCTTTTGACAGCCCGGAACAGAGGATTTACAACAAGGAAAACATATTGATAGCATCATCTGAACTTACGACAGCATGTCAGGCTACTACCAGCCTCCGCCACTGCCTCCTCGGTATGGCAACGGGTCTATTCCTCCTCCTACCCCGCCGAGACAGGCCAGTGGCCAGCCAGCACCAACATACGGAGGCAACGCCCAATATCCATACGGAAACGTGAGCCCTCAGCAACAAACTCAGTATGGATACCAGACAGCGCCTCCTCCGGCATCACCATATCCAAATACGGCCGCACCGGCACCATATTTTCCGCCTCCTCCTGGTCCACCACCGCCTGGACATTCCGGCTACCCATATACTCCACCATCAACAGCTCCCGGCTCCGTAACAACAGCGCCTCCGCAGAGCCCGTCTCAGGCTTATCCTCTTCCGCAAAGTCCATCTTACTCATATCACCCTCCTCCTCAGAATTCACCTCAGTCCTATCCTCCTCCTCCTCCTCCTCTTCCTCCTCGGGCACCAGTTCAACAAAACCTGCCCAGCTACTCTCCATATCCTCCCTATAATCCAGCTCAAAATGCGCAAAATACAGCTTCACACACATACTCTCCCCCACAGCAAGCTTCATACTACAACAGCCCCCCTCATGCTGCTCCATACACACCAGCTTCACATGCACCAACACCAGCTGCTCCTGTCCAAACCTCAGCATATCAATACACGCTTCCTGCGGCAGCGCAACCACCAAGCTTGCCTGTTGCTTCGCCGCAGTCGCCTGCACCAGGCGGGTATGCTATTTCAAATGGGACTGTTATTCCTCTGCCTCAGCAACAGGCAGCATATACAGCCTCGTCCCCTCCTCCTCCACCGATGTCAACTCGTCCTCCTGCCCGGGAGACTTCGAATAACTATGCTCCTCAGCCGCCTGTTGCTCCAACTGCATTAGGGGAGCAACTACCAGCAGGATTAGAACACCCGCCGCCACCACCGCTGCCGCCGTCAGATACGGCAAGTAATCAGCATCAATATCCACGCAGACCTGTTGCCGCCCCCAATACACAACAGACAGTGGTTCCGGCTTCTGATCCTACTCCCGCATATCCAGCTGCCCCTCAAACATACCAGATTCACTCGGATCGTATCTCACCAATTCAACCAACGAACAATGCCACGCCAATTCCTCCTCCACCCCCAGCAGAGGCCCAACAAACATACCAGATCCAGCCGCATAATATTCCACTAGTTCAACCAACGAACAATGTCATGCCAATTTCTCCACCCCCAGCAGAGGTCCAACAACCTACCCCAGTACCTACTACAGTGCAGTCCCAGGATCCTATGGCTAATCTGTACACGCAAATGACCAATCTCAACATGAACCCTGTGGACCATAACGTGGCACACCAACCTTCTGTGAGAGCTTTGCATGATGATGCACCCCGGCCTCCACCCCTTATTCGTGCAACGGGGCAACCGCTGGAAGTCGTCACGTATTGTCCAGAAACGAGGGCAGTGGATTATTCGCTTTATTGGTATCGCTTGCCCGACCTACCAGACTTATTGATCTGCACCAGATGTCACGCTGATCACATTCAATCTACACAGCTGGCAAGCAAGTTTGAGAAGATCAAACGGCCTGACAACTTCAACTCCATGTGCTGTTTCTGGTTCCCTAGGGTAAAGGAGGTTATTTGGCCTCAGGCTGTTCGAACCGGCAACATGGATGCACTGCATGAATTCCTGAAAAAGCGTCTCAACGTAAAGACATGCAAAGGACGCAACTCCACCACAGCCTCTAATGGAATTAAATGGTTTGGCATGACTGGTAATGAGATCAACGGATTCATCTCGTGTGAGGCTTGCTACGAGGACCGGATAGCAGGAACACCATTTGAGACCAGATTCTCGCCATATCGTGAGCAGCCAACCAATGAGCAATGGTCTTGTGACATCGCCACGCCGTTCATCTCTCGAGTTGTTGTCAAGAAGGCCAAAGAGGATGACTGGGCCGGCTTTGTTAGTTTAGCGACCCATCGTCTCTCCTTGCCAAAATGCGAGGGAAGGGATATACAGTCAAACGACTGCACCTGGTACATGCCACGCATCAAAATTGAGAATATGCGAGCTTGTGAAGCTTGTTATCTAGACCGAGTTGGCTTCACACGGTTTGAGAAGGAGTTTGAGAAGTATGTCATGCCCCCAGGCTTCGACTCATACTTCGAACACATGACCCAATTCTGGTCTTGCAAATTAAACGAAACCAACCTTCCCCTGGTATGGGCCTTGGAGAATGCCATTGAGCAGCGCAACTGGTCTGTATTCAGCAGTTCGGCGGAAGTGGCGTGCCGCCTCCCACCTTGCACAAAAAACGGAATTATCCGCGGCAACTGGTGGACAGTCCAGGGAGGATGCGACAACTTTGATGTGTGTGAGACCTGCTATGTGTCCGTTCTCAGAACCAGTGGAGTTGCTCAATTCTTCGAACCCGTTCAGCGCAATCCCGAGGCAACTCTTGTTTGCGACTTTTGTGTTTCCAGTCCCCGATTCCGGCAATATCTCAGAAAATATGCTCAATCTGTAGACCTAGGAGTTTTCAGTTACTACCTAGACTATGTTCGGACATTTGCCTCGGTTCCTGTTTGTCCTGGCCTAGATGTCGTGGAGAAGGGACATTGGTGGGGCTATCCAAATGCTTTATTCTGCCAAGATTGCTATCTGAGCTTCGTCACCGACACAAAGCTGGGCGATTCCGTGGTTTTAAAGAAAGCATATGATGAGCGTGCCCAGATTTGCCAGATCTGGTCTTCTCGTATGCGTACAATGTGGTTGAAAGTATGTGATGCTGGCCCACCTGGATCACCCGAGTCGGAAGAGAAATTGGCGGAATTCATAGAATTCGGGGGCAAGCGGTTGAAGATATACACTCAAACTGTGCCTCAGATGAAGTTTATCCGCGAAATGAAGCTTATGAAAATGCAGAACGCAATGCACCAGGGTCTTCTGAGTGTCATGTACAACGGTATGGATGGATTGGCCTCGATATCTGGTACCACGGATGGACACCTTCATGGAAACAGTCAGTTGGGCTGGTATGAAACTGAACAGGGAGCGCAGGGAGCGCAAATGTTCAATAACATGCAAGCTGGTTTTGCAAGTGCCAATCGGGCGGACGAATGGATGCAAATATTCCAGCTCGAGAGGATATGGAAGGAAGTTGAGTAAGCCAAAGGCTCGACCGACACATGGAGGGTGGGAGGTTCAAGGTTGAAGCGATAAAACACACATTGACAGAATGATCACATAGTACCGTAGCATCAACATATATTTGAGAGCCCATAATGCAGTATATGCCCATGCTGACCTCTGTCCAAGGGAAGCCCCGTACATATATCAGTTCCTACACGACCTAAGATATGACACAGCATAACCCTGGGGACATATACCCAAGCCCCAGCCCACAGTTTTAAGTTACTCAAGGCTCGGATCTAGAACGGAGATGTGGGTGGGAGAGTGTGCCGCAAGTAACCCCGAGATGCTCTGATTCGTTCCATCAACGTTTCCCTTCTGTCCCAATTTTCGGCCTACCCTCGGCAGCGGGTTTAGTGCCCGCCTGGAGGAGGGGTGAACGAGCTGAGGGCATATTGTGGGGAATTCATCCTACATCTCGACCCATATTGACGTCGGGCGCTTCAGTATGTATTTAAACCCCTCCCAGGGTTGAAAATCATTTTAATACTCACACAGAATAGTATAATAGCCTATTCCCATTCTCTATTTCACTGTGTAAACCCCTCAGAAAATGTCTCTTCCTCAGACCATGAAGGCCGTCGTCTTTGACGGACCCCGCAGCGTCTCCATCCAGGACCGGCCGGTGCCTCAGAGTAAGTTCCAACCAATGCAAAGCGTCTGGATTCCGGTATGGATGGCCCATAACATGACCCAGTCCAGGATGAGGAAGACATCATTGTCAAAGTGAGCGCGACTGCTCTCTGCGGCTCGTAAGTTTACGCCTCTTGATGTAGTACAAGCGAATGGCCGGCTGGCTAACGCGCGGGATATCCTTTCAGTGAGCTGCATGTTTACCGTGGCCACCAGGCCTCACCAACAGGCTTCATCATGGGACACGAGTTTACAGGAACTGTCGTAGCTGCAGGTCCAGCTGTAAAGTCAGTCGCGGTTGGCGACAAGATTGTAGCGCCATTTACAGCATCATGGTATGTACATGTACTTTAGCCTTGAGGTTTCATGGGACTTCATTGTGCACATCTCCATATCCTAGATATATGCCACTTGTACTTACGAAATATTAGCGGCAAATGTTTTTTCTGTCTCAATGGCGCCACTGCACGCTGTGAGAAATCCATACTTTTTGGATCAACCAAGCTCGATGGTGGTCAAGCTGAATATGTCCGCGTGCCCCTGGCTGATGGCACAGTCTCAAAAGCGCCATCATCAATCTCAGATGAAGCTCTCATTCTAATGGCTGACATCTTCCCCACTGGTTTTTTTGGCGTCAAGTCTGCACTCAGCCTTGCCCCTCCTACTCTCAATATCCACGAATCCACCCTGGTGGTGATCGGATGTGGCCCAGTTGGCTTGTGTGCAATTGTTGCGGCGGCTGAACAGAAGCCCAAGCATTTATTCGCTATTGACAGCGTGGATAGCAGACTCGAGCAGGCAAGGCAACTTGGTGCTGAGCCTCTAAATTTCCTCAAAGACAAGGAAGGGATGACGGCTAGAATCTTGGAGGTTACAAACGGGAGGGGTGCCGACTTGGTCGTTGAAGTTGTTGGACTGTCGCCAGCATTGAGAACTGCTTTTGACATTGTGAGGCCATTTGGTGTGATTAGCAGCATTGGTGTTCATAATGCAGAGGTAAGTTCCATGGCACCCAGAGATGCCGTTCAATCTGAGCTAACAATTGCTAGATTCCATGGTCTGGAAGTGAGGCATACGGGTAAGTGAATACTGTTATTCATGGCATTCAAAATATCAAATAAATACTCAATACGATTGGCGCATATAGGAAGAATATTCGTCTGCAAATGGGCCGGTGCCCTGTTCGAAGCATCTTTTCCGAGGCCCTTGTTCTGCTCGAGAAAAAGCAACACTTGCTTGGGTGAGCCATTCCCCCACTCGCTTTTATCCTTAACATACAATATCTAACTCTTATGACAGCTTCATGTTTGAAAACATTATGCCTCTCAGCGAGGCTGTTCAAGGCTATACACTTTTTGATGAGATGAAGGTACAAAAGGTGGTCTTCAAGCCATAGTACATGTTGTCATGAGGCCCACAGCCGGGCGCTTATCAAAAGCACCTACATACATGTATTCATGTAGCTTGCATCTTTACCACCTATAATTTGACTACATGTATTATATGCATGCAAATGATAAAGCCCCAGCATATCTGGACAACATTGAGGAAGGATTCACTCCTTAACTGCATTTGATGCCTGCCTGTGATTTGATTACCCCGCTATATGCATCCCTATGACACCCTCGCGCCCTTCAGACTACATGGACTGTGGCATTGAAATTTTGGAGACGAATACACTGACATCAACCTCCGCCATTTCGATCCGGTAAATTTAAGCAATCGTCTTTATCGACACCATGGCTGCCAAAACCCCCTCAGATGAGCGCAAGGTGCTCAACGGTTTGTCAATCCTTTAGCGGGCAAACTACTGAACACAAGCTAATAGCTTGGATAGTTCAAGCATCTGGAAAGGTGGCTGGTTCCGCTCGTGCTAACGGAACCGCCAAAGCAAATGCTGCCGAGCAATCTGGTGATGACTCGGATGACGATCCAGACCAACATGCCACTGAAATTAAAGTCGCTGCCGGTGAGGGCAGTGACGCTAAGAAGCGAAAGAACAAAAAGAAGAAGAACAAAAAGAAGAAGATTATTGCGCAGACCGAACCTCCATCCATACTTGTATCCAAATTATTTCCAAACAACAACTATCCCAAGGGCGAAGAGGTCGAATATAAAAATGAGAATCTCTATCGCACTACTGACGAAGAAAAGCGTCATTTAGACAACCTTAAGAGTGACTTCCTCTCTGATTATCGTCAAGCGGCCGAGACGCATCGTCAGGTCCGCCAATGGGCACAGAGAAACATCAAGCCAGGCCAGACCCTCACTGAGATTGCTAACGGCATCGAAGATAGCGTGAGGCGTTTACTTGGACACGATGGCTTAGCTGAAGGCGATTCCCTCATTGCCGGCATGGGCTTCCCGACTGGGCTGAATATTGATGAGATTGCCGCACACTATAGCCCAAATGCTGGCGACAAGGTCGTGCTTCAGCAGAACAATGTCATGAAAATTGACATTGGCGTCCATGTGAATGGTCGCATCGTCGACAGCGCCTTTACAATGGCGTTTGATCCCATGTATGACAACCTCCTTGCAGCCGTCAAGGACGCCACGAATACTGGCGTCCGCGAGGCAGGTATTGATGTCCGCCTTGGAGAACTCGGCGGATACATCCAAGAGGCCATGGAGAGTTATGAATGCGAGATCAACGGAACTACTTATCCAATCAAGTCGATTCGCAACATAGGCGGCCACAGTATCTTGCCATATCGCATCCACGGTACCAAGAGCATTCCCCCCGTAAAGTCGGACGACATGACCAAAATGGAAGAGGGTGACATCTTTGCCATTGAGACTTTCGGCAGTACTGGTAACGGCTGGGTTTACGATCATGGCGACGTATCGCATTACGCCCTACGGGCAGATGCGCCAAATGTGGACCTTCGTCTGTCCTCAGCCAAATCGCTCTTGAATGTGATCAAGAAGAATTTCGGCACTATTCCGTTTTGCCGACGATACTTGGACCGAATTGGGCAGGAAAAATATCTCCTTGGTGTATGTCACGACGAGTCTCCCAAACCATTGCTCTTCTTGATGTAGCTAACAGTCTAGCAGCTCAACACTCTTGTGAAATCGGGCATCGTCGAGGACTACCCGCCTTTACTCGACAAAAAAGGGTCGCATTCAGCCCAATTCGAGCATGTGAGTAAAAGCCATTTGTGTATTTGGAAGACGAATGCTAACGGACAACACAAGACGATTTTGCTCAGACCTACCGTGAAGGAGGTCATTAGCCGTGGAGATGACTACTGATTGTTGCAATCAGGGTCTTGCGGTTCGCGATCCTGATGGAAACATTACTCGATCGCACTACCAAGCAGAGGCTTGAGATCATTTTTTTCGTGACACTCATTTTACAGATATTTATTCATGTTTTCCATTAAAAGAAAATGTGCGCTGATTCATGAGGTCTTAAATGAGGCTGGTACGTGTATTTTGGGCTAGCATCATGGCGAGACTTTACGCATGCGCCGAGAAAATATGCAAAAAAAGATGAAAATTGTTCAGAGAAGGACAATGGTATATTAGTTGTAGACAGTCATTACCTCAATCATACCATCTATTACAGTCCAACTAAACAGCCCCGTTGCAGCGGGTACACTTTATTGTTGTTGCTGTAGTAAAGACGCTTATTTCTCTCTTTTGCCAGATTACTTCCTCTCGCGCTTTTCATCTCAACACCACGGCATTGGGCGTGAACGATATAGCCTCTTTTTTTAGGTAGATGGCATTTCTTCCGAGCCTAATTGTCGAAGGCAGTGCCTCTCTTTTACAAGCAGGCAATAATACCAAGTTCAGTCTAGGGATTTCTCTCTTTGTGAATTACCAGGGTTTTAGACAAGCAGGGTATTAGAGACTAAATAGATAGGCCGAGTAAATAGAGTGAATTTTATCGGATGTCTTATAATAAGCTTAAAGCTGCTTAGACTCTTCCTACAACAGTTTTTATGGGCAACGACAAAGCATGATTGCACGCGCATCAAATCTCTGGAAAGTCTTCAATAGACGGGAGTTATTTTTACATTCGCATCTGTCTAAGAATACAGTTATCAATATGAAGAGTAACGCAAACACTCCAGATCTCTATCGCTGTCTATTATGATACAAAATGAGAACACATTTAGAGCTGCTCTGTGCCAGTGACAATGGTGAATTTCCGAAGATCATCTCTAGGTGCGAACTTTCGTTCATCGGTGCTCGCACTAACGGGCTCCCAGGCCTTGAGCAGCTTAAGTTCGTCTTCTCGTCGATTTCTCGCGCTGTCGAGTGCATCTGAGCCCAAGATAACTCGGACAGCCCATGGTCGGCCAGCCGCAACGCCCTCTCCCTTAATCACATCAATCATAGTAGAAGCAGCTTTGGCAGGTGATCCTGGCATGAGACCCATGGGGTTGTTTGAAAACATGCCGATAATGCTACCAAGAAGAGGCTTGTATGCATCGGTAGGTTCAGCACCGGGAGGGCTGGCGTGAGCACCCTCACGGGGCTGCATGAGGTTGGTGATAAAGCCACCGCAGTCGAATGCAACACTTCGAATGCCCAGATCACTGACCTCCTTATGAAGGCATTCTGCGAAAGAACTGAGACCTGCCTTGGCCATCGAATAATGGGACATTGTGGGGAGGGCCATCCAGCTCGAACTGGAGGAAGTGAACGCAATGCAACCCTTACCCTGAGCACGGAAGAAGGGCAGAATGGCTTGGGTCAAGTGAACCGGTCCAAAGAGGTTGACATCGAACATGTTTTGCACATATGCATCACTGTTCCGAATCAGAGAAATGAGTTAACCGATCGTATGGATGATCCACTGCGAATGAATAGCTTACCTTGCGTCTTCGATGGTTGTCATGGCTGACATGCCAGCGTTGTTCATCAGAACATCAATGTGGCCGAAGATGTTCCATGCCGTCTCAATCTTGGCCCTGATCTCTTCAATTGGAGCGGTGACCTCGAGCTCCAGGAGGGCAATGCTATCCGACTTGGGCTTGAGGTGGCCAAGTCGCTCCTCGACCTTTCTGCCAGTTGCAATGACCTTGTCTCCCCGAGAAAGAATGTGATCCACCAAGGCAGCACCAATGCCAGAAGTGGATCCGGTGACGAGGAAGACAAGGGGGGCCATTGTGAGATGTGTAGAGATGCTACTTATAGAATAGAAAGTAGTATTGATGGTTTTATAAGTCTCGATGAAGAGAAGTTGTGAGTTACTTGTTTCTGTTGTTGCTGTTATTGCTGTGTGAGGATTGTGATTGTGAACTCTCATTTCGAATCGAGAACTGAACGCCATTTATATATATCCCTTCGTCTTGGCACATAGGCCATTCTCTTGACTTGTGTTCGCCCATGTTTACTATTTCTTTTCGGAGCGCATCAACGTTCCGTGACGCCATCCCGCTAAATCCGGAGCTGGGCAAGGCTTAGTTCCAACTCATGTCATGGACGAACAGCCGGACAAGAAGCCATTGGGCCACCATGCTGACACGCAGCCAACTGGTGAAAGACAACCGTCCGATCACGTGAGCGGACGAAGCAGCAATAAATGCTTCGTCCACGGACAAGATCCTTTGCTCCTGATCTCGCGCACCAAAACAGGATCAATCAAGCTCTCTGAGTTGCAGCTGAGTTTGTCCGCCGTGCCGTATTTACGGAATTTTGTTTCCAGGAAGCATTGCAGTCATTCGTCCGACATGGAGGAGCCTTCAAGTGTACCGATATCGAACCCGCTTCCGCATCGAGTGCGGAAGATGCGCAAGGGAACCCGAAGTTGCACCGAATGTAGGTCCATACATTGCGTCTCCTCTCCATGTACCTGTGCGGAGCACATTACACACAGGCTCGTCTTCAATGTTATGGAGACAGCTGTTGTAGAGCTTTGGAATATTGATGGTTGCTTTTTCAAGGCCGAAGACGTAAAACTCGCTGTGTGTATCCTCCTGGCGATCCCGTGTGCGTCCTATGCAAATCGCGTGATGGCCGCTGTATTGAGCAGGGCTACGAGGATGTCGGCATTTCAGAATCGAAATCTAGCGTGCCGCGGAAACAACCTGCCAATGAGAAGGCATCTCAAGGCCGGAATGGGACATCAGCCGACCAACCTCCAAAATTCAGTGGAGATGCCGAGACGTCGGATGTCCTCGTATCAGAGAGAGCAAACTATGCCCCGATCGTATCTTTGCTTGTGGATGCCAAGGTGAGCTTAAAGATAGAGCTCATGATATGTGTTCATTCAGTCATTCGGGGCTAATGGTAACACAATTTTGAAGCTCTCAGCCTCGGCAAAAACGGGAGAAAGCGGCTCCCCTATACTCCAGACAGCCTATGCCAGCTCAACATTCAGCCAGCTTCTCGACAGAGACCAGAGGATGTACCCTCCCTTCCTACTACCGCTTGAAGACAAATCCGCATACGTGTGCTCTACAATACGTTCAATGCTACCAGGCTATGACACCATCATGTCTGTTCTCACCAAAAATGGGTCGTGGTGGGACAGCTTCCGCTCAAAGGCATATGCTATTTCTGAAGCCCCTTCTCAGACGATAGAGGCCTTTTGCAAGCGAACATATACAAGCAGCAACCCAGCTGACATTGGCGCCCTTGCAGTTGCGTTTGCCCGTAGCTTGAATAAGCATCGCTATCTGTATACCCTGGTAGACGACCTTGTCATCTCGGACATCAACTACACAGCAACTATAGAGGGCCTGGAATGCTTAATCTTGCTTGCGAAATCGTATACCGATTGCGGGCAGCCCAAGAGAGCTTGGCTCGTATGGAGAAAAGGCGCTTCCGCAACGCAGCTGATGGTGTGTCCTGTTTCTGATCCGTCGTCAAAGAGATAAACAAACTTATCTGACTTGTGTTTAGGGCTTGTGCTGTGGGAAGAACTACTCCCGCACAGAGCTGAGGCTCTGGTGCGCCATTTACCACGGCGATAGATTCTGCAGTATGCTCCTTGGCTTGCCCTACGTGCTGAACGACAACCATTACCAATCTGTTCTCACAGCGGCTGGGATGGGCCAAGGATTTTACTTTGTTCTCAGATGCGCCATTATCTGTGGAAGGATCATTGACCGCAATATGACCGCTGGCAAGCCGTCGTTTGCGAAGGCGATGGAACTGGACGAAGAATTATCGTCCATTGCATCGACGCAGCCAGAGGATTGGTGGTCCGTTCCGGAAAGCATGGATCATTTCCAATTACAAGGATTAGAGCTAAGTGATTTCAGAGAGCTGCTGCTGCAACAGTTCTACTTCTTTTGGGTCAAGCTGTACCTTCACTTGCCTTTTCTGGTAGAATCAACAGCGAGCTCACCTCACTACTTCAGCAGAATGGCCTGTATAGAATCGGCCAAGCAAATTTTGAGGAGATATCGGCTTCTGCGCTGCAAAAACAAGTCTGGTTCTTGCTTATTCGAATGTAAGACAACGGATTTCGCGTGCTTTACTGCCGCTGTTGTTCTTCTCATCAGCACTTTCCACTGCAGCGCAGTAGGTCGCTCGTCCAGTGTAGATGAGGATCTGGAGCTGGTGGCGACTACCGATAGGCTTTTACTTGGGGAAGAGGTTCAAAATGAGTGCAAAGTAGCAGCGCAGTGTCGAAAAGTGCTTCAAACGCTCAGCCTAAACGATCCCATAACGGCGGACGAAAGTCGGGAAGTCATAATCCCATTTTTCGGAGCGGTGATCCGCAAGCGGTCTCGCCGCACGGATCTCCGACATCTGGCCCAGCCGGCCGGACATAATCTCAGCGAGGCGGACATACCCCCTCCGCCTCCTTACAACTCGACGGACCAGACAGTGAGCAATCCAGTCGCAGAAAATCCATGGAGCCTGGACGGATTTTCGCTGGAATATATCAGCCATCGTGGATTTGACCGGGGCCATTTCGGCGGGTTTGCAGAAGCGGAAGAAGTGGCATCCACTCAGGACGAGTCAGCATCCTATCTAGCCTCGGCAGCGATGGAATGGGACCCAGGCTGGTGCGTCCTCACCGACATGAGCAGCGACCTGATGACAGGCATTGAAGAGCTTTCTCCAGAAGATTTTGAATTTTAGCTGCTTATTTGAGCTCTATCGTTATATGTTGCGAAGAATTGTCAATTAATCATTTGTTTGCAAAGTATGAGGATATTGCAAAACTCCCTAGAAGCATACATCTTTCTCCAGTCTCCTGAGCTGCTCTAAAACACGGCTGGGCTCTCTAGTACGAGAACTGTATAGTGGCCGCCCGGGTGGGCTAGATGGTGGACTAAGACGGAGGAACCGATCAGATCTTGAACCAAGACCGCCCTAGCCTACCCTAAAACCCGAATCTTTCGTGTAAAGATTATCTCTATGGATAACTCAGTGGTGCGGCTTTGAACGCCCTGATTCTGTGTAGAATTCTATTTGCTGTGGCCCCTCTTCCGATATACTCCTTTTTTTCCCCTGCCAATGCTCATTTCCACTCGGTTTGTTGTTTCTGACTCGCTCAATCTTCTGCCTCGGCTGACCAGCCACGGAACTTGTATGGAGCCATCTGGTATCCTGGTAATATTAGCTGTAGGATACGATGCAAAAGAATGAACTAAAAAGCGGCATTGTTCCGACATAACTGCAAAAAATTGACTCGTCTATTTTCGATCCATGTCTTTGGGATTCCACCTGAAGTTGATGCAACCGGCTTGGATACTGAATGGGCGATTAAACGGGCCTACCTCTACTCCGAAACAGTTGGTTGTAATGCGGATATTAGTTCATAACCACTCTTGACATCATTTTCTACGCGTAATAGATCAACCACGTTCCTACAAGTATGCCTATCAGTGGTAATATGCATCCATTTTGCTAATTAAGGAGTGTATCGACATTTGTACAATGCCCTATCATTTAGCTAAATGATAGACAAAACTATCTCAGTCGTACCCCTTTCGTTTGAAACGAGAATGGTCATGCTAGCGTTCGCGTAAATTAATAATCAGTCGACATTCGAGACTCTTTGCACTGGAATATCACCTCCCTCGGCAGAGAATGATGGCATGGTGAAATCTCTTCCATTGGGCGAAACTTTGTATCTCGGCGATGAGATAAGCAGGGCGTCGGACATGATGTCACTATTGAATTAAACGCCCCATAAAATCCTCTCGATGGAAGGAAAGCATCCAATCAGCGAACTTTAAAAACTTTCTAGAAGAAGACAATGCTTCCCGCTAGGCTTATTTTGTTTTTGTGCGCGGGACAATCCGTGGGCATGGAACTCCTTCCGTCGATGGGATCTTCCGGTGTTTTAAACAAGGCGCATTGACACGGAGAGCTCTCCGAGGTATTACGAAGCATGTTTGTAATTATTCTCCGTTTTATCGGTGTTGGCGGTGTTGGGTTAGATTGCCGGGATTGGCTTGCAATTGATGGTTGAGAGGTTTGCCGCGATGAAAGTATTAAAGAGACATGGATCTGCGCTTCGAAACAAGTTTTAATCATCCAGAACATCATCAGCAATACAATACAATACGAAAGCAACTTCGATACTCAAGAATCTAAACTCCTTCAGTTTCACAACAAGCAACAAAACCACAAAACATTCTCCTAATATTACCAACACAGCCAAAATGAGCAGCCAAGTCACCTTTGACGTCTACCGCGGAGCTGAGGGCGATGTTCCCGTCCGCAAGACCGTTACCAGACAACTCCGCCCTAACGATGTCTTTATCGAGATGACACACTCCGGTGTTTGCGGCACCGACCTGCACTTCAGACACTCTGATATTACTCTCGGACACGAGGGTATCGGAACCGTCAAGGAACTCGGCCCCGCTGTGACCGGCTTCAAGGTTGGCGATGTTGTCGGCTTTGGATACATCCGCCAAGTTTGTGGTAACTGCATGGAGTGCTTGACTGGTAAGTATACACATTGCATCGGCGGGTGCTTGCTTACATGTACAAAGCATTGCTAACAATGATTTCAAGGCTGGGACCAGTACTGCGCCAACGCTGTTGCATATGGCAATGCCGATACCGACACCGGCAGCTTTTCCCACGGTGCTGTTGTTGATGCCCGATGCGTCTTCCAGATCCCCGATGAAATCGACCCGGCAGATGCTGCTCCCTTGATGTGCGGTGGTGCTACTGTTTGGACTGTTCTTGACCAGTATGGCATCAAGCCCACTGACCGAGTTGCCGTCATGGGCATTGGTGGTCTCGGCCACATTGCTATCAAGATGGCTGCTGCTATGGGCTGCCACGTTGTCGTCCTCTCCAGCAGCGAGTCTAAGCGCGAGGAGGCTCTCAAGTTCGGTGCCAAGGAGTTCCACGTTTTCCGCCAGGGAGAGAAGTTTGAGGGCAAGATGGAGCCTATCAACCACCTTCTCCTCTGCGGAAGTGCCCAAATTGACTACGAGGCGTAAGTTTCACATGCGAGCACACCCAACATTGAATCGCCAGTACTGACAATTTACTTTCTAGTCTCGTGCCCCTGATGGCCCCCAACAGCTCAATCTACCCTCTCACCGTCGACTTCACTCCTTCCAAGATCACCATGTTCTTCGTCGCCCTCAAGGGTATCCGCATCCAAGGCTCAGTCGTCGTCTCCACTTCTGAGATGCGCAAGATGCTCAAGTTCTGCGCTCTGCACAAGATCACTCCCCAGATTGAGAAGTTCCCGCTCAACGAGACTGGCATGAGCGATGCCATGCGCAGACTGACTGAGGGCAATGTGCGATATCGCGCCGTCCTGGTTGCACAGAACTAGATGGTTGACGCAGATGAGGAGGCAAAAGAACATGATACATGCGCTCTTCTGGTAATGATGTAATGAATATTTGGTCAAGCGGAGGATCCCTGGGGCACTATATTGGGGTTGGGTTTTAGACTCTTTTTAGATATAGATATTTAGGCGATGAAAAAACATGTTTGAAAACGAACTTTGGTCTATCATATTCTCTCATTGAGCTGCCAATGAGCTGCCCATTGACATTGCTTGCGGATTGCTCGCTGCTTGCCAATTTTCTTCTTCTTCTTTTCTGTTTTTGCTCTTATACTTAAACAGTGTCTTAGATGTAGAGCGTCATAAATTACATACATGTGTATGTACATATGTACTCTGAGAGCTTATTACCAGGTGTTTGCACTTTGTAAACGGACAGTCTGCGCAGAATTCGGCAGTAATTGTGTCGGCTCAACGAAATAGCCATTGAAAACGCCGCACACATGGATCATCACCCTGATTCCAAATAGGGAGCCGTTGTTGTCGGATTGATGATTACTATACAGAGGCGTCGGATCGATGATTACTATCTATACGGGGCATTACTTGCACTGCAGTCCGTACAAGAGCTACGGACGGGAGCAGAGCTCACAGCACGTGCTGCGAAACTCCTCAAAATGTCCGCATCAAGGACGAGATACAGCCCCAATAAAACCCTTTTTGCCTAGGCTGACAAATGCTGGCGCGGCCAAATGAGTCCTAGCAAAATGGCCAGCGACGTGCTAGAATCTTACGGTCACACTCACGTGACTCTCGAGTTTCGCTTTGCTTGATAATAATGGTCCGTAAGCTCCGCATCCGATCCGCATAAGAGATGCTGGTTCATACAGAAAAAGCGAAATCTAAGACCAATCTCTCGGATGAGAGTTCCATCATCTCAGATTCCCGCTAAACATCCCGGAATGGAGCCAAAGACCAGCCCGAGCTCCTCGAATCCGGACCGCGATACGCATCCAGCAAACTTCACGGCTCAGCCTCACCGAAGAACGAGGACTCGAGCCCGGATAAGCGCAGCGTGTGTGAGGTGTCAAAAAAGAAAGATTCGGGCATGTTACCCCACGGCCTGATGTCCACGTAGTATTTCACATCAATTTCCACTGACCATCATGCTGTATTCAGTGCGACGGTGTTCTGCCAGCATGCTCAGGTTGTCAGAAGGCTGGTGTTCGATGTGTGGATGGAGGCACTTCACGTGAAATACCTCGAAAGTAAGAACGCCGGATGAGGGTTCATGTCCCTGTGCTTGCGCCGGGCTAACCTTGTATAACCTTGTTTAGCTATTTAACTGAACTTGAGTCGCGAGTTGCATGGCTGGAGTCGGTTGTCCGTGAGAGGTGTCCAGATGTCGATCTCACCACAGGGCCAGGGCGTCCATCGCGAGCTCACTCATCGGCTGTTGAGCGTGGACAATCTTCAACGCGGCAAGCCTCCCAAGACTCTCCAGAAGAGACTTCGCCACATGAGATTACAGAGCAGATGGGCCTGATATCCATTTCGGGTGGCTCTGACCTTCGATACTTGGGGCCATCCAGCGGCCTTTTCTTCACCAAATTCGTGCTTGCGGGCTTAGCACATGTTGCAGATATTGAGACGGTAAACCTTCGCGGCACTGCGTGCGACGATACCGATGTGTTCCTACCTGGGGACCTGGTCGACTTGCAGGCCAAGGATTTCCCGAATGACAAGAGGCAAGCCATGTTCCTCACTCAAATCTACTTCGACTCCGTCCACCTACAGTTTCCTTTCCTCCACGAACCCTCACACCATGCCATCCTCCACAAACTCTACAATGGAGAGACTCTGGATGCGCTAGAGGAATTCCACGCATTCATGGTACTAGCTATCGGTGCCACGATATACGGTCGTCGCTCGAGGCGGCACATGCTGGGTGAGGGCTATTATGCCTCGGCCCTGCAGCGTCTAGACACCGTCTTTAGAACGCCGTCACTCGTCACATGCCAGTGTCTTTTGTTGCTGGAGATGTATACCCTTCACGACCCATCGTCCGGACTCAATCTGTGGACACTTCACTACCACTCACTGGCATCATGTTTGGAGCTGGGCTTGCATCGTGATGTTCGGAATCCCAGGCACTTTAACCCTCTGCAGGTGGAACTCCGTACCAGAATTTTTTGGTGCACATATACCATGAACAGACAACTATGCACGATCATGGGCCGGCCGCTGGGATTTTTTGATGAGCAATGTGATTTGAGAGTGAGTTTATATATGTCCAGATGAAGGGGGTTTTTTTTTTTTTTTGCTAACACCGTGGCTACCTAGTTACCCATGGACGTAAACGATGATGAGTTGACCGAGGAAGGGGTGCGGCCTTCGACAAGGCCTCCAGGAAGCCTTACTACCATGTCAAGCGCAATCCATCTCTTTAAATGGGCGAGATTCAGTTCTGAGGTAAAGACGGTTTTGTTTTGCACTGATCGAAGCTATCCGCCTTATGTATCTCCCGCTATTAACGATGTAACGGCATGGAAAACAGACATGATAAGTCGTCTGCGGAAGTGGCGACAGGACATTCCCAAGCACGCCGAAGGCGAGCGCACTTTCTATTTGATCGATCTTTGCGAGATCAGATACCATGAACTGATGATGCTTGTGCTTCGCCCGAACCCCCTGTTCCAGCAACCGACAAAGTCAGCCTTGGGCGAATGTTTCAGCAGCGCAATTTCCTGCAGCAAGCTCTATGCAAGACTATACGGCGACAATCAGCTGCGGTATGGATGGCTAACCGTCCATTCATTATTTTTGTGTATCATGACCATCTTCTACTGTGTCTGGACACCGGAAGGTATTGCTGATCAAGTCAATTTCGACTGCTTGACCACATCTCTGAAGGCGGCGTCGGATATTCTCAGTGCGACAGGAGAATACTGGCCCGAGGCTAAGCGAAGCCGCGATGTCTTGGACCGAATCTTTTCGGCAACCATGAGGCGCTTCTCTCCGCGGCCAGAATATCCAAAGCTGCAGCCCTTGATTACTTCAGCAGACTTACAACCGGAGAGTGGTCCGGCATCGACGGGCATGACGGATGGTACTAGCATCTCGTCTCAAGCTGGCAGCAGCGCTTACGGAGATGGAATGCACTCTTCAGGAGACGTAGCTGTCACTTCGGCAGATGGAATTACATCTTCAGGGCATGAGCTACTCCACGGAACACCCGATCTGAATCTACATGGGCTTTTGCCGGATGGCTCACCGGCTATGAATGCCGAGTTCCCTCCTTACCCGAATACAACACTTGACTCGTTTATGACGACGGACTGGCTTTCATACTTTATGAATGCCGAAGACTTTGGAAGCATGAATATGGATCATAATTTTGGGGGATTAGGTGCAGGTGGGTTGGACATGACAACGGATATATCTGAATGGTATCAAGGGGATATGAGCGTATTGAGATGATTGGGATGACAGGGACGGCGTTTTGAATAGGCATGAGCATAACATACATGAATTACATCAAACCAAGAACATCTCAACTGTTGAATCACTTTGTCTCACCCTGGGAGAGTGGGTGCGACCATACGTGTTCAATGTTCCTTGTCGAAGATCCCGTCAATGCTCCCATAGAAGCTTTTGAGGCGCACAATTTTCTGGTCGCTTTCGTGCAGCAGATTCGCCAGATCTAATACAGTCAAACTACAACTACAGAGAATCAAAACCACACTCTCCAGAGACATGCATCTCCTGTTGTTCATGTGTTTGCTATCATCGTGACATCGGTCAGCTGACTCTTTTTCGCAGGTCCTTCGCCAGTGTGGGCTTAGCGGTTCATGCACCCCAGATTCCCATCGGAGCTTAAAAAGCGGCCGCTAGAAGCGCTGAAGCACCTGAGCAACTGAGCACATGGGCGCTAATATCGAGCCCCAGCCTCGCCACTCAACTCCATGCTTCCCCTCTTTGTCAGCTCACGATGCTTGGATGCTTGTCTTTGTAGACGCAGCTGTTGGTTTCTTGTGGGTATTCGAAGATTCGAAATAGCTTCAGCTTGGTCGAAAGGATCGCCAGCAATACTCTCTCCCCAGTCTGTTGTTTCCGCACTCCCAGGCCTTGGTATTATATTCGCCACAGGGACCAATATGTCATCGACGGAGAACGCTTCGCCTCCCATGGCAGACCAGTCCAACTCGACGGCCGCGCCCTCGTCGCCCGATCGAAATAAAAAAAAACGCATCAGAAACTGGACTGCAGATGATCGCGCAGCCCATCGCGTATTTGAACGATCCCGACGAGAGGCTTTCAAGGAACGGCTGACGGTAAGTTTCGGTAATGTTTCTCTATGTACGCCGCTAATGGAGAGATAAGACACTTGCGAGCCTTATACCGTCACTTCGATCTACGGATCCTAACCGCCTGTCCAAGCACGTTGTCATTGACCAAAGCGTTGCGCTACACAAGGCCGAGCAGAAAGAGATCGCTGAATCTCTTCAGAGGATCAATCGTCTTGTAGCCGAGCGCGATGATCTCCTCTCCGAGTTAAATACATGGCGGTTGAATGCGGGCCTTGAAGCTCGCCAGGTTCGAGTTACAGCAGATGATTCTGAGACTACCTCAGTACCGATATTAGACGAGGCCAGCGCCTCCATGTTGAGAACCGGCGTTTCATCCATCTCAGTCGGGGCCAACAATGAGCAAGGGGCAGCTGGAGGTCGTCCGCTATATCTAGAAGAGCAGTCCTCATTTGTAGCTACAGAACACGATCTGACATCGGAGCCTGTCATGGCTCGAACAGCTGAGACAAATCTCCCATCAGCATCAATGAGCATGGACATTCCATGGATGTCAACCGAGATGGATTTCACCATCCCCAATTCACTGACTCTGGCCGCCGATTATAACGCCGCCGCACCTCCGAAATCACCATCTTACACACATCTGCCAATGCCATACGACATGGCAACCAATAACCTCGAGGATGAGACTCTAAGATTTAACACGTCGATGATGCACATGGCCGATCCATCAATATTCCACAACGACACATATATTTATACTGGTTGAATACGACTACCCATAGCTTAGAGCGGATCAGCCCTCCTTCCCACGACTCTACACATCTATGTACCGCGAAGCCCGGCATTCAATACACAGCCTCACAAGGCCTGAACCGCTGTGTCGATCTTGTCCTTGCTCCTGTTTTCGCCTCCGGTAAAGAGCTCTAGAGCGATTGCCAATCTTTCTTTGGTAATGGGGTCAGCCTCAATCGCTTTAGTCAGCTCTTCTCCGCCGTTGGCGAGGTAGTCAATGTCAGTGCTGGCCAGCTTGCCATCCCATTCTGCGGCGGCAAGCGGGTCGACCTTGGCGAGCTTGCGGAGCCTTTCGGATGTCTGGGGAGGGGTTCTGTACACATGGACGGGCTTAGGCGTGCCTTCACCAGGTTGCTTGGTACCGTCATATTTGAGCTTTGCAAGCTGATCTAGAACCGTATGGGAGATTGTGGCGGAGTGGCAACCTAATTCACCAGCCGCCATAGCTTCCTTAGCAGAGATGAAGCTGAGTGGGAACAGTCAGCCGATTTATTCCTTGTTCAGGGGGATTCAGATTGCGTATATATATCTCACCTCGCATTCTTGAGAAGTGGCTGCTCTTTGCCAGTCTCTTTATACAATCGTCTGTATGTTTCGAGAATTTGGAAGACTCGGGCGCTCATGGGATGCTGGGTGGCAGGGTCTTCAACATCGGGCCAAAGGGATAGATCATCATGAGCTCGAGTTTCTGAATGAACCTTAGTATTAGTTCACATATTCATGAAATATAAGAACTTTGGACGAACCATTGAAATATGGGCTGATGTATAGCATTCCTGCCTGGCTACAGGCAATAGCCTGCGGAAGACCAAATAATGCTGTTCCGAGTGTCGGAATTCCCTCGGAGCTTAGAATCTTAGCCGCATTCAAGGCTGGGCCAGTGGATGGTATCTTGATGCAGTATCTGTCTCGGCCAATATTGGCTCTTGCAAACTCCTGGTCATACAGTCGTGCGTGGTCAAGAGTTGCCTGAGTATCATATGCCTTGGAGGGTAGGGTCTGAAGCAGGACACGGCCTTGAATCAGATCAATATTCTTCTTGCACATTAAGACTGCCTAAAGAATATCATTAGATGGAATTCTTTTTCTCAACATGGAAGCGCCGGAACTGCGTTTTATGTACCATTCTAGTATATATAGCCAACCAGCCTTTGTCCTTTAGTTCATTCGCGGTCTGAACTAGGAGTTCGGCGTTGGAAGGATGGCCGAGCTGGATATCTACCCATAGCTGGTTGCTTGTCTGGTCATGCGGCTTTATGGGCATGGCTTTGATGTATTCGGGGTCCATCCAGTCGACATCGACATTGACTAGAATTACGATTAGCTGGAATGCGTCACTCGTTTGGATTGTATGAATAGACCTACGTTGCTCCTCGAGCTTCTCCAGCCATGTTTGGGCTTCCTTGCTACCCATTTTGTACGCAACGTAGCAAGTATAGATATAATCAAGTTTGTCAGGATTGATGGGTGATTTTGTCGGCGGCCGTCGTTTTCCCAAATGAACGAGACCAAGTCTGTGCTATGAAGTGTGTTTTGACCAGACGGCAATACTTGGATGGGTCGGTTTATATACCAATTGAATCAAGAGCTTACCCACTGTTTGTAGCCACTACCATTCATTTTATTCTACCTACTTGAACGTTGTCTCGGATTCAAATTTACCGAAGACCTGTGGTTGGAAGGAGGTAGCCTAACAGGCCACCACAAGCTATTCCCAGACTTTGACATCCACCGCACTTTTTTCATTGGGCAAAGCAGTTCATCACTGACCCTCCCACATTCCGTAAACACTGTCTTCTTGCCAGGTAGCCAATCTCCTCAACACGCTCAACGACCTGCACAGGGAACCTGCACAGGGCATGAGCTTGAAACACGCAGGGCAGGATCCACGAGAGCGGCAATAGAAGCGGGGGAAATTTTAGGGCGTAGTTAGCCAGTAACTAAAACTGGTATGAGGAGACACCAAGATTTCTTCGATCCTTTATGGTTACTGGATAATATAAGAGGATAGTAATAGTAGCGGATACCAAAAGAAAATACGGGCAATAACGTATTCTAGAAGGTCCATTTTAGGTAGATAAAAGTCCTTTCTCCGTATTTCACTGAATGCGCTCGAAACTGTATCGGTTGGAGGGTTAGTAACCAGTAGCCACTCCTAAAGTTTAACATGAGCCTTGGAAGCAATTTCTCTGTGAGCCGGCTCGTGTGATAGCGGCTGACTAGCAGGTAATGCTTAAATGGCTAAATAGTCTGAGAGAACAACACGCAGGGCAGGAGAGGTAATTCCCCACAATTCAGCTTAGATTGGAGAACACGCAGGGCAGCTTGAGGAGAGAGATTTTGTGAACGAATCACTCCGGCGTCGGAATGCCGGGTGGCGGACGAGTTGGTGGGATGCCTGCAGGGGATTAGATGGGAATACGTGGTCAGTGCAATGCCCTATCTACCAGTTTGCATTTCATTCGATTTCGTTGTGTGCTCACAGATTCTTCTCTACAGGCCTCGTCTATTAAGACATAGAGTAAATATGAGGGTAAATAAATCGTTTTCCCTAAGAACGTATCGCAATCACCAGAATTATTCAAGTCGTTCGCGTACAATGTGGAAATAGTTGATCTCATTCTATGATGCTGCAAATAGGCGTTATCGTAATGCAATTCTATACGGTTTCTATGTGGCTGCGAGGGAGGCAAAACCAACTAAGCCATGGCGCCATGGTAAACGAGCCGGACACAAAACCTGGGGTTATGTGGATACGCTACCGAACCCCATGGGGGGTAAAGACTCTGCCAAAGTCGCGATAGTTGAAGTGAGACTGAAAACATATATATATTGCTGTTCAAGAATCTATTTGGCATCCATCCACTTCTCCGTGGGAGTCATCAAGACACACATCCGCATTCTTACCTGTGGAAATTTGAAGACGACAAGACGACATGGCTCACTCACCTGATCTGAAGCATCCTAAGGATGAGTTTCTTTCCCATGTTGAAGACGCGAGCCCTAATATCTCTCGCAATGTCAACGCCAAGTGAGTTTACTCCCCTTTCCATCACCGGAGACCATAAAACTGAGACTGCTGATAGGATTTGGAACCCTTTGATGGGAATATCCAAAGATAATCTGCGTTCGCAAGTCAACGCTTTCTGTAGAGAATACGGTTTCCAAGACAAACAAGATGTCTTCTTCAGAGGCGCCCTGGCAGCCCAAAACCCAGTTGACTATGAGGATATTCCAGAGCTGACTGACGATGACAAGTATTGGCTAAGGCGTGAAGTCACCAACCGGTGGCATTTGCCCAAGGCTCTTTACTACACTATTGCTCTTTGCTCTTTGGGCTCTGCTATCCAAGGCTGGGACAACACTGGTGCCAACGGCGCAAATCTGTCATTCCCCCAAGAATTTGGCATTGAGAACAATGGATGGCTTGTTGGTGTCATCAACTCAGGCCCCACGCTTTTTGGGCTTCTCAGTGCCTGGGCTGCTGACCCGGTAAATAATCTCCTCGGTCGAAGGGGCACCGTCTTCGCTACAGGACTATTCTGTATTTTCCCCGTCTTGGCTCAAGCCTTTACACAAAACTGGTGGGGTCTCATGATCTGCCGCTTGTTTATGGGTCTCGGAATGGGCATCAAGATCTCGACCATCCCGGTCTTCTCGGCAGAGGTCGCGCCGGCATCTATTCGAGGTGGATTAGTTACAAGTTTCCAACTATGGGTATCCTTTGGAATGTTTGTAGGATACTGTGTCAACCTGATCTTTTATCGGGTTGGAAAGTTGGCGTGGAGATTTCAACTCGCATCTGCATTTGCGCCGGCCATTCCCGTGGTAGTCTTTGTCTGGTTCTGCCCTGGTGAGTCTATCAGCTGATGAAGAAGTAGCGATAATAGTAGTTACCAGAATGTGGTACTGAAGGCTTCACGGTAGAGCATGATAAACTAACAATTGATCTAGAATCACCCCGATGGCTGATGAAGAAGCAACGGTATCTGGAATCATTTCAGTCTTTCTGCCGCCTGAGAAATACTGAGATGCAGTCGGCAAGAGATTTGTACTACGCCCATTGTCAAGTTATGGAAGAGAGAGACGCGTTTGCAGGTGTGAGCTTTTGGCATCGAGCATGGGAGCTGTTCTCAGTTCCCCGGCTTCGGCGAGCTGCTGTTGCTAGTGGATGGATCGTCATCAGCCAACAGTTCTCAGGCATCAACATGTAGGTGGCCCTTTCTCATTAGCAGCGAATTAATACTTGATTCTGACTATGTGTTACATAGCATGGCCTTCTATAGCTCAACCATATTTGTTGAGGCTGGCTACTCAACGCTTAGTAGCTTACTTGCCTCCATGGGGTTTGGCCTTGTTCTCTTCGTTTTCGCCTTTCCAGCAGTTTACACCATGGATACTTTCGGCCGTCGCAATCTACTTCTCACAACGTTTCCAAACATGGCCTGGTGCCTTCTCGCGGCTGGGCTCTGTTTTCTCATGTCCACCGAAAACAGCGCTCGAATTCCCTGTATAGCTTTTTTCGTCTATCTCTTCACAGCTTTCTATGGACCTGGTAAGTATCCATGTTCGCGAATAAAGTACGAAGTGCGAATTGCTAAACTTAAATAAAAATAAGGGATTGGGCCGTTACCATCCATTTACTTTGCTGAGGCATTTCCCTTGTCTCACCGCGAGCTTGGCGCGGGTTTAACAATCTGCATTAACAATGCTGTTGGTAGTGCTTTGAGTCTTACTTTTCCCTCACTACTGAAAGGACTCGGGCCTACTGGTGCATTTGGTTTCTATGCGGGATTAAATATGCTTGCTTTCGTTGTCATTTTCTTCATCGTTCCAGAAACCATGTATGTCACTCTACCCTTTCAGAAGCTAACGGCGAGACAACCGCTAAATTGAAACCAGGAAACGCACCTTGGAGGAGCTCGATTACATATTTGGTGTGCCAACTCGACGTCATGTGTCTTATCAAGTCGGCACTTGGCTGCCTTGGTGGATTAAGAAGTACATCTTCTTCCAGCGCAAAGCGAAACTCGAGCCCTTGTACAAGCTAGACGGTTCAGATGACACAGCCGGGGCTCAGTAAGAGATACATGGAAAGCAGGAGGCGTGGCGCTTTTTGATTAGCTGAAATCCAGATATGAGGCATTTCAGGATCACTAGGTATTTGCCTTTTTGTCAAGTGCCGGCATAATATGAAATCACTCTCTCTAAATAGCGTAGTTGCTGTGCTGTACTTCATTGCTTAATACATTATTCATATTTCGGATCATGGCGGCACTTGTAATAGTGTTATGAAATCAATGAAATAATGGAGAAGAAGAAATAATGGAGGTGATTTTTGTGTCCAGAATGCGCTTTGCTAAGCTGGAATGTATTGTCTGCAACAAACTTTTCAAACCCGAGTAAGGCAATGGGGAGCTATATTGATAGTCATCTCGGAATGATCAAATAGGCAACTGCTAGGATCTTTTCCCGTAAGCGAACTATTCAGACTAGTCAAGTGTAATAGAATGACTACTGTGTGATATGACAGCTTTTGTGAATTTCTAAGGGGACTTTTTCCTTCCGCATCTTCCTCGTACATTCAAAACAGGACTCTAGTGATGCATGTATGATTCACTAACTTGAATCAGATATGATGAAGTAATTCGGTCTCGAGTTTGGATTATCAATGTCAAAAACAAATCAAGGACTTTACGGCCTTCCAACAGTATCACATCGAGGTGGCAATGTGCCATACGCGGCGACAATTGACTCGCCTGCATTTAAAAAAACCCTTGGCATTGACTTAAGCTCCATTACAAATGGAGTTCGCTTAGTAGGGAAGACGAAGCTTGACGCCCAATTTGCGTTATGTTTGTAAGACGATACTAATCACTCACCTTTTTGTTCACTAATCAGAAAAGGGAGCCAATGAAGCTATTCGCGGATATTTAGTCGCGTCCCAATGCAGTATCTTCATTGCACTCCAGAAATCCATACAATCTACGCAATAGTTCTTCTATAAAATAATTCCATTCCTCAAGAGAATTTTTTTGTATAAAAAGCAAGCCTGCGAAAAGCGACAAGCGAAAAGAAAAATGAGCGAGAAAATTAAGATCGGTGCTGTGCAAGCGGAGCCTGCATGGCTCAACTTACCGGAGTCCGTCAAGAAAGTCACTTCATTGGTGGAGCAGGCTGGAAAAGACGGAGTCAATGTGCTAGGATTCCCAGAGTTATTCGTTCCAGGATATCCATGGTACGTAGGGGTGAAAATATTCCATCACGATCTGAAGGATGATACTGATTGTCTTAGGAGCATCTGGACTGAGCCCTATCTTCCAAATGCCCCCATGCTCCACGAATACATGGCCAATTCTCTCGTCAAAGACTCTCCTGAGATGGACCAAATTCGTGAAGCCGTTAAAAAGGCAGGCATTTTCATCGTTTTGGGATATTCCGAGCGAGATGGGGACAGCTTATACATCTCGCAATCTTTCATTGACCCTACTGGAACAATTGTCTTACACCGCCGTAAAATTAAGCCAACTGGCGTGGAGCGGTCAGTTTGGGGCGACGGACAGGCTGATGGGTTGATTAACGTCGTTGATAGCCCATTTGGTAAGATTGGCGGCCTCAATTGCTGGGAACACTTCCAGCCTCTGCTGCGATACCACGAATACAGCCAGGGAGTTGATATCCACGTCGGGGGTTGGCCACCTTTCTTCCACAAACCTGACAATCTCCCTTCGCTGTACTTGACGACTGCCGAAGGAGATCGTCTTGCTTGTCAGTTCATGGCGATGGAAGGTGGTTGTTTTTTTATATGCAGTACTCAGGTGCTGAGTGACAAAGGTCGCGAGAAACTAAAACTGGTTGGTAACCCTTATGTGAAGACCCCAGGCGGAGGGTTCGCGATGCTTTTCGGGCCTGACGGTACCGCGCTGGTTGATCCGTTGGATCCTGGTGAAGAGGGCATTCTCTCAGCGGAGATTGAGCTAAGTACCATTGACTACGCTAAGCAGCTGCTTGATGTGGTTGGACATTACTCGAGGCCGGATCTGCTGAGCCTCAAGGTCAATCTTGAGCCTGCCAAGCATGTGCACTACAAGTGAGAGGTGCCAAGCGTGTCAATGCTTAACTAGGTTGTTCTAAGGTGAACGCATTCTAGGCAACTCTATAGAAATCTTTGAGAGAGAAAATAAAAGCCATTTACGGCAATCTTGCAAGCCGAGATTGTATTCCCACTTAAAGCAGCAGCCCTACCCTGACGCAACATGGCTTTCCATCAGGTATTGGCTGTAGGGACCTCTGGTTGGCGGGTGAAGTAATTACATGTAGTCATCACCTTAAGTTGGTTGCATGTATCTAGCTTCTCAAAGGCTTAACAGAAACTAACATTTATCTGCCTATTCTTCTACAACTATTGCCACCTATTCTACTCTGCCTGTTTTCCCCTGCTCTTGTAAGGGCTTTTGTGATATTTTGGGATCTCTATCTAAGTTTAAAAAAAAAAAAACACTGCCATTTTTTTTCCTACATCATTGATCGTGTACAAATTGATTTCGATGGTAAAATTGTCCTGAATTCATTGATTAATTCTCTATATACATCGTATCACTTCATAATACAAAACTGCGCTCACTTTCAACACTACGTGAGCACAAGCAATGCCGACTAGTCATCTAGTTGTTGGTAACTCGCAGTGCTCCTGTTAGTCGAATATCTCGACTGCTTGCTCCAACAAAGATTTTGTACTCTCCCTCTTGAATAACCCAGGACTGAGAAATCACGTCCCATACACTGAAATCTCTCTTTGTAAGCTCAAAGCGAACAATTTCCGACCCTTGAGGAGACAAGAGTATCTTATTGAAGCCACGCAATTGTTTTGGTGGGCTGTTTGGGATAGCCAAGTATAGCTGGGCAACTTCATGTCCAGACATAGAGCCACTGTTGGTGATTGTTGCGGCAACTGTTGCAGCAGGTTGCCAGAGATTATCGCCGCTACACTTGGACGGGCGAAGATGTTTTGACGCATTGATGGAGAGGGATGAATATCCAAAAGACGTATAGCTGAGCCCATATCCAAACTCAAATCGTGGCGTAATGTTCTTCGCATCAAAAGCGCGATAATCGAGATATACGCCTTCGGTGAAATCGCATTGCGGGTCAATGTCGTCCTCAGAACTACGCATGCACGGCGCATACACTGAGTAATCGCTCTCGTTCTTTGCAATTGTGTAAGGTAGCTTGCCAGAGAAGTTGGATTCGCCATAGAGCAGCTTCAAAAGAGCCCTGCCGCTGTCTTGGCCAGGCAGATGAGCAACGATAGTGGCAGTAATATTGGGATGCTCGATCCATTGATCAACCAGACGAATGCCCGCAGCGTGTATGACAACAATGGTGTTGGTGCATTTAGAAGCCACATTCTTGACAAGGGCATCACTGAAATCATCATGCAACCCTTCGCGATCCCAGCCCTCGGTTGCAATCGCATTGATGAAAACCAGGCAAGCATCGGAAGCGGCATTAACATCAGGGTTGGATGAATCCAGATCCCAGTTCACCCAAGTGCCGTCTTTGCGAGCACGATGCTGAATGGCACTAAGGGGCTGGATTAAGGTTAGCCATGACCGATTTCCGCGGCATTCAGGGAGCAAAAATCACATACATCATCGATATATGCTGGCGAGTTTGCACCAGCCCGACCACCAGTGACGATTGTACCTCCCCTTGCTGCCTGGTCAAAGTGGGCTTCATGGCCCAATAAAACTTTTTCCATCTCTGGAGACGAAGTGTATCCATGTGAGAACAAAAGGTCAGTATTCTTGGTACGGGGGATTGTAGCGTCGTAACCAAACACGGATATCATAGCGAGCTTGCCTTTGAACGGCAGAGCATTGTCGCGATTCTTGACCAAGACGTGTCCTGCAATAGCGCCCTCCAAAAGTACAGAATTTGATGCAGGATCTCTTGCATCTACCTTCTCATGAAGTTGGGTGAGCTGCTTGAGGCCAATGCCCGGAGTTGGAAATTTGTTACCATCTTGGCCGACCAAATACCATGCAGCGATAATGCTTTGCACACCGAAGTTAGCATAAATAGCGTTGGATGAGGGTTAAAAAAAACACTTACCGTGTTGCCATATCAGTCACCCGGTCCTCGCTGACAGTCCCGTTCGCAACCGCATCTGTCAGATTCTTGCCCCATGAACCACCGAGAGGCATCACCATGTCGAGTCCCGCATTGGCACTTTGTATATCGTGTTGAGCATCCCAATCAAGCATGACGAAACCCTCGAATGCCAGCTCGGTCTTGAGGATGCCATTCATAAGCTTGTCGTTCTTGCATCCGTACGTACTGTTGATCCTATTGTAAGAGCACATGACAGATCCTACACCAGCATGAACGCTGTCCATAAAAGGCCACAAGTAGTATTCGTGCAGCGTTTTATCATCGATATTTGCCGAAACGGCTTCAACACCAAAGTACGGACGTCTTAGAGTCTCTTGTTCGTTGGCGATGAAATGCTACATTTCGATAGGTCAGCCTCCACCTGGACAATCCATATGTTCTATCATCAGATGGTACCTTGATATTCGCAATTACGCCAGCCTCTTGCATTCCGATTATAGTCTCTGAATTCAACTGGCCAGAGAGATATGGATCAATAGAGAATCCCTCCCAATTTCGACCACCTAGCGGCGTTCGTCCTAATGGGCCAGCATTGGGACCGAGTGGTACGTTGACTGACAACCTTTGTTTCAGCAAATGATAACATCAAATCGAAGAAAGGGTAACGAAAAACTGACCTCCCTTTGCTTTAAACTCCTTGCCCATGTGGAACCCTCTTTCATGTGTCAGGTTTCGATCCCAGCTTGCTCCAACGTGAATCCCAGATGGATAAGAGTTGACCATGTCAGTTGCGCGAACTCCATTACCAGCGTCGTGAACACACATGCCGGGCCATCCTAGTCGAGGAACGGAGCCAGTGTTACCAGCGCAGACGTTGTCGCTGCGGTATCCACGCGTAATGTTGGCTTTTTCTTCCAATGTCATTTGCTGCACCAGCCTTTCGGCGCGGCGATATGCATATGCCCACTGTCCATTTCTTTTACCTTGCTCTATGCGTAGGTGTAAGTATTGGCTGTGGCTTCACCAATTAACCAGGGGAGAGTGACAAACTCACGCGTCAAAGGGATCTGTGGTGCGTCTTCGGCTGCAACACTACCTGGGGGTAGCGCCGCTGCAGCGAGAAACAAGCTAGCACAGCTGGATAATAGATACAACCGCATGGTCGGAATTCAGATATTGTTCTGAGCTGTTGGCCGTTGCACTCAAGGATATAATTTTCTCCTCCCGGAGCAGGTCAGGTTTAATATCTGAAGCAGGAGATCTTAGTCAAGCTCAAGTTTGAGCATCGCGATGAAGGCAAGCTGGGGCTGAGCTCCGTTCACCGCTGCCAAGCCGACGTTCCCCGACAAATAGGATCACGATCCGATGCGGGGACAAACATTGGAAGCCGTAAGAATCCCCCACCCTTGCAAGGTGCAGCTCGTAGTGTGACAAATAACGCCAAACTATCTTCCCCCACTCTAGGTGGTTGCGTCAAGCTGGACAGTAATTGAATGGAATGGTTCGAGCAGATGTTCAATCTAGCGGAGAATCGGGGAATTGCCCGAAGAATTTCTTTCTCTCTGGGATAGCTGACGTATGTAACTTTGCACAATGACCAATGCTTTTTCGTATTGCAACTCCTGATGGCGTCTGGATCATTCTGGCCAAAATCACCCATGCAGAGCCAAAAATCGTATATCCACCGGCTATTCCTGCTCCGATATTAGTGACCCGGCATCGCCGGCATCACCTCAAGTGAAAGAAGGCGGTATATCATTGGAGCTGATGATAGTATTCAATATCTTCAAGGCATCTGCTTGTCCGCTTCCGTAGAGGTCTTGCTGAGCCCATATTCTTCGTATGATGTGCTCTGTCGACGTCAGATTGCTAAGCGGTCTCTCGTGTATCGCATTCTTCAATGTCGAAAGAACCACTAATCTGTCGCTATCGCTTTCCGTTTGTAGAGCCAACATGATCATAATAAAGGGTCTCTCGCACAGCCCGAGATCGCTCAAGAGACGAAGCACTTCCTCAGCGCTAGCGCGTGACAAGCGCGAATCGGCAAATGATCCTCGAACCACACGATCAAGATAAATGAGAACTGCAAGTTGGTACATGCGAGCAATCGTGAGATAGCGCTTTCTGCTTCCGACAACATGGTAGTCTTCCCTATCGATGCCACTGCATAGTTGTTGGCCGATATCTCGGATCTTACCTTCGAGATCATAAATGGCGTGAGAATGGCCTTTTGATAAGTACAATGGATCATCTCGGTCTTTTATGAGGTCGATAGCTTTACTAAGGAACTCTAAAAGCTCAAGTGAGCAGCCAAGAGTGCTATGAATCTGAACATTTCTCAGTCAATTGCTTCATTCTAGGATAGGATAGGATTGGGGGAAATAAGTACCGTGCTGAAATGATCAGCAGACACAATCTTAGCGATGAGCATGTCCCGCTGCGCAATCGCCGCCATCTCTGGGGTGCGCCTTTGCCAATGCTGCAAACTGAATTTGTAAAGGACGTTGTGATAAAATACCCAGTCCAGGAGAGTCGCATGTTCACCTTCACGCTCACCACGGCCTTGGTAGCTTGACTTGACGATGGTCATGCAGCCATCAAAGTGAACGGACCAAACGGTTGTCTTGCCACTTGGACAAAGAACCTAAAAGATACAGTTAAATTATGATCAGCATACGAATTTAAATAATGCATAAAATAGCAAAGCCATTACAAACCTCGTATAAGCTTAAGAGCAAGCTGGCGGCAATAGCTTGAGCTCTACATCGGGGATCTGGAATTCGGTCGATTGCGCCTTGTAGTGCAGTCACAGCACGCATCTGATGCATCATGGCCTCATCTGGCATTCTGAGATAAAGATACGAAATCGCGTTCATTGCATAGCGGACTGCAAGAGATGAAACGCCGTCATCTGTGAGTGCCATTCGGCGAAGGAGGCCACAAACATCTTGTCGCAGATCGCCCCGAGATGTGATTAGTCGAACAGCGGACGATATATCAGTATCATCTAGCAAGTTCAGTTTTAATCATAAACATAACGTTTAGTGGTACTAGCCATTACTCACATATAGGGCGTTTGTTACTTCCAAATCGAGGAAGCTGCGGCGAGCGGCTAGGTGATGGCATCCAAACCCTCATCTTCATGTTGTTATTGTCGGCTGCACGGCAAGTGATCATTGTTAACGTAAGAAATAATATGGCAGCTACAAAGTACACGCAAGAGCACTCACTGAGAGAATCTGAAGAATTGTTTTCATAGTAAAGCACGAGGTCCACACTGGATGTATTTAAGAAGGCAAAGGCATTGGTTCGATACTTCTGATTCCGAACCTGCGCGGTCATTGCCCGACGCTCATCGCCATCACGAGGCCATGATAGATTGTAGTCATATCCAGAGCAAACCTTCCCTCTTCTCTTACAAGAGGAACATGCCGGCATCAGTCTATCGCACGCAATCTTGCGGTCTAGGCGGCGTTAGCTACAGCTGACGTTGACGTTTCACAACTTGTAGGTGGCTGTAGGTTCTCGGAGGGACGGCTTGAGCGTACTTTTACAATTGAGGCATGATTTCTGCCCCCGGGGTTTGGAAATGATGGCATCTGAATCAGCCATGATGCCTTTCCCATCAGCCTTCGTTGCTGCGGATCGGTACAGTGCATGTACGTATGTAGTTTCTAGAATCCTGAGAAGCTGAAGAGATCATGCAGTGCTCTAGAGCCACACAGTGTATATCTCATCCCGACTGCCGAAATTCCAGGCGGTTCCAGCGCCCAAACAAGATACCTATAGGCCAGATGAGAAGCTCTTAGCGCCGCTGATGCGCAGAATCAATACAGTACGAAAAAGATTACATGTACATATGCAGTCGAATGCGCTCGAAACATGCTGACGATGGCTTATTATGCGCGATGACGACTCAAAATGTCGCGTGGCGATTTATAATAGACTAAGGTACGGAGTAATACCTGAGCCAGCAATTAAGAGGAGGTCAAATATCGACGTAAAATCTCCTCTGTCCTTCCATTTCATCCTCACCAATCGTGAAAAGCGTTTTGCAAGAAGTGAATACGCAATGATTTATCACAAGCTGCCCCATTTTGGTAGAAGAACTGCCAAGTTGCTGTCGATGCTACTGCGGGTGCATCTTTCCGTGCAGCATCGTTAAGCTCCTTCACAGCTTCAGCCACTGAATCCAGGCAAAATCGCCCGAAAACAATGAGCGCATTGCGGTGTGACATGTTTGTTACGAGTATGCTTTCGGCATCGGAACAACGCTATTCCAGCTCAGCAAAACATTCTTTCTGAAGCTTTCACGATTTTCGCACTAGCCAAAAGCACACCCCTCTATCAATCATTGTCTGCATCACATCACACGACTCAATCTGTGATCCCTCATTCCTTCTCTACAGCCAACTGCGCAATCCAAACAAAAGTTTCTTCATGAAAGACCATTCTTTCTCTAGATTGACAGCGAATCTCATTTAGTCATATCTTAACCAAAGCTTTCCAGTTTCTTTTCCACCACCTCACTTCATTCTGGTTGAAATTTCTCAAGTCATCTTTCGCAGACCGAAACAAAATCAACAAAAATGGCAGAGCAAGGAGAAACCTGCCGCATTCTTGTCATGGCATCCGGCAATGGCTCGAATTTCCAGGCATTGATAGATGGCGTCGCATCTGGCAGCATCCCCAACAGCAGAATTACTCGTCTGATAGTCAATCGTGCAAAGGCATACGCCACTACTCGAGCAGAACAGGCAAGCATCCCATGGGAATACTTCAACCTCATCAGTAACGGATTTCTGGCCAAGGGAGAGAAAGATGAAGCAAAGATGGTTGAGGCAAGGAAGAAGTATGATGCTGCCTTGGCAGACAAGATTCTACATCTGGAGGAGAGACCGGAATTGATAGTCCTTGCGGGTTGGATGTGGGTGTTTTCTTCCGACTTCCTACGGCCACTGGAAGCAGCAGGTATCAAAGTTATAAATTTGCATCCGGCCCTTCCCGGTAAGTCCATCGAATGTCCACTGGCATATAATGCACTTGCTAATCGACTGACTAGGGCAATTTGATGGTGCCCATGCAATTGAGCGAGCTTACGAGGACCTTAAGGCGGGAAGGATTACGCACACGGGCATCATGGTTCACTATGTTATTCAGGAAGTCGACAGAGGCGACCCCATTCTTATCCAGGAAATTGGCTGGGAGGGAGAGGAGCTTGATGCGCTGGAGGCGAAGATTCATGCTCATGAGCATGAACTGATCGTGAAGGCTACCGCAAAGGTGGCTGGAGAGATAGTAGAGGGACGGAAAAAATGAAAAGTGTTTTAAACTCTCATAGTATAAACAGAGCTTTCATAAAACCACCTTGTGTGGAGTACAAACATGACAGTGTGAACAGCAGTGTACCTACCATATGGACATAACATAGATGTATTATAAAACATCATATAGCCTGCTATATACTGCCAATATGTTCTATTACCTAGGCAGTTTACACCTGGTATCTCAACAGCGTTTGGGCTACTCTCCTCTACTATTACTAGTTTATCTGTTATCACCACCGTCTGAGATTTGGAAATATACGTGGTGGTGCTAGTTAGCTACTCCCCTTGCCATTGATCAAATAACTTTTGATTGACTATGACTATACGAAAAGCGCAGTCTCACTAGCATGGTTAGTCACTCAAGAGCTTTGTAAACTTGAGTCTCTATGTCAGCCCACAGTCCCACAACTTTACCATCTCCGAATGGAAGGATCTGGGAGCAAATCATCCCAGCCACGCCCTTTTCGCGATCACACCACCACCATAAGTTCGCCAAACCAGCCCAGTGAACAGTTTCTTTAGATCTCCCAGTGCCGTTGCTATTAGCCTTCATGAAAGTTAAACCCCATCCCTGTGGTGGACTTCCATGCACTGCATATAGCTCGTCAATAGCGCTGGTTAGATCAGGTTTAGCAGCGGGAATGCCTTGGCGACTGTAGTTGGGAAATTGCGGAATCTGGTTACGGAACATCTCTTCCACTGTATCTTTGAGCAATAATTGGCTTCCAGTCCTGGGACAAGTGCCGTCGTTCAATAACACTGCCAATATCTCTGTTCGAATTGCTCAGCTGCTGCTTTACGACTCAAGGCATGAAGCTGGTAAGAAGGCCCACGACTTACTGCAGAATTCTTGAGGCTTTGCAAACATGCCCGCGCCACCACTATTAAACACCCGGCTTGTCTCAAATTCGTCATCGGGATTGACGACCAGCGGGATTCGAAGAAGATGATCCCGCGGTCGTATTTTTCCATCTACAGCTCTGGAGTGCATATATGCAAGACGACTTCGCATGTCTTTATTTGGGAACATGGACATATCTTTGATGCCGAGAGGCTGGAATATATGATTCTGTATATATGCGTTGAGATTAAGTCCGGTAGTGCGTTCGACAGCTATTCCAGCCCAATCGATGCTCGTCTAATGGGAATCACATGTCAGCCACTTTGTCGCAAATGCCGAGCTACAAAATTCTTCAAAGAAACGTCGAAACTTACACCATATTCCCACCCTTCTCCAGGCTGAAATAGCAGAGGAAGAGAGGTAATATCTTCAACTCGTCCAGAAAACTCTTCTCTCCCGACTGGAAAAGTCCAATTCCTCAGCCGTTCATTGAAAAAGGTGTAGCCAAACCCAGAAGTATGGGTTAAGAGCATTCGAAGGGTAATTTTCTTGTTTTTAGCTTCAAAAGCTCCATCATCACGCAACACTTTCATCTCCTTGAGCTCATGAAGAACATTCTCAAGATGGTCGCCATCATCTAGCCTCAGGATTCCTTGCTCTACAAGCTGCATGCAAGCAATCCCCGTGAGCACCTTGGTACAAGATGCAATCCAAAAAATTGTGTCGAGAGTCATTGGATCATTTGATGTCAAACCTCGCTTACCAGCAGAGTGGGCAAACAGTTCTTCGCCATTCTTATCAATGACTACAACCGTAACACCAGGAATATCAATATTGGGGTCAACGCATGCTTTGTTGACTGTATCTTGTAGCTTGGATAGAGTTTGAGTACTGAAAGGCATTTTGGTAATTGAAAGGTGAATATAAGATAGATAGATAGATAATTGGCAAAGCTTTGATGCTAGTAAATGGACTCACCCTGCTTTTGTGTTTTGTCGCATCCGGGTGTGCGTCATGCCCCCTTTGCGTAACGTGGAGAGTCCGACTCTGTGCAACTTTGCCACGCTTTCACATGAATCTCATGACCAAACAAATACCACCTGTATCCGTGTCTCTATTCGCCTCTGCATACCGATAGGACACGTATCCTTGTTTCAGTTCATCTCTGCATATTGATATGACACGTATCATTGGTTCAATTCACTTCTGCGGCTTGCGTGCCGTTCCGCCTGCATTTTCCCCCTCTTTTTTATCCCGATCCGCATGTGAAGGCGTTTCAACTTACCAAAGATGTAACATTATTCGCTCAACAGTCCGCTGCGGGGATATTCTCAATGTAGGCAGCAAAGACATTTGACGCCACAATCAATATGCGTGATGAGTTGGCTGGCTACAGACTGGCAAATGCAGGGAGAGATCAGTTATCGTGAGGTAACAATTATAACATAAGATAAGACTTGTATTTAAATATCAAGTTTCAGCACACCTCAAAGGCCTCTCCAGCTCATTTCATATTCAAGTAAAACTTTTCTACTCTCTCTCTTATCTCTTGCACCCTATAATCCATCATCATGGGTGAAAACTTTCCCTCAGGGTCCAAAAAGTTCAACACTGAACTTACCGACTACTCGGTGTCACATGCTGATAAGACTGGTCCCTATGCGGCAGATCTTGACATTGACGCCATCGTGGTTGGAGCAGGCTTCGGTATGATAAATCAATTGCGTACTAGGAATATTCACTACCATTGTTAACAACTTTGCCCCTACTCATATAGCTGGCATATTCATGCTCAAGACTCTACGCGATTGCGGCTTGAAGACATACATCTTCGAAGCTGGTAACGACACCGGTGGTACGTGGCGCTGGAATTGCTATCCAGGTGCTTGTGTCGACTCTGAGGTGCCTGAGTATGAATTTTCCTGGCCCGAAGTCTGGAAGACATGGAATTGGCCGAGCAACTACCCCAATTACGAGAGTCTGCGAGCATACTTTGATCATGTTGATAAAGTGATTGGGGTGAAGAAAGACTGCTCTTTCAATACAGTTGTCGTTGGAGCTCACTTCGACGAAGCTGAGGGAAAATGGAACATACGTACCGAAGATGGTCGTACAACAAAGGCCAAATACCTTATTCTTGGTACAGGATTTGTAAGTATAGATATTATCCATATCCTCTACCTCTTTGAAGCGTTTTGTTCCAGGGCTGATGCTGGGGGCGAAAATTACAGGCTGCGAAGAGATATATTCCTGATTGGCCTGGAATGAATAAATTCAAAGGTGTGATCCATCACTCTTCGTTTTGGCCAGACGAAAAGATCGCCGTCAGTGGGAAAAAATGTGCCATTATCGGTACAGGAGCATCCGGGGTACAAATGGTCCAGGCGTGGGGCCCGGAAGCTGGAGAAATAAAGGTTTTCCAACGCACTCCCAACCTTGCTATTCCGATGCGTAAGCGAGATCTTACTGTTGATGAACAAGAAAAGGCCAAGAATTATTACCCAGAGTTATTCAAATATCGCGAAAAGACTTTTGTAGGTCTTCTCTATGACTGGGCTGAGAAAAACACGTTTGACGACACTCCGGAGGATCGCGAAGCATTTTACGAGCAGGTCTGGAAAGCTGGCGGATTCCGGTACTGGGTCGCCCTCTACAAAGATAACCTGATGAATGCCGAGGCAAACAAGGAGTCATACAAGTTTTGGGCCAAGAAAACTCGTGCTCGAATTGATGACCCGAAAAAGCGCGATATTCTTGCTCCGCTTGATATGCCTCACTTTTTCGGAATCAAACGACCATGTCTGGAGAATAACTACTACGAACAGTTTAATAGGCAAAATGTTGATATCGTAGACATCAGCAACAATGCAATCAAGGATATTGATGAAACTGGAATCATACTTGAAGATGGAACTCATCATGAGTTTGACGTTATTGCAGTGGCAACAGGCTTTGTGAGTAATCTGCAAGATTATTTCATCACGTTCTGCATCACAACTCTAACACATTCTTTTCAATAGGATATCGTGACCGGAGGTATGACACCCAATTAAAAAGATATTAATAATTCTCCAATGCACTAGGTTACTAACTCTCCACAGTCATGACACAATTAGGACTCGAAAGCATATCCAAGACCAAGCTTGATGAAGAATGGCTCTCTGGCGCTCACACATACCTAGGGCTCACCGTCAGTGGATATCCCAACATGTTTCATATCTATGGCCCACAAGCTCCAACCCTTCTTAGCAATGGTCCAACCACTGTGGAAGTACAGGGCCGATGGATCGCTGACTGCATCCAAAAGATGCAGAAGAATAACATCAAGTACATCAACCCGAAACGTGAGGCATCTGTGGCTTGGAAGAAGAACATCATCGATATGAACAACCAGATGCTATTTCCGACTGTGAGATCAACTTATATGGGTGGAAGTATCCCTGGGAAGGTATATGAACCTGTGTGTTTTCCGGGTGGAATTCCCATGTATGCGATGTCAATTCGCACGGCGCTTGATGATATGTCGGGGTTTGACGTGGTTTCAAACTAAAAGACGGTGATACCAGATTGTCTCGATGTATTATTACATATATAGAGATGTTTCGGTGACCAGTAGAATGAGATTCGGTCTCTTAGTTGAATAGCAGTTGAATAGCAGTTGAATAGCAAAATAGAGTCCTTAGTCTAGCAAGGTTAGGGGAGGTCATGAGATAACGTTGCCGGGAAGAAAATTGCGATCGTCTGCAGAAGCTGTTTCATCTCAATGACTGAAATAGGTGCTGCTTTCACAAACATGACATTTCTCCTGCACACCATTATGACGAAGAAATTTGTAGCTTTTGGTCAAACAAGTCCAGACAGTATAATACATTCTAAAGCCTTACCCAACATATTCCTCATCAGTGCCATCACGAGTCGTGGGGAATATGCTTCGGTCCTAGAGAGATATCCATGCATTCATGAATGTAAAGGAACATTGTACAGTGAATCAACTTTTGTTTCCATTCGTTTTAAAAACTATCATTTGCCCTTGAAGTACCACATTCGAGCAACCACACTTCTCCCCTTGCATACTACATTCGAGCTTCAGCCCACCGCCAGCCGTCCTGACTCTATTGTAGAGGGAGTAGGCAATGTATAGCGGTCAATGGTTAGTATCTAGAGCTTTCTAATTGAACCAGTTGAACTCAATTACACAAGGGGGCAGCCTTCCAGTGTTAAAGCAGGACGAAATGGAAGCGCACCTTAGTGTATATGCTTCATCTGATAATCATCACTCTCTCAATCTTTCTCTAATATCTGGTAACTAGAAGTAGCTACGGAAGGGGTTTCTCTAGGTACTTCCCATATGTTATATACTGTCAGGCTAGGGATATAATTGGGTGCTGGGCAGACATTCTCTTAACGCACTACCTACTGAGTGTCGTCGAGAGGCAGCGTGCTGATGCCCCCTATCCACCACTTCCGTCGACGTCATTGCCATTGCCACCTCGATACGCTCCTGGTGCCTGCATCCCGCTTCTGAACCCCACGTGGCGGATGAGGATTTAGACTAGGCTTCTTGGACCATGGCTCTGGTGCAGACCATACAGGACGACACGCCCTTGAATGTATGCGCAAGAAACCTCCAGCTTGGTTACAGAAGATATTTTTTTTAATAAAACTTTCGGATGTAGGTAGCTATCCGTTTCTTTAAATGAGCTCCAAATGTTCATACATGTACTTATTGTGCTTCATGTTGATTGGTCAGCTCTCCCCATCACTGCGTCTGCGCGTGTTGACTTAGCGCTTTGAGCAAATACTACCTCATACATACCTACCTACCTACCTCGGCAGCGTTTATACGGGGTACATGTACTCTGTCTGGTATGGTATGGAGTAGAACGTTTACATTCCCCTCAACTTACTTTAGCTCCCATGACCCCCTTCTACCACCTCACTCAGTGTTACCGCTACATTTTCTATCGAACCACTGTTCTTTCATTTCAATTGAATTTGCTTTCACGAATCCCACAAAATCCGAAATGGCGATGTCTGTTAAGGGAAAATATGCCCTTATTACCGGCGGCGGCACAGGTACAGCGGCACCGCCAGAGAACTCCGCATCGCCTCTTGTATTATGCAGCTAAATTTCCGACTACAGGTATTAACCTCGCCTTCGCTCGATTTCTCCTCAGCCAAGGCTGCTCAGTCATTATTGGAGATCTTAGGCTTACACCTGAGGCCGAAGCTCTCATCAACGAGTTTCCCCATCTGAATCTAGATAACGGCCAACCATCCGCGTTATTTCACCAAACTGACGTAGTATCATAACCACAGCTCTCATCGCTCTGGCAAAGGGGGCTTGAGGTATTTCCAAGGATTGAAATTGTAATACCTGGCGCTGGGTTATATGAACCGCCTTGGTCCAGTTTCTGGCAGCCGCCTCGTACTGAGACAAACCCACATTCTGCATCTCTCGACTTTGCCGATGCTGAGCAGGGGCACTATGCCATCTTGGACGTCAACCTAACTGCCCCTATACGTCTGAGCCAGTTGGCCATTGGATATTGGACACGAAGCAAACTCCCTGGCTGCATTGTTCACCTTGGGAGCATAGCTGGATACATTTCCGGGCCCGCTACTCCTTTGTATTATGCTAGCAAACATGGTATTCACGGTTTCGTGAAATCTCTGGGCGATCTACGCGATCACTTAGGTATTCGGATCAGTGCTGTCGCTCCTGGGCCCGTACTTGTAAGTAGAATAGGCTGTTGCATAAGCTTATTGCCTATATAATCACAAGACTGACTTGTTTACAGACTGCCATATGGAATAGCGATCAAGCCAGACAGGACACGCTAATGAAAGATGCAACGTATGTTCCTGTAGAAGAAGTCGTGGCGGCAATGTACGAACTCGTCGTTAATGAAGAATATGGCAATGGAACAATATTGGAGGTTACAGCCGGTGCGACAAGAGTGGTTCCCAAATTTAATGCGCCTCCTCCAATGGCCGGGTCATTGGTGGTAACAAATGCGAAGTTCTATTATGCCCAACTATTTGAGGATCTAAAGACCAAAGGCTTACAAACTTAGAACCAAAATAGCCACCTCCTGATCGTTCCGGTGGGATACATCGAAATAATCAGCCAGTTCTATGTCTTTTTATAGTTTAGAGCATGAAAATTGGCCCAGATTTGATAGCCTACGAAAACAAGCATTGTCAGTTATCCATCAGTCATGAAGTTGTGATTATGGAAAGCCTTTCTTAAAGCCCGAAATTATCTAGTCCTCTAGTCGTATCACTAATAGAAGATAAAATCTTACTGTTACGCACTAAATTCGCAAATGCAGAAATCAAATTGAACACTGAACTACTTCCTCTAAAATTATCAACTAATAAAACATCAGGTAGCATGAAACACCAATCAATCACCCTGTAACTACCTCAGCAATGCCTACTTCACTAGTTTTTCGTTGCGGAGGCTTAGTAAGCCTTGCCAGTGTCGACAATCTCAGTGAGATTGACATTACCAGTTTTGAGGATGGTCTTCTCCTTAGGGATGGCCTCAATAACATCGGAAGAGATGTTCAAGTGGTCAATGATGGTCTGCTCAGGAGTCAGGGCAAGCCACTGAGCAACAGAGATATCAGAGAAGTGAGAAGCCTGCAAGACCTCAAGGAAGATGAGATCCTCAGTGCCGGTGTTCTCAATGTAATGGGCATCAGCCTGGGGGATGTAGCCAACATCGCCAGCAGTGAAGTCGAAGGTGTTGGCAGAGCTAGGGGCCTTGTAGAGAGTAGCACGACCAGAACCCTGGAGGAAGTAGTCCCATTCATCCGAAGTTGTGTGCCAGTGGAGCTCTCGCATAGCACCAGGCTGAACAGTAACCAGAGCGGCGGAAAATGTGGAGGCGATGGGGAAAGTAGTAGGATCCAGGATCTTGACAGAGCCTCCCGGAGTCTCGAATGCCTTTTGCTGAGACCAGTGGTATGTGTAGCCGCTAGGTCCGGTGAGGGAACCGTTGGGTCCAGTAATGTTCTGCTTGCTAATATCCTTGGGCTGAGGGGTTCCGTTGAAGATGTAGAGCTGGTTATTCGGCAGGTTCTTGAAGGCGTCGACGGGAGCGCGGAAGTTCTTGGACAAGACGGAGCGAGGAGTACGGGCAAACATCTCAGTAATGAGGAAAGTTCCGTTCTCATCAAAGTCACCCTGGTCGAACACAAGCAAGAACTCGGCACCGTTCTCAAATGCCTGAATAGAGTGGGGAACACCGGCAGGGAAGAACCAAACGTCACCCTCGCAAAGATCGTCGGTAAAGGTCTGGGAATTGTCGTTAATGGCCGCAACGCGAACGCATCCCTTCAACATCAAGGCCCATTCGCCGGCAGTATGCCAGTGAAGCTCACGGTAAGCGTGAGGCTCGAGCTTCATATCAACACCAGCCATATCTTTAGCAGCGGGAAGCACGGCAGTGTTTTGCTGACGGGCCCAACCAGCCCTGCCAGAAGCACCTGGGCGGTTGTGAGATAGACCAAGGGGCCAGACGGCATTTGGCACAGCGCCCGAGTCCGTTCCGGGGGCTGCAAACAGATCGGGGTTCAACTTCTCATACTCAAACGTGCGAGGACCAGCATCGCTGCCACCGAAGGCACCACGGATGGGCTGCGGTTCATCAACGCTGTTGAAGTCGAGATATAGGCCAAGGTTGGCATCTGCATCCTGTCCAGGAACTTCCTTGACGTTTTTAACAACAGCAGTGCCATCGCTAGTGTCCGGAATTGGAGCAACACCTCCCTGGAGTCCGGTGCTACCATAAAGACTGCCAGAGGCAGCAGTAACGGTAGGAATCGGAGGAGTGACGCCCGCAACAGGCCCGGTATTCTCACCGAGTGATTGAATCCTATGGTATATTCTGTTAGTGTCCAAATTCTCTTCGTTCAGAAACAAATTGGAAAGGAATATTGCCATACTGGGGAGCTGGAGCTGCCGCCACCAGCATCGCAGGCAAAAGGCCCGCAATGGCAGAAGAAAGCTTGGGCTGCATTTTGAAGGTGATTTCCTGGGTTGATTTCCTCGATTGTTTTTAGGTATCTCTAAAATCTGCTGGATGCTGCCGATGCAGAGGATGAGAAGCGAGTGGTGAACTGATTTTGACAGCAGCGTCTTGGCCGTTTTATATTAATCGACGTTCTTCACATATCCCAATTCTGGGCCCGAGATTCGAGTTCTGTGCTCCGTGCTCCTCATTGCCTCCATCAATTTCATCCACGGTGATGGACTCTCCGACTCGCCGAGGAATGCCGATCCAAGATACTCGCGGTAATAACTCGATGATGGGACAAGTTTGGATTGGGTCGCACGATATGTAAGCATATCACGTCAACCTCCATGTAGTCAAATGTTGCTTGCAATCCACTCCCAGGCACCGGTGAGGGTACTCCATCTGTATGATACGATCCCTGCCATATGGTGATTCGTCATAGAGGCTGTGTACCCGTATGGTGCTTTGTGATTTACAGCCATATTTCGTGTAGTACGGTCGGCCCGAAGGAGAAATATTTCCGTTCTAATTTGAACTCGGGGCCAGAGTCCGACTGTAGTCTGTAGCAATGTACGGACTAGTACTTGTGCACTTGTAAATACCGAGTTTCTGTTGCCACACTGTAAGTTACCAATACAGAAGAAGATCGTCTTATTCCGCCTCGTTACGGGGTATCGACCCATCACTTACCAGAGCGCGATGTCTAGAAATGGAAAACTTCAAAGACAGGATTGGCCTACTTGAAGCCGAAACATCCGTGAATTTGCATCAATCAAAGTCCACCATGTCACATCGTGACGTGAATTCACTTACAACTTGGTGGAGCGTTTTGGTCAACCCATGAAAACATCATGGCAAACTCGTTCCGATTATCCGTTCAACGGGCCACGGATCCTTTATACTCAGCAGAACAAACTCCATAAATGTAAGACACTAGACGGCTGTGCGACCCCCTCACTCAATTATCGGCCGTAGGGCAACGAGGTCTGCCGGTTATGGTCCAAAAATGAAGCTGTCAAGGCTTCTCTATTGGTCCATTGGCGGGCCGTACCTAGACCCATGATGATATGCGGGGACTAGGGGAGGGATTGGCAGCTATTTTTTGCCTCCGAGACGCTAAGCCGGGCGGGACGAAATTATATTACCACCCAGTGTCTTGGGCTGGGCGGAGGACGTAGTGGTACACGGAGCCTTAGAAGCCTACACCAAAAGCAGCATGCGCTTCGAGATATCCTCGAACATGCTTGGTACTTCAAAGTACCATCTTCAGCTTAGGTACAATCTTCAACTTCAGCATCGGGTTCGGGATTAAGTCGGGATTCTGACGTTGCAATACCTGCCGGCACTCCGAAGGAAACATTGCTTGGCGATGTGTCGTCGCATTGAAGACCTGTCGTAGTAGTGTCTGCGTGGGTTCTGATCTGAACGTCGACCATGATTTGAGATCCACATATCGACGCATTAAAAATAGTAGCTGAGTGGTCAAGAACTATGAGAACGTTGATTTTAAGATTACTGGAGGTAGTTCAAGGTTATATCACCTTGTCTCCGCCCAACAGGTGCTGAGAGGCACCAGATCAACCTTAAGTTAGAATGCTTAGTTGGTATTTACCTACCGTCTACCTTCCGTGCGCCACACAGAGATCTACACGCCCGTCATCGCGTATACTAAACTAGGAGTGAATCCAGAACGCTACTAGCGGTATTTTGAGATGGTAAGGGAAACCACGCTTCATTCATTCTAGTTGCGTATGGACATAGCCTAAGTACAACTTCGTGGAATAGCCTCAAAATCTAGGGTAGTGGTGCTATGCCCCAATGCACAGTTCGCCTGCTAGGTAACAGCGGAACCCAAGTTTGGAGTCCATCAATCAGTCGTTGCTATCCCAATCGGATCGCCACGCGGTTCCTGCGCAGGCCTTCCCTGCTTTGGGCCACTTAGTAGTTCAGCGAACTCCACGCATGAGACAGGGTTCCAAGGTGCAGGGTTCCAAGGTTCGTGGTCTCGATCCGCCTATTCCGGGCTTTTTTGCTCGTTCGCGATCCCACTGCAAGATGTAGACTGATAACGTGCACGCATTCGTATGTACTACTATATATAGTGTTTGTCTAACAATGGCTACCGCGGCATCTGTAACAACTCTCCCTCGGCTTTTACATATAAGCTGGGCGACTCGAAGCTGCGGGATTAATATCCTTCATCTTCCTACTCATATCTGTATTGATGACGATACCCAGTTTTCGGATCCTGAGGCAGGGACTTCTAACTCTGGTTTACTTGAGCGCATATTACCAGGCTGTAATGGTTTATTGGTACTCTATAGGCGAGTGATTGGGACGATATTTTGAACTGTTGGGCTCTTACGTGGCCATGTCAGTTGGCTGGAAGTGACACATTAAAAGTAAGTGTCAACGACCGAGCGAGATTATATAGCCGTTTAGTGCCCCAGCGATGTCGTGCAGTTCAAGTGTCAAGGCGAGACGGTATGGAAGTGACTTTTATCTACATGTACTTAGTCCTTCTAGTATCTGCTATTATCGCTCTCTTCCTCTAATATCCAGTATTAGTTAGTGAAGGTAGGTAGGTTGGTGCTAGGTAGTTATTTAGGTATATGCGTTCTGCTATGGCAATTATGACACAAGATCACTCCTTTAATTGAATAGTGAACTTCATATTTGGCCAGTGTTCTGCAACCTCTATCAAAAGCTCCCCAACACCAAGATAATTGACCCCCAGAGTACCCTATTACATGCGCAGGATATATTAGGATAGCCCCAGTGAATTGTTCCATGAAGAAGACGGGACGAGTCTCTAATATTGTCTACATCACCAGTAGCGTTCGCCTTTTTGCAGTTTCCCTTTATTCCGACAATGCCACGGGTCGTCGGATCACGCCGGCATAATAAACCATGAATGGCACTGGTATACCCTCCATGAACAAAGGAGATTCAGAGAATAATTGTCTTGGAATTTAAGGCGCTTGAGGACAACACGAATTGCCTTCTGTGGGCGCTTGACTCCAACTCCGGGAATCATACCCGGGAGCTTCCATGAGCCTTTGGCATTTTTTCCATATCCCACAATGTGATGAAGCAAGCAGCAATGTCCATGAATTCTTTCTCGGCAAACGTCCTTCCCCTGCATACTGCTGATCCAGATCCCCATGGTTCAAGTTCTCCGTATCGGGCGACTCGGGAGCCAGTCTCTTTATCTGTTTCAATGAACCTATCTGGAATAAATGTGCTGGGGTCGGGAAAGATTGATGTATCGGATTGGAGAAGGGTTTGAGGTGTTGAAAGCCAGGTTCCCAGCTTGAGATGGTGCTCATAGTTGCCATCCGGCACCTTCATAGGCTTTGACGCATTTCGAATGGATGTTAGTTCTTCAACCAGCCTAAAAATCTCCAAGAGGGATGACTCCGGAAGTGGACACTCGTGGCTCAGGCGGGAAAGCCGAACGCGGTGATTTGCGGTGGGTAAACTGCCGTAGACAAAGACATGTAAGAGTTGACCTCTTTCCGCAATTCGTCTAATAGTCCAGGCGTAGAGTCGATATAACGCGAATGGATGCAAACCGCTCCCATTGGTATTATTTCCGGTCATCTGATGAAAAGTTAAGCAGCTGGGCTACTTTTCCCGGAATATTGGCAGTCTGGATTGGGGCAGTTGCCGAAGCCTCGTTTACAAAGTAGCGTTCAATTGTCTGTGTCAACTTCCTATTTATGGACATAAATTCTGTGCCAGTATCTTGAATGAGTTTAGCACCGAAGACACGAATACCCAAACGCGATCCCAAAACATCCGCACTGAGGATATGCGGCGCCTTGGTAAAACCTCTGTCGATTTTGTCAAGGTTGTGCAGAATTTGATGTTGTGAGGTAAGCCCAAATAGAGACCCTTTCCCGCGTGAAATAAATGATTTAACCTCTAATTGGCGGAACATAATTGTAGAGTACTGATGGCAATACGAAGGAAATATTTGATGCGGTGTCACAAGCTTAAATCAATGCGCTACTCACGCCAACCTCCAGCAAGAACGCACGGAGGAAAGTCATCTTTTGGCTGGTCCTTTTGAAAGCGTTAATACACCTAAGTAGACGCGACAAATAGCGCAACTAAGAGAACAAGATAGGATGTGACAGATATTGACGTGTCCTGGCCTCGAATTGGCGCGAAACTATCTCTGTCTATGCTCTCTGCCATGTTCAAGGCAGCACCCACGAATCCAGAGAATCGGATCTCCCATGGTGAACGATGCAGGGGATGTGCCGCATCTACGGTACTTTGTAATAAACGACTCCTGCTAGACAGCTAATACGAACTAGTATTTGAGATGACTTCGTTTCAGCACTAGCAGTTGTTCGCGTATTTCACCTTAGGGCTCAGTGGCTCGAGCGGTCTACCTTGAATAGATTACGGAGTATCTGTCAAAAAGTATTATAGTTCTTGGTAAATAGAAGGGTAAACATCCCTGCGATAGGAAAATACAATCAATTGGATTCATTTATTCTCTTGAATGCCTACCTTTACCCTGGTTGATGAATGTTTTCAGATACGCCAACTTAAGCGTTCTCCCTGTACTGGTATCTTGATACGAGAATCAACCATATCAATTAGTTAGGTTATACGGAGTATTTTGAAGTGCATTATCCCAATTTGTGCTGTAGAGCCACTTCCAGTATGTGTGGCCTTTGATTGGATATCCTCGGAAAAGTAAGAATTACGTCCCACAACCCATTCTCCATGTTAGGACAGCTTGTATTACGGATAAACACATGTAAGCATATGAATCCAAGACGGAAACACACACTTATCAATTTATTTGCGATATACGCGCCTATTTACGTTGTCATACTATATACAGCAGCGAGTTGCATCGTCTTTCTAGACTCAAGTGCTCTTGGTAGTGTCCCAGATGACATTGCCAGAGCCGTCCTTGATCTGAATCCAAGGTGCCTGGTTGAGGACAACCATGGTCTTACCCCTGCCCGAAGTGTTCGTTTGCCATTGAACGGCATTGTTGAAGTAAGTTCCCAGGTTACCGCTAGAATCGAACCTCAGTTGGCATCCAGAAGGGCTACCGCATCCCTGGCTCAGGGTGTGCCCACTGGCCCAGACAGGTTTGCCAGCCTGGAGAACGACAAGGTTGTTATCACCCTGATACTGGGCAATGACATTGTGAAGGCTTGCAAATGGACCAGTATCGGTGGAAATGGTCAACTGTCCAGCGTTGAAGGTGACCGAGTTTGGAAGCGCGATAGTTGAGCACAAGAAATTGGTCGTATTGCCAGGGGCAGCGACAAATCCGGACTGCAGGTTCTGATTTCCAGTGAGTCCAGCTGGGTAGTAAATGAGATTTGCGTTCTGGTTGAAAACACTCTGGATTGGGGCGCTGCACTGGGAAGCATCGGAGAAGCTGGACTTGGGCGACGGAACGCCCGACACGGTGTTTCCGGTAACCTGATAAATATATTAGTGTACCATTACCGGATACTCCGAATCAAATGGAAAACACATACCGTTAGACCGTTAGACCATCCGTTGATGGCAATGGGGAAGCTGACGTGGCCACTGATGGTATTGCCAGTGACGGTAGCTGGGCCCTTCAACGGTGGCGGGGGATCACCAAAGGACCAGACGTTGGCGCCAATTCCAATGCCAAGGTTAAACAATTTGTTGCCTTGGATGTTGTTGTTGGTAACGCTGACGCCAGCGTAACTACCATCGTACTCGCCATCGACCATGTTGATGGCACCGAAGCCGACGTAGTCGGGGGACGAGATGATGGTATTGCCCGTGATGGTGCTACCAGGAGAACCAAAGATGACAATACCGCCATCAGTAGGGCCATTGATCTGTCACAGAGATGTAAGTTATGGATTCCCTCCTTATTCGAATCTATTACTTACAGTGTTGCCCTGTACAAGAGAGGCCGTGCAGTCAAGAGAGACGCCATCTGCCCACTGGCCATTTCCGTTGGCATCGGTACCAGACTGGCCGCATGGGCCGATGTCATTGTTGATGATGGTGACGTTCTTGCAAGGATTGTTGTTATCTCCAGAGCCAATGGCATGGAGACAGCTCCAACCACGAGGGTTCTTCGACGCCACGTTGGAGACGACCTGGCCGGTGGTGAAGCCGCCAATCTCGATGTTAGCAGCGCCACCCGGGAACAGGCCAGCTCCACCTCGGTTTCCATCAAGCTGAAGATTCTTGATACGAATATTGTTGAAGTTCTTGCCATAGATCAAGGTACTGGCAGAGCTGCCTGGAGCAACCTGAATGGTACCCCTTGTGCTACCGGTAGGGTAGCCCTGCGTGGAGATTTCCTGGTTGTCGGCAGTGAAGCTGATTTGACTCGTGATCTGAATCAACGCGTTGGCACAGAGCTGAACAACAGCACCGTTTCCTCCAGATCGAAGCGCATTGTTGATCGTATCTTGGTTACCCGAGGAGATGCAAGCGGCAGAGGCCAAAGCCGGCAGCGTAGCTGCTGTAAGCAGACTGTTTTTGAGAATCATACCGGGCTCGGTAGGGCAATCCTATAACCCAGACTAATAAGATAGTAGTTTGGGGGATAGTTGACAAGAGCGCCTGTTGAGTAATGAAGAATCCTGAGAAATAGAGCGAGTCCTAGCGCTCCTCTTTCTCGCTTTTATCTACCCAATTCGTCTCTCCTATTCATCTTGTCGCGAACTAGTACTCCATGTCATCGGCTCGTTGTGCGGCTTCCTTTTCCGTGGATCGGAAAACACGGAGTTTACATGTTTCAGCACCTAGTACGGAGTATACCGCCCCGACTCTCTGGAGTGAAAACGAAGTAAGCCCACAATCATCCGATGCTAAAATCCATATTACCTAGGTCTGATGCTGGTGTAATCGTCACCAAATAGTGCAGATCCCAGCCAGTGTCTGACAGCTAGGCACCAACTAGGCCAGATCAAGAAGCTCCCCGCTAGCCCCTTTACTTGCGAGCCCTTAACTGAAAGCTCGAAGAGCTTCTTGTGAATGGCGGATTATCAAGGGAGATGAAAAACGTGGTATGGAGTAGTAGTCGCCTCCCGCAAACCCATCGGCAGCATTCTCGGCTCGGCAGTAATCTCGGTCGATTTCCTACTGTCATTCGTAGCAAGGAGATGCATGCTTCGCCCCCCCTCACATTGGCTTCGTATCAAGCATCCTATGACGATGTTGCGTAACGACAACCAAAAACAAGATCGAGGACGGAGAATAAAGACTAGGGGAGAAAACTAACTCTGTTAAGGCGATGTGCCGGATTTACTATGCATGGTGGAAACGTTGGGTACCTGGAGCCGGCATTCCTAATGCTACACTGCAGGTTGTGCTAATATCACGTTGCTCTGATTTCACTTTAGGCTAAATGACAGCAAGATCTAGCCAGGCAATAAGCCTAACTGCAGTAGTGGCATCCTTCACCCTCTCCCGAGGCACACCAGTCGAAGCATCGCGACTAAACAATGCGGAGACGTACGAAGCACCAGATTGGGTTGCGGGGAAGGCCATGCCAATAGCTGTCAATGAAGGAGCCGCCGGTAATCTATCCTTTAGGAGACGGGAAAATCTGGGGAAAGCGATGGGTTTTAGGAAATTTTGAGATGTCATGTTCGTGCCCGTCGTATAGAGTAGCATTGGCGATGTAAGTGACCGTACCCGGAGATGGCGAGGATCGGCATACAAAATAGGGTTGACGGACCGGAGTTGGTCATATCCGTCGGGTCATAAAAATTTTTGCTCGATTTAGAAACTGCGAAGAGGCATGAAGCCATTTCTTAATGCAGTCAGAAAACTGCGGGCGAGAATGCGGAGAGCAATGCGCATGCAAAATAGATGTGTATATAATAGGTGACAATATGTTGCTTCGAAAGAGAGAAGTCAAGGCCATCATTAGGAACTCGGTGCACCGGTCGATGCTCTGATACTCTTGACTGTTTGGCGTATCTTCAAAGGCCATCATGGCGGGTCTACGCATACTACCATGGATGTACTCCATGGCTCTTTTCCACCTCGCTCAATCCCGAACTTGTTTGCCTGCGTATCAAGCACAGACAACTTACGTGGGTTGTTATCATGATCCAAACTCGCCTCGCGATCTCGCAGGGCCATTTTTGACTGTTGGAAATCTCAATTCGCCCCAATATTGTGCCAACCTCTGTGGTGCGGCTGGTTACCAATACAGCGGAGTTGAGTTCACCATGTGAGTAGCTGTGAAGCTTTAGAAATGAGACCAATTCAAAATCCCGACTCTGACCTTGATATCCGATAGTCAATGCTTCTGTGGTCACCGAATTGAAAGCACCTCCGTTAAGGCTGATGAGAGCCAATGCACTTCGCCATGCCCTGCGGACTCCAGCAAGATTTGCGGAGGCGGAAACATGTGTGTGCTCCTTTCCATGATCGAGCATGATGAGGAGCAGAGTATTTAACCTAACATAACCTCGCAGGATCAATATTTACTCCATCACTAATCCATCGCCAAATCCTCCCCTGACGCCTTCATTCCCCGACTGCACCCGCGATCCTCTTTGCAGCAATGATGTCTGTGACACCACCAAGAGCATCGCTGCCAGAGCTGCTGCTATCGTGAAACCCATGACTCTTAACGAGAAAGTCGCAAACGTAGGCAGTTCTGCTTCTGGCAGTGGAAGACTTGGCCTGCCAGCATACCAATGGCAGAACGAGGCACTCCACGGCGTTGCTGGCAGCACCGGTGTGCAGTTCCAGTCTCCTCTTGGAGCCAACTTCAGCGCGGCGACCAGTTTCCCTATGCCTATTCTTCTCTCTGCCGCTTTTGATGATGCTCTCGTCCAGAGTGTAGCCACAGCCATCAGCACTGAGGCTCGTGCATTTGCCAACTATGGATTTGCGGGATTGGACTTTTGGACGCCAAATATCAACCCATTCCGTGATCCGCGCTGGGGCCGAGGTATGGAGACTCCTGGAGAGGATGCCTTCCGCATCCAGGGTTATGTGTTGTCCTTGATCAATGGTCTTCAGGGCGGCATTGATCCTGACTTTTTCAGGACAATCTCGACGTGCAAGCACTTCGCTGCTTACGACATTGAGAATGGCCGTACTGCGAACAACCTTTCACCTACCCAGCAAGACATGGCTGACTATTATCTTCCAATGTTCGAGACCTGTGTTCGCGACGCAAAGGTCGGATCTATCATGTGCGCCTACAACTCAGTTAATGGTGTTCCCGCTTGTGCGGATAGCTATCTTCTTCAATCTGTGCTTCGGGACGGCTACGGGTTTACTGAGGACTTCAATTATGTTGTCTCCGACTGCGACGCCGTCGAAAACGTCTATGACCCTCACCACTACGCCGCTAACTTGACTCAAGCTGCTGCCATGTCTCTTAATGCTGGCACCGACCTTGACTGTGGTAGCTCTTACAACGTCTTAAATGCCTCAGTGCAAGCTGGCATGACAACAGAGGCTACTCTCGACAAATCATTGATCCGGTTGTACTCTGCACTCATCAAGGTCGGATGGTTCGACCAACCCGCCAAGTACAGCTCACTTGGCTGGGGCAATGTCAACACTACACAAACCCGAGCTCTTGCTCATGATGCAGCCACTGGAGGAATGACTCTTTTGAAGAATGATGGCACTCTTCCACTTTCCCCCACCCTCCAGAATGTTGCCGTCATTGGCCCGTGGGTTAATGCCACTACCCAGCTGCAGGGCAACTATGCTGGTACAGCACCAGTATTGGTAAATCCTTTGACTGTCTTCCAGCAAAAGTGGCGCAATGTCAAGTACGCTCAGGGAACCGCCATCAACTCTCAGGACACTAGCGGCTTCAACGCTGCCATCTCTGCGGCGAGCTCCTCGGATGTCATTGTTTATCTTGGAGGAATTGACATCTCCGTGGAGAATGAAGGCTTTGACCGGACCGCAATCACTTGGCCCGGAAATCAGCTGAGCTTGATCTCTCAGCTCGCCAATCTTGGCAAGCCCCTAGTCATTGTGCAGTTTGGAGGTGGTCAAATTGATGACAGCTCCCTGTTGAGCAACTCTAAGGTTAATTCCATCTTGTGGGCTGGATACCCCGGTCAAGAGGGTGGCAATGCCCTCTTTGACGTCCTCACTGGTGCCAACCCGCCAGCCGGTAGACTTCCTATCACACAATACCCTGCGAACTACGTCAACAACAACAACATCCAAGACATGAACCTGAGACCATCTGGGAGCATACCTGGACGCACATACGCATGGTATACCGGCACTCCTGTCCTTCCATTTGGTTACGGACTGCATTATACCAACTTCTCTGTGTCATTTCAATCCACAAAGACTTCCGGCACAGATGTCGCCACTATCGTCAACAACGCCGGATCAAACAAGGATCGTGCCACATTCGCAACCCTCGTGGTGAACGTTAAGAACACTGGTGGTAAAGCAAATCTGGCATCCGACTACGTCGGCCTGCTGTTCCTTAAATCTACAAATGCCGGCCCCGCGCCTCATCCGAATAAGCAGCTGGCCGCGTACGGTCGTGTCAAGAAGGTTGGCGTTGGAGCGACCCAACAGCTAACTTTGACAGTGAACCTTGGATCACTTGCTCGTGCGGATACCAACGGTGATAGATGGGTTTACCCTGGTGCCTATACTTTAACCCTAGACGTCAATGGCCCACTGACGTTCAATTTCACCTTAACTGGCCAAGCAACGAAGATCAGCACTTTGCCAAGAAGGTCTTAAGTGATTGAAACTGGGAATTAATGTATATAGTGTCAGTTTAACATAGTTGCCCACGCCAATTGACTTGATTACGATACGGAGCTCTATAAGTCGGATCTATATTTGACCTTACCGTCGCAAAAAGAACGTTCTTAACATATTGTGTCTCAAAAGCATTCCCGATGAAATAAAGAAATAGATTAACTACAAACTACTCTACTTATAGAACAAGTAACTGTCATTCAGTACAACTATTGATGCCATTCGTGTAGGGTGAGACAGCTTGTACAGAAAGGAGCTATACCCAGAGAGGATAAGAGTGGCCATGGGTAACAGGTGTGTAGTTTACAAAGTATTGCTCCATACCGAATTAAGGAGGGCTGAAACCCGCATAAAGAGCTTTGTCGGACATTCGGGAGTAATGTCTCTCCGATTGGCGTCGAGATTATCGGGTTGGCCTTGGGGGCTGCTGGTGAGAAGGTGGGTAGATTGGTGAGCTAGGATAGCATGCATACTTAATTCCGACTTTAGCAAAAATAGGTCCGATTTATCACAGCAAAAGAAGACAGATGATAGTAATAGTCCAATAACTCTTGCATTTGCACAAAAGGTATGGGAAAACCCAGAAGGAAAAACCCATACCAAGGTCAGCTAATACATACTATGGAATCAGGGATATTTATCCTTTGCCTAACCCCGCCCGAGTCCATTGGAGTAATTTCTAAACAACAGAAGATGCATGCGAAATTTAGAGTTTAGAGAAGACCAGCCTCACCAGGTTGGAGGACTCCGTTGATCTTGGCAGCACCATGAGCCCTAGCAACCATGCCATAGACGGGGAAATACTTGTCAAGGTAAGGAATGACCTCCGCGGCACCAGGAACATTTCGCCAGTCCCTCATGAGGTCGCAAACGATTGAGAACAGACTGACAACCTGCACACCTGCGTGTCTCATCCTGTCGTTGGATACATCGCGGACGAAGGTAGAAGAGCTGCCTGAAGCTTCGGCATTGGCCCACACGGAGTAGCCCTCAGCTCGGAGAGACAGGGCGAGATGAGCTGTGCAAACATCGGTCACAATTCCAGCAAGGATGATTTGGGTCCGGTTGGTAGCCTTGACAGCATTGCGGAAGTCCTTGTTGTCCCAGGCATCAACTTCGCCCTGGCGCTTGATGAAAGGTGCCTTGGGGTACATCGAGGTAATTTCCTTTGGCAGAGGCCCGTTGGGTCCTGGTTACACATTTAGCTCGTTATTCCATATGATATCAAATGGCAAACCACATACCTTGCTCTGCAGAGGTAGTCAAGATAACTGGTATATCAAACAGCTTTCCGATGGCGGCGTGGGCAATGATGCTCTCTTTGAAGGGAACAGGGTCGAAGTCTCGAACAGCGTTGTAGAGGCCATCTTGAAGATCGACGACAAGAAGGACCTTAGGGTATGTTAATTTGAGTATCTCCAAGGGGAAGAACTTTGCATACAGCCTTCTCTTTGTCGAGTCTTTCATATGGGTATTCTTCAGGAGAGCATGAACTGTTAGCGCTGGATAAATTTTCGTAGCGCTTGGGCGTTACTTACTGCTTCCCATAACGGTAGCGGACATCGAGGCGAGTGCCACGGCGACAGTTGAGAGGAACTTCATTGTTGCTAGTTGATGCGAGGAGTCTTGAGTCGAGTTTGAAAGTACTGGAGAGTGAGGCTTGTGAAATTAAGCTTGAGCTTGAGCTTGAGCTTGAGCTTGAGGAAAAAGAAGAAGCTCTAATGGGATTCATCTTGAATTATATACTCCAATACCCTTGTCTCGAAGTCTACCCCTCCGAAGGATCAACTTCAGAATACGGCTTACAAAATCCCTGGTGTTACAGTCTAACAGGGACATTTCCACCTTGCATGCACTATGAGGTCTTTTCTCTGCAGTCAGCAAATCCATCTAGTTGAGGCTATCCACATATTGTTACACGAAGAGTTGCGCCAGGATCTATGTCTCTTCGCCCGGTTTGTCTTGTTCTTCTATCGTGATTAGTTGATTAGGCCGTAATGATGACTAGTTCCTGACCTGTCCCTGGCCCTTGTTATGTAATTGTAGTGTCAGCTCCGCTGCAGTCTCTTGATTGGCCCCAAATGATGTACAGCGCGCCTTATGAGATAAAGTTGCCCGAAGTTCCACCAATAATAAGTTACCTCAGCAATTACGCTATGTTGACAAGTGGCTGACATTAATGAAGCCAAGCCGCGAGGGATGCGACGCATAGAGGGCAGCAAAATATTACCTAAGGTCGCCACCTTATCAACAACTATGTCATTAACTATATTGCTACTATCCACACTTCAACTGCTGTGTAATAGCTGAGTGAAGTATCATTGATACAGTTGGTGACAGGAAAAAATTCACCAGGTGGAAGATTTTAGCCTTTATTTATTCCACGCAATTGCATCAACTTAATGCATTCTCCTGTGTACAACGCGATCGTGAGAGGCATAGCGGAGAAAATCAGGAAGTTGATTTGCAAAAAAAAAAAAAAAAAAAGAAAAGAAAAGAAAAGAAAAGGGAAAGGGGAAAAAGAAGAAAAAAGAAGAAAAAAACAGGCTCGTTGTTGTTTCAAACTCTATCTTCAATTGCCTGTATCTTTTCCGAGCTGAAGTGCTCACGGCTTTCTGCTGGTCAGGCCCGTTGCTCGTTCTCGTTCGCGGGGTTCAGATATGTACTCTTGTCAAAGATTATGGGGCTATACGAAGTATGAGTAGCTTCCTTGTACATTGCAGATTATGGGCACCGCAAGGCTCGGCATTACTGTGTGCAATGCTGAGTACGTACATTACGTTCGTTCATAATTCATAACATTCTAGGTCAGCATCCGCCGGCAGAGCCTAGTGCAAACTTTGAACTGCCAACGGGAAAACAACCAATTTAATTGCAAAATGTGAATGTGTGATAAGGCCACGAGAAATTCTTCTAAATGGACTTATGTGATACACTCCTTTTATAAGATACACTATGATATGTTAATTAGGGGAAGTATGGATAATACCACAGCTATCAACATTACTCAGGCTTGACAAAGACTCTATAAAGGCGAAAATTTTGTATTTTGCCACTAATCCATCGACAGCGTACAAACATTTAGTGCATATTCCCGGACTATATGGTGAATATAGCCTGTACCATGCATATTGTGGCGCTGCAAATCTTGGTGCTTCCCCTTATGTATCATCTTTTAGTCAATCTCAGGCATTCATTACAACTAACCAATGGTATTTCCAATATGATCACGATGCCCAACTGCCGAGGTCTACTTGACACGCCTGAAAGGTTAGTGCATGTTTACATGTGGACACTGACATCTAGTTCTCATGATACGGAGCCTAAAAAGCCTGGTTCTCGCTTCCAGAGATAGGTAGCTATCTCAGGCTAACTATTATTGAGCAAGATAAGTGGCATGCAATTACATGTGGTGGTTAGGGGTTGGTGAAAACAAGAATGTCGTCGGATGGATGAATCTCTAGCCCCTTGCCAGTGGCAAATGAGGACAAGGGGCAGGGCAGCCTCATGCAAACGGTGCCATGTATTCGTTGAACTTGGCGTATGGACATATTGATTTTGTACCAGTTGGAGGGAAATATCAAAAATTGCCACGTCATATATGTCCATGTCCAAAGGTACCACCCCCAGAAAAATTCGTGAGTACGCATGTTCTCCTAGCTTAGCCCCTGAGGCTACCCCTGCTGAGATGGTAGTATTCTATGAATCCCGTATGGGTGCCTACCGGAATATTACCCACACCCAAGTACTAGAAGAAGTATTACGATGATTTCTTGCTAAGCTAGGAGCGATATCTGAGTCAGTTCAGTGTCATTGTTTGTGAACCCAAGAAAGCAGATGCTCTGCTAAGATTGTACTGAACAATTTCTCAACTAACACTAGTCGGACAAGACCTGAAACTAGAAATAACACGAACCCCTTAGCCGCCAAGAGACATTGATTGTTAGAAAACAATCGACAAATCCGAACGGCCCCAACTCACAGCTGAGTCGTCCCTAATCCCGACCTGGACACCACACTCTAGTTGGGCGTATACTCGGTCAGACTGCAGTTGTGTAACCAATAAGTGGCGGTGAAAAACGTCGGCCGCCACTCGAGTCTTTCACATTGCTACTCGGCTTTGTCGCAGCGCGATGGCGATGTTAATCTCCGGTTTCACATATCATCCCTACGTTCCTCCCACATATGATGATCGGATCATGCCCTCTCCATGGACACATTTGGATTGCTAATGAATGGGATTATTTGATTAACATATGTGCAAGAATTTTCATCCCTTCTTGACCCCGAGGACGCCATTTATCCGGCTATGCTACATCAGACCGGTTCGTGGGGCGCCGTTGCAAAGGTGTTGGTGATGATCCACGTCACCGCACTCAACTTGATCACACCTTGTCTTTAGGGGATATCGGCCGAAGGCTGGTTGCATTTAAGTTTATGATATATTAGCAACCCCTCGCAGTGTCCATTTGCGTTGATATAGAGGGTTCCAACCGACCCACAGATGCTGTCGCAAACCTTACCAATTCTTATGTAAATAGCGAACGGTTTTCGTCACACACTTTTCATCATTCAAGCGTGTGATGGACCCGCACCTCGGCGAACCAGCGGTTCCACATACTTCCACCTACAAATCAGATGCCGTACCCCAATAACCAATGTAGTAGCAGGGCACTTCGGATTGGATAGCTTTGGGCTTCGCAGACTCACTGGTCATGAGGAGAAGATGTGCAATTAATTGCTGGATGAAACACAACGGGAGGTATGTGTATTTCGAGATTTCTCATTGGATGACGATGCGAAGGGTGTCAAATTGTGGTCATGAGGACTCTCTCAAGATTACTTCAAATCAACAATGATGAGATGAACTATATAGGCAAGCGGCAATGTCCTGGAGAAAACATGAGAAGATTCAGTGTGCTATCGGGAACCATTACAGCAATTATTTAGTACAAGGTCACAGCATACATTGCTCATCATGCGACATTGCGCAATCCTCTTTGGAGCTCTTAGGATTTCGGACATCTTTGTCAACGCAGCTTCAACTCTTCTTTCCGGTGGGACAATCATCGCATGGGATGACAGCGCATATTATCTAAAAATAATCCGAAATGGTTCAGTCCTAGTGACAGATGATTATATTGCATCTGTGAACACAAGTCCTCGACCGTCTGAACTGCCGTTGGGAACGAAAGTGATCGACATAGCAAATCAAATACTGACTCCCGGATTTATTGATACCCACCGCCATGGATGGCAAACGGTATTCAAGACAATTGGTTCAAATACATCTCTTACTGAATACTTTAGTCGCTATGGGGAGTTCTTTGCAGCCGATAAATTCACCGCCGACGATGTATATATCAGCCAACTTGCTGGCCTATATGAGGCCATGAACGGTGGAGTGACAACTCTTCTTGATCACGCCTCACACACTTGGTCTGCAAGCACATCTTACGCTGGATTCAATGCATCAATTGAGAGCGGGGCTCGAGTCTTTTGGGCGTTTGCTTTTCACAACACCACGTCTCTGAACTACACTATATCCGACCAGATTTCAACTTTTCGAGAAATGGCCGAAAACAAAGAAGCGCTAGTGAGAGATTCTCCTACTGAACTCGGTGTTGCCTATGACGCCTGGGGGCCTAACCCAAATCTCAACGAGGCTCGGGGTATCGCAGAGCTCATCAAGGAATTTAATGTTTCGGTCATGACAACGCACTCCCTTGCCGGACCATGGGGTATAAGCAATCTTCCAAGCGAAGTTCAGCATTTTGGCATTTTGAACGGCACCGTCCCCATCGTCTTTTCTCATTCAAGCTTCATCACTGCGGATGATTTGCAACTACTTCGTTCTACCAACCAGTATATATCCATCACAGCTGAGTCAGAGATGCAGTACGGACATGGCCATCCTCATTCCTACGAGGTACAAGACCAAGCAGCACTTGGTATTGATACTCATTTCACCTATTCGTCAGATATTTTGACACAGGCTCGAATTTGGCTGCAGTCTGCAAGGCTTTATTATTATAATCAGGTGTTGGACAACTGGCACGTCCCGACCTATTCTCCCATGACAGTCAACCAAGCATTCCTGCTAGCTACTCGGTCTGGAGGGCTAGCCCTTAGACGGCCTGATCTTGGTGTCATCAAGCGTGGTGCCAAGGCCGACTTGGTAGTTTGGGATGCTGAAAACTCGCCTTCAATGCTCGGATGGGAGGATCCCGTTGCGGCAATTATTTTGCACGCGAACGTCGGCGACGTTCTGCACGTAATGATTGATGGCAAAATTGTCAAAAGAGATGGCAAAATTGTCAGCAACGATTAGCCTAGTATCAGAAGAAATTTCCTAAAGTCAGCAAAGAAGATTCAAAAGATATGGAAGAAAATTCCGTACCCCACGTATGATGGCACATGGTCAAGCGGTTACGGCTATGGAACATCATTGACAGTTGATGTGCAGAGAGGAAAAGACACCGGCTATGGAACACAATTTCTGTAGTTTATGGATGGTAGCAGTGAAGAAATGTGAATCTTCTGGTCCCTAAGGAGAGTGGCATGTCTGAAGCAACTTGCTGTTTATGGTTGATTACAAATTCTTTGATTGCAGTGTTTAGTCAAGAGGTTTTTTAAACGGCGTCCCAAGGTAGCTATCGATTACTTGAGTATCTGCTACTATCACCACTTCCTACTGCTATGGTTTACTCTTCAAGTATCTGCTAATATTACTACCATTACATTTGAGACACGAGATGCTGCATAGCCAATTTGGGAGCTGGATAGCCACTCAAGTTGTATAGTTTTATTTCTCTTTCATGCCTTCATATGCTATCTTACCATCTCCAAGATGTGTTGTGCATCGTCAGCTAATAATAGACAGAGAGTCATACAGCTGTTCAAAGATAAGACGCCTCGACGAGGAATCCCACAGTGAACTTGGCGTGTCGAAGAATTGCTGGCCATTGAATCTTGTCAAGAGACTGTTTACACGTCAGTTAGAACTGGGTAACTTGTTAACGAAACTTACGTCTGCAGCGGTGTGAATGCTGGGGTTGGACTTTTCGAATGTGTCCTCGTTGACAAATGCAGAAGCTATCAGATCATGTCAGTTAAATTGCATGCGGTATCGACGAAATTTAATGAACTTACGGAAACCATTCGATCGAGCACTTGCGTGGTCAGAGCAGCCATAACCACATCGTGTGGTGAGGGGCGCAGCACCTGTGTATTGGGTAGCAATGACTCTGACATATTGAGTCAAAGCCGCATCAACATTGTCAGTATAGACAGCCAGCTGGTTGCTGGGCGAAAAACCAGTCATATCTTGGTTTAGCATAGCAAGAACTGTCTTCTGGTTGGATTTGTAGTTGGAGAAGATTGCCTGAGAGCCAAGAAGTCCTCCTTCTTCACCACTATACCAATGAAACTCAATTGTGTTTTTGGGAATGAAGTCCGACTGAGCAATGACACGGAGAGCTTCAAGAATGGTAACAGATCCAGAGCCGTTATCATCAGCACCAGGACTGCGAGCTGTAGTTGAGCCGGCTGTGGAGTCCATGTGAGCACCCACAATGACTTAGGCTCTATTAGCAACCCTATCATTTACCATACGACACGTTATTAGGAAACTCACTGAGATTTGAACTCTGTCCAGGTAGTCGAGCAATGATAGAAGGCTGGTTCCATGTGTGAGTAAATCTTTGAACTGTGATTTCTGGCCTGGCGGAAGCAATGCTGGATACTTGGTCAAACAGCCAAGCCGAGGCCTGAGTGCCAGTAGTTGAGCGGTAATGGCGAGTAGTAAACCTGATCAGCCGTTAATAGTTGCACTAGCAACTCCAATACCAGATAAGTAAGTCACTACGCACTGGGTGAATGTAGTCAGCCAGCTTTGGGGGCCGCTGGTGGACACTTGTGCAATGAGCGACTGTGCTTCATCCACATGCTCGACTCTTGTCGGATAAGTGACAGCACGAGTGGTTATAGAGGTGTCCGATGGTGGCCTTGACAGGATGGATAACACTTCGGCATCCTGTATATCGATGTTAACAACAATATTCCTAGCGATCAAGGAATTGCAGCCTAAGTTGAGTGACGCTTACCTGAATGTCAGTAATGTCAATAAACCCAATATTCTTTGAGGTAAATCTGTCGAATTTCTCCTGTTCAGTCACCCACTGGCCAGCATCATCTTCAGAAGCTTTGATAAGCCGAAGCTCCGAGTTACTGCCAGTGAGTGGCGCAGAGAAAGCAAGCGGAAAGGCCGCCACAAGCAGAGCGACGACAGATTTGGCAACCATTTTTGGAGTCTAGGTCAACGATATTGTCAATAGTTTTGGAGATGAACTGTCTAGCATTGATGGATCAGCGGTCTAATATATCATTTTACCAAGGACCCCAATATAGGAGACAAGTTAGCTTGGATTTGACAGCACATATTTTGTTAAGCATAGACTCAGTGCTACTTTGCGCCATTCTGAAGAGAAATAGCACCCACTCATTTGCATTGAAGTATGACGAATGGCGAGATAATGGAGCTTCCTTATCTGGTAATGAGAGTCCGCAAGACCGAACGCCCCCCCCCCCCCCCCCCCCATTGTTGGAAAACGTTCCTAGATAAGCTAGGTGACATTCGGGCCAAGCTTGTGGGTTAAGCTGAGCGGAGAATAGACATATAAGCTTAATTTATTGGCTAATCTTATTTTTGTCAGCCACATGGAACACCTCCCACAGTCCGGAAGCTTTTCAAGCTTCTCCTTGGCAGTCAGGCTTGACGGCGGGGTGGAAGTTGGAGTAGGAAACGAAGAAAAGCAACTGTAGCATTTGCGAAAGTTCCACGCCAAAATAGCAGGTGAGGTAGGTTTCTCTCCGCGCCAACAATCACCGGATCCGGAGGTATGACACATTCAATGCCTAGTGTTTGGGCAAAAGAGACCTTTAGTGACATAAATGCGCAAACTATTGCGTTATCACTTGAAGAGTCGCTATAGTGGTACATCCTATGCCAACGATAGTCAAATCTCCAAGTAACAAGAAAAATTGAAGCTCTTCGCAAGATTGCAGTACGACGCCGGTGGAATATTAAGCCCGACTACCAGAGCCTTGGGAATGCGCATTTTAGAATAAATGAGGTAAAGAAAACTCGAGATCAAACGGAGAAGAAAGCAATATTCTTCAAGTTGGTTAATGAGAAGAAAATAACCGGTTTTCATGGATTTTACGAGGCAAAAAAGGCTCATCACTCATGTGGATTTATTATGTACAGTTATAATCCCTTCAGCATGCATTTTGTCGCATGAACATGTTTGCATTGGTTACGTGTTCCAGTGATTGTGCGTTGAATGTTCATGTGCCTAGGTTGTTTAGCACCAGGCCAGTCTTCAGCTTTTGAGTCCCACAGTGTTTATAATGTAAATTTGGTTCTGCTCCACCATCAAATACCAAGAAGCTATAATAATATAGTGGTTAGTATATCAGTTTGTGGATATGAAACACTGAAGACCGAGGTTCGATTCCTCGTTATGGCATGGTATTTCTTTTTATTTCTTTTTCATTTTTTGAGGATATTCACATTAGCGTCCTGAACACTGAATCTGTGGCTCAATTATTTGCTGCGACCTCTCTTTTGCTTTTGTCCTTGACCAGTTCCCTCTTTGTTTCCGAGGATGTCAAATCCGTATGAATAGAACAAAAATGTAGTAAACGTGGTACTTGTAGGCGCTTGAGCAACTTGCTGGTGGATCATGCATGGTCTTATATAGCGCAGTATCCATATCATGATTCCCTAAAGGCAAGAATTACCGTTATTATGCTTCTGCTTCCCGCCGACTTCCGGCAAAGTCTTGTTGTCCATAATCTCCGGCTTCTATTCCCATCCCGTTGCATCCGACCGCTGGAAGTTCTCTGTACCTGGGCGTCGGCCCACAGAGATTGCAATCTTGTTGAGGAAGTGTTAAGCCCGATCGGCTCTAGTAACTTCACTAGAGAACTAATTCCGTTCGGCATCATTGCGGCGGCCACAACTCAAAACCGCATCACAACTGCCACCAGGCACCGATCGACGACTCTAACAACATATAATCAGATATCATTCAGCAGATTGAGAAACTTGGAAGCTGTCAACCCAACAGCTACGACTACAACTATACTACTTGGCATTGAAGTATGAGCGAACATCGCACGCTGTGAGTGATTTGAACTAACATCGAACTCTCACATAGAAAAACTTAGCGAGCGTTTCCCCGATACAATGGCCTCCAACGTGACGGTTCTCTACAACCAGCCCGCAGAGGGCGAGTACTTCAACATGGATTACTATATCAGCACACACATGCCCCTCGTGAATAAGCAATGGGGTCCCTTCGGCTTGAAGAGCTGGCAGGTCATCAAGTTCGGCCCTGATGCGGCCTTCTATGGAGGTGTTCTGATGACCTGGGAAAAGCCCGAGGATGCGGTAAACATTATGACGGCGGAGGTGTCAAAGCCCGTCTTTGAGGACGTTCCCAACTTCACAAACTTGAAGCCCATTTTGCTGCCTTCATCTATCTTGAGCAGCTGGGAGCAGTAGTGAGAGAGGGGTTACGGAATTGGCGCGGGGTTGATGGATCCCTGCGGTCTCATGACGCCATTTTACATGCCACTTAATACGCGTTGTATTAGCAGAGTAGCCGAGTCAATTGCATACAATTTATCCGGGAATTAAACACTGCGATTATATTATACGTAGGATGTTGGTATTTACTAACTGTGAGGATGGCACATCTTATTATGGGATGTCATTTAGTGTTCGTACCTAGCATATAATCCCGCAAGTTAAAGAACATGTCTATATGTAAGCAAGGTCTTCAAAGGATCACCTTACTAAGAAATTTCAATGCACACCTTTCCCCTATGCTGGCCTGACCACTGGTACTCACATGCTTCCTTGAGCTGATCCAGATGATAGACTTTGGAGTCGATGACAGGCCGAAGCTTCTCTGGGTTTGCCTCGATCGCGCGACACAGCTCTTCAAGCAAGATCCTGGATCCTACCGCAATAGGTCGTACGATGCATCTGTGCTCGAAGCAGTCCGAGAAGCTCGGCTGATCACCCTTGGGCCCTCCCAAATACCCAACAATATTGATAACTCCACTAATCCTGACGGCCTTCAAACTCTGTCTCATAGATACTGGTCCAGAAACTTCAACAACGTGGTCAACGCCAACTCCGCCGGTCAGTGCTTTGACGGTACTGCCCCATTCAGCGTCTTCTTTGTAGTTTATGACATGGTCAGCCCCGAGGCCTTTCAGAAACTCGATTTTGTCGCTAGAACTCGTAGTTGCAATGACTCTAGCACCGACTGCCTTTGCAAATTGTAGCGCAAACACACTGACGCCTCCTGTTCCCTGTGTAAGAACCCATTTCCCGGCACTCACCCTGTAGTCAGACAGCCCAAAAAGAGCGCTCCAGGCCGTGACTCCAGCACAAGTCAGCGTCGAAGCCTCAAGAGAGCTCAGATTTGACGGAATCCGAACCAATCCCTGCTCATTAAAGGCACCATAAGTACGAAGCGTACCATCCAAGGCACCCCCAAGCGCTGAGAAGGCCGCAGATGGTTGGAAAGGTCCCCCGATATAGTCCTGAAAAAAAGCGGTGACAACTCTGTCACCTGGAGTGAAGCGACGAACATGTTTGCCAACTGCAACAACCGTTCCGGCTCCATCTGAACCCGGAATAACGTTTGGAGCTATAGCGTGAATTGATTTGCCCTGTACTATCATAAGGTCACGGTACTTGAGTAGCACTCTTGTTAGTGACAATGATAATAATAAGCCGAGGAAAATATACCAACTTACGTTGAGCGATACGGCCTCCACTGTAAAACTTGTTAGAATGACTACTTGCCTCTGAAAATTATTTGCTATCAAGCTCACATTTGACCAATACCTGGCTGTCACCTAATTCAGGAAGAGACTGTTCGGAGTAATGCAGGGCGTCAAAACCCTCACCTCCAGTGACATTCCACTGATAGACAAGTTTGGGAATCGCGAGTGCCATTTTCGAAGAATTCAAGCAAAGTTCTGAAGGATGTATTTGCGAATATGAGTTATGCGATGATCATATATCTAGATCTCTCAAAGAAGTATATATTGTTCTAACTTTCCAAGTGACAGCTATTTATACAAATCCCCATTTTGCTTGCAATAGTCTTTTTTAGCTGTACGAGGACATTAATAATTGTCTGCGTAGGACAAGTTTTCTGACACCGACGAAGTAAGGCATTTCGACAAACGATTCCGAAACCAGAGCTCAATTTATAAGTCTGCATAGATGGTGAAGGAGGCCGCATACTTTAATAGTCATTAATTACTGTCTTCGACATTGTCTTTTTCGACAAATAGAAAATCCCAAACAGGCAGTTGGTGGGGTCGTAGATGCGGCATATATAGGGCCATCGGCGATGACACGATGTCTAACGCCGAAGGCTTCTCCCTTCTATCGAATGAAAGATGTTGCTTAATTGGGGCGCAACTCATCGGGGTTAATGAACCATCAGTCATCCGTCCTAGCTCCCTAGTACCGTAATAACTTTACCATGGAGTTTTTACTTCACCGCGGAGTCTAATGTCCTTCGTGCCATCAATTCAATCCTCTTGCTGCCGGACGCCCGGCTTACAAGGCATATCATATTCGTATCATTATATATATATATATACGTTGAAAGCGGTATCAGTTGTTATCCATAAAATTGAATTAAAGCTTAGGTAGAATTGATAGAAAATTAGCATGCTACCTATTGTCCTTAATTACCATTGTTGACACTCGAATGACATCACATCCACAGGTCTTCTCAGAAAAGACATAATTGCCTCTTTTGGCGATTCATGTCGTCACTAACGCCGGTCTTATAAAGGCGAGCGCCGGAACAACGACCCCCGCTCGCGTCGAAAATCCGTGGCTGTTATTCCCGATAGACTTGAATTGAGTTTCCAACATGATGCCCAGAGTCGAGATAAAAGAGAGAGAATTTCATCCCTAAATTGCATCCAGCACCCAGACTCACATGGCAGTAACATACAAACGCGCAGCATTTTACACTCGACAGATACAACTTAGCAGCAGCTTTTACACTTTCAATCGCTCCCGACAGCATCTAAGAGCATTCAGTTTAACTCAGCCCACAATGTCTCTTCCATCTAGGCGCCTCGGAACTGATGGTCCCTTCGTCACAGCCATTGGCTTCGGTGCGATGGGCATCAGCGCTTTCTACGGAGCCACGGAGCCTGATGAGGAGCGTTTCAAGGTTCTTGATCACCTTTACGAAACCGGAGAGAGATTTTGGGACACTGCCAATGTCTATGGAGACAGCGAGGAACTTATTGGCAGATGGTTTGATCGCAATCCCGGAAAGCGGAAAGATATCGTGCTTGCAACCAAATGGGGAAACCTGGGAGGGGGCAAGGTTCGAAATGATACTGAATACGCTAAGCAATGCGCTGAGGAGAGTTTGAGACGCCTTAGAACAGATTACATCGATCTGTATTACGTCCACAGAGTTGATTCTAATGTTCCCATTGAGATAACCATCAAGGCCATGGTCGAACTGAAGAAGTAAGTCTCAATATTGAATGCCCTGCGCAATTCTGTGATGTACTAACTGTTCCTTAGTAAGGGTTGGGTTCGACATCTGGGCCTCTCCGAAGTCTCAGCTGAAACATTGAGAAGAGCTCACGCTGTGCATCGCATCGCTGCCGTTCAGATGGAGTACAGCCCTTTTGCCTTGGAAGTTGAATTGCCAGAGACAAACATGCTCAAGACATGTCAAGAGCTCGGCGTCGCTATTGTCGCCTACTCTCCTCTTGGCCGAGGATTCTTGACTGGACAAATTAAAGGACCCGAAGATTTCGAGGCTGGAGACTTCCGAATCAATATTCCTCGATTCTCACCTGAGAATTTTCCTAAGAACCTAGAACTTGTCGCCACTTTGAAAGAGATTGCAGCTCGACACAACGCCACTAATTCACAACTGGTCCTTGCCTGGCTCTTAAAGCAGTGGGATATGGTCATTCCGATCCCCGGCACTAAGAGGATCAAGTACTACGACGAAAACATGGGCGCACTGCAACTGAACATTAGCGATGAGGAGAATGCAGAGATCAGGAAAGCGATTGACAAGGCAACAATCATTGGTAGCAGGTACCCTCCGGGTTGGGAAGCAGCTTTGTTTGCAGACACTGTTCCATTGAAGGAATAAGCTCTATAGGGTCTACTTGTGCCGTAATATACAAAGCGTTAACATCTCACTTCTCACATGGCTGGCTATTCACACATTTTTCTTTCAAAGTTGCCAAGATATATTAAGCGTGCTCAATACAGACCCATATTATTTTGGATGCTAAACAACGAGTTGACACTAGCAGTGCCCAAGTCGACAAGCCGGCAATATCCTCGGTTATGGAAATATTAGTGAATTGAGCCCTGTTCACTGTTGTCTCCTCTAGCGCTCCTCCATTTGCGGTGTTCCTAGCTGATCGCAAATACTCGTGTTCTAAATAGCAAATAGGACTGAATAAATTCCGGAGAAAGATGGCTAAATTGGAAGTTCCGGTGATCAGTACTGTTATTACCGCGAGATATTCGGATATGCAGAGCCGGAAATCCCTCCTATCTCCATGTCTTGATAGTGCTAAAGATGGCATCATCTCCAAATGCGGGGTTGAGCCTCTGCTAATAAACCCGCTGTGTGTCGTAATTGTAGAAATGGACACCCCATTGACAAAATATATCGCGACATATTTGTTATATCATCATCGCTAAAATTGCCCAGAATAATCATTAAACTTCAAACCAACAGTTGATACTTGACTAACGATAGGGAGAAAAGTGTAGAGATGGGTTCAAAACCTAATTCAGCACTAAAGGTGGTCTTTGGCGCCATGACCATTGGTGATAAAGGTTTGCCGTATTCAATCATCATGAACGTGCCTTTTCTAACAGTTATTCTCAGGCGCCACTCAAGCCCGCGTCCATACCTTGGAGGAAACCGCCGAGATTCTCGATGTGTTTCAGCAATTTGGTCATTCTGAGATCGACACTGCCCGAGTCTATGGCGGAGGCAGCTCTGAGAGATTTCTTGGTCAGTCAGAATGGCAAAAGAGAGGTATTGTCATGGATACAAAGCTATCGCCAACCAATGGCCAATACAATCACCAACCTGCTGGTGTTCGGCAAGGCTTGTTGGACAGTCTAAAGGCTCTCGGAGCCGAAAAGGTGAGCCGAAAAGATGATTACATCCTACGTGCATTCTAAGAGGGATATTGTTGGCTCACTCAACTCTTTCATTTGGGAATAGGTTGACATGTGGTACTTACATGCACCTGATCACGATACCCCATACGAGGATACTCTCCGTGAAGTCAACAAGCTCTATGAAGAAGGCTACTTCAAACGGTTCGGAATCAGCAACTACTCTGCCTGGGAAACCGCTCAAATCTGTGAAATTTGTATCCGTAATGGATGGAAGAAACCCGATGTCTATCAGGGCGTGTACAATGGCCTTCATCGAGCAGTGGAGCCAGAGCTGTTCCCCTGTCTTAGAAATTACGGGATCGCATTTTACCAGTATAATCCACTGGCTGGGGGGATTCTCACAGACAAGTATAAGCTTGACTTCAAAGAACACGAAGAGGGTAGCCGCTTCGACCCCACGCGAGCACAGGGTGTCAATTACCGAAGTAGATACTGGAATGAGACCTACTTCAAGGCCCTCGATGTTGTCAGGCCAGTAGCTGCCAAGCTCGGGATCCCTACCGCCGAGGCAGCCTTGAGATGGTCTGTTCATCACAGCTTGATGAAGAATGAGCATGGTGACGCAGTCATCATTGGAGCAAGCAGCGCCCAACAACTGAAGGAGAATCTGACAAACTTGGAAAAGGGGCCGTTGCCGGATGAGCTGGTTGCAGCGTTTGACGAAGGATGGGCTGTGGCTAAATCAGTTTGCAGACCGTACTTTCGCTAAGGAACAGCACTGGCATTGTATCCTCTTAGGGCTAGAGTGGAATCCTTTGTTCAATACACAGGAATCCATAGTCAAATATTTTTGTAATGCAATGAGATAAAAGGCGCCGCTTATTAGAAAGTGAGGCTGGTGTCGCCGATTATATCACATATTAGTAGTCCAATGTATGCAGCCAGTCAGAATGAGGATTTATTTCTGCCGAGACTCCATCTCTTTCCGGGTGTATAGAACATAAGCTGTAGATCTTTTTTACCCGTGGTTTTGTGATTACTTATGCGATTGATCTCGTTGTCTTTACTCTTGCGATGATCAGCGGGGTAGTCTGCCACATGCATTCACAAACGGCCATTTTGCGATCAATGGTCGAAGTAGCGGGACAGCAGCAGCTATGTGTACTCAAACGTTCAAAGTATTCTATTTTATACTATTTCCCGGGCCTCACATGCATTAGGGAGCGCTTAAACTGGAACAATTATGAAAGCACGAGAGGGAATAAGACTTACATACATGAACTTTGGATTAATGTTTCCCAATTCACGCCTATCTGCCCTCTAAGAAATATTCTTGTTAATTTATACATGTGTAATGAGTAAGTATTCCTTTGCTCTTCCGCTTTTCCTGCCTACCGCTTGACTGCCATGACTGCATATGTGTGAGCCGGGATCGGCATTTCACACGATCGCTTAATTTTTGGAATCCCAGATCTTTCTTATCCGATCCGTCGGGATGTAACCCTGTTTGAATCTGATGTCCATGCTATGAAAACAGGAATAAACAAGTTACTTCGACTACTAGTAATGAACATTGTTTAGGCTAATTTAATTCCTATTTTACGGATTTGTAGTTAATGGCGAGACGTTGAAGCCCAGATGACGTCGACCTCATCCTCCCCGCTGAAAGCAACGTATCATAGGTCAACCAGATGGTGATCAGTTAGATATAAGAGACTCTAGGTATATTTTCAATTATGACACATTAATGATAAGAGCACGTCACTTTCAATAAACTCACAATTCCAGTGGGCTTCTTTGGTGTTGAAAAAAAAGCAAGATGATCCGAACTTTAGCTGCCTTGTCCATTGCGACTTTCTTAAGTCTCGTTGCAGGCGAAACAGTTCGCCTGAATGTCCCCAGAAACCCCCCTGCATCATCGAGTCCTCCCATATCACTTGACTTTCAGTCGTTTTCCATTGAATTTGCATTTCTAGTTGACTTTCAAGGTAGGAACATCACCCTTTTCAGCTGTAAGGCAGAATACTCATCATACCATTTAGGAAACAAATCCCATCCGAATAGGTTTACCAACAACCTCTTGGCCAACTTAAGAGCCTTCAATGGGGATGTGCCTCAGATTCTTCGCATTGGAGGAAATACTCAGTATGACAATCGGGCTCTCGCTTGCAAAAAATGGTTATTAACCCGTTGTCTTACCCAGGGATCATGTCACCTATGTTCCTGACCAAAAAGAGCAGTTAATCAATTTTTGGGACCCATCTTACAATTCCGATCAGCCACGCAATACTTCCATCGGCCCAACCTTTTGGGAGGCATTTACCGCCATTGAAGGGACAAAGTACATCTTCGGTCTAAACTTTTACAAGAACGATTCCACGTATCTTGAGAATCTCAGAGGGGAGGTTTCACAGTCCCTGCTGCAGATTCCTCCTGATCGGTTGCACTTGTTCGAAATAGGCAACGAGAATGATTACGGGGCATTGTCCGGATTCCGACCGCCAACATGGACCCAACAGGATTGGGTTGAAGAATGGATTGACCGCGCACGAAATATCCAGAACCCAGCCAAGAGTCTACGCTTTTACGCTCCGTCAACATGCTGTTACAACATCACGACTCCTTACTCGTTCTTCTCCCCATGGACGATATGGAATAGCACATTCGACTATGACCGAGACGGGTGGATCTCAGAGGTATCTCAGCACGGGTGAGTCGCAACCATTCTTGAGTCGGTCCAAGTCGGTCGCTAAAGAAGGTCTAGGTATATCTCTTCAACAGGCCAGAATCCAACTCTACAAGGTATAGATTCCTAAGTGATGTGCGTCCATTAGCCTGTTCTCCTAACCAATACCAGGCACCCTCATGAACCACACAAGCGTGGTAATTAATGGAACAGTCCATCAATCCCTTTGCAATCTAAATCACAATGCGGGCCGTGTTTACACCCTTGGTGAAACTAATAGCGTCTCTGGTCAAGGAGCGTTTGGGGTTTCCAACGTCTTTGGCTCTGCTTTGTTCATTCTTGACTATGAGCTCTATTATGCATCTTTTGTAAGTCGATGAGGTACCCTGTTTCTACCACAACAGTTCTAACTGTAATTTACAGGGAGTAAATCGTATGCATATGCATCAGGGAACTGCTTATCGTTACGGCGCCTGGATGCCCATTGCTCAGAACGGAACAGGCCCATCCACGAATCCTCCTTACTACGGCCATGTTATGGTTTCCAAGTTCATCGGGGCCCACCCCAAGACAAGAATCAACAACATTGATCTTAACAGCGATTTCTATTCCGCATACGCAGCTTACGAGAATGGCCGATTGGCGCGTGCCGTCCTTCTGAACCTTCACGAATGGAACCCTTCAAATGATCAAGCTGAAGTCTCGAAAGCGCCGAGCACAACCTTTACTATCAGCACTGGGCAACGGGGAATTAAATATGCTACTGTCGAGTTAATGACAGCTCCAGGAGCACTCTCGGAAACAAACATTACGGTCGCTGGACTAAGTTACGATTATGACCTGGCGGAGGGAAAGCCGGTGAGAGTGGCGAAACAGTATGAGAGCGTGCTTCGCCCGAATAACAAGGGAGAGATTTCTGTTCCAGTGCGATACTCGCAAGCAGTGCTTTTGACTTTTAACTAGAGGTTGGACGCAGATAACCCAGGGGAATTGAGTGAGGGTTGCCGTCAAGATTGCTTTGAAAAATGTTTCTCATAATCCACTTCTGAGCCAAAGTGCTCTACAGCTAAAAGCCACGTTTGACCGTGTATCAAGCCATGCATGTAATTTTATATACTATGTAATCTTGATTTTCTTAACCACAAGGACAAAAGTTAAAGTTACACAGCCACTATTACTTCAGAAGATATCCGTATTCTCAGAGGAAGGACATCTCGCGCCCTTCGCCATTCAATGTAGGATTCATTGGTAATCGCCCACCAAACCCTTGCTCAACGGCCCACTGCCCACCGGCTTCGGCCGTTACTCGCGCAATCAGAAGTCTCTATTCGCCATCTAGAGAACCATTGATCCACCGACGCTCTAGGCTAGACCTATGATAACCAGAAACCAGAAGCGCTGTTTTCTCAATCCGCCATTTCAGCTCATGCAGCAAGCGACAACCAGAGTCGCGCAGATTGGCTCAAGCGGTGCAGCTGGTTCACAATGGCTACAGATGAGACCACTCCGCTGCTTCCTGGCCGCAAGGCCTTGGTCTCGGTCAGCCAGAAGAGAAGCCTCCGAGATTCGCTCAGTGGCATCTTCACCAATGTTGAGAACCGCATATTGGCGGCCGGATTTCTAATCTGCGTCGCCTTTAGCTATACTCAAGTACCGTGAGTCTCACGCCTATCGCTTGTCGTCTCACAGTTGTGATATCATATCATGTCCTCTGCTATCTTTAAAGCATAGCAATCGCTTACATCCGGATAGGCTCATGTATGTTTTCCATCTTATGGTATGCGACGAATTCTACGACCATAACCCTCCCTTTGAAGGCCCCGGCCAGCGATGCAGCCGCGACGAAATCGCAGCGGGGACCGCCGCTCAATTTAGTATTCTAGGAATGAGCACAACACTCTGTGGTGAGTTCTGAATACATTTCCCTCACTTCTTCCTTGCATGCCGGTGGTTATTGTTATATGAGCAGCATTGACGAAAAGCTCCTTAACCTCTAGGAACCCTCAACCTTTTTATTGCAGGCTGGACTGTCAAAAAGATTGGCCCCCGCGCTGCTCTCATGATTCAAACTTTCGTGCCTGCTCTTCGAGTCCTTGCACAAATCCTCGGAGTTATAGCCGGCAAGCGAACAGGCATTTTGATCATCCAGGCCACGCAGCTTGTTACCATTATTGGCGGGCCAGCGGGATACATTCTCATCACCAACATCTTTGTTAGTGAGCTTGTCGAGCCTTCTCGGCGGACGGTTGTCTTTGGCAAGCTACAAGGAAGCATCATGCTTGGACAGAGCGTTGGATATTTAGGTATACATGCCTCCTGTTATACACCATTTGCCCGTCTACTAACTCGTTGATGTGACAGCCGGCGGAATGGTTGGAGATGCAATCGATATCCGTGCCCCTTTTGACATTGCCTTCATCACCTTTCTTCTATCCTGCGCCTACATACACTTTGCACTCCCATACATCTCTCCCGATTCCATGAGCAGCAAGAAGAAGCCCAACCAGCAGGGTATTGCCGGCTTCTTCGCCCCGCTCAAGATTCTTGTGCCCCAGCGCGTGAGAACATCAAGCGGCAGTATCAAGAAGCACTACGGCGTCATCATTCTCTGCGCCGGAATCTTTCTTGGAGTGGTAAGTTAAGCAAAAAAATTTAGCTTAAACCCGTTCTTTTCAAGACTGACCAGAGCACCACCAGCTCGCAACGGATTATGCCCCTCTCTTAACCCAACTGTATGCTACCGCGGCATTCGACTTTGATCAAGGAGACAATGGATGGCTCATGTTCGAATTCGCCTTCATGCGGAGTGTATTCCTCATTCTCCTGTTCCCCCGAATCATCTCTTTCGGACGCTACATACTCAAGCGCAACTTCACCTCAGAATCTGAAGACACAGATGATTCGTCCGTTTCCACAGCGGATGATCAGCTACCTACTGAACCTGGAGAATTTGATGCGGCCACAGGTGAGCAGGCGGATCTCGAGCCAATCAGGCCAATCTCTTCAAAGCACCACCGCGAGGTCGGCCACTTTGACCTCATCTTCCTACGATGGAGTCTTGTCGTTGACGGTGCACTCACCACTGTTGTTGCGTTTGCCACCAAAAGATGGCACATTTATCTTGGTAAGTACTCTGTGAACTAGAGATATTTACGGTCATTGTAGCATTAACAGAACTTTGCAGCCGCTTTCCTCCTCCCATTCGGCTCTGGCTCTGCACCAGCGGCCAAAGGCGTCATCACCGACATGTGTTCAGAGTCTCATCGCGCGGATGCCCTAAACGCAGTGACCCTGGTAGAAAATATTGCTAGATTAACGACACAGGGACTATTTGGGTTGATCTTCTCGAGCCTGGCGAGTGTGGGGAAAGCATATGCAACGTTTTACTGCAATGCGGTGAGTGTCCAAAAGATATTCGTACCTTATGAGCGGTGCGAGGCTAACGCGTGGTGCAACTCTAGGCGATCGCTGTCATTGGAATGGCAGTGCTGCTATTTTCCAATTTCCCACCTCCGGGTAGTACGCTTATTGACGAGGAAAGTGAAGGGATAGATGATATCCAAAACGAGGGAGAGGAGGCAACTTCATCATAAGCATCATAATGCACTTTATAACTAAAGATGATGGAACTTTTCGTCGAGGATAAACACCAACAAGCTAGACAGCAATGCTTAATCTCACACAGAAGCTACGCATCTCGCCATGCCGAAAACATAGCACGGCTCGAAAAACTGGCTTCAGCAAACACGTATAAAATATACAGATTTCTACATCTTTTCAAGATTCAACCGTAAAGGTGTGCTTGCCTCCAGAAACATTGACGCTCATCCACCCTGCAATCCGGTCTCTGGACAGTGTAACTGGCATTCCATCCATATATATCTTCGGATCTTCCAAACCCAAAGTGGGAACACACACTATCCCAGAAGACCCTTCTAATGTCTCAGTCTCCAGCACAAACATTAAACCGGATTGCGCATCCTTCCTCTCCCAGGAGACTCCAATCTTGCCCCCTGGAGTGGGCACCTCTCCTCTGGCCCATGTCAGCCCTCCGCCATCTACCACGGGGCATATCTGCCATGTCTGGAAACCCGGCGTTTGGGGCTTCACTCCAAGTACATAGCTAGTCAGCAAAGGCACGATTCCTGTTGACCAGCCGTGTGCCATGGACGTAAAGGCACCCTCATAAGCAGTGCCGTTTGGTCCGATACCCTCCCACATGGTGATGCGTGGATCATGAGTAGCCATCCATCCATACAACCTTCGAATCTCATCAAAGGCAGACGAAGCCTTCCCAGGGGTGGCAAAGCGAGCTGCAATCTCAAAATAAGAGATGAAGGCGTAGACACGATAGTTGAACTGATCTCCGGGGCTCAACACGCTACTATCATAAAACGCGTTTCCGTATGCTTGAGAAGTTGCGTTTTGCCAATAGTCGAGTATCTCAGCCGACGTTTTGTCATCGGTCACGCCCGCCAGAATAGCAATGGCATTTCCATCTTGTGCATGGACGTTGCAGAGGGTGCCTGTTCCACCTCCAGGACATGGCCCGCCATCATAAAACGCACCGACACTCCCGTCAAAATTCCTACTCATTAGCGCATTCCCAACGGCAGCGGCTCTGGAAGACCATCTTGAGGCATCGTCATCACGGCCAAGGCTTTCAGCTAGCTGCGAGGCATATGACAAAGCGTGAACGTACAGGGCATTGTAGTAGGTTACCGGTCCTGATCGAGGCAGAAATGCGTAGTCGCCGTAGCCCATATCGGCAGTTTTGTCCAAAAGTCCTGTTGCATTATTCGTATTCGAGGGGTAGTATTCGTCAAGGACGCGAATGAGCGTGTCCCAATATGTCTCTGCATACGAGGTGTTGCCAGTGTACATAACGAGATCAATGCTACAGACGACCCACCAGAGGGGATAGTCGAACAGCGGCAAGGTGTAATTATTTCTATTTGCAGGATATTTTAGCATTATTAGCAAAACGTATTGCCAAAAAAGGAGGCCATTGGAAAAGACTCACATGCTTGCAGGGGGGATCCATCCATCATCTCGCTGATGAAGCGCCAAGTCCTCCAAAACATTTCGTGTCGACTCGGCAAAATCGTGAGACAGATATGAAGTCAGTGCTGCAACAGCCAAGTCACCAACATATGGGTCTCTATCTCGCTTAGCTCCGTCAAAAAGTACTTGTTTCCCCTCCAAGGTTGGACTAGAGGCACCTCTAGGCTCTGTTTCGTTTGCAAGAAACACATCTGTGCCCATATCCACTGTATATACTCCATCATACCACCATTGAGTGAGCTCATCATCTGAACATTCAAACCACCCGGTGAAGGTATCTGGTGATCCCAGATAGGCGGACCATTCGAGGCTCAAACCCGAAATAGAAACGGAGCCAAACGAGGATGTATATGGGGCGTCTGATGCAATGGCTTCGAGCCGTATTTTCACATAACGGAAGCCGTGGAGCCCATCTGAGCAAACCTTTGTGCTATCTTCACACCCATGCAAGTCTGTCCAGATGTAATTTGTATCCTTGACAGCTACCTACCATAAGAGGGTTCAGATGTGAGCAATTCCGCTTAGTTCCACAGATTCCAAGCTTACCTGATCTGTTCCATTGGTCAATTTCTCATCCTACTCCAACGTGTAAGTCGTTTGAACTCAGCAACGAAGCGTGTAATCTCGAACATACCCCACTAGCGTTGTCAGACCGTGTAAAGTCACTCCGGTTTGTGAGATACTCCATCGTCTCAGAAAAAGCCAATCTCAATCCTGGCAGCCCAATAGATGTGTTCTGTGATCCGCTAAATTCGATGCTCAAGATACCGACCATGTTTTGCCCAAAATCCACCACTACTGTCGGCAACAGATCATCTTCATTGCTTCGACTCAACACTGTTGGGCTTCGCCGGTCAATCAGGCCATTGGGGTTGGAAACATTCCCAATTGTGCTGTCTGATACAATACCAATTGGCCTAACAACTTTTGATACGGGAGATCTAGCAAATCGGTGCCAGCGTGCTTCTTTATCAGTTTCGGCTTTTTCAGCTCGTACACCACCCAATAACATAAGGCCAGCATAAAGCATAAACAGCGTGTTGGAGACCATGATGAAGACGATAATGACGATGTACAAGTATCCGTTGAGAGGTATTCCACCTATTGTTTCAACATCTCATGAACGGTTCGACTTACAGTAGGCAATGATACCAATAAAAAAGATTTTAGACCATGACTATACTAGTCATTCATGATGGACTTGACAGCAACCACATCGGTAATTTCGCGTCATTCTCCCCCGAGTGTAACCCTGCCCAGAGTCCGCATGCGGGGTCAGATGCACGATCTGCGGTTCCCCGCGACGAGAGGAGTATTGCCGATTGATCGTCCGATGCCTAGGATATCTCAGATTGAGTAGGGGTTACTTAGTCTCGGCGTTCTCTAGGCGAGTAGAAAAAGAGTCATCAAATCATTCGGTACAGTGCGCCCTCGATCTTAGATACGAGGGGGTCAGTGGAGAGCCATCAAAAAAAGGCATCTCTGCTCGGTGTAAAAGCCGTTGTAGAACGCGCCTTTCTCTCCCTTTAGCTTGAGAGTTAAATTTTATGAGACCAACATAGAACCCTACTATAAAGCTCAAAGAAGAACGCAGGTTTGCAAATAGCTAAATGGGTAGAGTTCCACTTATTACAATCTCCAAGCATCCATTCAGTAATTGTTTCAAAAAGTGGCCATCCAGCATCCGCTGTTCTATATGTAGCAACGATGATAGTAAATACTAGAAGCATCCCAAAGAAGTGCAATACTCACTTTCTAAATTTCGTTGATTTGAACTACCCTGAAAGAACCAACTGGCACCATCATAGCACTTTTTCTCAACAAAATATAGCGGCTAGTCTTGAAACAGCACCGAACTTTGTAATGCTCTCGAGGCTTGATAGCCTAACTGAGGTGTATTTGGATACGTGCAGATTTGCTCTCAGCGACTTCACGGCACTCACGACTCCAGCTCCAAACCTTCATTCTTTGTTCCTGTTATACTGGTATCTCATTCTCACACATTCCATCATTTTTGAAATATATTATGAGGGTTGATACTCGGCGTCGTTGAGATTGTTCATTATCACAGACACATGGCAACATTAGCGAGGGAGAAATATGGAAGAAGCGTCGTCAATTTGAAGATGAAGGAAACTACTGTAAACTGATATGTCATAACCATTATCTCAAAGGTAGTTGCACAACAAGTTGAGGTTATGCTCCTTCTTGTGCCTTCTCATTCAACATTGTTGTTGCTTCCCAGATATGTCCATCCAAATCCTCAAAGCTCCTTGTATATAGCCCTAGAGATTTCCCATACTCCTTTATTTCAAAAGGGTCTCTCTTGCCACCCGCCTTTTCAGCCTTCTCCAAGAACCCGTCTACATCTTCCTTACTTGGCACTCCCAGGGTATATATCGCACCCGTAGCTTTCTTTGCATGTACAATTTCTGAACCACGGCGGATAAATTCTTCAAACCGCGATGTAGAGTGCAGCATGAGGCAGATGTTGGCGTTGGATGAGTAAGGGAAGCGGAGTGACGTCGTGTTGGAATCGGAATAATCAGGGAGAGGGGTGAAAGAAAGGGACTTATAAAAGTCAGCGGAGGAGCTGAGAGACGCGACTGGAAGGGAAATGAAGAATGACGGCGTCTTGGAGGATGACATTGTTTATTCAATCGATATTTAGGACAATAGTATCTGTGGGTTCTGTGGAATGTGGGTTTTGCTGAGTTGAGAAACTTCACGTATCCTGCCGCATTTATTGTCATTTATTAAACGGAACTGCATCGCTTGTCGCATTATCATAGTGACATAAAGCATTCATCATCGAAATGGCAAAGCCTCAATCTCTCCGGCGCTAAAGACAGCTCAATAGTCGTCAGATGAACGGATATTGAAACTTTGTTTCTCCAAACTATCGCGCTAATGACAGCTTTTTTGCCTCTTCTAAGAAAAAGAGAAATAATTGAAGACACAAACAGGGATCGCCGTGCCTTAGCCCCAGTAGTATTAGTACGGAATAAAATGGCCGACTTCTAGACTACTGTTGCAGCAGCTGCTCGGAGTCCAATAATGGATAGTATATTGACCACCTGGAAGACTAGAATGGCCAGTGAGGACTTCTCGAGCCAGCACACAAGATAGTCCTATCAGCGTGGCTTATTTCCGCACGCTGCTGTTGCTATTGCTGATGTTTCATAAGCTCTTGTGTCATTTAGGAAGTTTCAGAATATGAGATTTATATGGAGTCGATGCCTTGCACACCGCTTATAAGTAAGCAGCCCAGACCAAACTTTGTGCACAACACTCTGCCATTATACGAGCGCTCAGTAATTGCCAGCTGCATATATATTTAAAGGCGCCCTTTCATGTCGCAGCTAGCTGTTTTACAATGAAAAAGGTGCTCATATTACTTGGGGGGGGATACAAGAGGCCAGACCCGACAAGGCCATAAAGAAATGGAAAAACAATCACGACATTTGCTAGAAGATAAGAGCTGTGATCCCAAGCAAGATGAGGTGCTTCGTAGAATATGCAAACACGAGATTAAACCCTAATAAACCGACGGCACGGAGTTGGAAAGGCATCAAGACATATTATTTTCCAGCTTCTTGACCAATCACAACAATTTGCTCATTTCGTCCAATTAACCCCGTTTTCCTTCTTGCTCGAATGGCTAGTATTAAGGTACAGACTGGTCACCGCAGTTTGCAAATGGTTGAGGACTGCCGCCACTGTGAGTACCGCAATCCTAGTCGGCTTACTGTGTTGCCGTGATAATGTTGAAACGTTGCCTGCCTTGTCATATCGCGAACATGTCACCGAATTATCCTGCTCTCCCAGATAGATTAAACTATACCGAATAACCGGCATGGCATACAGATATTACCCATAATTTCCCACAGGGCGGTAGCGACAACCGTATAAATTGTAGCCCCCATTGGCCATCCCTTATTTTAGCCTTCTCCCTTCGGGCCGTTTCCATTTCCTATTCTGTCCCTGAATGAACATCTGTCACCCACAGATAGATCGCATCTGGACCGCCGTCGGCAGTTGATTAGTCAATCCTGTCATGTAATGTTACTTCGTGCTCCTTCGTATACTTCATGTAATCGGAGTTTAGGGAGACGAGCCTACGGATAATAGTCAATTGGTGTCGATCGAAGATGCAATTGACATTTTTTGGTGATGAGAGCAGCAGCTAATAGCACCGAGCGACTGCATGTCTGGACAGCTGGGGAACGCGATTGGGATAAGATCGGCATACGAGTTGCCTGTTTATGCCCAAGCGGTAGAAGGAGAGCTGTGGTGGGACTGAAACAAGAGGTAATCAGAGCCCAATGTTTGACACCGCTTGGCTCGTGCCATCTTACGATCGGATTTGGGAATCTCTCCGTAGGGGTTCAAGATGGAACCTAACAACATGAATCTCAGTCGAGCCAGTATATATACCAGGTCTTGAACGCTGATCCATAGTTTTGGGGCCAAGTGAGCAAGCAAGTTCAGCCCAAAACTTGATCGCTTCACTTCAATTTTCGACGGGCTGCCAAACTCCAACTCCACGGTCATCTCATTTCCATTCATCATGAAGGCATCTCTGTTGTGGCTCCTGTACGCCACTGCGGTATCAGCTACGCCGCACAATTCACACCCACACCCTCCCAGAGCAGCAGCAGCCATCGACGCCTCGACCATCCAAGGAAAATGGCTCTACGGCTACCAGGGCTGGTTCCGTAAACCGGGACCCGGCGTCAACAACCACTGGTCTGCTGATGGCAATACTCCGGGACCTAACAACAGTATGAAGATACTTCCCTTTGAGACGAGTCCGAACGCAGTTTATCGTAACTTACACGGTTGTAGTTGAGATCGACTTCATCCCGGATGTGAGCCAGTATCCGGCCAACTGCCTCTTCAACACTGGCCTCACGCTGCCAAACGGCCAGCCCGCCAAGTTCTATGACAGCACTTGCGATGGTGTTATTGACCTGCACTTTAAGTGGATGCAGCAGTACGGCATCGACGGTGTTATCGTGCAGAGATTTATCCAGTCCATCAACGACCAGTCTTTCATCACGGTTAGTGCATGATAGGATACAAAATCCCCACCAAGGTCCAAATCTGACTACAAACCAGGTCCTCAACCAGGTCAAGGCAGCGGCTGAAAAGTATGGCCGTGGATTCATTGTTGAGTATGACGTCTCCGGCGCCGACTCATCCCAGGGCAGCGTCGCCAACCAAGTCCTCAACGACTACAACTCCAAGATCAAGCCCTACACCACATCGTCAGCTTACATCCATCAGAATGGAAAGCCCGTCACCATGGTCTTCGGCATCGGGTTCCAGGGAATGAAGGTTAATGCTGCTGACAGTGTCAACATTGCAAACCAGCTCAAGAACGCTGGTCTGTACGTCGGTTTTGGCGTGCCCGAGCAGTGGTCCGGCGACGTTACTAGCAACTCTGGATTTGTCCAGGCTTATAAGGCGGCAGATTTTATCAGCCCTTGGACTGTTGGCGGTTATTCCGCTGCTGGCTACCAGGGCTTCCACTCCTCTGTCCAGGTCCCAGACTCACAGTTGCTACAATCTCTCGGAAAGAAGTACGCACCCGTCATCTTCCCGGGAACTTCTGCCTACCACATCAACGGCGGCACCAACCCATCTGCATTCGACTACTTCCCTCGCAACAACGGCTCTTTCTTCTCCGCCCAGGCTGACGCGCTTACCTCCATGGCCATCAAGCCTCTGTTCATCTTCAACGCCATGTTTGACGAAGTCAACGAAGGTGAGTTCTTCTGAATATCATTTATTTATACAATAGCCATCTAACAGGTCTTTAATTCAGGTACTCAGAGCATGCCCGCTCTCAAGACCAACCAGCTTCCCACTAACCAGAAGTTTGTTGGTCTCGACAACAACTTTCCCGACACCAGCTACTACCTGTCCCTAGGCGGCCAGAAGGCTGCTGCTTTCCACGCCGCGGCTCATTAATCTAGATGTAAATAATGCGTTGGACCTGTCGTCTAGAGTATAAATAACAAAAGAAGTGAAACGATCATTTGAATGTGCTCCAAATGTGATACCCATTTGTAAAATGAGCCTTGTGTGGAGTAGAATTGAGTCCCATTTGAGGTGAGAGGCTGCAGAACAAATACTGCATCTATACAGCCCAGGGAAATGTGTGTATTTGTAAACCAGTATCTAACAGGCCGCCACTTAATTCATGATGCCACTTTACTTTACTTCTTTCTCTTCATCTCATGTTGCCGTGAAATGTTCCTTGATAGGCCCAGAATTTACAACCTTATAAAATGTACATCATCTGCATATGCATCAATTTTAGGATCAAGATTATGTTGTCAGTCAGCCACTAATCAGGCCTCTTGTCACATTTCGCTTCTAGTCCCCTCAACAGTCACTTAACCTTTTCGGCGTATGTTTCTGCAATCATACCCAAAGATTATTTACACCCCATACCACATACTCAGGGTAGCACAAGCACTCCTCGCACTCCTCATATGGCTTGACCTATAACAAACGTTGTCAAATTTGTACACCTCACCCGTACAAGTTAGCCCATACAACCACCACAAACTACCATTTACAGCAGCTACAGAAGCTCAACAAACAGAGTTGAGAGACGGCCAAAATGGGGAATAGTAGCAAGTTTGGCAGGTGTCCAATCCGGGAAGCATTCCGCCCGACAGCCGGTCAGCTCGGATTCATCAAGCCCCCAAATACCAATCGAACCAATCACACTACAAACCGCACGGCAGCCCAAATTTAGTCGAGCTTCTTTACACCATACGCCATAAGCACGTAATGACAGCCCAACTGGCATTCGACAAAGCTTAGCCGGGCGAGCATGGCTCCCGAAATAGCAGAGCTGTCTTATGGAACGCTCAACATTTAAACTCTGCCGTTGAGGCGGGACACGGTTTGGCCATTCGCAAGATATGAAGTAGATATACGCGGATAGAATCTTGATAGCAATTTTGGCATTGTAGATAGGAACTAGACCGTGTTAAGCTGTTTGACGATCATTGTTTCTTGCCTCATCTACCCGAATGCCGAAACAAAGCCATACCACCTAGACCAAGCATGGTCTGCACCCCGTCGTATCAATATCAAGGACAAGCGGCCGTCACAGGGAGAAAAATTCATTCACCTTGACATCACACAACTCATTAGTTCACCAAGGTGAATGCCAATAATATGGAGTGTGCGAGTCACTAAGGCTTGACACTAGCAGTAGCTCAACTTGCTAGAGCCGTGATTCCGAAACCTTCTATGCCATCCAGCAGGTCGCGACCTCCGGTGGCGTGGGCCGTAGTTTCACCACGGGGGAAAAATTTTACTTAGTCTGCGCCATTTGTTCTCTCGTATTTGGAGCAAGGTGTGTAAGAAACCGCAAGAAAGCTGGTGAGAGTGCGAAAAGAAGCGGTTTTGAAACTGTATAGCTTTGAAATTAAAAAACATTTTGAGCATCACAAGTTGCAATTGAAAAGACGCAGAAGAGATATTTTAAACCGTAACACATTAGCGAGATATGAAAAGTCTATAGTAACTAAATATATAAGTTTATACTAGGTTTTAAATTAAGTTAGCGACTGGGGGAATCAAAAGGTTAACAATGCATCCACGGCTGGAGAACTCTCTATCGG